TGAGACTGAAAAAGCCTGGATTTCCCAGGAGAAGATCACCATCACTGAGGTGAAACAACACAAAAAACTCCAACAAGCAGTAGTGAAGCAAGCAGGGAAGGCATGGCAGGCTGGAGCAAAAAAAGTGAGTATTCTATCTCTAAACATCTGTTGTTTCAGACTTGCACTCTGCTAGGCATCAAAAAAGTGAAAGGCAAGCTCTCAAGACATCCAAGACCTACCTGAAGGTCAATTGCATGGGCCACCTCCCCCACCAGGTGATTGCATCCACCAGATACCCAATGATCCACAGATGCCTGAGGACGAGTGACTCCATCTCCACCCCAAGGAACCAGCAAACTTCCTTAAGTTGTCCATGGCTATTCATATCCTCATCAAGCATACCATCACCAACCATGACATCAACACTGCTGATAACTTACTGTGAGAGTACAACATAGAATTGATTAAGGTTTGTCACCACTACATAGCACTGACTCCAAGCCTGACATACCTCTACAGCTTTATGGATCCACTGTCATGAAACTGAATCACCACTATGTGACACATGTTGGTGATTGCACCTGCAACTTTGGTCCCCTTCACAACTTCTGGACATTCCTTTTTGAATGCCTCAACAAGATCTTGAAATCCTTTAAAGCCAACAACCATGCAAACAGTGAACTGGAAACCACATTTTTTAAGGAGTTTCACAGAACTTGTGAGACTTCCAGAGTTGTAAGTCCAATTGCTTAAGCACTCGCTATCCTACTGACTATATAATCAGATATATACAATGCATACCAACCCAGTGAAGTTGCTCCAATTGGAGGCTGCCCAAATCATGCAGAAGGTTACGCACAAAGAGTGTGGCACCATTGCTAGGCTTGTGGCCCTCTCTCAGGGACTTGACAAAATCAGCATGGATGGTATGGTGATGTTCACTTGTATATATGATCAATTGACTGCTATGACTGTGTGTCGCACAGTAGGGATGGCTTACACACTAAGTCCTCACCATCATGAGAATAGTTTCTCATTCAAAACCTATTGTTTACTCACTCACACTCTGAACACCCACTTTCCACATTCCCCTGTGCACTGTCAACACAAACAACCAACCTCACATGACAGCATTCCTCTCAACCACAAAGGACTATTCTATGACTATGTTATAATCAAAGGCAAGTGAATTCATGCTTCAAAAGCAATTGGGACACACTCGTCATCACTCATTCATGTCATGATACCAGGTCAACTACCCATGCACATATACAGTGAAATTCTCGAGATTTTCCAGGTTGATCAACACCTGCTCAAAGGTAAACATAGCCTGTGGTTGGCCCAGATGCGATGGTTCAAGCCATATGAGGGGGATCGAGTGATGATCTGGGATGAATTGTAAGTTCTTTTCTATGACCCATTATTACCCCACTGACTGTCTTAAGTTCTACTCTAGGTGTTCGCTTATGGGAACTTGGAGAGTATCAAGTGCAAGAATTGCCACTCTCATCACTCATTGACTTAGACTGGATCAAGAATTTGGTGGCCATGACAATTGTAATACTTGGAGAGAACCAGCAAAAGGTCTGGGCAATGGTAGACCTTGCAAAGGTGTGCCAGGTCACAAATTTACTAACACCAGACTTGCCATTGAACAACTACATAGTGACAGGGCTTTTAACTCATTACATGTATGCACTTCATGGATTAGACACATCAGCAGTAAAGTAGTGGTATTGACACATCAATGGAGCCTCTTGGATTCATTTAGACCATTACCCTGGCAAGTGAACAATGTGGTGAAGGTTTTCAGGTCTCAACCATCTTGTCTTCTGATTCTGATGACATGCACATCCCCACTTCAAGCCATTCCTTCAGCTCTTTGAGGTAGGTGGCATCTGCATTGAAAATTTCCCCTTGCCTAAGCATCGAATAGAATCCTTTCAGCCAGTCAACACCCTCAACCACCTCCATGTCTGGATTCTTAGCTCACCATGTTTCATCTACCATTGACTTGAAGATCATAGCTTTGGGCTGTGATGGATTATGATTTAAATGTTTTGGGGAAACATCAAAGACACATTTATGGAACTTCTTGGTCATCTTGCAATGCTTGCACTGCAGTTTGTCATCTGTATTTCTCATGCTGCTACTAGAGGGCTTGCTGACATCTTGCTGTTGTTTCAAGGCATGGAAACTTAGCCAGTGAAGGAACATGATGTACTATTGAACCAAGGCCCTCAGTGAGTGATGGTTTTGTAGCACACAAGTTGGCAACTTACATCAATAGATTGCCAAGCATGACCTATGACTTTGTTTGCAGATTTCCCAACCTCTGCAAGCTTTCTTCTTTCCAAAGTATCCTCACTGATGTCACTGTCATTACAGGTGAGAATGTCAGACCTGAGGTCTGTCTCAATAAGGGCCACTGCACCCTTGTGGCCAGAATCTTGTTTGTATTGCAATGCTGCCTTGTGTTGAACTGCAGCGACCTAAGAGCTTGTGAAGGGCATTAGCTAACCAGGTGAGTCTTGCAGCTTACTGTGGAACGTTGGGCATGCTGCCAACCATATTCCAGCTGTTGTCTGGCCTTGTGCATGCCCTGCTCTGTTTGGAGCATGCTAGCTCTTTTATGGATGCTCCAGAAATAGGTTTTAGTGCACTCAGTTATTATCAGGAGTTGAACAACTTGTCTGGGATATTCTTGACTTGGGTCAGCTCCCTCTGGCTCTGTTACCCTGCTGGTGAGTACCCACAAACATTGTTGAATGACAGTACTGCTACCTTTTCATTGTTATAGACATGCTCAGCAACCTCTTCAATGAATTTAGCATTTAGCTTGTTGCCCTGCCCAAGCCAATTGGGGTGCCAGATCTCAACCCCTTCAGTGGTAAGTTCCAAGGGTTCTCCATTATCAAGAGGTTTGACAGCAGCTAGCACTGCCACATGAACTTTCTTGCTATGGCTACAGTCAATTCCACATAATTGGCAGAACAGCAGCTGGATAATAGACTTGTAATGGGAATTAAGAATGTCTGGTGAGTGCATCCAACAAGTAGCATGGCATACTGACATACCTTTACAGCCATATGATCATTGGAACTTGTCCTTGATGAGGCTTGCTTCAGGGCCACTTCACCTCTCTCTTGAAGTTCTGCAAAGCTCTGTTCAAGAGCATCAAGGTGAGAAGTCACCATTTTGTTGTCTTCTCTCAGTCTGGTAAGTTCTTCTTTGAGATTCATCTTCCCTTCAGTAAGGTTTCTGATATCAACCATTATCTGTGCAACTGTCACTTGCAAGCTGTGCATTGGCTCACAATCATAACTGTGCAGGTCTGGCACAAAGGACCCACTTCTAGAATGATTTGGCATGTACATATGGGAATGGCCTTGCACAAGAACCTCACCATGTCCATGGCTATTCGACTGGCTATGAACAGACCTACTGGAATAGACTGGCATAGTACATTTGTGTCCATTTACATCCCCCTGGTAAGGCTTATAGCTGATTGGTTGGTTGGGCTGACTCCCTCCTAGATAGGGATAGGGCAGGGCTTCAGTGTGGATCAACAGGACTGGTCATCTCCACATCATGGAACTGATGCTGGAAGGAAAATGAGGGTGTGAATAGCTACAGAGGTAAGGCAAGGTGTGTGGCTATTCAGACAGGAAATCTGTACTGACTGGTGGTCAGTCATTCTGTTGAGCAGGAGTACTAGTTGCAAACAGATCCAGCATGTGCCTGCTCATATTCACTGATGGTCTGTCACTTTGACTAGGAGGTGTGAATGGATCATCTGGATGGCCAGGGGGGACATTAGAGTGCCCCAGCACATGCCCACTTGGACATGCCTGAGAGTACATCTGTCTATGGCATGGAAGATGTGTTCATATGTGCTGGATTCAGATGAGGGGGCTGGGGAGCAGTGAGCAAGGGTGGCACCCAGGGGGGGTGACCATTTTTGAAGCACACCATGTAGTAGGCACTCTGGATATAATCTGATCTTATTATTCTGAATAGTGCAAGTGAAGATGGCAAGGATTGATGTGATTTATATGACACAACTTATGTACATATCCTATAATTGCAAGTGTAATCTGCTTAAAATATAGTTGATGCATGTTGGAATTGTCATGACAATAAGTTTGCAAATCTGACCAGATTACACTTCGAAACAAGAACACCTCATGATGATTCTCAGACATATTATTAGCATTTACTACTCTTAGGATATAGTATGACTATGGCCTATCACCCAACTATCACCACACCTGATTAAAATCCCATTTCTGCAGTGATTGCTGGCCCCTCAAGCTCAAGTCATACTACAAAGACTAGGTGGCCTCCACTGCCGAGCATATACTATGTACTTATCAGAAGTGGTGGAGAAACTGTATCTTGTCACATCAGGAAAATAACACTTTACTATTTTTGACTTTTTGTGACTAATGTGACTTTTTGGGAAGGAATCTACTATCATTACCCATGCCCTGCAGGCATGGCTGCACTTTTCTTGCTGATTTTGGCCTTGTTCAAACCACCTAATTCATAGCTTTCAGTAGATACCACATACATTCAAATTGATGGAGGTTCCAAAGAGATATTGTGACTTTTCTCTCAGACAGTGTGCATCACACCAATGGCTCAATATCTCTGAATTTTCAGACATTTTCTAGTCTTCTTGGCTTAGATATATCATCACTTAGTTGTCTTAATAGATTCTGTTCTCTTTTCATTCTTCAAAATGCTGTATATGGTCAAAAAAAAAAGTACAGATAGTAGGTTCCTTCCCAAAAAGTCACAAATAGTCACAATAGTCACGAAGGAGTCAAAAAAAAGTCACAAAAAGGTCAAAAATAGTAAAGTGTTAATTTCCTGATGCAGCATTATTTCAATGAAGTTGCTCAAGCTCAAATGAAAAGCATGCAGTTCTCGAGAACCGAAGCACCATCCACGCAGCTGCTGTAATTCTAGCCTATAGTTGCCTTGACTCGTTGCCAACTTGCATGTGCAAGAGTGTTGATGATTTATTAGCTGACTAGCAGCCCATGTGTCTAGGGGGTGTTGATTACATCAGCAGATTAGATGGCATAGTTGAGACCCTGTGCCCAACGTCTTCGTCGTTCTCTCCGATCTCTTGCATTTCGTGCACTGTCGTCGGCGCTGTTTTCTTCTCATCTACTCACGTCATTATCTGTTGATAGTGCCGTACTATTGCAGCTATGGAGGTATGTCGACACACTCCACTGACAATCACGACCTGTGTTCAAACCAACATCAGGGCCTACTTGACTTCTCCAGGGAATTCGATGTCTCCCTGTTAGACAAGGTTGCTCTTGCATTTTACACAGGAGGTGGCCAGGAGGTCTGTCCTCATCGTATTCTTCGATCCATCGTATATGATACTAACTCGCCGGTCATCCGCTTCCAGCAACAAATGGCACAGCAAGTGCTCACGCAATTCGAGGAGCATCCAGACGCCTGGACGAGAGTTCCAGATATTATGGAGAGATCAACTTTCCCCCAATCGAAGGTAAACACCTATTCCTAGGACTGTGAACAGTGCGATAACCGACTCTCGACAGTACATCGGCCTCCAGATCCTAGAGAGGCTCATTACGACGCGGTGGAAGACGCTCCCCGATGGTCAGCGTCAAGGTATACCGAATTGTTAAATGGATTACGCGCGTTCGCGCTTATTCCCCCGCTTCCAGGCATCCGAAACTTTGTTGTTGGTGTAACAGTGAAAGTGGCATCAGATGAAGCAACTATGCGGAAGGAGAAGACTTATCTCAACAAGCTCAATCTAGCCCTCGTTCAGGTGATTGAAACAGATAAACTCAGCAATGTTGCGGTTCTCTCACTGTTCTTCGCAGATCCTCAAGCAGGAATGGCCCCACAACTGGCCAACATTCATCACGGAACTCGTCGAGTCCTCTAAAACTAACCTTTCTCTCTGCGAGAACAACATGGTCATCTTGCGGCTCCTTTCTGAGGAAGTGTTCGACTATTCGGCCGAGCAGCTGACACAAACGAAAATTAAGAACCTCAAAAATCAGATGTGTGGCGAGTTTAGCGAGATCTTCAAGTTGTGTTCCGAGGTCCTAGAAGAAGCACAGAAGACCAGCTTGATAAGGGCCACTCTGGAAACCCTTCTGAGGTTCTTGAACTGGATACCATTGGGTTACATCTTCGAAACCACCATAATTGATCTGCTGCTTAACCGTGTATGTGTTTGTATAGTTTCAACGTTCTCACCATACTGAATGGACCCAGTTCCTCGAAGCCCCTGATTTCCGCAACGTGACTTTGAAATGCTTGGCCGAGATAGCAGGTCTGAATGTTGGTCCAGAGTATGACCCCAAGTTCGTAATCTTGTTCGCCATGGTCATGACGTCCGTGAACCGCATGATCCCACCGTCGACAAACATCGCCGCTGCATACGCAACAACGTCAGATGCTGGTCAAGAACTCGTCCTCAACCTTGCGCTGTTCCTCTGTAACTTCCTCTCGAACCATTTGCGCGCCGTCGAAACAGAAGCGAACCGTGATGTCCTTCTCAACGCCCATTTGTATATGGTCAAAATATCCCAAGTCGAGGAACGAGAGATTTTCAAGATTACACTCGAATATTGGTCGAAGCTTGTCGCGGAGTTGTACGATGAGATGCAATCACTTCCTATTGGTGACAGCGGTCTTCTTATGGGCTTGACCCTCGGGAACGGTAGTGGAAACATGCTCAACGGCATGAATCTGCGGAAAAATATCTACAGTGACGTCTTGAGCAACTTGCGTCTCGTCGTCATCGAAAGGATGGTCAAGCCAGAGGAGGCGTGTATCTCAATGTTTACTTTGGGAATTCTTGCTTATCGAACAACAGGTACTCATTGTTGAGAATGACGAAGGGGAGATCGTGCGAGAGTTCATGAAAGAGTCGGACACGATCGTCTTGTATAAACAAATGCGAGAGCTCCTCGTCTATCTCACTCACCTGGACGTCGTCGACACGGAGAATATCCTGACCGAAAAGCTCGCCAAACAAGTCGATGGCTCAGAATGGAGCTGGCAAAACTTGAACACCCTTTGTTGGGCCATTGGTAGTATCTCTGGAGCGATGAGTAAGTTGTGAATTTCAATGTCCCGGTGGATACTCAGCCAAGTATTTTTAGACGAAGAGACAGAGAAACGCTTCCTTGTGACCGTCATCAAAGACTTGCTTGGCCTTTGCGAGATCAAGCGAGGGAAAGACAACAAAGCAGTAGTTGCCTCGGACATCATGTACATCGTCGGACAATATCCACGGTTCCTCAAGGCCCATTGGAAATTCCTAAAGACTGTCGTCAATAAGCTCTTCGAATTCATGCACGAAACCCACGAAGGTGAAGTTAGGTTTGATTTACGAATTGCGGACCGCTAAAAACCTTCCGCAGGAGTGCAAGACATGGCATGTGATACGTTCATCAAGATCGCACAAAAGTGCCGTAGACACTTCGTGATGCAGCAATCCGGGGAACAAGAGCCGTTTATCGACGAAATATTGCGGCTATTGCACAGAATCACTGTCGACCTTTCACCACAACAAGTGCGTTGACGCGGAGTCAGGCGTACCTTAATTCTGATCGAATTTGACGCAGGTGCACACGTTTTATGAAGCTGTCGGACACATGATTTCTGCTCAGCCTAACAAGCCGCAGCAGGAAAAGTTGATCACGAAGTTGATGGAACTTCCAAACAGTGCTGCAAGTAGCCATCCATCATAACTCTATATCTTTTCTGACTTGAGCTTTGAAGTGGGATTCTCTCATGGCTCAAGCTGCGCAGAACATAGATGTATTGAGCAACTTGGACAACATGAAAATTTTGTCAAACGTCCTCAAGACCAATGTTTCGGCATGCACATCTATTGGCAGTTTCTACCTACCTCAAATTGGCCGCATATTCCTTGACATGCTGGGCTTGTATAAAGCTGTGAGCGGCATCATCAGTGAAACGGTTGCGCGAGAAGGTTGGTTGTCGCTTTCCTCGCTTCGAAAAGTGAACAGAACTAGTTGAACAGGAACAATTGCGACGAAGACGCCAAAAATTCGGCAGCTGCGCACAGTCAAGAAGGAAATCCTGAAGTTGATGGAGACCTACATTAAGAAGGCAGAAGATTTGGAGGCCGTCAATACGAACTTCATGCCACCACTACTGGACGCTATCCTTGGTGACTACAACCGCAATGTACCTACCGCCCGTGATGCAGAAGTCCTCAATGTGATGGCAACCATTACTGCTCGTCTCGGTGTACGTTATGTTTTGAAGTCGTGCTGCTCATATTTCTCAGGGTTCCCTTGCAGCCTCTGCTTACCCCCCAAGTACCTGCCATTCTCGACGCCGTCTTTGAACCTACCCTCAATATGATCAACCAAGATTTTGCTGAATTCCCGGAACATCGTGTTGGCTTCTTCAAGTTGCTGAGGGCTATCAACCTCAACTGCTTCCCAGGTATATTTGCAGTACTTATTGTCACGTCTTGCTGACTCCGCCTTAGCGCTTCTCACAATACCACCCACGCAGTTTAAACTATTCATGGACAGCATTATCTGGGCTATCAAGCATACCATGCGGGATATTTCGGATACTGGGTTGAATTGTGCGTCTTCCTTATATCTGTCCAGCTATTTACTCTTGATACCGCGGCAGTGTGTTTGGAGGTCGTCAATAATTTTGCCGGTGCGGAACCGGCTGTGAGCAGCGCCTTCTTCCAGCAATACTTCCTCAGCATCCTACAAGACATATTCTTCGTTTTGACTGATGCAGACCACAAGAGCGGCTTCAAACTCCAAAGCTTAGTGCTTGCACGACTATTCCAACTCGTAGAGACGAATCAAATCTTGTCACCGTTGTTTGACCCCGCGCAAATCTCTGAGCCTGGCGTCACAAATTCCATCTTCCTCAAACAGTATTGCGCCAACCTACTGAAGACCGCTTTCCCTCATATGCACAAGTGAGCACACCGACTCTTCTAATATCTGGATGCGGTTGACTGATTACCTTTGTCCAGCACCCAAATACAAATCTTCGTCACGGGGCTTGGGGAGTTCCACAGTGACATCAACAGGTTCAAGCTTGCACTGCGTGACTTCCTTATCCAACTCAAAGAATTTTCATCGGGCGATAATGCAGAACTCTACCTCGAGGAACGGGAGGACGAGGCCCAAAGGAAAGCCGAGGCAGAAAGGGAGTTCGCGATGCGCATTCCCGGTATGCTGAAGCCGTCGCAGTTGGAGGACAAGGACGAGGACATCTCATAGGGAGTTATCGCAGCAACTATATTTTTCTCTTTGTTTATCGAGTCCTATGCCGGGCTTGCATTCCACATATCTCTTTTTTTTTCCGAGTGTGAACCGATCATCATGCTACAGTCACTTTTTTTCAGCAACTCACTCTGCTATCGACCTTGTCTTTGCCCATAGCCTGACATATAATGTATTAGTATAGGTTGAGAAGCACATATACAGTAATACAGATCGATGGTGGGACGTTTGTACTGTGACCATACATTAGGTCGTAAAATAAGTTCTTGATACGACCACCATGTTCAACAAGTGATCAGTCTCAAATCTCTTTCCTGTATAGCGCTCATGACTCCCCAGGTTTTCACCGTCTACTGACGTGACGGGCCAAACACCTCCCAAATCTTCTGTACAGCGATCCATCAGAGCAGCCATACTCTCGCAATGCAAGATAGGAGCCGAAACACTCGAGCAGATATGGCCGAAGAAGGAGTCGTTGATCCACGTTAAATGGTGCGATTCCACCTCCTCGTTGAATCTTTTCTTTACGACAGCCTTTGCGACAAGATAGCAGAAACCATATCTCGATATACACTATCCATGGCGAACCACTGTTTTTCCAACAATCAGACGGGCCGATCTACCCTACCCTACGACTACTTCACAAGTGTAAGTAAAAAATTCAAAGCGCCTCCGTATACTGGGTCACCGACTCTATTTACCTATAGATCCGTTTATACTGCCCAGGGTAGGCATTGATCGGGGGGCGATACGTTTCCTTCTATCCGGTGCCAATATGATGTGCCCTGGTTTAACATCTGCTGGAGGTTATCTTCCACCGCCGGAGAATGCTCTGCCTGCAGGGACGCCTGTGGCTGTCTTCGCTGAGGGAAAGGAACATGCGGTCGCTGTTGGAATCACGAAGCTGGGAACCGAAGAAATGCGGAAGGTCAATAAGGACATTGGGGTGGAGATCGTAACACATTTGGGTGATGAGTTATGGAATCAGCAGACGTTGTAGGGACCTGTACTACTCCACATTTCATCAAACCAGTAGGCTTGTAAACCAAAGACTCGATGGAAGACAATCGACTTCGCATCTGCAAGCATGTACCGGCATAAATCTTCACCAGTTTGCTATTAAAGGTCTCCGAAACTTCTTGGCTTCTGCCATTACGCTGCAAGTCATCTCCTTACTATGCAGAGCGATAAATTTGCATACGAGCCGTTTATTCGCGTCAATCCGCGGAAGAAGCGGAGGGGAAAGGCTAACAAGGAGACCCTGTCCCCCTTGGATCTCTTGAGACGGACAAAGGAGGATCTTTCTACTGATGGGACTTGGGTATCGGATTGCGAGGGTAAGCCTGTCAGACCCTTCACATCAAAACACGGATAACATTTCATTCCGCTCCATTATTGCGGCAGAGCGATTAAGGTTTGCATTTTGTGATATGTGCATCAAGCCCCGCAAGGTCCTCTGTCTCGGCCTTGGCAGCCCAGCTGGGTCGCGGGACGCCCGAGCGCAGCTCGCTCTGTTGAGCCGACTGTGCTCCTTCGCAGATATAGTGCGTAGACGAACAGTTCCCACCCGACTGGGGCCACAGGTTCACGGAGCCGTTCTGCGGGCTGAACCATTTTAGGGCCTGATGAACGTTTCCCTATACGATCCAGTATTCACGGGTGCAGATGTGGAGCTTTTCCGGGTCCTCGGAATGCAGTGTTTTAACGACAGGAAGGTGAATGCGTCCCTTTTTTTCATAGGAGCCACCGCCGCTGACTTTTGGCATTTTGTTGAAGGACGTGCAGCATTCACTAGACTGTCCAACGATACTTTATATGCCACATTGTGACTTGGTGCTATACGAAATGGTCCTCCGCACTAACTGGTCACGCGAGCGCTTGTGTAGCATGGTGCTGGTCGCCAATAATTTCTATGATTATTTTGAGCAGTGCGCCTTTCCTGCCATTTCATGGCATGTCATCTGACCAAACTTATTCGGTACAGTAATGCCATCTCCAAGCTTGAAGTGGAGTCCCCGTGTTTAGCGCGCTTAGGTGCGTTGTTGTAGAAGGACTTCAGATTCCATGTCCTCATGAGGCTGCGACCAAACCACAGCACCTATCGTCGAATCTTGTCCACTTCCCGTATCAGAATCATTCCCCACGGCATTCAACAACCTTTCAGTGCAGTACGTGAAGAGATCGACATTGCCAGGTGACAACGCTTTCTGGGAATTACCCCCCTTGTAGTGCGAAGGCCAACACCCGCCGTTGGATTGAATGAAATACCGTCGTTGAATACCGCAGGTGCTGTATAATGTATAGGTCTATCTATCTACCTAGTATGCGCAAGTAGCTGTGGACTGCTGGATGAATCAAAGGAACAGGATCGACGTTTCTTCTCTACTGGTCAACAGAAGTACTGGTATCGCAGTATACTGACTGGCGCCTGCGCAAGCGGTAATGCATGACCAGCTCCGAAGAATGTCTCCAAAAGTAGTGCCGCACAGCACCCAATGTCATGTTCAGTGGAAGCACCGAGTCGTTACATAAGATCTCGTAGACTTCCTCAGCCCTAGCTCGATGCTGCCTGTTAGGAGCCATTAGTTCTAGATGCGAGAAGGACATTGCTGGCGACCCGGGCGACCCGGGCGGCCCCGAAAGCTTCTCCAATTTTTCTTGCACCTAGGTGGACAGTGAGTAAACCGACAAGAAAAACAATGGACTTCTAACACATACGTGGTGGGTCAACTTCCTCACTCTGAGAAATCTGCTCGCAGTCAGCTTCGAATGTGCGCTATCCCAGTCATTTGTTGGTAGGTCCTCAGTACATAGGGCCGTTAGAGGTCAGACCAAACACGTACGTGTTCAAAAGTTCTGGTAATTGTACACCCCCGGGCTCCGGATTAGGCCAGGGCAGGAGGACGAAGCTGAGCTTGATGTTAGGTGGTGGCGGCGCCCGATTCATCAGGAGGTATTCCAGCAACCAGAGAGGCAATGCCTCCTCTAGTGCATACGTATCGGACATGTTTGAGACACTCGCCCTATAAATGGTCCTCCACCCAGGATAATATTCGTCACATATCATAACAGTTATACTTGGGGGTAAAGCGAGTGTCGGCACTTCACTAGATGACGGGGGTGAGATGGCGTTTGAGAGGAGGATTTGTGCAGGTGTCCTGGTCATCTTCGTCTCGTGCTCCTACGGGGAAGCGTTACCAACGGGTACTCACTGACACAACTACTGATATTACCTCAGGAAGGGTCGAGACGTCCTTCAGACTCCCAGCGCCCCCCGCTACCGGGGAACCTGGGGTGGCCTCAGCAACCGACCTTCGGCCAGGCGCCTTACCAAAGTTTTTGAACAGGCCCATGAAACCTCCCGTACTCGGAGTGCCAGGAGTGGCCGATGTTGGACTGTCGGCGCCCACTTTCGTAGGACTGCTTGGGTCGTTGCTACCAGGTAATTCACCCCCAGCTACTGCAACATTCGCAGCGGATGGTTGCTGGGAGCGGAAAGTGAAGTAATCACTGTCGTGAGAAGCAGTGTACGGTGGTGGTGCGTCGAGACCGTGAGTTCGAATGGGCATCGGAGTTCGATCGTTGGATGAAGCATGTGTTCGAGTGATGGGCACCTGGGATTGACCAGTATTAGAGGTGGACAAAGGAATCATGGGTGGTAATAGTGGTAAAACCTTCGTGGCTGCTGGTACGGAAGGAAGAATGGCTGGCGTGGCGTGTGGCGATGTAAAGACTACAGTGCTGATAGCTGTGCGAGTGGATGACCGACTTGAGACCTCTGAAGTGGAGCGCCTCCCGGTAGAACTCGATGCATCATGGTGAATGTCCATATGCGTGGGCGCCAGATCACGATGCAGATTGGTATGAGTGATCAGGTTTGAGTCAGAAACGCTGCCCTCCCGCCTCCTTCGAATTCGCTGCTCTTCTCGAATGAACCCAAGGAACAAGTTGCGCAGTACCCACTTCCCTATATTAACTACAAGACATAAAACACACGTACTCTGTTAGCATCGGCAGCGGAGAGTCCGAGGGGAAACTCAGCTCACTCCTTTGTTCGTCACCAAGATGTTTGGGTTCAAAACCCGCTTCATCAGCATAAATTTCAGCATCGAAACACCTCTCGTTGAGGTGAACTGTAAGTACGCCAGCTTTAGTGTCCACAGATGACCAAGATGAGATGACAGCTTCTCCCTCAATTCGTTCTCGGACAACTTCGAGCGCTTCTCTGGGGCTTATATCCTTCTCTCCAAATGCGCTTTCGCTCCCTTTCGAACGTGCACTGCCCTTCGCACTTCCACACCGACTGGCAGCTCGAACGTCTTCCTTGGTGTACTTCCCACAACAGATACCGCGCACAATATCCCACACTGCAACTTCACCTTTCGTATCCACTGTCAGAGCGTGCATGCGATCATTGAGCAAGATCGCTCTCACGAGGCCGTGTGAACCTGGGATGACGGAGTCAGGAGCCGCATTGTATGGTTCAGCGTCGGGAGCTAGCTCGGGTATCTCGTGGAGTGGGCGATTGTCATGCGACAGATCATGATCCGTGTTTGATATCGAAGCCAAACTCTTCATGCTTCGTAGCGTGCTCGACGGCGGTACGACTGCGGAGGATTGCTGCAACGCTGTTCCGAACACGGATGGTCCCCCCGGAACAGACACAATGGAAGCAGCGGAGTAAAGAGTGGCTACCTCCGCATCACGAGCTTTCGTTACAAACGACGAAGGAGTGTAGGGCCCATTCGGTGAGGTAAGTTGAACCAAAGCTCCCCATGGGACCCCCGGGTACGACGACACTTTATCTCTGTGGCCTTTGGTGCCAAGTGAGTGGCAATCTGTTTACTGAAAGAAGGAACCTACCGTGATGGCGTGATGGCGAAGATGGTAACCAGGCCGAATCGGTTCCGAGCGAAACACGCTTCCTTCGTTTAGTGGTAGCTGAGGGATCGGGCGCTAGGTTTCCACTGCCTTCTACGGAGTGCTCATGAACACGATTGGGAAGCTTCCACCGGCTTACGGTAGAACTTCCACATGCGGTCCAGAGTAACCCGTCGTCGGCAGCGACAATTTTGTTAACACCGTCGCCAGTCTCGCCACAAGGGTCTCGCGAAAGGACAATGCATGCACCATCGGTGACATCTCCGCAGTCCTCCACATCTACCTTGCAAACGATGCCTGACTTATCTCCAGAGTAAAATACTTCCAATGATGGGTGTGAAGAGTGTAGGGCCCAAACAGAGTCTGTGTGATACGTAAAAGTGTACAAGCAGCGCTGAGAAGCAAGTGACCAAAGCTTGATGGAAGCTTCCGGAGGTTGAGTAGAGAGCGAGTAGAAGTCACCAGGGGACCTACCATCTGCAGAGCCTGTGAGGAGCTGAATTAATGTTGTTAGAGGTAACGTCCTGGAGAGAGATCTGGCGGTCATACATATCTCGCATCTTCGGATATTAATATTGCACGAATATTCTCCGTATGTCCAACGAGTTTCCCTACGCGCTTCCCTGAACGGGAATCCCACATCCGGACGACGCGTTCGGGAGAACCGCTGGCAACGATGTGGCCATAAGGGTCTACCGCCAGAGAGTACACAGATGCCTTGGACACAGCTGGGTCAGGCGGATTCAACGTCAGGAGGGGTTCCGGTGCGGATGATGTACGGGTGAGGTCCCAAAGTTTGATGGTCCGGTCAAACGATCCCGATGCAACCCAATTCCGTTCACGACTATGACAGGGGGAGGAGAATTCAGGAATCGACAAAAAGACTCTCGTTCGGGTCACCTTAACGCGAGACAACGGACATAGTCCGCGTGAAAGCCGATAGTTGAAGGTTCTGTGAACGTGTCCGCGTGGGGGCTCCATGATTTCACGGTCCCGTCGGACGATGCGGAAATGACTACGGCAGGGCAAGTCAGAGTGGGGAAACAGGTAATAATTATACACGTGAGGGGACGAGACCTAGTTGGTTGTAATTACACAGAAGGATGTCGTTGATCCAATCTGTGTGCAATTGGACGCACTGTCGGAACTGAGGCCGCTGTGATCATTGGGTTTGATTGGGAGTGGAAGAGGGCTGACAGGAATTAGCGTGCATACCGAGGGAAATTCGTGTGCGTCCATATCAAGTTCCCATTGATGCTCGTACGGCATTTCTCCGCCCTTGTTGCGCCTGTCCTTCCACCTCCTTGCTCCGCTCTCCTTTACATCCCCCAATACGTCACCATCACGGCGTTCTTCTTCTTCTTCTTCCGCATCGTCGTCCCAAGTTTCATCTACCATGCTAGTCAACCGTTCCCACCTGTTAGGATGCCCATGGGGCTGAGCGTGCCTCTTTCTGTATGGGAGACCCAAGTCCCAGGAGATGACCTGACCGTCTCGACTGCCTGTGTATAGTATGCCTTCTGGTGCGGCTCGCTGTTCCAGCTGAGTGGTTGAGTCGAGTGCGAGGGCCATGACGCCGAGCCTGTGTCTTGGATGAGGGTCGTGGACTGACTGGTCGTCGGGACATTCTGGGGGGAGCTGTGAAGGGATGATGAGAGGCTGTGGCGAGCCATGTCGAGAAACGCCGATGGGAGGTAGTTTCAGGCGTGGCACTGGGTCTGCTGAGGGTGATATGACATAGGATATCCGACGTCTTGGGGGTGACATATTAGTGGGACTCTAATGCGTATCAGATATTGTGTGTACCCGCAGTGGGATGCCCGACGGCGTACCCGACATTTCCCGATAAGGAAATCCATTATGTCAGCCATGCTGATCTTTCCTCTCGACACTACTAAACGGCAAGCACTGAAACGACATGTTCCAACGCGATCCAAGGGCTGGCGCATTCCTGGGCGGGGACAGAGTTTCTGGCCAGGACATCCGAGATCAGAATGGCGAGAAAACATAATCTTGGTTCCGTCCAAGTCGGTCTGATCTTTAATCAATAGTGACTGCTGCACTGTCCATTGCAAACATCGTCAAGAGCTCGCTGGGCCCCTTGGGTCTAGACAAGATGCTCGTTGACAACATCGGGGTATACAACTCCACTCCACTCTATGCACAGATCGATGCTCACTACCCATTAGGAAGTCACCATCTCGAACGACGGTGCCACGATCCTCTCCCTGCTGTCAGTCGAACACCCTGCAGGGAAGGTCTTCATCGATCTCGCACAAAAACAGGACAAGGAAGTCGGCGATGGCACAACATCCGTAGTCATTATTGCTGCAGAACTGCTCAGACGCGCCAATGAACTCGTCAAGGCAAAGATTCACCCCACAACTATCATTACTGGCTATCGGCTCGCTTGCAAGGAAGCTGTCCGGTTCATGCAAGACAATTTGAGTGTCAAGGTCGACGCACTAGGACGTGACGCGTTGACCAATGCTGCAAAAACAAGCATGTCAAGCAAGATCCTCGCAAAGTACGTGTCACCAGTACTCCTCTTGCCCAGAGCCTGTCGATAATCTGTTTTTTTTTTCCTTAGCGACGACGATTTATTTGCACCCATGGCTGTCGACGCCATGCTTTCCGTCAGGTCCATCAACCCGCGCGGTGACATCAAGTACCCAGTCAAGGCCGTGAACGTGTTGAAAGCCCACGGAAAGAGTGCAAGGGAGTCTTTGTTTGTCCAAGGATACGCACTTAACTGTACAGTTGCAAGTCAAGGTGCATATATGCCCATATGATGCGTCTTCCAACTGACATATCATCCAAGCCATGAAAAAACGCATCTCCAACGCCAAAATTGCTTGTCTTGATATAAATCTTCAAAAAACTCGCATGCAACTTGGCATTCAGATACTCGTAGATGACCCGGAGCAACTAGAGGAAATCAGGAAGAGGTATGATCTTTCTCGTAAACTACAGCTCTTCCTAAATCTATGCAGGGAAGCAGAGATTACCTTAGAACGCATCCGCAAAATACTGGCAGCGGGAGCGAATGTCGTGCTGACCACCAAGGGTATTGACGATCTATGCCTAAAGGAATTTGTGGAGGCAGGCGCAATGGCAGTACGTCGTTGCCGCAAGGAGGACTTGCGTCGCATCGCCAAGGCCACGGGAGGCACCCTGGTTTCAAGCCTAGCCAACCTGGAGGGAGAGGAGACGTATGAATCTAGCTACCTTGGCACGGCCGACGAGGTCGTCCAAGAACGCATCTCAGATGACGAACTGATCCTCATCAAAGGCACCAAGGTCGTCAATTCGGCATCCATCATTTTGCGTGGTGCAAATGACTACATGCTTGATGAGATGGAGAGAGCTCTACACGACTCTCTGTCAATCATCAAGCGAACACTGGAGAGTGGCTCTGTCGTTCCTGGCGGTGGTGCTGTCGAATCTGCGCTCAGCGTATATTTAGAAAACTTTGCGACTACTCTGGTATGTTCGCTTCAGAATGCACGTTTCGAGTATAAATCTAAGTGCGGTGTTTATATTAGGGCTCAAGGGAGCAGCTGGCGATTGCCGAGTTTGCCACTGCTTTGTTGACGATCCCAAAGCAACTCGCAGTGAATGCTGCCAAGGACTCGACAGAACTCGTCGCAAAACTCCGTTCATATCACAATGCGGCACAAAACGCCCCGGCCGGCGATCCGAAGAAGGCACTCCTGCGCTATGGACTTGACCTCTTGAATGGAGACGTCCGAGACAACGTTGCTGCTGGAGTACTCGAGCCGACACTGAGCAAAGTAAAGAGCTTAAAATCAGCATACGAGGCGGCCATCTCGCTGTTACGGATCGATGATGCAATTCAATGTGCACCAGGTACGTACGTCTTTGTTGGAATATGCGGCGAACTGATTAGCACCCCATTCCTTTCAGAACCCAAACCAGAGCCAGATGCACACGGTCACTAATTCTCTTTATCTACATCTACGCGTAACTTGTTAGTACATAGGAAAAACACTAAGTCACGTGATGTACAGCACGCGGTTGGTTTGCACTTCTGAGAACCCAGAGGCCGCTTGGCAAGCCCGTGTCGAGTTGAGTGAGTTTTCGTGTTCTCATACAACTTCGAGTTTCGTCAAGCCTTACTTCGACGACGGATTGATCTGTACGGTGACGGGTAGTTCTCTGATGTTGAACACTAGTCATGCAACAACTGAAGACTCGAAAGCCACCACGGACGCCTTCGTCGCGTCCTCCCCGCACATCGGGCAGCGTTTCCAATCGCTCATATGGACGTGTCTCGACTTTGAGCTCGTCCGATCCGCCCTGTTCTATGCCGAAAGATATTATGCCATGGACATGGACAGCCATGACGCACGCCACCTTTATGCTTCCGCGCTTCTCCGTTCGAAGCAGCCACATTCTGCGCTCAAGATCGTAAGCGACCCAAACGAACAAACCAATCGATGCAATGGGTGCTTGGAGATCAGAGCACAGTGCTGTTCAGCTCTAGGACGACATCGTCAGGCCCGCGAAGCTCTGGAGGCTCGTTTGCAGGACTTGAGCGACCTGCCGACATGTGGGTGATTATGAACCTTGAAGGGATATGCCTTTTTGTTCTAATGAATCGATGTGTAGCTACGACGAGCTCTCGCACTACCCGTGCTTTTTCAGAGGAAGCGGCGCTTCGATGTCGAGCTGGCACGTTCGCCATGAAGGGGAATGTGCCCGGGAAAGCTACTTCTAGCTTTTCGCAAGCGCTATCACTTGATCCGATGGTATGGGAGGCCTTTGAAGGACTTTGTTCCCTTGGTAACTACATTCATCTGTGCAGTCGTCTGATAATTTCGTAACTGGATATTGCCAGGGACTGCTCCTGAAGTCGACCAGATCTTCCCTCCTAAACCTATACCAACGAAGCGAACTGCTCCTGCAGAGCCACCGCCAATCAAGGTGCAACCAGGGCCCACTGCTGCTGGAGCTGAACTCTTCTTCCCCGACACCGGACGAAGTATTCTCCTTCGAACTCGTAAAAATGTCCCTCAGCCACTTCGAATGGAACTCCCGAATGGACCACGCGACTCTATGTAAGATTACTGTTCAGCTCTGATGTTTCGAGTCAGACGTTTATGCCGTTGTATTTGTCAGAGCTGCTAGTGATTCTTTCTTCCCCACTGACAATTCCTTCCTCCAACCCCCTGTGCGTCATAGTCGTGCAGAGAATGTTCCAGCAGGACCATCACACCCGCCTGTCCGGCCGCTTTCCTCGACAGATGAAACCGGTCCGGTACAGAAACGTTTGCGCCCCACAACTCGACAGCGAAGTATCGAAGCGACGAAAACCAAGTCATCGAAAGCCTTTGTAGACGAAACTCTGAAAAAGGCACGCGCCCGCCCGGCCTTGACATTTGCTAACATCTTCTCATCACCCAGTCGCCGTTCTCAGCCCATTCAGAACTCCAAGACGATTATTGGGACCGGAAAGAATGAGCGAACCGTCGGGAACATAGTCCTCGGTCCGCGGCGAAGCACGCGGTTGTTGAGCGGCACATCTAATAAAGCGTCTGGAAAAGTTGGTGTTTCCTGCGTGGGACTGTTGTTGACCCTGCGCGTATGCTCAAATCTTGTGTTCCGTAGCATCCACCAGTCCGAGAACGTCGCCGTCAGCTAACGACTTCAAGATCTCGTTCGGTCGAGACTGACCTCGACGATGATGCTATTATCGCCGCTGCCGAGGTTGCATCCTCCAACTCACCAGCTTCCGAGGCTTCCCCTGGGCCGAATAACTGGACCCTTGTAGATGAACAGGCAGCTCAAGAGACCTATGAAGTAGAATTGGCTGCCTACTACATCTACGATTTGGTGCGGCGTTTCGCCAAAGCCACGCGAGCTTTGTCGGTATATGATTGTTATACTTGTCTTACGGAGATTGGTCAGATGCCTGCTGTGCACCAGCAGTCATCGTGGGTACTGGCTATGGCAGGGCGAGCTTACTATGAGAGATTGGAGTATGCGTCTGTACGTAAACCACCTTCATGGTGTTTTATGTTCCGCGCGGCCATGAGACTGACTAAATACTGCTTGCGGCTTTTTAGGCTGAACGTGCGTTCAGGGCTGCTAGGGATCTCGAGCCTTATCGACTGGATGATATGGAAGTGTATTCAACTCTATTGTGGCACCTACAACGCAACGTGCACCTTTCATATCTGGCGCAGGAATTAATGAACATCGACGCGTGTTCGCCGCAGGCTTGGATTGCGACTGGAAACCTATTTTCCTTGCAGAAGGAACGTTCCCAGGCTTTGACATGTTTTCGTCGGGCGGCTGAGTTGGATCCCTGTTGTGCTTATGCATACACCTTGAGTGGGCATGAGTCTCTAGACGAAGATCTCGACAAAGCCATTTCATTTTTTCAAAGAGCTCTGCGTGCGGATCCTCGACATTACAATGCTTGGTACGTTAGTCCGGCAATGTATTTGACGCGCGGGCGCCATTGTGGCAGACTCGGCTGATTGGGTTTATGATAACCAGGTATGGCCTGGGCACATGCTATTTGCGCATGAGCAAAATCCGACTTGCTGAGTATCACTATCGTAAAGCGCTGGATATACATCCTCGAAACGCGGTGCTCCTCGGATGTGTTGGCATGGTGCGTGGCAGCAATCTCCCGTCGGGGAGATAAATGTCTTCTCTTGTTAACCGAGTGACTGAGCGTGACTCGTTACAGACGGTGGAGCGACGTGAAGATAAGGCTGCGGCACATTCTCTATTTGATCAGGCAGTACGGCTGGCGCCGGACAACGCCCTGGTTCGGTATAGAAGAGCGAAAATCCTTATCTCGATGAAGCGGTACAAGGTGCGGATACGCCCCAAGCGGTTATGGAAGATGACGTGTTCTTATATACACTCTTATCATGGGATTCGCAGGAGGCAGCTGAAGATTTGCACAAGCTGCGGGATTCGTCACCCGAAGAGTCGAATGTCGTGTTCCAGCTCGCAAAGGTGTACCGACTTATGGGTGATGAGGTCAGGGCAGCACAATGGCTCGCCATTGCACGTGACATGTCGCCCAAAAGCGTCAACAAATTGAAAAAGCTAATCGAGACGGTCAAGGGGGAGACAGGGGGAGACGACCAGATGGACGAGGGATGAGAAGCAGCTGCCATCGGAGAGACATGTGGTGCCATCATACGTACATACATATTTGTGCAGGAGGGTCATTGGAATGCCAGGATTACGATTACGTCGGTGGTGGATGTTTGGCATTGTTTGCCCCACGGCGAAGTGGCGAGTCACGTCGTTGGCCGGTAATAATAATTTCAAAAAGGACTATATACGCCCGGACGGCACCCTCCCGTTCCCCCCACACTTTGTTCCTCTTCCACCACCATGTCCACATAACATCGTCGACGCCGACCCTGACAGTGACAGCCGTCTCCCCCCGTCCCCCGCTCCGTCCCCTTGCCACACGGCAGCGTACTCCCGCCCTGAAGCATGGTCGACAAACTCGCCCGTCAATCCAACAACGGCACCATCCTCTTCGAACCCTTCATCGTATACCGCATACACCGGTGAAAAACACTCCCACACACCCGTATGTGTCTCCATGTTCCTCATAGGCCATCCATGTTGATATACCGTTGTCACGCGCCAGACGCCACACGTCCTTAGTCCTTCACAAAACTCTCCCCTTGTACATGTCTGCAGAAGCGTTCAGCTTGTTTACAATGGCCCGCAACAAGCTCCAGGCGGCCATTGGTGGAAAGGACACCTGCAATCTCCACCGCTGGGTACTCTTGAAAAATTCTGTCTTCCGCTTCCAACCATGTCCACCGCCACCTGCAGTGCCTAGCTCGACCAGTCCAAACGCTCTACCCGCTGAACATGACGAGGGTAAGGACGCGGACGAGAGTGAGGCAGAGGAAAACTATTCGTTCATGTTCCCAGATGCTAGTAACTTGGTTATTCGTGGCGCAACTGACATGCATTCCTCTGAAGCTGAATGGCTCGACTCTCTCCTAGAGTCCTTAGGCGACGAGGGAGACGATGAGTTTGGGTCAGACAGCGACACTCCCGGTGTCCCCGTCGAAGACGACGACGATTCACCGCTCAGTCCCCTTACCTCCCCTATGTCATCCTCTGACGACTTGCTGAACCAAAATGCTTACTATTCTCCTGCTATCGAGAACCCTTACCCTGTGCCATATCCACCGTTTCATCCCCCACTCGTTCGTCCTTGTCAACTTGGTCCCATCATTGAGTCTCCTGCTATTTCACCACCTTCTGCCTATGATGCCCTCCCTTACTATGATATCGACGAGTTAGATGATTTCCCGGAGGCTATAGAGGACGTTTCTGATGACGAGTCTGACGCGCCGTCCACGCCGTCGTTGTACCGCTCTTCGGAATTGTGCTTTGCACATCCAACTGACGTGCAGCTTCAAGGGGAACGTCGGCGGGCGAGCTCCCTTCCCCACGTGTATATTCGCACCACGGACTACTACTTCGACCGCTTTGAGCTTGACCCACTCCCATTTCCCGACGAAGACAACTTCTCATCGTATAATCCTGTCTATCAAGAGTGCTAGTTCTCTATGTCAATACTTTAATCTACCTTGTGCTGCCTGGCTCCATGCGGTTCGTTCTCGTGTGTATATTACATCCCCTCTGTTTTCCTTTGTGAAGTTTTCCAGGTAAATTAGCGGTTACATGTTCTTTCGACCATGTTGTGTTATCAGCCGATCTGAAATATAAACCAGGACTGGCAGCCTCGATTAACCTTAGTGATATTAGCTAAGTGGGTCTCAATCCTACATCGGTCGGCTTCGTAAGTTGCCTTATGAACTGGTGTGGTGGATCAAGTAATAACGCAATTATTGATAGTAAGTTCAAGAGGCCCTTCTACTGAGAAGGTCTTCCATTGATCCAGAGCAGTCGCCTGAACGCTCGAAGCACCGCTAAGGCACAAGGTCGTTTGTCAGGACACTCATTGAGCATACTTCTTGCGATGTGGAAAAGCTCTGGAATGCCGAACCCAGTTGCCTAGCATACAAAACAATGTTACCGCGGCAGACCAACAGCCAAGGGACAACACTCACTTCGCACGATCTGAGAATCAGCATGGCTAAAGCCCATATATCTACCATGTAGGGATCGCTCGCTTCTCCACGCTCAAGTTCGGGGGGAATTTCCGTCCCCCGAAGTGAGAAGACTTGAGGGCCATCGATGTCAAGCCTTCGGCTTAACTCATAGTCTATGCAAGCGTAATGACCGCGGTAGTCGGTAACGAAGTTGTATATGGAGATGTCGAAATGTACGATGCAATACCTATGCAAAAAGACGACGTGCTAGCACATGTCAGCTGAACGATATTCGCGGAAATACATCCATTCGCATTCACCTCAATGCATTGGTGGATAGCTGATAGGAATTCGTGCAGTGTGATTGGCAGATGGGATAGCAGGCATGAGGACCACTCTTCCATAACAACAAAGCAAATTCCGTCCGAGGGAACGTCGAGAAAATCAAGTATCGCTGCATAGATGGAGTTCCCCGTAGCCGCGACCATTAGGAGAAAGAGAGGAAACATGTCGCCTACGTATGCAATGATTCATGGGATCTCCGCGCAACGCTGGCGAGGATATGTATCGCGCAATATCCAGCTCTCTGCTGAGTGGATGGACGGCTTTGACTACCAGCTTCTTCCCATCTTTGTAGCGGGTGCCTCTGAAAAGATTGTCGGGCTGAGAGATCTCAGTATCAACTTCTACATACCACAGTGAGTGCCCACTTACCAAACCAGGATCTCCGCACAATGCGTCATCATCTTGCAATGCGCATGCGCGACGATATGCGGGGCTCATGCCACGCCTGTCATTATGGAGATAATAATCCTTGACATCTCGCGCGGTCTCGAGGTGATATCCATTACACTCGAAGATGCTCCGATATTTTGACCAGTCAGGCTTGAGGCGAGTGTTGGTTTGTTCTTCATCAAGAGACAACGTGGATGAAGAGGGAGATGATGGCGGGGAGCGGGGGGACCCGGAGTGCTCCTCGCGTGAGGGGAACATGGGAAGAGTCAACAAGATGCTACTGGAGGGTACAGAACGCCATAATATAGGCCCTACCCCTCAGGAAGTAGGAACAAGGGAAGTCGTTGCTGAAATGGGGAACGGGGAGAAACAGCCCATACCGGATATTACATTGGGATGAGACGAGCGAGTCCAAACCAGCATAGTTGCGGCACTGCAGCTTACCATAGGGGGCAAACAGCAGACACGGTTGTAAAGCTCGGGACGATAAAAACGACCGTTCGGAGGCTTTACTTCCCAGGCATGGGAGCGGGCAACACATATTCGTGCCCAGCTAGTGTCATTCTTCGGTAAGGGAAACCTTTTCTCTCGAGATCCAGGTGACGGATATGTACATGTGAGGTTGGTAGCTATACTACGCGGTGAATGGATGAGATGGTGTTTGCTATAAGTGGTGGCAGTGTTTCGGAAGATACGCGCAATACAATATTGAAACTCTGTGATCAAGATTACGATGGAGGAGGAGACAAGGGGCAAGAAATCAATATTCATAGGAGGGCTCGCCGAGGACGTGGACGAAGCTGTCATCTACGAGCATTTTTCACCCTTTGGTGCGTGCGTTCTTCCCGGTCCATCTCTATATAACATGTTCAACTTCAAACAGGAGACATCGTGGAAGTTCAGCTTCCCTCTGCTGCAACAAATCCAGCTCAAGAGGCGGGTAGGTCTATGCTACGACATTCGTCTGCGCACCATAAAACGCGTGATCATGTCGCTCTTTTGCAGATGTAAAACACCGTGGCTTCGCCTTTGTCACTTACGCTTCCGCCGCTGATGCTCAGGATGCAATCGACAATATGGACCTCAATGAACTACACGGAAAAGTTTTGAAGGTCAACCTCGCCAAGTCAGTGAAAGCCGCTATTCAGCCCGCACAAGGGAACAGAGCCAGTCCGTTTATGCCTCCCAGACGTGCTTACACATGTATACTGATTTTATGCCGCTGATAGTATGGGAGTCGGAAGAGTGGCTACGACAGCATGCCAAGCCGCTGGCACAAAGTGGAGGTCAGATTCAATACCTTGATATACTAGTCTTGCAAGTGTTCATGCTCATACCGTTAGGCGTTCAAGGCCGCAATGCACAAAGAGAGGCCAGAGCGAACGGCGAAGCCAGCCAGGAGGAGGAACCTGCCAATACCGAAGACGAAGGACCCATGGAAGAGTAGTCTTATCATCTGAGGGTGCCTGCAGCTGAAGTTATACACAAATTCGAGGACAAGTCACAAGCCAGAAAACGCATGAACTCGCATAATTACATGTACGACACAAATGACAGTTGCAGAGATTAAAGAAGAGAACACACTAAGCTACCTCGGCGGACTATTGGAAGTCTTTAGATTGATTAAGTTCTGATTCTTCAAACTGCGCGCGGGCTCGCTTGATATCTTCTTGCATGAAAAGTAATTCCTCCATCCGTGCAAGCTTTTTTGCATCTGCCGGTCTCGACAGAGCACGCCTTAAATCCTCAATTGACAGACGTGTTTTTCGTTGTGGGCCTCCAGCAGTTTGACACTACGTATTTCAAGTTAAACACCAGCTGCAACGGCAAACGAGTCAACAAACGTACGACGTCCACAATAAATTCGACCAGCATCTCCTCCATCACATTGACCGTGTCGTTTGCCGGGTTACGATCATCACCAAAACCGTACATCAGACTCTTTACTGAAGAGCAGTGTTACGAGTGGACGAGGTTCATACAAGTCATACTCACGTTCTTTGGTAAAGAGCCCTCTGAAGTTCGCTTGTTTCCGACCACGCCCAATCGTACTGCTGCTGCCCGCAGGTTGTGCCGCATCTCGCACTTGTGAAGGGGTGTACGATGTGAACGCAGTGGTCCTGGGGGTAAACGTGTTAGTTGTCGAAGTAGCGGCCGTGGTTGGTGCAACGGTCGTCTGTGCAAGTGGTCTGGTTACTTGGGCTGCTGTCTGGGGCTGGGGGATATAGCTGTATGGGTAGGGCCATGCGCCATATCCAGTCACTCCCGAAGAATATGCACCCTGGTAGGTGGCATATCCTTGAGTTTGGGGATGCGTGTAGGCACCTGCTGTTCCAGGATGGTATGCAGCGTAGGTATATGAAGTCTGCTGGTTGTGCTGGTAATGGGAGTAAGACATCAAAACTAGTACCACTATATAATCGTGAGAATCTACGCTACTCTCATTCCAGATCGTCCATCTCCCCCCTAGACTCCAAGTTTCTTGCGCTCTCCATCATTTGACGAATTTTTTGCCATTCCATGTCGATGATACCCCGTTGGTCCAGCCACTCCATAAACTTGTCTGCGTCTTGGGGGTCGTCAGGTGGCAAAGCACCTCCTACGTATGCTACCTTTACAAAGTCGTTGTCGTCATCCACTACAGCAGCGATTTGACGTTGGAGGCTCTTGTAGAGCCAGTACTGCAGAAATATGAGTGGGAGCCACGACTAGATATAATATACATACCTCCCAATGGTTGAATCCGTGGTATACTCGCGTTCGTCTCGCACAGAAGCGTCCAAGGTGGAACTCTTTCTTATCCGTGTCTTCATCATCATCTATGATATCCTGGTGGAGGGTGAATGTGATCCTCGAGGAAGCAGTGGCCCGACATTTACCTCGAAGTCATATTCGTCGTAGGGGGTACCACTAACTCTTCCAACCAGTGTCGAAGTCCTGCCACCTAGCTTACACGCATCACATCCTGGCAAGCTAAAATCCATTCGAAATAAAGTAAATCCAGGATATTTCTCGAGGAGTTTCTTAAAGTCAGGACCCCAGGTAGATGACACCACCAGGGAGTCTCGCATGCCAAGTAACTTTCGACGAGTGACTTGTAATGGCAGAGAAAAATACTGCTCATCTAAACCAAATACTGTGAGAGATTTTGAAACATCTGGTCAGTAAACTACCCACTCTTCAGTACGTGTTGCATAAAATGGCGGCGTTCAGGAAGAGGCCGTACGGCCATATGCACAAATAATTGGCAGATAATCTTGAAATGATGCGCAAGATCCTGATGAGTAGTCATACTAAATGCGACGGGAAGATCAATTGTCTGAACGCCGTCCACGGGATCTTCGACGATGAAGTCGTCTTCCTCTGTATCGTTGGATTGATCATCACTGCCCTCTGAACAACTAAGACTCTCCGGGTCATTGGGCTCTTGCGGTGTCTCTTCATCCCCGGATGACGACTGGGGGGCGGAATTCCCTCGCTTTCTTCCTTTGAAGTCACATATACGGATGAACCAATTTCGTACAGAGGATGGTCGCACAACTCACTTCTCAGCTTTTCGAGGGTCTCCTGATACTTCGTCTTTCGGCCGCGGGCACGTAGACGGCTTTCAAGTATGTCTGGCGAGCGATAACAACATTAAGGGGTACTCATATTCTTGGGCGGACAGCTTACGGGACTCATCGACCTCATCCTCTTCGTCGTCGGGAGTAGGTGGTCTGGCACCCTTGATCAACCTAGGTCGGTGAGGCTCAGATTCGCCGTCAGAGTCCACCACAGTTTTCCTCTTGCCCTTTCCCTTGCCTTTCCACTGCACGGGAATACCGACGTTCACTTCTTCGTCGTCAGGAGAACGTTCGTCTAAGCTATCTGTGGCGAGGCGCACGCGCTTTCGTTTAGGCCGACGTGGCGATGCGTCTCCGTCACTAGTCTCCCCTGTTTCTGCTTCGAATCGAACAGCTCCTACATCACTGTCATCATTTCTTTCATCGCTCGATGACGATCGACTAGATTCTTCTGACTCGCTTGGAGTTAGGGCCCTTCGCTTTCGGTTTGACAGAAACTGATGCTTCATCGGCGGTGGTGATGATGGAGGTGATGAGTATACAAGATCATGTAGTGTTCTCTGTTTAAGCCTTCCTGACTTCCCGTGGGCGACAGCCCTTCGTGGCATGACGTCTCGCGATGGTTGGATGCCAACAACAGTGCTTATGTAATGATCTAGCACTGGGAGCTTGGCTGCTACTGATAATTACTTCAATCGAGTGACATGTCCGAGCCAACTTCAAAGCCCACTACGCCAGCGCTACGCGTCGACACCAAATCCACTTTGTATCCCCATGGATTGTCAGCCCAGACACCAAGCTCAGCCACTCCTGCTACGGTCCAAATCCCACTGACTCCCAGTGAGATCCAGACGCCGCCTTCACCGCATCTTGCCAAGTTGGCCTCGTTCCAGAATACCTCCCATGCCAAGGATGAGTCGCGGAAATTACTTGCTCTGCTTGTGGACCAACTACTCGGCAGGCCTAAGCCTCCTTCTCTTTTTGAGCCACTTGGCACCCAATACACAGCCGGCAATACTGCAAAGTCAAACCGTCCTCGACAGAACAGTCTCCTCTATTCTTTGCCAACTAATGATGACAGCGACAAGGAAGATGACTCTTCGGATGATTTCTCGACAGATTCCACATTCGAGTTGATGGTGCGAATAAAGGAGGTCTTGTTATTTTCAGTGTCCCAAGGTTGGCAGATCTTTGAGGCGAGGTAATGCCCTGGCCACTTGGCTGTAACTTTTCATTCATGCTTGAGTATTGTAGCGTCATTCCATTTGAGATTAACACTTCGCAATCACCAAAAACACCGCTTCAAGTACGTGCCCAGTCACGACGAAGTGGAATTGGTGGGAAGCGCTCGAAATCATCGTCGCCGACAAGAGGGAAGCATTTCTCAGCGCCGGAACTGCTCTCACAGTGTATATCCCTCCTTGCATCAGTCATATCCGAAGACTGTCGCTTCCAGTCCTCACGCCCAAGGCCATCCAGGCCTGTGAACTCACTGCATTGGATTTCATTGGATGTCGCACAGCTGTTGGTTCATTGTAATCTCCGGGAGCCGACTGTAATCTCTCAGGTTGCATTCGCTGTGATTCCAGCATTTAGCACTTTCCCTTCTCAAATGTATCCGCGCCTCCTGGCCTTTTTTGACAACGTAATTCTGAGAGGCGTCCTAGAGGATCTGTGTAATGAACGAGGCTGCGCGGATGCCATTACTCCAAGGAAACGTGCGTTTTCCTACTTCCTTGCAATTGTCTGTCTGATGCTTGCACAGGAGATAACTTCTTCGACCACGACGAAACTCCAAACGTCTCCATCCGTGTTGTCGAGGTACCGGACGAGGAACCCGGAACGCCTCAACAGCCTGCACTGGGCATGTCTACCACGTCAAAGATTCGATCGAGTAATGCTCCCCTTCAACCCTTGTCCGTCTATCATCTTTCTGCAGTGTCGTCACCGCTGTTAGCGGCCGTGCTTGAGACCGTTGACGCCAAGGCATCGTCACCGCTTGCCCTGCACAACTTTTATCGACTGATTGAGACTCTTGTGTCATCAAGGAAAGATTCATACCTCGATATCCTTCAGATCGTGGCATATCACACTTCAGAGAGTCGTCGAACCGCGCTTACGCTCTTGGCGACCTTTTGGCCTGCAGCCATGGGCCATATTGTCGTTAGCAAAGCACTACCTGTGTTCAGCTATGCGGAGATGCTCGCTAAACAGGAAAATGGCATGCAAGACCAGTCTGTGTCCCACCAATATGCTCATAACTTTATCCCGTGGCGGTTTGTATCGTCGGACCAACCTGTCAATTTCCAACAGGCTTCCCTGCAATGTTGCAGGTCGTGCACTGCTGTTATACGTGGATTTGGACTGCTGTGCACAACATGTATGTGCGCTGTGCACTTCGATTGCTACGATTATCCTGATGGAAACGTGCTCCTCGAACACGCTGCTACTACTGGAGGTGACAGCGGCAAGATGGTTGTCCATCGATATTGCATAGTTTCCCCATCAAGACTGGATACTGGTGCATACCATGTCCGAAAGGCGAATCACAACTTTGTCCTAGCTCATATCTTTACTCTGCCCCTTTGCATATTGTGTCGAGACCCAATATGGGGGTGTCGAGCACTTCTTTGCACGTCTTGCAAGTTATTTGCACATTTTTCATGCGTGTCCAGTGGCGCTTCGGAACACCTGCACTGTGGATCTATTCAACTCGACTCCTCGTACATGACGGTGTCCTTATCTAGACTCCGACAGTCTTTCACCGACTTCTACGGCGACATATTTCTCTCTTCTGATGACCTCGGTAAGCGGACATATGAAGAAATTTCTGTGTCATCCTCCGTTCTATGGACGCAATTACAAATATACAATAATGGCCTTGCTCTGGGATCCTTCTCCGTTTCCAGGGAGGGTACCAATACTGACGACCGAGATTTCGAGCTGCCGTACCTGGTAGAGTTGTACGAAGCGTACCTCTCGTCCGGAAAGCTGCCGGTTTCCACCAGTCTTGCCGAGTACATCCACACGAGTTCTCAGCGACAGGCCCCGCATCTTATCATGTTCGATTGGTCAACGTTGGCCTATATTGCATCCACTGTAAAGGCACCTTATGACACTCAAAATAGTTCTTCTGGGGGTGCGGCTGGTTTCCTCAGAGTTGACGGCGTTGAAGAGTATGCGGATGGCGATATTCCTCGACATCCTTACGAAGTGGTTCCTCTCAGCCACATTTACGGTGCCCTCGGGCACGAGTTCAATGTGGTCTCTGAAGGTCCCGCTCGCCATTTTCTGTCACACCTGCAAAAACTCGGGTTTCTTTGTTGCACCAACCCAGAACCATTCCTGCCGACGCTTTCCACCTCAGCTAATATGGAATGCTACTTCCCTCTTCCCTTGGGTTTTGACTTATCTGTCGATGTAGAAACACTAGTATCTGCGATCGAGTCATGTCTTTCTGATCTCGACCTGTCTGTAAACGAGTGTGGACTCCTTTTACTAGTGAGGAGGTTTTCGCCAAACGGCTTGATGTCAGAGTACGCGTTGCATCGATTAACACGTACTCTCGTCGGGTGGATTCTTTCCGAGGTGTGTCGTTTCACACGTTCGATGAGTTGAATTTCACCCTTTCTTTAAGGACAATAGTCTTGCTACTATCCTTCGTGACTACGTTTCCGGCGGACGCCGTCTCCCTGGAGTCCGCGCCCCAACAGAGCCTATTCCGTGGCCGTATATGCAGAACTCCCGCCGCATCCCGACAAGTTCTGTAAATAATGGCGGTGACTACATTGCGTCCCGGAGAAACTTGCTGCACACGTATGGAGGGAAGTGGCTCCTTGCTCTGCATAATCAAGATATCTCTGCCTATCCTGCTATCGTCTTTGATGCAACTCATGAGATTGCTTCCGATTGCACTTGCAGCGTCGATGATACATATATGGATTCTCGAGACCAAGTGAGAGAGCAGCAAACAATACCGAGTGCCCATCTCATCTCTTATAGAGCAGAAGTTGTTATATCGCGGAAAGACGTCTCAAGTTTATTGTCAAGCTTTCCCAAGCATCTGTTACTTTCACGGCGTTGGATGATCTTTTCTTACTTTGGCTCAAGAGCCTGGAATTTGAAGTACTGGACAGCGCCGTAAGTCAAGTCATAATGCGAGTGAATCACTCTTATCAGGTTTCAGTCCTATGCCAATGCTGCAGAGATTACTCAACAGGGACAACGACAGCGCTGCTCGCTTCAGCACTTATGTAGATGCAACACTGACAAACTCCGATGAAAAAGGGTTAAAAATGGCAGACCTTTGGGGAGCCGTCTGGCAATTTACGAGACGAACGGATGGCCTCACCAGCGGACTTATGTGGCTTCGCCTTTTTGCCCGATCGGGAGTCGAGGTTGACACCTTAACGATCACTAAATACAGCAACATTATCTTCAGTAGAAGTCCGAGTCTGGCGCAGGGGTCTATATTCATGGACGCTGTCTTGATTACAACTTGGCTGAGGTCGGTGGGGCGACAAGACTTGCAGCCAGTGGTTGGAAAAATGATGCGATTTTTCCGGCCTGCGGTGGAAACGAGCTTGCAATCATCGGACAATACATCGACCACGTGTGTGACCTTGTCTCGTGGATCTCTCTGACAATGCTGAGATTAAGCGTTCCAGTGCCGTTGCCTTTGTGAGGCGTGCATTGACGACCTGCCTTCTACTTTATGGGTGTGACCGACGCCTCTTACTCACCTTGGACATGGCAGATAAGGCAGAGGTCCACCAACTTCCTGTTAGGTACGTATATCATGAGTCTTGGTTGTTTATCTCACCGGTTCATGAAACAGGAGGAAGCTGGGCGTTCGGACAGAAAAGCCCGCAGATCCCATTATAATAGACCAGGATCTGATGTTCACGCTGGATGAGTATTTCCGATGTGGTAACGAAGAAATTGCCGGTCTGGCAGCGAAGTTTCTGCACTCGTTCATGATGAATTCACCATACTTAGAGACTTTCGAAGTGGATAATTTTGTCCTTCGAAATGCCAAAGCACTTTGTTCTTGGTAAGCATTTCTCGATGTTTGACTCTGGTGCATTCACTGAGTATGCGTCCAGGGTTTGGCAACTTTATGGCGTCCAGCGACCAAGCGTCTCGAGTATAAGAACATCGTTGCTCTCGAGGATCTTGGTGGTGGATGTTGTCCCTTTCCGCGAACTTCTAGCTGAGACGTTTTCTCCCTCCTCACCCTGGGAGCCTAGGTTTGTTCTGGCATGTGATTGACTTAGCTGCGGGTAACCAACTTCCTCATCGTCAGACTAGTCGGAGCATCCCGGTTATTCCGTATCATCATGGACGTCAAAAGCCCAGCTTTCCAGGTCAAAGATCGTCCATGGAAGATTTGTGTGTTGGACATTTTTTACTTCTTCTTCCAGCTAATTTGGTTGGACAAGAAGGTGGGTGTTTCGTTGGAGTGGGGGTCACGCTAAGGCGAGGATCTACAGGAAGAAATTAGGACAGCCGTGGAAACTTGGACACAAACGCTTCTTACGCCACAATTGGAAGTTATTGCGTCGTGTTGGAATACTGCACTACCTGTACTTCAACCACTTGAACGCTTACAACTGGCCGTGTTCCTTACTCAGCTTCAGCCGCACTTCCCGACTTGGAAATGTATGTAGCAAATGACTTCTTCCCCCTATTTTTTTTGGGCTCACGTCAGATTTAGTCCTTTCGTGGGATGTAATCATTGAAGTTCTTCAAGACGACAACCGGACTGGTAAAAAGGTGTGTGACCCCGACGGATACGTCTGCCAACCCCAATCCCTGAGAGCTCCGTAGGGAATACCCGGCACTCCCATTAACAATCGGAGTCTCGCGAACCAAGGGCATTCAGAACGATTGCCGCTTAAGGTACTTTTCTTTCTATCATTACACTGTTATTCCCTGAGGAAGTAGCACAGGTAGCCCTCATTTTGCTTAGTCTGCAAATGATGGAAAGCGGCATGGAAGTGGACATTCTTTCCTGTCTCAAGCTGAAGTATCACCTGGCAAAGGTCTTGGGATTCAGTGACGTCGAATCTGTCCCAACCGCCAGTGGGAGAAGTTTCTACATCCGGTTCGAAAAGTTGGATTCTATTTCCGCTACAACTTTTCCTTGCGTGCAAGCCTTGCCACGGATCTTGGACGCTCATCATAATTTCGATCTTCCTCCGGTCGTCATGGGAAGCACACTTGTTGAAGATGATAAACCCTGCCGTGTCCTTGTTGGAACAGTCTTTGTCGACCTTGTCCTTGCCATCTTCTGTTCGTCACTTGATCTTCTTGCGCTCCCGATTTTGACTTTGAAGAGCCTTCTTGAGGCTCTCATGATCATCACGTTCAAACATGACTTCGGCAGCGTGGCTATCAGACACCTTGACGTTTCGCTCCGAAAGGCATTACGGAAAACACTCGACCTTCTACTTCTCGACGTTAGCTATGAACTTCGCCAACTTGCGTTGTCTGTGATACAAACGTTTATCAGGAGAGGGACTGCCATAACGGGGGTGCTTGCTGTGTATGTCGTGCATCTACAACGACACGTTGTCAGTTGACATTGGAAGTTTAGGGAATCTATGGATAAGGCCGCTGCGCTCATCGTTGCCCTCAAGCACAACAACGAAGACGCGCTGGTTTCCCAAGCAAAAGCTTTCGTCGAAAGCACTCTGGTAACGTGAGGTACCATGTGCTTTATCTGGCTCACCTACTGAACATGAAACGGGAGGGCAGGCTTGTGCCAAGTGGCATTTTCTGCAGTTTGTGCAAGGTAGTGCGCATCCTTTCCGCTGGTCAGCGGTGAAAGTTGACCTGTTACCCAGCGTCCTCCGAACCCTGACTTCTACGAAGTCCTCAAGACCATCATCCAAACTCGCAATGGGCGTGCTACGGAAGCGTCGATAAACTTTCAAGAGGGTTTATTGCATAGCATCATCTCACAACCACCAGAAGTAGACTGGAAGATCATCCACAACACTGTAGAAAATATTAACATGTTTGTGGAGGTCGTCCTCTGTGAGGGGGTGAGTGACCAAACTCTGAAAGGTACGTTAGCCTCTACTCCGCTGTGATGCGTACTAAACCACACACAAGACTTGGCAGCGTGGATAGTGGCAACAGCTAGACGCGCGGCAGGTTTCAGTGCTGACAAGGATTTTGATCTCAATACCCTTCTCTCCCTTACGGCCAATCTTTTGCGATTCAAGAGGTCATCTATCCGGCATGTAAGTCTACCTATGAACTTCTGTTCTTTCCAATTCTCACGTACTTCCTAGGATTTGATTATCTGCGTCGAAACTGTCTTCAGGATCGCAGCGCTTAGATCTACTCTTCGCAAAGAAACGATCCTGTTACTGCGTACCGCTGCATTGACTCAGGGGTATACAACGTCCTCGGATATTACGGTACCGGCAACACAGACACTTTCTCGCATCATGGTTGAAATCGTTGACGACATACTACGGCTTAAGGTCAGAGCAATTCCCACCACATTAGCGTCCTTGGTGGAGGTGGGTACTGTGCGTGCAATTCAGGTATTGTAGCTGATTCGTACAGGTCTTCATGAGCCAGAATGTACGCGAACACGGCGAAGACGACGCAATACAGAGACTGGCACGAAGTGCCATCTACTTTCTCCAGAACCACGGCCGGACAACGGGCGAAGCTGATGCGGACTTAACGTTATCTCTCACCGTCGGCCGGTATATCTTCTATGCTGCTGAGCGGGGTCACGATGTACTCGACGAACTGAATGACGACGGCAACTCCCAAGCAAGTTTTCAAACGTTGCTTTTGCTGCTTATGGCTCATTACATCCCTTAGCGTTCTTTTCATTCTGAGATCACTATACGTCCCTGGATCGTCATGCTCTTATCAGTAGTCTCTACCCCGTCATCCGAGAAGTATGGGACCTTAATGATGTCCCGATTCGACAACTTTGTGGTCCCTTATACCAAGACGTTGGGTACATATGTCCAAGGTCGTTTGCCGCCTCCCGAGACAGCGGCAGTCGACATCGAGTACACGTACCTTGCCATGAAGAGTTGGCTTCTGCTTTTACATAAGTTATCCACCGAGAATACAGTGGATCCTCGCGGGGAATTGACACACAAAATCTGGAATGAACTTTGGCCCCCTTTTGAAAGCCTCGCGAAACTTCTGGGGAAAGAAAGCAGCGATGAGCTACTGGTTTGACCTCACCATCTTTCTCGCGGGCGCACACTCATCACCTGGTTCAACAGCCATTATCAACCGCGGTCTGGTCATCCGTCGCCAACCTTTTCACCTTCGTCCTTCAGTCTCGGTCTCCAATTGCGATGGACTGTATCCCATGTTTGACACTCTTGCAACATCTCAAACAATCCGGAAGGAGGAATTCTGCTCTCAGCAAGGTAAGGAGCGAAGGATGCATGTAAGAAAATTTGTCTAATCCTGCTGGTATAGTTAGCAAGAGCATTAGATGGAAATGTTCTACCGGAATTGCAGGTGGATGCCATAATTGCTCAAACGATAAAGGACACGGCAAATGCAGATAAACTACGTAGGTTGGATAGGCACACGAAGGCGGTGGCGGAACGGCGTCGAGTACCGACGTAAAGGAGGGATTGGGCCAGAATGTCTTGATGGTCAGGCTGCTCGAAGCTTTGCTTTCATAGCCTTTTTCTTCTTTTCCTTTGCGATAGTAAGGCCCACGAAGAAACCGACCCCCGAGAGCCCAATAACGAGGATGAATGCCGGCAGTCGAACAGCCCATTCACGGGCAGGAAAGTAGTCATGTATGGGACTCGATATGTCAAAGAAAGGCTATAGCCAAGGCGTCAGTAGGCAAGAAAAGATTCAATGGCTGGAAAGACTGGCCAACAGAATAGTCCATGTAGTGTAGTAGACGAATACGAACGCCGCAACCAGAAGCAGTGACCCTCCAAGGGCCATGTCACTCACAGCCTAGATCAGTTAGTTCACAAAGGTTTATCGCAGTAAACGCAGAGCCCCCACCATCGTTCCAACTTGTGGGACCTAAGAGGTCGTGTCGTGGTTGTCTCACGCAAAAGTGGTGTGTATTGAAGTGACACGCACAGCGGCTGTCACCAGCACCGGGAACCAGACGTCACTCACACCATCTCACCAAGTTCCACAGGGCCTCGATGCTCTGTCCTACAATCTACTCGAATAGCAGAACTTGAATTCATGAATTCAAACGCCTTTGCATCGCTGGCCCACGTCCGCATACTTCTCGTTCCCGTTGGTCCAATACCAAGCGACATATTTGAGGCTCATGCTGCAGAGATCAAGGCTTTCGATTCTATACGCCTCGGGGACATTCCAGGAGATGCAAAGGGCGAGAAAGGTCCGTTTCTTCCTACCGTCGTTCATCAATACGACTCCCTCAATTTCTTCAGCGCGGTTCATGCCCAGTCCCCTCGCAAGCGGTTATCTTCACCTAAGTTTCACGTCCCACCCAACCTCGCCAGCTCAAGCACCGCTGTACTTGTTTCGACCATCGCTCTTTAATCACGCAGTAATTGGAGTTGCTTCATGCACTCCTTCCTACACACCGGAAGCTGTTCAGGAACAGCTGGAAAATATCTTTATAGATATTTTTCCAGAGAGCTCAACGACCCCACCGACCAAGGTGTGTTTTGTCTTTCAGAGTGAGGACAGTGCTGGGGGAAATATCAACGACGTTCCCTCCGGACTGGTTTTGATACCAAGCGTCATGGGGAATAAGAAACTGTACATCGGCACGCTTTTAGCAGATCTGTGCTCTCAGATACTAGGCGAATTTGGCCGAGTGGTATGTTGTTGAGTAGGTATGAGCGGCAAGTACTCATTGTTACAGGTGCATGTCCTCGAGACGCCTGCTGGAAACGAGTGTTTAAATGCAGCGTTATTTCCAGTGCTGCCTGCTGGCGGAGACATGTCAACTCGCATCAACTCGCATCCCTATCTTCCTCCACCAGTCTCGGCTACTGCGACCTCGAGTCAATTTGAGCTGAGCCTGAATACATCGGTGTCGACGAATTATGGAATGAAGCACAATTCATCCGTAGGCCCTGGGTTACATCCATCATCATCTTCCATCGGGCGTCTACCCTGCCCCCTCTTAAGACCCGCACGAATGCGGTGGGAATCACATCGCATGCCAGGTTGTACAAAGTATATGGTGATTTCTTTCTCTTAGCAGGTCGTACGCAAGATGCTAAGATCTGGTCTGTCGACGTCAGACTTTCTTGGGCACTGGGATACTGATTTACATCGGTGAAGGTACCAAGAAGCATTAATCCTCTTTAAAACTGGGTCAGATCCAGCGTGGCAGGCGTCTGCGATTGAAGGCCTAGCCGTCACTTCAGTGCTGGACTTGTGGGCCGCTGGTCAGGGTTTGGTAAGTCTCTAATATGCACTGTGGCACACCTATCTCACTCTTTCCTTATAGCAAACATCTATAAGTGATGCGAAAGAACCCTGGATGGAGTTATTCGAACAACTCTCGCAGGCCATCAGTCTCTATTTGAAATCAGCTTTCCCAGAGACAACTCGAGACTATTCTCTCCTTGCCTTCCTTTATGTGACGGTTGTGTTGAGACAGACATCGCTTCTCTTCTGCGTGTGGTCATCGAAAGGATGGGGGGCACTGGCGTTCGCCTCGATGCTGCAGCCGGAACCAACTTCGTACTTGCAAAAAATAGTCTCCGACAATTCTGTAGCCGGCCTCGATCGCCTGAGCGCCATAACAGGCATCACTCGTTATCAAATCGCAAACGCTCTATCACAGGCCCACGGTCCTTGGCTGCTGCACCTGGGGGCGTACGAACGCCTTGTCGTTTTGCAATCCATAGCAAGTATCTACAACTGCCTCGGGTTCAAACGAAAGGAAGTATACATACTTCGAGAGGTGGTTAGCTGCGTTATGGATCTGGTGGTCTGCGGCCGTGGGGAGGATGACCAGCTCCGCAAGTCGGACTTAGGGAGTGTTGGCTTGACTATACGCACCGCACCAGCAGTGGTTGACGAGTCTGAGGTGCCAACGTTGGGGAATATTGGTGTACGACGTAAAGAGAATTTGGAAGGGAATCAGAGTATTTTGAAGCTCCTCTACTACGCCTGCAAGGTACTTGGCGTCAACTTGGAGTCCGTGAATCCCGCGCCCACAGAAAGCAGAGATGATTTCAAGGTGATTGATTCCGTGACAGAGAGTAGACCACAGTGGGAAGGCCCAGGTAGGTCCGAGACCTTACGCGTGCATTTTGGATGGCCAGAACTTCAGGTTGGGGTAATCCGAGAGGCAGTTGCAGTAGCGGAAGCTTTACCCGGTAGGATGATGCACACCCAATTGCCTTTGCAGAGACTGATGCTTTGACAGATTATCTAGCCGTCGCTCGTATATCTCTATCTGCATTGAAAACAATGTACTCCATTCTAGCCACTGCTGATCAGTGTCATCTATATCAAACGGCGTCGAGGGCTCTTAACACACTAAAACGGCGTGGTGACGCGACTACAGTCGAATGGTGGGCCGGAAATCTGGCTGTTAGTATTGCTCTGCTACCGTAAGTGAATCTATCCCTAAGTTCTGTTGTCGTTGCTGATAAGTACCAAGTCTCCCTTCCCGACGCTTGCCGATTGAAAGACCTGTGTCGCTATTGAATCCAACCCTTCGGTCAGAAAATCCTTTGACAGCCAAGGTGACGAACACCTTTCTATACAATCCTCGGGAGTCTGTAAATATGCAGGTGAGAAAGTTTCTTGCCTGCACCATGTATTCCTTCTGAGAAGCGACAGGACAAAGGCATTCTCGTGGAAGGCGAGGCTGCGGAGCTAATTGTCACCTTACACAACCCTTTCGTATTCGAGCTCGAACTGGAAAGTGTATCTCTTATGTACGTCGCCTTGCCTATAATCGTCAGCTAGGCGCCGATTAGCAACACACCAGTACGAGTGGTGTGGCCTTTGACTGCGGTCCCGTTTCATCAATCGTAATTCGACCGAATTCTTTCTATAACATACCCGTCATCGGAATTCCCAAGGAGTCAGGCTCTCTGGTCATTAAGGGCTGCACTATTCAAGCACCCAATGGTGCTCCAGGAGAACTCCTGCTCCCCGTCTCTGCGGAACCCGATGAAGGCGAGCAGCTTCGAAGACAGAGCATGATCAGAAATGACAGCGAGCGCACGAAGTATGGGGGCCTTGAAGCCCTGCCTTGGGAAATGGATGGCAAACGTCTTAGCGCAACGGTTCCCCCCTCAAAATCCAAACCTCGATATCTAGAATGTCTGGTCGTTCCTCAGCAACCGATGCTACGGGTGAGGTGGAGTTCCTTAACCCATGGGGCACTCATGCTTTATGACGGAGAAAAGTGAGACACGTATTGATGATTGCAGAGTTTAGGGAAGCTGAACGCTCGGTTTTAGGTCCAACATCCGGCTCACCCTAGAAAATGTGTCTGATTTACCGATCGACTTCTTGAAGCTTTCCTTCGAAGACTCTACCATTTCCTCCGCAAAGGAGGCATTGTCCGAAGGGGAACTGGACACGTTTGAAGTACACGAGATCGAATATGACCTCGTTCATCGAAAAGCCTTTTCGTGGCAGCCGGACAACGACGCCAAGGTCGTTAATCCGGGAGGGAAAGTTGTCTTCTCTGTGACCTGCCTTGGAAAAGTTGGATGGTATCGTGTTTGAGATTCCCACGTGCCATTCTTTCTCACCCTTTCTTTAGCACCAGCGGCGCCGTTCATGTCTTGTATGCTCACGCCCATCGTCAGGGCAAGGGCCAAACGGATGCGATCCAACAGGCATTCTACGCGAGGGAGTTAACGTACCCACTAACTGTGACAGTGTACCAGATGCTCGAGTGCTACAACATGAGTATCATGCCAGTGGACGCAATCGACAGTCTCCCTTCTAGAACTAATGTGCCAACTGTTGGCGCCGATGACTTTCATCATTGGTGTTTGTTTTCTATCGAAGTACGCAACACGTATGGCTTACCATTTGAAGTCACGTTCACGCGGTCGCAAGATGGTATGCTTCGGTCGGCACTTAATTTCGATGCGACTTTAACGCCTCGAACAGGTTTAGAAGACGAAACAGACTCGTCCGTAGTGTCACCTGGATGCACATCAAGGCATACGATTTGTATTTATTCCGATGATTTCAAAATATTGATTTCCTTTTTCTTCTCCTTCTCGTTCAGGATTATTCTACCTGTTAGAAGGCTTAGACTCGGCGACGACGTAATTTCACAACCAAGCCCGACACTCACCGACCGGCAACTTGTAATCACCAAATCAAACCTTAGCAAAGAAGAAGAGCAGGCACGGCGCGAAGCTTTCTGGTATCGCGAAGAGTTACTGAAGATTATCCGTGCTCGGTGGAAAGAGGTGGGCACTTGTAGTCAAGAAAAACAACAACCTTTGATGTTTCATACTCAATTTTGCAGACCACTAGCAACAGATTCGGTGATCTGTCACTCCGCCAGCAGCCCGTGACCATGCACATGTTGAATGCTTTTAAGGCGGATCAGGTTCACGTTGACATGTCATTCATTCACCCTGATGCCGAGCACGGTTCGCCTATGCCACTTAAGCGTTCCCCAGGAAAATTTGTTGTCCCACCAAATACGATCGTCAACTTACGAGTGCAGCTGACCAATACTTGCCGTTAGTATACGTCTTCTAATTTCCGATTGTGCTAGCTGACCGTTTCATAAGCATCTCGCCTCGCTATGACAGTTACTTTGTTACCGAGTCCTGAAGAACATATATTATTCGAAGGTGTATTAGCGAATATCCCGGTGGGGACGGTCGAGGGGGGTCAATCGAAGGCCGTCGAAATGCCAATGTGCTTCCTCTGCTCGGGGAAGTTTGAGATTGGCGCAGAGGCTCGTCTATTGGGCACTTGTAGAGAGAGAGAGCGGGCAGGTGTCGGCCGGGTGTATGCCATTGTAAATAGAGTCGAGTAGGTAGACTTGGTTGCAATTGCACGGCGCCAAAAAATCAACTCGAAAAAAAGTTAGTCCCACCGAGGGTTGAACTCGGGACCCTTGCATAACGGTAACCTCATAAGTACAATGCTCTACCACTGAGCTATGGGACTGTTGTGAGGTAAGTTTATCTTCGCAGTTATAAATTAACAGCAGAGTTTTCTGCCACGCCCAAGTCGTGGTATTAATCTAAGGCTCAAACAGGGTGGGTTCCTCCTCACATCCGGTAGGGGTGATGTGTAAAAATCTCGTTCCAACCCTCCTTCCCTGCTCCTCTGAATGTGTAATCCATATGGCGGCTTTGAGCCCGCTCTCAGCCGATTTCAACTCGTCGGAGATAAAGCGCTCAACGAGAGTGGTAGAGTGAGGGTCCAAGGCCGAAGTGGGCTCTAAGGAAGTGGAGAGTGTTACCTTCTGGCACAAAGGGGGGCACATAGGGTGAACTGACCGTCCAGTAAGAGTATTTCGGCAGTGTCGAGACCAACGGCAATTGCCAAAGCGATTCTTTGCGACTCTCCACCGCTCAAGTTGGACCAACTCCGATCCCATAGTTCTTCGTCTATGCCCCACGCGTTGGCGACCTCAATCGGGTATGTTAGATCGCTATTACTTCTACGAACAGTTGTTTTTGGCGTGCGAGAGCTAAACGAAGACACAGTATTGAGAAAATCTCGAGGGGTTCCGGCAAGCAATGATGGTCTCTGAGGAACGTAGGAAACCTTTGTCCTGTACGTAGGGACGCCTGGTGGATCGTGTCAGTCCTCGTTTGACGTGCGGCAATCTGCCACAAGGGCATACCATAGGACTTAGGCGCCCTTATAGAACCCGCGCACTTAGATCGACTTGACGAACGCGGAAGCATGCAGACTCACCGGCCTTTGTATAATACCTCGCCACTATATATGTTCAAGTGAGCGACACATTTGAGAAGGGAAGTCTTCCTTTTACAGAGGATAAAAGATATAAGTACTGTTTTGAATCATCTCTTAGTGAAGGTAAACCGCACCCAACACCACTTTTCCCTTGCAGAACGACAACATCTCCTTCGTTGACGTCGAAGTTCAAGTTGGAAAATATCTTGTGATCCTTGTCCCTTGCGCAGCTGAGGTCGCGGACTCGGAGCAGTCTTGCCATCGCGCCTCCGAAGTGGTGAGAGCAAGTCACGATGGCCTCATGTCGGGCAATGTGCCTTCTCACGGGGAGCCTCGCAGGAAAGTGACAGGTGCTCAGGAGTCCCATGTGACCTACTTAAGTGACATCATAAGGACTGGCGACAATTTGTGCTAGTAGGAACTCGTAAATAGGACACTCAGAACGATTTATTGCAGCACTCTAACCCACAAGAGTAACCAAGGAAATTTCCAGAGGTCTATCGCACGACAGGGAGAAACTCACCGAGAATGGGAAAAACTTAAGCCCTACACGTCATTATATGTTGACGGTTCCCATCGAGGACGGTCTCTACTCCCACATACCTCACGCATATCTGATCCTTAAGTGTAGGGACGAACTTGAGATGGAATATAACGTGCAATTAGTGTCTCAAGTATGAATCCAGATGTAGCGTTATATGATCTGCGGTTGAGGAGGCGCTCCCATCTCTTCCGGAGTCAAGTTGGAGCTCTCTATCATCACGCCAACGCCCACCTTGGCAGCGTTCTGCATCGCCATTGTCAGAAATAGATCTTTAGCGACAGACAGGTCAGGCTCACCTTGAAGTGGTCGATTTCGCCGGAAACCAAGAACGCAAAGGTGGGGGCAAACCTCTGCTCTAGCAAAGCAGATACCTTGCCTGTTGAGTCCAGTTGAGCCCTGAATGTCGACATGCGAAGGTCGTATTTGGCACCGAGAGTGGCAATGGCGTCTCGCCGTGAAGGAGCTGCAATTACCTGAAGGTCCGCTGCGACCTCTACCTTGTCACTCAACTTCTGCCAGTAAGTGGTCTGCAGTATGCCGGAAGGTTGGACTTGGGCAGTAGCCATCCAGTCCTTTTTGGTACCCGTGTACTTTGCAAGGTATGAAGTGGCGAGCTCCGTCAGTTCCGGTGACTGCCGCTGGTAAAGTGACTCGAAGCCCAGAGCGAGATTCTTAGTGACGGACTGAAAATAGCTTCCGATGTAGATTCCAGACAAGTCTGAAGGGGAAGGATTGACGGCTTTGAAGTTTAAGGAGTAATCTCGTCCCTGGTAGTCCTGTTCCAACTGAAGCATACTGTGACCAGGCTGATGGGAGAGCTGAATATTGCGGTGAGATGGTATGACTGATGGTGAAGTAGTAAAACCGACCTGAGCCTGCATCTTTGAGATGAAATTCTCCGACCAGCCTTGGTTGCATCTGGCATTGACATTGCCCTCGTGATCCACGCTTCCCTGTAGGAATACCTGATGACAAGAGTGAGACAGCGACGTTGTGACGAAAGGGGTATAATCACGCTATTGGTGGCATACACGGCACCGAAGTTGTACGCAGGAGGTGCGGTCTGCGAGCCCAATGAGAAGGAGTGGGTCACCTGGAACGCAGGGACCATCGAGAGCGATTTGGTGAGGTCGGCCTTGGCGCCATCGAACATGAAATTGGTCAGGTGAGTTACTGTGTAGGATGTACGGTCTGTATGGCATTCCAGATCAGTGACACGGACACGCACGCTTGACTTCTTTCTGCAAGTTCTCGACGGTGCCAGGATTCGGAAGGTCGAGTGACCGCCGCCATTCTGAAAAGCGAGTGTACAGGTTCGTCACTGGAGAGAGAAACGACTGCTTCTCAGACGACAACGACGGCGCTGAGGCCTCTTTTGTGGGATGAACGACTGTCGAGGCCATGGACGCGTCGGAAATGCCGTTCAGCAAAGAAAAAAAACAAACAACGTACTTGGGAAAAAATAATTAAATAAATAGTTAACTCTGGTTGAACCACGTGGCCCAGTGGCTGTGCAGCGAAGAGTTGACCCCGCAGTGCAAACCAGCGGCTGGCAGGTCACAGCTGCACCAAGATGATGACGCCTACGCGTTACATCGTACTGGTCTTGACAATACTCGTATGTATTCCTCGTCGAACAGAGCAGCCACCCGTCTGAACTCATCCTCGCTGCCAGATCAGTCTACATTACATCCTTACCATCACTCACGAGGAATACGGAAAGGCTACCGCCGTTTCCCGCCTCACCAATTATATCAAAGGCCCTCAGCCGCCTTACAAAGACGGTGTACCAGAGCAGTATTACAAGCCCTCGGATCCTGTTGCGCTCCCAGAACGAAAGGCCAATGCTACCTTCGTCATGCTCGTCCGCAACACGGATGGACCTGGCATCATGAACAGCATGAAACAAATCGAAGACAGATTCAACAGGAAATTTCAGTACCCATATGTCTTCCTGAACGACAAACCCTTCACCGAGAACTTCAAAAAGTGAGCCCTCTGCGTGAGACTCGCACCTTTCACTGATCCCTCTCACGCCAGATACGTCTCCCAGCTCACTGATGCCCCGGTGGAGTTTGGCATCGTACCGCCGGAACATTGGAAACAGCCAGAGTGGATCGACGAGCAAAAAGCCACCGCTGCACGGGAAGACATGATGAGAAACAATGTAATTTACGGAGGTACGTAGATCACGTCTTACGTTGTACCCGTTGAGTCACCCTGCGCCAGGAAGTATAACGTATGTTCCTAGTAATCCTGGAATGCCCCGACACTCACCGATAGTTCAGGTACCGCAACATGTGTCGATTCAACTCAGGCGTATGCAGGTCCCTTCCTGATTCCAACCGTTGTTGACCGTTTTACAGTTCTTCTACAGACAAGAATTACTCCAGAAATATCGGTATTACTGGAGAGTGGAGTGAGCTCTAACGTACCATACAGTGAAAACTACTTACAGGTCCTGTGCAGGCCAGACGTCAAGTATTTCTGCGACATTGACTACGACCCGTTCTTGTTAATGCAAGATCAAAACAAAGTTTATGGTGTGCCTTTTCAGGTTTTCAAAACATTCTTAGCGGTAACACTGGTCAGGATTTACCGTCTCTTTATACGAATATGAAGCAACCATCCCCACCTTGTGGCAGACCGTAAAGGGTATGTTACGCAAATTTGGGCGTCATGCAACACCTTAAAGGTTTCTTCAGAATTCGTAGACGAGAATCCGGAGCTGCTCCCAGCCGACAATGCCTTCTCATTCATCTCCGACGATGGTGGTCTAACGTACAACCGCTGTCACTGTACGTTCATTTCTGATATGTTCTGGAAGATGATTCTCATCGTTTTGGATAGTTTGGAGCAACTTCGAGATTGGCGATATGGACTTCTGGCGAGGTGAAGCGTATTCAAAATTCTTTGACTACCTTGATTCCAAGGGTGGCTTTTACTATGAGGTACGTTGTTGGTCGTATTCACTATATTCTACCGCCTCAATTATCATCCAGCGCTGGGGAGATGCACCAGTGCATAGCTTAGGAGCCGCCCTGTTCGCTAATAAGAGTCAAATTCATTTTTTCAATGATATCGGATATCGACATGAGCCGTTCCAGCACTGTCCACAAGGAGATATCCATACAAACGGCAAGTGTTGGTGTGATCCCGGTGCAAACTTTGGTAGGTTCCGTGCCCCCACTCTCAGTTCGATCGCTGTACTGACTTTGCGTAGACTACGAGTGGTACTCGTGCTTGAGCCGCTATGACAAACTGTTCTAATTAGCTCATATTCCCGTATTTCACTAGTGATGACCGAGCTTGGGAGGACAGCCTAGACGGTCGTTCGCCACATTCTATACCCTCCCTGTCGTAGAAACACTGCAGAACATGATAGTATATAATGATACATATGATATGCAGGTGTGCGTAGATCCTCCGTGAACAGTGTGACATTTTGAAAAGCAGGGTAGTAACCTTAGGAAGAAGTTTCGTATCACAGGATGGACTGCGAATAGTACTGAAACTGCGGTCATAGTCATATGGCGCAGTACGAAGAAAAACAACAAAATAACGCACAGAATCATATAGCCTAGTCCAGTTGGATCCCAGGGAGCTGTCGATCAACCGATCCACGTACTCCCGAACAAGAGAATGCGTGAGAGCTGGCTGGAAACGATCGCGGAGCTGATTCGCCGTTTGCTCCCCGAAAGCGGCAAAACACGGCAGTGTCGAATCTAAAAACAAGTTAGATAGTCCCCGTGACTCCAATACTTATGGAATAGTACTTTTCTGCATCAGCTCCACCAACGCTGCTTACACGGTCAAAAACCGGTCGGAGAACGAAGCGATGATTGCTTACTGATAATCCTATCACAAGTGTTTCCGTGCAGCCTCGAATCCCTCGTGGAATAACCGCTTGAATTCCAGGAATGGCTCACCCTCGACGCCGCCAAGTACCTCGACGTATTCAGGCGGCAATTTGAAAGGTGCAGCCTCGAAACCGATGTTACCGGGGGAATTGGACAGCATGAAACCGAAGTCAATGTGGATCAGGTGTCCCTCTGGGTCAAGTAAAATATTGCCATTATGGCGGTCCTTTATCTGGAGAAGATAAGTAACAATGGAATATCCTGGTTGCGCACTGGTCAAATCTTTCGTCAGAGTAGAAAACCAACGTCTTTACCTGCAAGGGACTTGGCGAAGTTCCGTTGTGCTCGGAGGAATTTGGCGGTTGAGGGATCACCATACGTGGATTTGAAGTGGTCCAGTAACGTTACGTGTCCTAGCCGACCTTCCGCTAAACGTCGGGCATATTCAGCCTTCTTGATCGAATGGATGGAAACGGCATCATTGATTGTCTCTACGAGTCCCGAGGATGCACCCGTGATGAGTATCCGGAAGCTGCAGAAATTGAGCGTTCAGTCTACCTTACACATCATAGAGAGAAGACTCACTAGCGAACCCAACACTGACATTTCTCTTCCTGCCATATCTGCCCAAACTCACGAATGAGCTGGACTGCAACCTGTTCCTGCCGCAAATCTCCCCCAGTTTTGACAATAACAGAGACGCAGTCCCAATTTGCTTGTGGTCATTCAGTTACGTACAAGGAAATAATTCAGTGGAATCCTTACCCAAGTGACCATAAGGTGACGCGTGGCGTATACGACTCTGTGCACCGAAAACATACTTAGAGGGCGACGGGAATGGTGGCAGACACTACCCACCTTTTTAGTAGCCCATGACTCGCTGAGCACCACAGCAGATGGGTCGGCCTTGCTAAGTTCCCGCTTAATTATCCCCTCGTCCTCCGCTGTCTTCCACCCACCGGACTCTGCAAGTCCCATTTCTCCTTCACGCATCCGTTCCATCCGCTCCTCTTCAAGTGAGATCATTTCCTTCATGATTCTATCACGGATGGAAGCAGCTTCGGCGTGGTTTACTCGCATGCGAGTGGTCGGTGCTGGAGGCGAGGCATCAGAAGGCCTTGGCTTGCCACCCAGCGACGGGTGAAGGGGTCCATGTGATCCTTGGTCGGATACAAAGTTGAAGCCAACCTGATCCAGCGAGCCAACTAAGAGGCCTCGATGGGGCAGATGAAGACGAAGGAGCATCTTGTGCAGAGGGCGTTGCTGACCCGGACCCGGGTGGTCCACTAAGTGGCGTAACAGTCTCGCGCACGAGACTAGCATTTAGCTGAGCAAGCATAACAGCTGCAGTTCGCATCCGTTCGGAATAGTCGTCCAAAGACAGTGATCTCCCGCTAGTTGCCGTCCTGCTGTCCAATGACGAGGTCGTGCCTTGTTCCACCGTGGATGGAGACGGCGCCGATCGTGTGCGTGACCATGCTACTAATTCTAGCTCCCTGTTCTTCGGTGGAGGAGGCAGAACAATAGATTCCTCGAGGTCTATGGGACCACGCAGCGACTGGCCGGCACCATATAGCTGTTCAACCAAATCTACCTCCTGCTCGTCTTGAACAAGCGAGGTGGTACTATCAGACGGGAGCGTGAGTACAGGAGTTTCAGAACCTGTCTCATTACCCTCCTCTTGTATGTCTGTCGAATCTTTGCCTAGCACACCATTTGAACCAATGACATTCACCCCCTCCGAGGCTGGGCCACGCAGCGACTTCATACGAGGTACTGTGAATGGGATTAGATCTCGCGATGTACCCTTCTCTTCACTTTCTTTGGTCACAATCCTCTTTAGTATCTCCTTGTTCCCTCGTTTGGTAGGGTCGAAGTCAAGATCATCGTGCAGGATTTCAATATGAAGAAGATATGGAGCTCGCTCTGCGGAGTTGAGAACAACAGACTCCCCTGGCGAGATGCGGACGATCCTATGATGTGGTTCGGGTAGCAACACCAGAGGGTAGAGGGCTTATGGTGTCAGAAGACGAGCACCACATTGGCATGCAAACCTGTCGAGACAAAATGAGACGACGAGAAGCCACCACTTGGCTTACAAACCTCAGCAGGTAATTTATGGTTCAGAGCGGTCAGCTCTGCTCGTAGGGCACTTATCCGCGCAGGCTTTGGCACGACAAGTAGGTGATTGGATATTTCCTCTAATGCGAGCAAGAATAAAATCTGAGGAGGCATGCTTACACTGCAGGTGAAAATTAAACAGTGGAATTACCCACCTCCGACTGACAGTAATGACTTCTGAGGAGATAAGACTGAGATTGAATGTCATAGCGTTCAAGTAGAGTATCTGCAGGTAGTGTGCTTTGCCTTAAAGGCGAGTGGGAAGAGGGTATCGAGGGCAGGGACTGGTATGGGTTCGGCGGAAGTGCAGGGTTTAATGGATCAAGTTGGTCGAGGGGGTCCTCCGACAGGTGAGATCGGTGTAGATTATGCACTAGCGTAAGGGCAGGACTTGTCCGGGCACCGATGATCGTTTTCCTACGTCCTAGGGGAGAGCGGCAGGGTCGAGGTACAGTGTTAGGACGCGACGCTTCCTCCAATCCGGAGGCATCCGTCATCTTCCACCTTCTCGTCCGAAGTATTGCTGTCATCTTCTGCGGCGTCAGAGCTACCGGAAGGAGCACTTGCTGGTGGTTCTTCGTTGGTATTCGCCCCTTTCTCCTCTATAACATCACCCTCTGCCTGGCCCTGTTGCAAAGCAACTTCGCCCATGATCTCAGTTAACCCGGGCATCACAGGGGCTCCCGCCAAGACGAGCCCAATCCCGACAAGAGCAGGTTCGACGTGCGGTTTAACTCGCTTACGAGCGAATCGTGATTGAAATGACACGGTTAACCCAGAGTAAGGAACTGATGCGGGAGAGGGTAAGTCGGCGAAAATGATTTCATGACACCGATGCAAAGTCCTTTGACAGACTTGGAAGGCTGGTGAGTTGGGACATGCGGACAAGTCCTGAAGGGATGCCTGCATGTAAAACAGTGTCTATGTGCGTCTTAAGTGGCCTGTATGGGTACACCAGAGGAAAGAGAAAGACCGACGACGCGTACCATCACTGCAATGTGCGTAGAGCGTTGCGCGATCTCGACCACGAAACACTCGAGCGCTCGCGAGTTTGATGGCCGAGTAACAAGCAAGTGGCTAGCAGGAGGATGAGATGTGACGAGAATGTAAGGCCAGCGCACGACAGCATTCACCATATGAAGCCCCACACGTCCCGTAGCTCTTGGGTGTCAAGCTCTCTCAACCTTCGGGTGAGGTAGTATGTGATGCCAATGTTGTCGGCATAGAGCATGAGGTACTTCAACGCTACGTGGACGGAGAAGAAAGAGGGGGAAAGAAAAAGGCGAAGCAAGAGTGCATGAGACATCTCCAGACCGATGGGCAGCGCGTCCCGTCGCTGTTTGAGACAGCGAGCTGAGCGCACGGCTTCCAATCACTGATGAAGTGGGCTGCTAATAATTTACTACCACAAACTACACGCCAGTGCTTCCCACGGACCACATCACTCTCGACTGCGACCGTCGACGATGCTGAGGCTAATAATCGCGCTCTTGTGTCTTCCCTTCTGTCTCGCAGCCCAAAAGTCTCCACGGGACGAGCTGGTCCAGCTTGCATCCGCTGGCAACGGTGTCATTCGCTTGGACGAGCGCACCTTCGATCTTCTTACTTCTCCGAAACGCGACTGGTCTGCTGCTATCCAACTCACGGCGCTTAACCCACAACGCAGGTGTGGTCCTTGCAAGTGAGTGCGTTCTGTTTGGACCTTGGCCGGAAATCCCAATGGCTTGCCAGGGAATTCGACCCGTCTTTCCAGGCAGTAGCCAAGGCATGGTCCACGGTGACCCCGGAACAGAGAAACAACCACTTCTTCGCCTCTATTGACTTTGACGATGGATTTCAAGTGTTCAAGAAGGTGCTTTCTGCGAGCCCCGGGCTGACACTCGCTGATTGGTCACATATAGCTCGGCATAATGTCTGCGCCTGTAGTACACGTGTACCCAGCTGCAGAGGGCCCTAATGCCAAAACCGCAAGGAATGACCCCTTCAAATATGACTTCTCAAAGTATGGACGTCCCTATTCGATCTCATGGCTACGGCTCTTACCATTTTTCAGCGGTTTCGAAGCCCGCCCTTTGGCTGAGCAACTTTCTAGTCATACTCCCATCCCAATTCCCTATAAAGACCCCATCAACTGGGCTCGTATTGCTTCGTTCGTTTCCCTCATTCCAATCGTAACCCTTATTTTCCGTTTTATTCGCCCAGCGCTCCAAAATCGCTGGGTATGGGCAGCAGGCACTATCCTCCTTTCCACTGTCATGACCTCCGGATACATGTTCACGCGCATCCGAGGCACGCCGTACGTGGGTCCTGACGGGGGTTGGCTTGCGGCAGGGTTTCAAACCCAATATGGGCAGGAAGTCCAAGTTGTCTCACTACTTTGTGCGTCGTTACAGCCTCTTGCTCCCACCCCAGTTATACTAATGTCCACCTCAGACGGCGTCCTGGCGGGCTCTTTCGTGATGCTAATCCTCTTAGCACCTCAGCAATCGTCTCCTTCACGCCAGCGGACACAGATATACATCTGGACGGCCCTCAATTTCATCGTGTTCTCTGTCCTTGTCTCTATTTTCCGCCTTAAAAATAGAGGTGAGTATGATCTGGTAGGTTCGTGCACTAATGTCCTAATGCAACATAGGTTACCCCTTCAAACTCATGTTTTAGATCATCACAAGCCGATAGCTATAATAGACAATTGTGCTGTGCTTAGACCTGTTCGCATTCAAAGCGCCTTAGTCCGGAATGAGTCAAATAACAAAGAGGTGCGTATGTGTACAAAACACGAATAGCAGAATGGAGTACCGTATACGGCCAAGTTCCCAAAGTTGCAGTCTGATGGCTATCGAGCAGCACATAAATGAAGTCAAGATATGTTGGAGGGAAAATGATGCTTCTATCTAGAATAACGTGACAATTGAGGGAGTAATTATGCCGCACCAGTGCCTGCCTCCTGCTGGAAGACGTCTACATATCTGTTCCTTACATTCTTCTTCGCAGCTTGCGACCGTGGCCGTCCCATGGGAGGTGGGGCAATACCAATCCCCATGTCTAGGTTAGGGGTAGCGGGCATGGCGGCTGCCTCCGGCGGGACGAGATTCGACCGTGGACGCATTGGCGGTTTGGAGCTAGTTAGATCAATAGCAGATGCCGTGCGTGCCAGAGGTGGGGCGATTGGGGGGCCACCAGTAGCTGGCCGCCTGGCCTGTGATGGTGAGGCGGTCTGTGCCCGCGCAGGAGGCGGAGGTGCGGGTGCAGCTGGTTGAGTGCTCTCTGCTCCACCCTGGACATGGAGTGTCACAAGTTGCGATACGAGATATGCCAGCTAGCTGACTGACCTTTTTATTGACCCAACGTTTGAGCTCTGTGTCATAATAGAAGCTTGTCTCCTCGCCGAGATTGGCCTTGATTGCCCCGGGAGTTTCTGAACGCCTCCAGAATCGACTGAACCACGAGCCGCCCGATGCTGCTTGTGTAGTAGGAGACGAACCTGACGGGGAATGTCAACAACACAACCAACAGGATACGGCAATAAGGAAACCCACCTGGTTTATCCTCGGTTTGAGAGGTAGACTCTTGCTGAGGCGTTGACGACGGTGGGTAGCCTTCGGCAGTCTTCGCACTTTCCTCTGGCTTCCTCATAAGAGCACTGTTGCCCAAGCCGAGATCATCTTCGTCGTCTTCGAAAGTCGTGTCAAGTCGGCGAGGTGTTGCATCCAGATTGGGAGTTACCGACAACGCTGGGTCGTCCATGAGAGAGACAAGTCCATTCCCCGAAGAAGGGACGCCCCCCACCCTGACGAAAGTCGTAGCTACAGGTGTCGCAGACGAGTCGGCGCTGCTGAGCGCATCCCACCACCCCCCACTCTCCTGGCGTCCTTGCTCTTGTTGCAGTTGGCTAGACCCGCTGGCGCTTTCCTCGGGCGTGACCTCGAGAGAACTCTTACGTGAAGATGAACTGCTCCCATAGGCAGGGATGTATGTAGCTGCGTGTCCATTCATTGGAGGGGTATGGGGAGAGAAGGGGTAAGATGGCTGAGATGGGTGAAGCGGAGCGGTCTTTGGCGGCGCCGGCGACGCACTGTGTATGGGACAGGTGGTGCTCCATAGCTGACGATGCACGATCAATGGGCGCATAAGACTGTGTGGATGGTAACGACATCGCAGACCCCGTTCGACGAGGAGGCTGTGCAGGTGCAAACTGGCCGTTTGGTATCATCGGTGGCGGTGATGAGCTTGCAGAGTTATCTGCGGATGACATAGAGCTGTAGGGCGGAGGTCCGGAGAATGCAGACGGTGCGCTAGCAGCCGACGGAGAAGGCTCGTCGCCCTCACCAGCAATGAACTTTGTCAGACGGCCCTCCAACCAGCTACCAATACTGTCGAGGCTCGGTTTGTTCACCTTCCCACTTATCCATGACCCCGATTTATCCACATGAGGTGTGCCTATTAGGCGGTCAGCGAGGCTCCTTAACTGACCAACCATCATGGGGTTGAAGTAGGGCGAAGGACGACTCATGGAGGCAGTGATTGCTTCACAGTACCTACAAAAAAATCAGCATAGCATCGTCGATTGGCGGCGTTGAATATACCTAGAGGCAACTTGTACATGGCCAATCTCAGCAAGGTACACAGCCCGGATTAACTTGTAAGCTTGCAGGTGAGGGAAACCAAGGAAAGGCTCCTGTCCCTTAGGTGTAGCCTTCAGTGAGAATGCGAACTCTAGGATCTCCGAAAAGATCGTGGCATCGAAGTCTTTGCAGAACGTCGGCTTCGAGTGAGGGCTTTGCGATCCCAACAGTACTATGCGTGCGGACGGACTGCCAATCCCACCTATTATTGACGTCTGAGGTGACAACATATAACTGTGAACTGCGATTCAGCATCACTGGAAGACGAAAATAGACACTCATACCAGACATGAGCCGCCTCCACTTGCTGGTGAGACAATAGATAGTCACCGAGCGCGGTAATAGCAGCCGACCACTCCGGATTGGATGCATTCGCTAGAACTGACGCAACGATCTCGGGCCACTTCAAGAGTGACTCAGTTGGTACCTGGGCAGCGGCCACTGCTGATGGAAAATTGGGAGACATAGGTGTAATATGTGGTAGATGAGGGGCGGGCACTTGCAAACCGGTGGTAGCCCTAGATAGTAGGTTAGTAGGTACAAGTTCTTGAACTGTCAAGGTACGTCAAACTCAATCTATGAAACAAACAGAAACCTCTTACTCGCAGCTGGCCCTTGACCAGAAAAAAGGCTGTATACAACTCGCAAGCACTCTCTCCCGCTGGTTCGAGGTGGCATATTATCGTTTCCACCAGCGACAAGGGCATGCTGAGGGTTGTGCACGCCAAGCTCAGCCTTCAAAAATTCGCTGACAACTTCTTTCCACGCTTCCTTGTCAATACCGCTCGAGATGATCATCGCGTGTGCCCAAAGCTTCTCATCAAGTGCATAGTGATATGCTTGACGGCGCTCTCCACGCACCAAGAATTCTTGGATCTTGTCCAAGGCAGAAGGACGGGTGGCGGTGACTGAAACGGGAGATTCGTTCGTAGCTGGGAGAGATGCATTATACCCGTCTGCAAAGGGTGACGTGAAAGCCGGTGTAGATAAAGATGCAGAGGACTCCGTTCCAACTTCTTTTAGGTTACCGGCAACATGTGGGACCAAAGCGGCCCGTACGGCTGTATCAGTCTGGGGACTGTAACCATAATGAACACGTCGTTATCATCATTATGGACAACAGGGCCTGACCTTCCGTAAAGCACACCGTCATGCTCGACCATAACCTTCAGCACCTGTACTAGAGCCAGTTTATCTTCGACCCTCCGCCTTTCAATGCCCTCAGAGGCGTACGTGGCCGCACGCGATATCTCCTCAGCACGCTCCTCCAAATACTTGGTAACACGTGCTTTCTTGGTCTTCAAATTCGAAGACATCCCCGTACGGACAAGACTCGTCATTGGTGACCCGGGATCAGAGAGCAGTGGACCAGGGTAAAGCGCCGCCTTCGGCTCAAGTGCGTATTCCGGCAATGCCTTGTGTACTTCCCGAATGGTGATATTTGTCGTCCTCCGTGTAGAGAGCGCAACATCAAACCCGGTACTCAAATCTGCAGAGCCGTGGAAGCAAGTGACCAACCTGCCTCCGAACCCAAAGCTCACAATTGGAGCCCGTGCTGAAACACGGCCCAGTGGATCATTGGATCCCAACAACGACGGAGAAGGCGCATAAGGAGGTCGAGAAACTGTCATGTGGGTCTCCGAACCGATAGAATACGCAGAGATACACCCAAGCGAGCTAGATTCCCCCGTGTAAGATTGGTATGCGAGACTGAATTCATTGCGCTGTTGGTGAGCATCCAAAGCCATAGAGCCCGAGACTAGTGCAGAACCACCCAACGGCTGTCTCCCACGGAACTGGGATGTGGCATTGGCGGTGGCTGTTCGAGATGGAGCGTACGGATCCGTGACTGAAGACTGGGAACAAGAGGTACTCGGTGACATTGTTCGTCCAGGGGCAGAGGTAGATCTGTCGGACGCGTCTGCGATGATGCCGTGCGTAATAGATCCATAGAGGTTGGAAGTAGTTGTTGCTTGATTATTCAGCGAGCGAACAGATGCTCGAGACGATGTACGTTGAACTGGAACATACGGGGAGGGATCATATGGGTGTACAGCCCTTGCAACATAGGCAGGAGTATTGGGATCCTGACTATTGGAGTCTACGGCATTGACATTTCGGAGAGGGGACGACACTCTATTCACCGGGCTGCGCAGAGACGAGATGCTGGAGCCGCTCGAACCTGACCTAGTATGCGCAGAATACGTGCCGGGAGATGCTCGCCCATTGGAGGCGCTAGGGCCTTGACGGTGAGGTATTTTTCCATGATGTGGCACAGCAGGTACCCCACTAGCAACCTGGACGAAATCATCTGCGTTCGATGCAGTAGGCACCGGGACCTGTTCTCGGGAGCTAGCATTGGGAATAGTCTGATGCAGGGAGTAGTCACTAGCAGAGGAACTGCCATACTGGGCTGATGTAGCTTGCCGAGCGCTCGAGGAAACTGCACCAGACTGAAGGAAACCGCTCTCAGACCTGCCATCTTCCGGATCACGCCATGGCATATCGTCTGATGTGTAGACAGTCTGAGTGTCGAGCTGCTGCTGCTCGTCCACCACGTCATGGGTTTGGGATGCCCTGTTCGTTTCAAGAGTATCGTGGCCAAGCGAATTGTTAGATATATGCCGAGAAGCCTTTGTAGCATTATCACCGTAGTTGACCTCGGAAAGATTAGGTTTGTAAGCATTTGAAACGGCTGTAAATCTCCCTGGTGGTGCTTGGCGAGAAATTGGAGGATCCCTTGGGGAAAGAATCGATTCCTGCACGCCGGATGGGGCGTATGCAATCCCATTTTGATATGGCACGGGACCGTATTGCTCTGTGGCTCCGCACACGGGTCCAACCCTTTGCTGAGATGGAGCTCCAGGTGGCAGCCGAGGGGGAGGTCCCAGAGGAGTAGGCGATGGACCATTGCTAGCATTAGTGACCGTTGAGGGAAGAGGCGGAACAGGGGGAGCCTGCATTTGCCCATACATCTGATGCCCAACGGCTGGCGACCCTGAACGAGAGGTGCGTGCACTTACGGCACGTTTGGACACTCTGGGAGGGGGAAGGGGAGGGTCATATGCGTTCGATGTTTTCAGTCTGTACGATGCCGCTGTTGGTGGAGCAGGGGGAGCATTTCCTGCCACAAAGGGCTGAGAAGGTGGAGTTGGCGGGGGCACAACAGTCGTAGGGGCGTAAGGTGAAGATACTGAACGTGAGATGGGTTTATGGGTCTCCTGCGTAGTCTGAGGTCGGGAGACCACTGGCGTGTGATGCGTATGTGGAACAGTCGTGCTGGGCTTGTAAGGGTCATAAACGGGCTGAGCCTGTACATACGATGGCGCCGAAGGATCTGGATGCTGGCCTGGGGGACTTGGTTTGTATGGGTCAGGAGGCTGGTGCTGGCTGTGGGCACTTGGTTTGTATGGATCGTGGTCGCTCGTGAAGGCGTTTCGCACCACTGCACAGTTGTAAGTATCGAAAGGTGTGTGAAGATAGGTCTTACCGACCTGGTTGAGGAGTATGGCTGAGTCGTGGTTCGTAACCCGTCGAATGAACGTCCGAATACCAACTTTGCTGCTGGACATAGGGTCCATGGGTCCCATTCACCTGCTGAGCTTTGGAGTCTTGGGTGGTCGGAAACGACCAGTCATCGTGTCCGGAGGCTTGGGCGTCTGGGTACATTTGCTCAGCGAACAAGCTCGAAGCGTCCTGGCCCATGTCCGCTGGGTATGAAGAAGGATCGTGCTGAGCATGTTGGGTCGACTGTTGTTCTTCAATATTCGACCCGATTGCATGCGTCGTGTCACCGTCCTCGTTGCCAATGACCGCAAATGGGTCTGGTCCGGCATCACCCTCCGAGCCAAATAATGAGGCAGCAGCTTCCACGGAGCTCATGGTTTCAACGTGTCCTTTACCCCGCAAACCAGCTCGATCTTCTGTTTGCAAAATTTTGTGCAGGCCAGAGTGACGAAAAGCTGGACGGACCCTGTTGCTTTTCACCAATTAACACGTACACCGGCTATACGTTAGTTTGGTCGTGCTTGCTCGCCTCGGGCTGATTCTGATGCAGGGGGAAACCTCAACATTAACCATTATAACGGGCATAGGCCACGTATGCACCTATACTATGTACTAACAAAAAAGGACAGGGGCCACACGAAGCAACAGACAGTTCACAAAGAAACTGAGATGTTCACAATAAGATGGTAGTGGCAGGAAGAACTAACGGCTCCAATATTGTCAAAGAACTGAAATGCAGTATCCAACTAAAAGAGAGGTGGCATGCATTACCAATGTTCATGTACGGGCAGTGACGTGATTGCAGAGGGATGAAAGAGAAATGATGCGAGTATATCATAGCGATGCGAGCAGAAGTGAAAGAGCGCGAATGGATTGAGTGAAAAAAAAAAAAGCAATGTCGTGCACAGAAAGTCGCGAAATGGTAATTAGTATTAGTTAGATGGCGTTTGAGATAACGATGGAAAATCAGTCGGCTTGTCGAATAGCTTGGATGCACTGACTGTGCGCTCTAGCAGCCTTTCAACTGCAAAGGTGAGTTAACACTTATACGACCTCGCTGAGAGGAGGTTCACTCACTAGAAGTCAGATGTTTACTGTAGGCACTAGAATACCGGCGCATGCTGACGAGCTGGGGGCGAATCTTGGCTACCAGTAGCTCCTTTTGATCGCTGTCGGCAACGGTCAAGGCCCGTTGCAAAACGTAGTCTGAAATATTATTACAATCACAGCGAAGGGAGTACGGAAAGCAGACTTACTTGCAAACTGATCCTTCATCATGGACACAATGGGAGTAACACCGTCGGCCTTCGGTGTCATGATCTCCTCGACCAAAGCGCGCCTCTCCTCAGGTGATGCAGTTACAAGAGCCTTCTCACAAACATTCGACGCAAACTTATGGCGTGCCATGTTCAACATTTGCCCACGTAGCTTGGCGATAACCTGGCCGCGATCATGCAGTTTACCTTGTTCGAGTACGAATTGAACAACATAATTCTAGTTTGCATTTTAGCATTCAGTATTCCATGGCACTTGTATATAACAGAACGTACGCCAAACTGGTCTTGCATCAGATTGATCATGTACTTGTGCAACTCGTCCATCAATGGCCTAGTTTGGTCCTCTGGTAGGTGCTCAAAGCATCGCTGGAGTACGCGACATCCATACGGATGAGTAGAGAGGTCGTAAATGTTTCCACGGAATGAATTGACAAAGTTCAGTCGATCAGGAGCAACGCGTTCGATCAATTTTTGGATGACCTATACGTCGGAGGGCGCACGTTAAGCTGGCCTCGTTTCAACAATTATTAAATCTCACATGATTGCCATTCGCGTCCTTGACGCACTTGAGCACGTGCGGATCGAGTTCTTTCACGAAGGCCCCTTGTTGCTCTGGCAAAATGAACTCGACAGCCTGGATTTGGATTTGCTGTCGTCAGGTGGGCACTACTAATGCGTAAGGTAGCACTTGCCTTTTGAACGACACGGCAACCGTACATTTGAAGGGATAACGCCAGAATGTGACCTTCCATCGTATTGGCCAGTATAGTCTTCTGCACTTGTGTTCCATGCTCAAACAGTTTTTGAATGACCTGAAAATGCGTATAGTTGAAGCAGACTCCCCCCCCCGCGCGACCTGGCTGCCACATACATAGTTTCCAAAGACATCCTGGATGAGCTGCAGGACATTGTGAGGGACAATTTCATCAAAAACGGTTTGCTTCTCCTCGGACGTTGCGGTCTCCAACTTTTGTTGTATGAACCGCGAACCATGTTGGTCACCGCTGAATTCGACCACGTAACCAAAAATATCCTAAGTACCGGTTTCGTAAGTTGTCAGCCATGAGAAGCGAATAGACCTACCCTGAGCTCCCACTTACGTGTCTTGTTCGCTCTAAATTCGTCCAGCAGGGGACTACGCAAAGCAAGCGTCGCCTCAATATTATCGTGGCGACGTCCAGGACGCATATTCTGGTGGTAAAATGGCATACCATGGGCACTCAGGCCGGCGTGGCCGTACATAGCACCATTGTGAAGCATAAAGGGAAGCTGGGAGCTGTAGTCTACAGCAGCTGCGTATGCCTGTGAAATGGAAACTGAATAACCGGTAATTTCGTGAGTGTTTTTTTGGCTCACCTGTTGGTGTAACCCATACTAACCTCACGGTGAGTAGATAAATGAGAAGCTCGAGATAAAGACCCACCTGCTTCTTATCCGGGATGCCAGTCGGCACCGCAGCACTGAGCTGAGGTGTGGGTAAGGGCGAAAGTGACGGCATAGTCGCATACATCATGGCTTGATGTGGGGGGTAGTAGAATTGGGAAGGAGACCTAGCTGTGCCAGAATAATCAAAGTACACGCCTGATTGCTGCTGAGCACCTGAGGCTGGGGGGTGGAGGGTCTGCGAAGAGACAGACGGATATATACTCGGGGGTGACGTATTGTTCGCGCCAGCAGAGGAGGGATAGAGTGTAGGATCTGGTGGAGCACTGTATCCATATCCATACTCCATATAGGGGTCGCGCACAGTGCCACTGGTATAGAATGATGGGTAATCTGCTTGTGGGTATCCAGGATATGGCGCACGTCCTTGAACAATCTGCGGGGGCGGCCGTACCTGGGGGACGGCAGAAGCAGGATGTGGCACATTCGCAGGGGGTTGCTGACGGTACTGGTTGTTCACTTGCTCGTCCTCGACCGCCATTCCCCGAAGTCCAAGAGCAAGGTCGTTCTCGACAATAGACGACACTTGAACAGAGTCGAAACCCCCATTTTGACCAGGAAAACGCGAAGACCCGTAGGCACCTGGCACAGGATGAGAGGACGAGTACCTACCGTCTTTGCCAATGCTGTGATCGAACCTCTGCGGCGAGTATTGGCCGGTTTTGGCCGGACCGCGATCGTCCTTAGAAAGACATCAACATCAGAGTTAGCAGCGAGAATGCCAAAATTGCACGTACCATCCTTGGTCCCGATAATCCGACCGGGTGAGCAACTCCAGCTTGTCTCTGGCGGGTGTGACGAAGTGGCAGAGCCGGATTGGAATCCTGTGGCTTGCTTCAATTCCCAAGACAGACAAACTCGGCGAGACCATATTACCAGCTGCGAAAAATCCTTCTTCTGCGGGCTGCCACTCAACTCGTCCCAAGTCCCACTGGATGCCCGAGGTGCACTCCACGACTCTCCGATGTTGCTTCGGTAGCCGTTCTCTGTCTGAGACGGAGACAAGTCGCCCACGCTTGCCGCGGAAGAAATCGACGCGTTCCTCTTCGGACCCGGAGTGCCGGAGCCCCAGACCTGACAACATGGTTGATGACATTGACGTCAACTATTAGTGCGAAACCGCCGAGAGAGTACTGACCTGCCAGCCTGCACCGAGGCCCTTGAGACCAGGACCACCTCCCATCCCAACTCCAAACATGTTACCTGCAGATGTCGGTGTCAAATTCCTCTGCGGCTACATCGCCCAGTAGAATTAGATGCCAGAATGCATTGATGAGAATGACTACGTACGTTACTCGGCGAGGCGGAAGGGGACTGTCCCGACGAGCGAGTTGATGAGCCAGAAGGCTTGCGGGACGTGTCTTCAGGGTGACGTGCCATTGCAAGAGACTATTAACCAACCGTTTGACACTGAGGAAGCGGATGATGGAACAAGGGAAGAGAAGCGGAAAGCAACTTACAGAGTGAGAGAAGAAAAAAGGTAAAATTATAATTTCAAGGGGTGGCCTTGCAAACGTATTAACCGTCAAAGGCGAACACGGATTAGCCAAGGGGTTCAACCGAGTGTGCGGGTGGAGCTATCGGCACGGGGAAGGGGTAAAGACGCGTCGAGCGCATAGGATTATCGTAACGGAACACGATGCAGACCGGGACGCGTAAATAATGGGCTACAGGCCATTAAACGTGACTCACCAAGGATGTGATACTAGAAACTAAGGAGGCTCCAGATAGAGCACCCTCCACTGGCACTCGGATAAAGAGAAGAAGAAAAAAAGAAAAGGCGACGCGCACGCAGGGAACGTTGACGCGCACAGCTTATGCAAAGAGAAAAACCAGAAAGCAAAGCCGCTCGGTGTATTATTTGTTATGGAACGGAGTATTCAATCGCTAAATCGACAAATTTGGTTCCGCGCAGCTATATTGATTCCGCTCGGCGATGACACTCTGACTTTGCCCTGTGGAAGGGCCCCCTTGGCAGATCAAGAGGAGCGACGGAGAATGACCAGATATTAGTGAGCAGGTTAAAAAAAAAGCAGTTTTTTCGGGCCTGCAATGGTGATCCGGGGCCGATTTGCAGTGTCCGGAGGGGTCGCGGGGCAATGAAGCTGTATGTGCACGGCAAGCACCATAGCCTGTTCCTGCACTTTTTTTTCCCGATGGCACTCGATTAGATACAGAATACACAGCCATCACAGGTCCCCGTTTTTGCTCGCCTATTCCCGGGGAAATTTTTCGGGTCTTGCTGCATTTTTCGGATGACGGTTGGCTAGATCTGAGGGTCCTCTATTAAGTTAATATTCGTCACTTGGGGTTTGGCTTGGTTTTCTTCCTCTAAGTCCTACATCAGTGATGGGTTGATCGAGATGTCGCTGTTCAGTGATAAGTCCTGCTTATCTAAAGTAAAATCTCCTTGTCGGTTCCGCCCGTGGTACCTGCAAGTAGTATCTACGCTCCAGACCTGAGATTGTAATATTAAGTATGGAGGGTGGCTAAGGCTCAGGCTCCGTATTTATCAACGTTCGACGAGTCTATTGTGACACATACACAAGGTTCCGTCTATCCATCAGACTGGCTCAGGCTCAGCGATCAGGCTCCTTGGTCATCCTAGCCCCAGATTAGTAAGTTGTGTATAGGGTCCTGCGCTTATCTTGATCGCTCTCTCCATCCTCCTTGAAGTGTCATTGCATTAAAGGTGATGATGATAGCGGTGGAATACTGAAAACAATGAGCACAAGGCTTGCTGTCTAGTTATTTCGAGAGTTAAAGAACCACGATGCACGTTTCGCTGTACTCGATATTTAAGCACAACAGAAAGTACTAGGGCGCGACAAGAGGACTTACCACCCCTAGATAAAGCATCGCCATCAATCACTTAACACTGTCGATGATGAACACAATCACTCACCCTCCTTCCTCATTCTGAAGTCTGGCTAATGGATTGGCTGATGACATATTGCTTCCGCTTGCTGCAGGCCGGCGCAGATCCGCCGGGGGCACCAGCTGCCACAGCAGAGCCTCCTCCTCCTCGGAGTGGCTTGGCAATCCGACCGAAACTCAATGCAGGGCCACTTGACGCCTTTTGCGCTACAAGTACGGGACGATGAACTACCCAACTTTATGCAAAGAGGTTCCATCCTTACCACGTGCTTGCTCAAGCCGCTCTTTCACCGATTGGAGCTGTGCTTCAAACTTCTGATTTTGAATGGCCAATCGACGATCAGCATCCTGCAGGAGTGCTTCCAAGTTCTGGATGCGCTCATTCCGTGCCATCAATTTACGTTCAGCTATGCCAGCTTCCTTTTTCAACGCCGAGTTCTGGTCCACCAGCTATAACACCGATTAAAACACCTGCGCGCCCAATATGAGGTACGTGTGCTGGTAAGCTCACCTGTTTCTGAACTAACGTCAGCTGTTCTAGATTGCGCTCCAAAAATGCCATTTTCTTCTGTTGAGCTTTGCTGTTGCTGTTCCTAATGACGTTGTTGTATTGCTCTCTTAGCTCGTCCAACTGAATCTCCAGTTCCACGACCTGTCATAAGGTTGGGTATAATATATGGCCAGCACTGGCAAGCAGCTATACGAACCTTCTCACAGCGATTAGAGAGATCCCGCATAAGGGATTTCTTGACGGCCTCAAACTCGGCCAGCTGTACATTGATGGCTTTGCGCGTACGCTCGAGGTCCTGAGCGCTCTCGGCCAAGCTCTTACCACCCTCGATTCCAGCGGACGTAACGGCAAAGGCACGCTGGGCGTAAACAAGTAAGACGTGGGTGAACGTGAAGAAAGTTCTAATGCCGTACTTTGAGCTCCTCGTTCACGTTCTTCATGCTCTCAATCGTAGCATTCAACGAGCGAATCTCATTACTCTTTAGTTCAAGCTGCTGTTTAAGATCCGATGCTTCGGCAATACTCGCTTCACGTCGAGCTGAGTATTGTGCCTCTAGCTTATTCTTCAAGAAGCGACCTCTTAAGTGGTTGTAACATCGGGCTTCGCATATTAACATACCTTCAGCTCTGCCATCGACTGCGCGATGCCTGCGTTACTGGTTTCCTCATCTTGAATGGTTTTCTCTATCGGGGAAATGACGTAAGGATATACTCTGCAAGAAGTTCTGGGACGCACCAAGAAGCTCTTCATATTCAGCCTCAAGGGTGGTTAGGCGGCTCTCAAGTTCATCACGGCGGCGTGTCACCATCTCATTTTCCTCCTGGCTCTGTCTCAGACGATCCAAAGTCTCCCGCACTGTCGACTGCGCCTCGCTCAATTGCCGTCTAGCAGCTACGACGTCGTCTACGGTAAGTGAAGAAAGTGTTACTTCGGAATCCACGGAATCCAACTTAGAAAGAAGCTGGCGAAGTTGTTCATCTTTCTCCGAGAATGCGCCTTGCTGTATGGGGGTTGAGAAGAGGTGTGAGCTGTGAGATACTTGAGGTAACCTACAGCATCAAATTTAGCCATCATGAGCGCCATTTTCTCCTGCTTGCGTTTCTCCTTGTCCTCTGCCGAGGCATCCTTTTGAGCACTACGCAGCTCGGTAATGATTTTCTTAAGCTCGTCGAGTTCACTTTTGGCATCTTGGTTCTGTTCCCGGAGGATGTCAATCGTAATGATGCTCTCTTTGTTGTCATAGTCAAGGCGTTCCACTTGTAAACGAAGCTCGTTGAGTTGGGTGGACATAGATTTATTTTCCTGGGAACGGTCGACGTCAGTGAGCGATGGCTTCCTCACATAAACACAGCACCAACCTTCGACAAAGAAACCTCTTGCTCTCTGAGGAACGCAAGCTCTTCCTTCAGCTCTTTGACAAGCTTCTCAGCGGCAGCAAGTGAGCTCTCTTTCTCGGCCAACTGGTCACTGAGTTCGTTCTCTCGTCGAAGGAATTCCTCCCGTTCGTCCTTCTCGAGGCCGATGACCGTAGGTGTTTGCGGCCTGCTATCAATCTCAGATCGGAGACCCTCCAACACGGGGTTAACAGGAGTCTGGCTTCTGGCAGTCGACGGTGCAGATGCGGGCCTCTTGGACGATACGGAAGTGCTGATCGGCTTGTCCGGTGTCGCCCACTCGCTTTGCTCGACGTGCCCACCAGAGCGCCAAATACCAAGCTTCCGCTTCCAGTGTCTGTATGTATGCCAGATGCCGGGTGTTCGCGAGCTGTGCCTTGGACAAGAGTCCCTTGAGCTCCAACGGAGAAAGTTCTTGGTTGACACGCGCTGTGTTCTTTATCGATTTCGCACGGATACCAAAGCGTAGGGTAGACAAAGTCTCCGCTTCATTGTATAACGAGGGAGAGCAGTTAATAATAAGAGTCGTTCGCGAATTGCCACCCAAAGACTCTTGCAATATGCGAGTAAGCTTTGAGTCCCGGTAAGGAATATGTTTTGTCTGAGAGTGACCATAGGTGAGCGCGCAACGCACTGTGCAGGGGTACTCAGGGGGTATGGTCCCATATGAGCGCATACCTTGGGGTCCGTGAGCGCGTTAATCACCATACCGAGCGCAGAAAGCGATTTGTTGATCTTCTTCGCTTCTTCTAATGTTTGACCCGAGGCACCTGTCTTACCAACCTTTTCGGACCCAGCAAGATCGACGAGATAGAGGTTTCCTGATTTCTGCGCGCCCGTTTCCGTATTCCGCTGCTGAATCGTGATTAGAAAAATGGAATGTGATCGTGAACTCTCAGCATTCATGTCTGGAAGCGTACTTCGTCAGTAACCACATGATACGATCATGTCCGGCGCTCACTGGTCGAGGTGACTACGCGGGCTGCCGCTCCCTGGCGCATGATCTCGTACACTTCACGCGCACTACTGACATAGTAGTCGGATAAGTTCTTGACATACACACCGCGGGACTTCTCCTCGTGAACTTGCAAGTTGTCATTTTGGGCTAGGAAGCTGATGAGTGGTCGACAATATAGGGATAAATGCACTGCAACTTACGAGCCAGCAAATCACGAATACGTTCGAGATAGATTTCCATATAGGAAACTTTGACCATGTACTCTAGGTGAGCATCCGACTCCACGATAGACTGGAATATTTGTTCCGTGATGCGGGGTATAATTCCTTTCAACTCCTCCGAGTCTATATCTGCGCCCTGAATGTCGATGTCCATGAGAATTAAACAAAGAGCACATGATTGCAACTTTCCATCATCGTGAAGGTCTTCCCACTGCCAGTTTGGCCGTATGCGAAAACGGTGCCGTTGTAACCATCGAGAACATCTAGATGGTTGGTTAGTCATCCATAGCGAAGATGGAGCAGGAATGCGGTGTTGGAGATGGCCCCACGCTACGGACATGGAAGAGGTCTCACCTTTGACGATACTATAGAGAGGAGGAACGCGTCAACGGCTCTCAGAAGTCGCGTAGCAACGTTGTAAACTCACTCCTTGACACCGTAGTCAAAAACTTCGTGTTGTTTCGTACCCATCGGAAACACCCTATCAAACGTAAATCCATCTTTCTCTGGACCTGAGACAGATTGCGCATTCCGCATCATCACGGTTTGAAGGTTGTCATCAAAAGCCACGATGATCTCGCCGCCTTCTCTCAGTTCAAGAGCATTGGGCGGCCGAAATCTGTTCGAAATTGCGAAGGAGTGAGCTACGGATGGACCACGGCGCGCTTGATGCCTGGATCGTACCGACAAACGACCTTGATGTTAGTGGAAGAGGCCATGCTGGACGATCTGCGTAGGAAAGAGAGCCAAAGAGCGTGTTGTGGCCAGCACGCAGGTATATAAAAGGACAGTTACAACGCTGTGTTCAAAGTGTAGTGGTGGAGTGGTGATTTCTTTGAGTAAATGAGTGCCGCGGTCAAAGGGTTCCGACAAGGCAGCCGGGCTGCCTATTCGGGCGATCGGCTGAGTGGTCTCACGCAGTAACTACAAAACACTGGGATTTCAACGTGATATTAGACGACTGATGGACTCTGTTATACAACGGAAGGGTGTCGGGGATTACAATTGACCTCTATCATCGGATCAATCTTCGTCGCTATCGATGGAAGGCGGCGCAGCAGGGGCGGGCCTACTCGAGGAAGCAGTTAGTCTTCGGTGGCCCTGGCTCTCTTTTTGTGCTGCATCAGCAGCATCTATCCACTCCGAATAAATGTCGACTGGTTCGGTAAGGTCTGCGCAGATAAATCTCGGTACCAAAAACTGTCGCACGAGCAGAAACAACCACGTACGATTAACTTTACTTTGATACCTCTGATCGCACACTCTGCAGACCAGCTGGGCTATTCCCGCCTTCCTGTCGATTCTAACTGTCACAGACGTGTCGTGATTACAGAATAAACATGTGAATGTTGTGTCTGGCAGAGGAAGTGAGTGCAGGGGTGAGGCTGACATGACTGAACACACCCAACGGCTGCCGTCTCCGTGCAGCACTGGCCGCCGCTGGCTTTCTGGACGACTTCTTGCGTTTCCCCATGATGCCAGGACGAGAGTCCTGATAGCCATGTGCCAACCGTATGCTTTTCCCACGGATGCACGTGATCAAGACGCGTCTGTAAGTTTACTAGCGGAGTGGAGCAGTCGCGTTGGCCGAGACCTAGGACAGCGACAGCGATGGCCTCTCGTCGCCTCCCAAGTTTAAGGTCAAAACCGACCCTCCAACCGCCAGCAAGCTCCAGACAACAACGAGCCACCACAAATCCACTCTCACCAACTTCATCAGAACATCCCGAAACCCAGGCCGAAGCACCCGTGCCACCGTCCAAGTCCACCAGATCGCAACACGCCGACGGAGAAACCAACATCCAGGTAGTCATCCGGTGCCGCAGGCGGTCCGAACGCGAGATTCAAGAGAATTCACCCATCATTGTCAGCTCAAATGGCGCCAAGAGTGACGAGATTACGATTGAGACCTCTACTCCCGTATCCAGCTTGGGCATCGTAACATTGCCACCTACTCGCACGTACCCTTTTGACCTAGTATTCGGGCCAGAGGCAGACCAGGCTATGATTTATCACGAGGTCGTTAGCCCCCTCCTTGAGGAAGTGATTAGGGGATACAACTGTACCCTATTTGCATATGGCCAAACCGGCACCGGAAAGACGTAAGTCCGTGACGATCTGTGTAGCTTCACACCTGATTCCTGTCTAGGTATACTATGCAGGGCGATCTGGTCCCTACTCCCATGGGCAACCCCTCCGCTCAAGCAGGGATGATACCCAGGGTTCTGTTTCGCCTCTTTCACCGTCTGGAAACCTCCACCGCGGACTACAGTGTCAAAGTATCGTTCGTAGAACTTTACAATGAAGAACTCAGGGATCTCCTTGCAAATGAGATGCTTCCCCCGGCTGGATCCACACAACCCATGGGGAAAGGGGGCCCAGTTGACAACCAAGGGGGCCTCAGAATTTTTGACGATGCCAGTAAGAAAGGAGTTTTCATCCAGGGGTTGGAGGAAATACCAGTCAAGGATGCCCGTGATGCACTAGCTCTTCTTACAAAAGGAAGTCATCGTCGACAAATTGCCGCTACGAAATTCAACGATCACTCCAGCCGGTCACACTCCGTGTTCTCCATTACAGTCCATACGAAAGAAACATCTAATATCGGTGATGACCTCTTGAAGGTCGGCAAACTTAACCTCGTAGATCTTGCTGGGTCGGAAAACATTGCACGATCCGGTGCGGAAAACAAGAGAGCGAGAGAGGCCGGCATGATCAATCAAAGCCTACTAACTCTCGGCCGCGTTATCAATGCACTCGTTGATCGTTCTCCTCATGTTCCATATCGGTGAGTTGCTGTCCAGTCGGCCATAGTGGTGATACGACTTAGGAAAAATATAACAGAGAGTCTAAACTCACCCGCCTTTTACAAGACTCCCTCGGCGGTCGCACGAAGACATGCATCATCGCTACCATCTCCCCTGCACGTTCTAATATGGAGGAAACGCTCTCTACCTTGGACTATGCTATCCGTGCCAAGTCCATCCGCAACAAGCCCGAGCTTAACCAACGCATGACACGCAACGCCCTCCTCAAAGAGTACGTTGCTGAGATTGAACGCCTCAAGGCAGACGTTCTGGCTGCGCGGGAAAAAAATGGTATCTTCTTCTCAGAAGAGAGGTGGAATCAGATGACAGTAGAACAAGAGCAATGTCAGACAGAAATGGAAGCGGCGAAGAAGCAAGTGGACATTCTAGAAAGCCAGTTGAGGAGCGTGAGGGAGGAGTTCGAGCAGAGCATGGCACTACTAATGAGACGCGACGGTGAACTCAAGGAGACGAAGGAAAAACTGAAGGAGACAGAGGGCGAGCTTGAACAGAAGGATGGACAGTTAAAACAGGTGAAGGGGGCGTTGGAAGAGGAGATGATCGTCCGTCAAGCCTATCAGGTTAACGAAGGTAAACTGGACGGTGTAGCGTGCGGATTAAAAGAGGTTGCCACAGAGTGTATCGAGGATGTCGGTGCACTCTTCGATAAACTCCGTCAGTCTTTTTCTCATGCACTTTTCCTTCACTGATCGTTCTGCAGAACGGAAAACGAAGACATTCACTTCCAATATTAAGGTCGTATCTCACCAAGGAAAATCGATATCCGCGGAGGTGCAGACCCTCTCCGATAAATTGGAAGAGTTTATCAAAGCGGCGGCCCACAGTACCCAAAGCCTCCGAGCAGAAGCCAAAACATATCATGCAAAGGAGCTCGAGACCTTGACGAGTCACTCCGAGCGCATCGATCAGCAGTTACAGCGCATCCAAGATTCCCTACGCATAATAAATGCTAAGGATGACGCCTCTGCGGAGGCATTGGGAATTCTGCACAGCGCAGTTAAGGACTCGCAGGAGACTCTAAAGAGTTCTTTTGCGGCCTGGTCAGACTCCCTGCGTACGAGCTCACAGGCACTATCAACGGAACTGTACTCTGCAAACCAAAGTAACTTCGCCGCGGTGAGTTTGAACCCACATCTCGGTTATCGCGCTTATCTCAGCCGAAGGTTGAAAAAGCTTTGAGAGCTATGGGTTCTGTAATGGATACCATTCTGACTGAGGCACTTGCCTTCGTAAAAGCGGAAGCAGACTCTGCATTACAAGCGAAATCCCTCGTCGATGAAATCTCGCGTGCTGAAATTGCTCACCTACAAGCACAGAACGCCAGGCTCCTACAGACCCTTGAAGCCGAAAAAGTCAAATCTGAGAAGGCAAAAGACGAGCTCGTGCAACGCGTCTCTAGCCTACTGGGAGAATTCGTTGCTACGCGCGATCTGGAACTGCGGCAAGCATTTGGCTCCATCACGAAAGGCAACACCAAAGTGGAGGAGGCCGTCACCAATCTGGGCCAGAAACACGAAAGATTAATGAATGATGCTGCTACTCGCGGCGTAGAGCTGTCCACCTCCTTACAACGGAGAACCGCGGAAGTGCAAGAGGACGCGTGATGGTGCATTGAAGGTAAGTATCCACCTTCCAGTGTTAAGCCAAAAGTTCAACGTCTTCGGCAGTCCGTGGGCTCCGCCCAAGCATCGTTCAAAGATGGTCTTTCTGCCATGCAAGCATCGCTCGCCACCACGACGACAACCTACTCAGGTGAACTACAACGACACGGGCAGTCATTACAGGCTTCATTGAATAGTGGCCTCGACCGCCATAACCGAGTGAAACGGGCACGCGTAGAGAGCATGAACACGATGGTGGCGGATGTTCAGAGTGAATTACGACACGTCCAACGGGGGATCACATCTACCTCAAGAAATGTGGATAATTTTGTTGCGCGGGTGGTCTCAGAGGTAAGCGATATCCATACGTGACCTCGCCATTGCTGAAATGCTGCTAGGGTGCAAACCTATCAAACTCTGCAGAACTCTACCATAAGGCGGTCTCCGGCGAGTTGAATACTCTACAAGACATGACGCGGTCGCTGGTCGATCAAGGGGCACGAGAAGATGTTCCTACAGGGATGACCCCGCGCAAGCGCGTGTGGGAATATGTCGACAAGTGGGAGTTGACGAAGAGTCGTGATGTTCTCCTGCAGTCCTGGAGGCAGGGCCACTCGACAGCGAATTCCAATCCAACCCCGGTTTCTGAAACATTCTCTCTTCCTAATGTCGTCGAGGAGACGGTGGAACAGATCGTACCAGTGAAAGACGAACCTCTGCCTGGTGAGCCTGCGCCTAAAGCAGCCACCACCCCAACTACTGTAACGTTGTCCCTACCGACAGTAGCATCGCCTGTCGCAGCTCCCCCAATACCACCACCACCAGTGAAAACGGTGGTGGCAAAGTCGGGCTTACCGGCATTGGCAGCCTTGGCGGATCGACCAACTAACATCCTTGGTCCGCGGGGGTCAAGAAGGATAAGGTAGCATCGCAACTTAGACGTAGGCTATACGATGTGTGTATGTCCACTATTTATCGCAAATATTTCATCTATTAGGAGTTTCAATGTGTAATCTATATGCCTCACTGCAAGTTTGGTGGTTGTAGTGCATGGTCGTTGTATATCATATACATATCATGTCACTCTTATTGTAGCCTAGATTTTGCTTGCCTTCATCATACTTGTTTTTTTTTTGCAAAGACTGGTTGAGATGGAACGCAAGCTTCGAGTGCTGAACAAACCACCCTTTGCAATTAATTTCCTTACGTAATCCACATGCCCTGTGATGACTGCAAAGTAGCCCGCAGTAGAAAATCTAAGCTCATTGCAAGTTTGTAGCCTCGGAGCACGATGGCTGCAGGATTGAAAAGTTCGCCTATTCTCTTTGGAACCTGATAATTCCGACAACTAAGTTCGCAACAGCCGTCATTTTGCTATCTTTTGTGCTTGCTGTCGGTTTCCTACTCATCATACTCTCGTGCGCCCTATGGGCCAACTGGCTCCCCCTCTTAGTAGGCAAGTTTTTGTCTTCTTTGCTTATCCTCCTGGGTGGCATCTCAGTCGTCTGGTAGCTCTTACATTTGTGTTGGCACCCCTTCCAAACGCCTTGTTTGCTCACTGTGGGGGAGACGAGTTCTCGGCGCACGAGTCCACTGCCGCAGTGGACTTGGGACGTTTCATAACGGCTACTATCGTCGTCACTGGCTTTGCTCTTCCGGTTGTCCTCACACATTCAGAAGTAATCAAGCCAGCAGCTTGTGTAATGTCGATCATTGGTGGGGGGTGAGTTGTTGCAGTTGTCACCATTCTTCACGGATGCTTACATGTTTTTTGGGGGGAAACATAGATTGGTGTATAGTACCATTATGGCTTATACAGCGGCATTTAGGCAAGATTACTCGGAATTTGATTGATTATTGTGTCGCACATGGAGCTATACTATGGACAAAGGATGAAACTACGATAAATGCTCGCATACCTACGAATCTCAGGCATCGCATGAGACTCAGCTTCGGGCTGACAAACCATTCATATCGACAGTGCGATTTTTTGCGAAAAGTGTCCGTTGATGGTTCTCCTGTGCTTTGTCGACCAACTCTTGCCGGATGTTGACCAGTAAAGGCATAAACTGCTCCCTCACGAGGTTGACTATCTCACCATCCAGCAGCTCCATGATGTACTCCACCGGCAGCCTCTTTTCAATGGGAGGTACTTGTGAGATATAGGCTTGCAGGGCAGCATTCAGGGCCTCCACTTCTTTGCTTATGGCTTCTGGGTTTGCCGAATCGCATGTCGCGGTAAGCTGCAGTAATAACAAGTGTCACCGCCTAGTCATCTTGCAGATATGATATGCGTTTTCATACCTCCGCGATGGCATTTCTCAGGTTTTCGTTCTCCGTTTCCATATGCTTGCATCTTTGCTCGAGCTCGTGGCGTTGACTGATCAAAGTTGCCACTTCTTCCGCCAGCTGACCGACTTCACCTCCGGTGGTCTGAATATTTTGCACGAGCGCTGAGTTGTGCGTATCCACGACAGCCTCGATGTCGGCCTGGGGGACCCGTATCTCCTCCACGTCGGAGAAATACCCTTCTTCCTCTAGTCTCTCGTTTATTCGCAGTTCCATTTCGTCATGCATGACCTGATGGCGTTGGTTGATGTGATTCTCTAGATCCGATATCTGACGGCTTAGCCCAGTCAACTTGTCACGAAATTCTTCCAGCTCGGCCGGCCGGTAACCGACACCGCCAGAGGCATCATCTTCTGAGACTTCCCCTTCTGATAAACGCCTTCGTTTTTTGGGTCGTTCCGTACCATCAGGTTCCTCGGGATTTTGACCTATCTGGGTGGCTTGAGAGCTAAACAATGCACTGCAACTCGACTGCAGGTCCTCCAGAGAACTCTTCACATCCGAGGCGTGCTTTTTCACCTCTGCCAATGTCTTTTCAAGACCCTGTAATTCTGGTGTTTTGAGGGCAGGCCAGAACTCGGTCCCTATGAGATGTTGTATGACATCGTTGACCTCCTTTCGTTTCTTTTCCAATTCACGTTCGAGGGCTATCTTCTGTTCGTTGATGCGTGATTTGTCCTCCTCGGACAGGCCAGTTATGCACGACGACTGACTGAGCCGTCGCATGCTCTCAAGATCGCTTTCTATTTTGGCATACTCGCGTCGCGCTGTTATAGAGGTGAACATCAAACTGGAGGAAACGCGTTAGCTCCAAAGAAAGGGGTAGTTGGGGTTGCAAGACGTACTCCACTCTCTCATGCCAAACCTTGCGCTGCTCGTCCAGGGACAACCCCTTCATCCCTCGTGTCAATGAAAAACCATCTCTAGAAGACGATTGCTGAGAAAGGAAGGCAGGTACCGTGGGTAGAGGCGGAAGAGCTGGCGGCGGTGGTTGTGAAGGGTAAGGTCGGGGAGGCTCGGGAGGTACAGAAGTGCGAGAGGACATAGGGACACCCATCTTCGTAGTTACCGACTGCGTTCTTGCTGGCGAGCCTTTGCGAACAGCGTCGGGTATTGGTCGACGGCCATTCTCCGTCGTCCTGGTCCTTCGAGGGCTACCAGGGGGTGTATAACGCTTATGATCCGCAGACTCCCGCCTGGGATGATGTGGTGGTCCTGCTTCGCGTGCCGACGTTGGCTGAACGGGCGAACGAGAACGACGTCTGCTGCTTGACATCTCCACATCGATGGGCCTCCTGACAGACCTTGAGCTTGTCGGCGATTGGCCGCCGCGAGTGTCACCACGGCGGTGCACCGCGGACTCGTCGTATGAACTACGTTTTCGGCTGTCAATAAGAACATAATAAAACCCGTCGTCATCGTCTAACACGAGGTCTTTCCGTGGCGGCTTGGAAGACTTCGCAATTCTCCATGCTGGCTCATTCGGATGTGCAAAGTTGCATACAGGTGCCGGCCACGGGCAGCCTTTCGTGCCGTCCTTGTATACCCTGGCACGACCTTCGTCGTCGTAGAACTGCCATTCAATTAGAGGCCATCAATACTCCTGCTCCTTTTCCCCGTCGCCGACGCGAAGTTATTAGGACATACGTTGCAACGCCTTTCCTTCATGGCCTGTCTTGACATGTAATCGTGTGACGATTCACGGAAGCAAAGTCATGCACGAAGCTTGTGTAGTGTAATTTAGGAGGAATGCAGTAACATATGCGACTAGAACTAATACTACAAAATTCAATGGAGAGCATGGTTAATCTTGTGGAGAAACGTGCAAATGCTCCTGGGGCCTGAAGAGCTCCGTCTGGTGACCATTGGAAACCCCATTCATGACAGCCTCGCCTATCGTTCTAACAGTAGGCACAATCTCTTGCTCGTAAAATTTCTGGATGAGAGCACTGAGCGCAGGTTTCAGCTCTTCAATCAAATGTTGGCAGGTGCTTTCCACAGGAGCACAGGGACCAAACGGAGGTTGGTGCATGAGCTCATCCAAGTCTTCTTGCAACTTCTCTTTCTGTCGCCGAAGCTCCTCAGTTGCAGCATACTTATCCTGCAGCTATACAAAGCGTGAGACTGGTAATAGGGCCTGCCGAAGCTGCTTACCTTCGTGAGAGCCTCCCGATGCTCGGCATTTTCGTTCTCCAGTTGCTCGAGTCTGCTTTTAAATTGAGCATTCCCCACAATAAGCCCACTTATATCTTCGATTGTCTTCGATAGCTTCCCTTCAACCTCGCGCCATTGGTCTGCACAGTTCTCCATTTTCTCGATAGAGTCGGGGGGTATGACAATGTCTGGACGGACTCGAGCTGCTATCTTTTGCACGTTTTGCTTGCGGGCTTCTCGCAGCTCGAACAACCTAGCGTCGAGCACCTTGTCTACTATATCTCTGATATCCATCGGTCGACTCAGCGTCAACTCGGCTTCTATCTGCTCGAGCGACTCCTCCATTTCCTCCGCCCGGTTCTGCAATGCTCCCCACTCAGTGGAGGGCAGGTTGGTTGTCGTTGAGGGGCTAGGATCGCGCATAGGAACATCACGATCCTTGAACTCCTCGATTAGAGTGCGGATCTGCCTCGCATACGCGGTGGACTCGGCTATGAACCTATCAGTCTCCTCACCGATATCATACCGTTGCGAGAGGTCGAAATCAGACATTACAGTCTCTTGGTAGTCCACAAGCGCATTGACAGCAAGAGATAGCTTTTCCCTCTGACCAAAATACTCCCTGTCAAATTCGGCACGTTTCGACTCCAGAATGTTGATCCCGGCATCGCCGATGCGAGCATAGCATGGAGACTTTCGTGTACGGAACCAACGGTCGCGGTTTAGTTCCGCCTCAGAGAGATGAAACTTGGCCCTGACTGCACGTTCCCAAGTCCTACCATGATGTCAGTGAGAATGTTCCAAGTCGATTGAAGCCGAAGTACTTGATGTATTCCTTAAACATTTCGCGCTTGTCATCCCACCCCTCGCGCTTTCTCTTCGGACGAGGTGGGGCTAGTGGTAGAGCTGAACCCGGAGCAGCTGGAGTCAACGGGGTATCCCCGTCAACAACAGAATAGGGCGGTTGAATATTGAGTGGTGGCGGTGGCGGTGGAACGTTCGAAGTTTCGGGATCGCAGCGGGGAGTAGTTGAGTCCTGCATGTCTATATCTTCGTGGGGGGGAACTTTGGCACTCCACTTTATCTTGGCACCTAGGGATACTTGATTTGTGCCCGTGATTTTTCGTGCAGGAGCTGTACCGGGGTCCGTATCTGCCAGGGGTGGAGGTAACTTGGACTTCCTGTTGTTACTGCCTGTGGGCCCACTACTCCAGGTGGGGCTTTGATTGCTAGAATTGTCGTCCGTCCAGATAGTACCATGGAACACAGGAGCCTCGTTGGCTCTGGTAGAAGTGACATCTTGCTTCGGAGGTCGGTCACCTTCACTTTCGTTAGACTTGATTTTGGTAGTGGTGGGGCCAGGCTTGCCCCAACCACCCGTGTCTGTGGAGTTCCACCAAGCTGTCGAGGAGTCCCCGCTCTCGCCAGGTTTACTGCTTTTGGCTGCGTCCCACCCAACCGTATCTGCCCATCCCTGCCTAGGTGGGCTGCCAGATGACTGCTTGACCGCATCCCCGCCAGATGAATCACCCATCTTCCAGTCGCCCCCAGTATCCCACTTACCTCCCCCTCCATCACCCCACCCACTTCCGCTTCTAGTACCCCACCCGCCTCCAGTATCCCATCCACTGCTACCCTCAGGATTACCCCACCCCGGTGACGCAGCCGCACCCCACAAGGGTTCGCGCATGCCAGAGAAAGATCCACTTCCACTCTTACCCCCTCCCTTTCCTGTCCCCTGAGCGTTTCCCAGCCCACCAGCACTGCGACCACCGCCGCCCTTGGATGAACCCGGTTTACTGGACGCCAAAGCGGCAGTAGCCCACGCTGAAGAGTCCGGGTGGACGAAAGGGCAACCGCCAGCTGTGTAGCGTTTTCGACAGCCACCTTGTTTCGGCTCGCCGTCGTCGGTGTGGTACTGAATTGTATGTATGTAAGAAAGTGAGCGCAAGGACTCGGTGCGACGGCAAAAGCAAAGCGTGCAACGTCATGACTTACCCGACACCTTACGTTTGGCATCTTGCCGCTGCCGCCAGGACTTTGAGATCGGCTTCTGGATATGCTATGATGGCGAGGACCCGACTACGGCTTGATGGTGATCGCTTCGACAAGGACAAGGTTAACGTTCAACGGTTGTACAGGCAGAGGAGACTCGTGGGACAACGCCATGAGGAGAGGTATCACAAAGTGGATCCAGTCGTGAGATCTGGTAGTCAAACGTATTTGCACCATGCTGCCGCAATATATACATAAATTCAACGGTCAAGAGGTAGACAGTAGCGCTAGCGATATTCTAATCTACAAAGTCGATTTTATCGTTAGGAAACGTCTCAATCCGTAAGTATCAAAGCAGTCCGTGCAGCCGTTAGTTATCGTATCGCATCGCATCGCATAGAGGGGGGGAGTATCGCAGTGGGAGCACAAGGATCCAAGAAGGGGAACCTTAAGGAAGAGAAAATGAAAAAAAAAAAAAAGAAAACGCCCAGCGGTGCAAAATATAAAAAAATAATTCTCCAAGCATCCTTTACCACAACCAACCGCGGGACGAGGGTCTCCTGGTCGGACGAGGCTTGCGCTTGACAGCAACACGAGGGCCATCGTCATCTTCGTATTCTTCAACCTCGTACTCGTCAATCTCCTCCGCCCTCAAGGGTTCTTTTATGATTTCCTCCTCTATGGTGATAGCGGTGGTGCGAGGGATGGCGGTAGAGAAGGAAGATGACACGACGTCAGGGGTTGGGAATGCGGCACGACGGGTATTGGCAGGTGGTGGAACGGTGACGGTCTGCGGCGGAAGAGTTTCGTATTGAATGATGGTTTTGGTTTCGGTTTCAGCGATAACTAGTGGGGGAAGTTCCTGCAAACAATGCAGTCAGTGGACGAGTTCCAGAGTATATGAAGAGCAAGACCAGTTGGCGACCATATAGGAGAAATAAATTTTGGAAAATGAAAAGATGAAATCATAGTTTGCCTTGAGCAGGGGTCACGTGGCGAGGACGTCGATCGCGTCGCGACTGCCGGAAACGGAACCAATCGCCAACTGATCTCCACTTCACTGAAAGACAAGGGGGACGAAGAAAAACCGTTGTCCCCCAAGCCCGGACGAAGGAGGGTGATACGAACTGTATACAGTATGGTATGAAAAGAGGATGAAAAAACCTCCTTCGTCTCAGAGCTCGGGACGGCGCGGAGCTGGAGTAGGCGGTTGTACCTTGAGTTTTCGCTTCGGCCCAGGTTGTTCATAGTAAATTTCCTCCTCGACCGCGGCATTGTCACTGTTGATAAGACTGCCGGGTTCCATGAGAATGGGTATGAGGAACCATGGACTGATGATACGTACACAAGCTGCTCCATGATCCAGGCTTCGCGCCGCGAGGCATCATGTTCTCTCCGGTTGACACTCTCCTCGCGACGAGTGATTTCGCGCTCACGTTCAGCAACTTTGAGTTCACGATCAAGAACCTCTTCGGCGCGAGCGCCGGCCTCTTTCCACCAACCGGGGGGAGCGAGTTCCTGCTCCCTGACGACTTCCTTGATGATGGTTTGGGCGGGAGGCATATCGACGATGGTTTGAGTAGCGCATGGGGGACACTGTTGTTGACTCGGAAGGACGCCACCCGGTGCGCCGACGAGAAGCTCTGCTTCACGACGGGCAACTTCGGCTTCGCGCATGGCAACGTCACGCTCGCGCGTTACAAGAATCTGGGAACGTTTGGGATTGAGGTAACCCCAGATCCCCGTGGCGGCTTCGTCCTTGCCCGGTGCTCCTGTCGCGCCTGAGGACGCGGGGAGGGAAAGCATGACGGCAAGTACGGCGAGGACCAAGGAGAGAACGAGGAGAAGAGTGGTTGAGGAGATGGTGCGATGGTGGTGATGTCTTTCAGAACGGTGACGGTGTTCGCGCTCGCGCTCACGCTCACGATCACGGTCGTGGTGGGAAGACGAAGGAACGGCCATCCTTGCTGTCGGTACGTTTCTTACGCTGACGGAGTGGGATGGCGAGATAGAAGAGGTTGCTCGTGTTCGGGACGTCGTCGTGGTGAAGGTAGGGTAATAAGACGGGAAGAAAAAAAATGGGGGGAATAATAAGAACAACCACGGGAGAACACTTTTTCAATTGTTCAACATTACCTTTTTTGGCATTCTTTGTTTTGTGCAAACAATCACGTGATCGTGTTACACCACGTGCACCACATGCGTTTCAATCGACCACAATGCCAGCGAATGCAAGACTGCCGCCATGGCTCAAGTTCCTTGACAAGGCCGGTTTTGACTGCATCTCGCTGGGCCATCGTGCACTCAACCATTCCCATCTAGACGTCCGTGATCGTGACCGTCTTGGCAGCGACGGTGTGCCTCCATACACGCTCGGCAGGGGTTATATACTTTGGAGCGGGCTCGCTCGCGTGCGCCCTGTCGGCGAAACTCGCTAAACAGGCGATCAGACAGGAAAGGCCTGTCAATGGGAGGAAAGTGTCATACGGGTATGTAGCAATCCCGTCCCTCATTCTGCAATTCCTCACAACGAACTCAGTATGCCAAGCACGCATGCCTCCGCCTGCACGTTCTTCGCCACGTATGCTGCACTCGCGAGCATTTATCTTCCTGTTCATCCACGAATACACCCACTGCTGGCCACGCATGCACCCTTCGTGATGATCCCATGGGCAACGCTTATCGTACTCTCTCGTGTCTGGCTTGGTCACCACACCTACCCCCAGGTCGCTGCAGGAGTGACGTTTGGCATCTGCTTTGCGAGTATATGGTTGAGACTGTGGGTGGAAAACGTCGGCGGGGTGAGGGCGCTGGGTGGGGAACTTGAGAGATGGGTAGTTACTATGATGTCAGCTGTGACTGTCACGTGACCGACGCGTAACATGTGACACGCGTGCCCTATGTAGTCATGTCACGCTGGATTGCCTGCAGTCTTTCGCATTGTACGATGAACAACAGCCTGCGAAGGTTCGCTCAGGCCAATACAGCGAGCCTTCCGGGCTCTCCCCACTCGCCATCTCCCCGTTCCCAGAGCAGCGGCATACAGCCACCGGTGACGCCGAGGACCCGTGTGTCGTATGTCAACTCACCCTCCACCACGCCATCCATATCCTCCAACATTCCGTTTGATTGGGAAGCGGCGCGCTCAAGACGGCCTCCACCCTATGGCACTCCCTTCAATGGGAAACGAAAAGCTCGGATGAGCAATATCGGTACGGCAGCAGCCACTCCAAAGAGGGTCGTCCGCAAGAAAGGGTTTGTCGAGCGGTGTGTTCAGTTGCCGCATTCCAACGACCCTGTCTGATTATTGTCTATGGTGGCGTGCACAGTATGAAGGATATTCCCTCCCGAATCATGTTTGAAGTCTCGCTCTTTCCATACAACATACCCTTGCCCGCCCCGAAGACCAGCGGGTGGCTCATTGGGTTGTCCATGCATTTCTTGCATCTTTGTGTGCGCGTGGCTCGCATCCGTGCCACGTCCGAGTCGGATGTAGGCTGGGAAGACCTTTACTGGGAACGCAGCCAACAGAGCTGGTTCGACTGGGTACGCCTCCGTTACGTAAATGGTTTTAATTAATTCACAGCCCTGATACGTCTACTCAGACTATCCCGACGACGTGTCTCTTGTTGATCGCATCCACGTTGAATGTTATGCACTTGTTTACGGAAACGCGAACATACCGACTCCATATGCGTTCCAGGGCTGATCCCGTGTCATCTCCCCATACGACTTTTGTTTCATCGCCGCAACAAGAACCACCGGTGACGGAGGATGAGGCGGTTCCGCGATCGACGTTTATGCAGCGGATCCTGGGGTTGATTGGATCGATGATGTTGATTTTGTGGCGCGCGTTCGTATATCTGGTGCGGTTCTTGTTGGGGATATCTTCTACCAGTCCGTCGATGTCTTCGCCGCCTCGTGGCGCGCCGGCAGAGCAGATTCCAACAACTCGAGGTATGGACGCCGGGAGAGCTGGAGCGCACCTTGTTCGCCGTCTATTCGCCTGCACACGCACTTCCTGTGGATCTGCACTGATGGTACGAACTGGGTGCTGATGTGTGCGCTGATGGTGATGGTGGGTGTGGAGATAGGTGCACTCGTGCAGGCGTATGAGGCGCTGGTGAAAGACCGAGCCATTTTGGCAGCCGAGGTCATGCACGAGTACAATGAAGGAGTAAGTGGGCTTCTTCTTCCCATACTAATCGCTCGACTGACGGAACCATCCTAGTTTGTGCATCCTCGAATCAACCCTGTGCGGCGCGACGTGGCTGTCATGACCCACCAGGCCGAGATGGTGATTACATAAGTATTATAGACCTCATGTACCTTTTGTCGGAGATGATCGGACAGGCTTAGTCACTCGATCTCCCTCTGAGGGAAAAAAAAAAAAATCAAAATCTTATCATATATTCTGGCATTCCACCTCAGCATCGCACCCGTCTGACTCTGAGTCGTCGATGGCAAACCTGCAAGGCCTCAACGTCGTCCACGCAGCACAGGAGCCTCCACACGCCGATCTCCAAGACACCCTCACCTCCCCCTTCCCCGACTTCTCTGCCCACCTGGACCTGTGGACCAACCTCACCTTCGACAGCACAGACGACCCTCACCACAGACACAGGAACAAGCCTTCTTCATCAGAGGAGGACCGCGACGACGACAATCAGTCACCCCCTCCCCTCGACATCTCCTTCCAAGATAACCACGACCACCCACCCACCCCTCGTTCTGCCGCTGCCGTACCCCCCTTCGACATCAATTCATTGCTGGCAAGCTTTGGCGCCAATCCATTCGTCTTGCCCCCTGCTCCGGCTCCTGTGCCACAACAAAACAACGCAGCCCCTTCCCAGTTCTCCGTCATCCCTTCATTGGCACAGCTTATCGCTCTGCAGACTGCCCATGGTGTGAACTACCCCGTTCCACCCCCTCCTGCTGCCGTTCCTGCGCAACCAGCTGCCGTCCAAGTGCCAGTTCAACCACCTCCGGCTCCCGTCCCGATCTCCGTACCCGTCCCTCAGCCACCAGCCAAGCGCCCCCGCACTGCCAAAAGTCAGTCCCTGGGTAGTGACCACTCCGACGTCTCCGCCGCCCAGTCACCTCAGGACCCTGCCTCACCAGCTACTTCTACCACTCAAACTGAAACCACTTCTCAGGTGTTCGCAGCAGCGGAGGATAAACGCCGCCGCAATACCGCAGCCAGTGCTCGTTTCCGTCTAAAGAAAAAGGAACGGGAGGCTGCGCTGGAGCGTCGTGCAAAGGAACTCGAGGATCGCGTCCTCGAGCTCGAACGCGAGTGCGAGGGACTTCGCCGTGAGAACGGCTGGTTAAAGGGTTTAGTCGTCGGTGTCACCGGCGCTGGTGCTACTCAACAACCGCAGCAGCAACAGAAGTAGACGACGTGTCGAAAAGACGCTCAGGACCAGCCACAAGTTGGGGGTAAGCACAACACGGCCACATGTGCATCTCAGAACGCGACGTTGACACTGCAACCCGCCAGCCGCGCCCCCCGTTCTTGATTTCACTACTTTCACCAAACGCAGCAGGATCACTGAAGTTGGTGATCAGTCTATTATCGCGTTGTGCTATCGGGGTGGATAGAAAGTTCGACGGAAATACGTTCAACAGCGACTATCGGCAGGAGGCGAGTTGACAACAAGAGTGTATTATTATGTTATGTATGATGCTCTACTTGCTCTATGCAACCCCCAACCTTGCCATAGATCGCACACTGTGGACACTCTGCGCTTAAATGAGCCCATCGGCGTTCCTGTGTAATGCCTACTCTCTGCACTACGCTCAATAAAGATTAGCCCACTACTCGTTTGGTGGACAGCGTGCCGGCCACGTGCCAGGCTATGAATGGGTGAAGTGCCCAATCCACTGGCACTACCGACAAAGATGGACGGTTCGTTATCTCTCGATCAAACTATTGGGAGACCCAGCCCCTCCCTATATTGGACCGATTTTGATTCGTTGGCTCAAGAGAGGACAGCTGATTCGGACATGAACTGTTGCCACCGATCGGGCTCTACTTACACAAGTAGACAGATATGTAAGACATGATTAATGAACCCCAGGACTGACAGCTCCTGATCAAACTCCCACGTCAACCGCAGTCCCTTGTTGTCCCCACTCCAAGGAAGGCCCACACTAATATTGTACCTGGAAAGGACCCTTATGGTTTGTTACAGGGTCGTTCAATCCGGGCGCTCATTTGCTGTAAGCTGCTAACTGGCTTTGGCCCCATCAGCTCGTCGTCCGACAAAGTGCGATGCGGCGCACATAACTTCAAACGGGATTTAAAGCACTGTATCGGAATGTCAGTCTTATCTATGTCTGTCCCTTGACAGGTCTTCTCGTGGGAGCATCCATGGACCGCGATCCCTTTAGAATTCGATCACTGCGGGGGCTGCCTTCGTCCCCCGCACCTTGTGACGTACTAGTCAGGAATATGTATGTATAATCTATGCAGTATGCCCCACGGTCTGGCATCGATAACAATTGCACGGATTGATAGCACTGGACTATTATAGGCCAAGGATTAACCCCACGGGGCCTCCAGCCACTCTGCCGAGCGCAACAACACAAGACGGCCCAGACTTGCCCATCGTTTCCGCCAAGTACGTGGCACGTCCAGTGCTATATACATGCCTTCATACCGAGAAGTCGAGCGACTTTTTTTGCCCTACAAGTATTAATACACCTTTAATTACAGAAAGTAATCGTCCTCCGTTTCTTCGTGTGCTTCTGAATCCCAAGGCTAAACTGTCGAGTTCTGTGCAGCATAGAACTTCATCAAGTCTAGGACATCATCCCTGCTTCCAAGGAATACGGGGCATCGCTCATGGATGCTTTTCGGAACGAGGTCGAGTATGCGTTTGGTTCCGGTCGTAGCAAGACCTCCGGCCTATTGTTGCAGGGATTTTTCGCATCAACACCGAAGTCTCTGCACAGGGATCATCACATAACACCCACCTGCTCAGTCAAGAATGCCATCGGGAACGCCTCATACAGCATCCGGAGTTTACCTGACTTACTCTTCTTGTCATCGGGGTACCCGAAAATACCGCCGTACAGCAACGTCCGGTGCACGTCCGCCACCATGGAGCCGATGTACCGCGCCGAGTAGGGTGAGCCCGTCTTCGGGTATTTTATGGAGTTCAAGTAAGCGGTCACAGGCGGGTGAAAGTACATCGAATTGCCCTCGTTGAACGAGTAAATCTTACCCCGTGGCGGGATTGTGATCTGTGGCAAAATATATTATGACGTTAGTACGAAAACTGTTCTACCAGAGAAATGGTTGACACGTACGTCAGGATGAGTGAGAATGAATTCCCCAAGTGCGGCGTCGAGGGTGTACCCATTAACTCCCGACCCTGTCGAGAGTACCAAGTTCGCAGATGAACCGTACCTGTATATATAGATATGGATCTGTCGGTCAGAGAGAAAGATCCGGCGGGATAGGGGCTAATATGACCGACTGACATAGTGTATCCAGCAGCAACCATTTCTTTCCCGGGCCTCAAGACGTCCTCCAACGATCCTTTCGAATCCGGTTTCTGCGTTCTCACAAATGAGTTCAAGATGCAAGCACGGAGAAAAGAACGAAAAGTTGCATACGATTTTGTAAATCCCAAAAATGGTACCAATGTTCACACCAGCGTCGATGTTGCTGCTACCGTCGAGAGGATCGAAGACGACGCAATACTTGCCCTTGTAGCGCTCCTCAATAATGATAGCATTTTCGAGCTCCTCCGAGACGAGCACGGCAGTCTTTCCGGACGCGCGTAGCGCGTTAACCATGATGTCATTCGAAAGCACGTCCAGCTTCTTCTGATCCTCTCCCTGTACGTTCGTCTCCCCGGCAAGGCCAACGCTGCGTGCCATTACGGAAAAAGAAGTTAATGAATGGTGCAGCTTGCGGAGCAGACGCGCAGCACTTACAGGTTAATGAGACGCGCTTTCCGGACGTTGGTTGCGATGAATTTTGACGTTACTTGGATGGCAGTAAGTAACAAGGTCAGATCGCCGGTCGCGTCAGCACCCAGCCGCAGCTGGTCGTGCAGCACATGTCTGTGAATGGTCAGTTGGGTCATATACCTCACATATGTAATCGAATCACCTCGTCAACGTAATGAGATCAGTGCTGGGGGGTTCCTCGCTCGCGGTCGACATTAGCCTGACAGTGACACGGCTACTGAATCCTGAGAAAAGCGTAATCACGGGTAGCGATCGAGGCTAAGTACTCACTTATATAACCTATGGTGTGCGTGGTGGTACGGGTAGAAACGGATGGCAACGGATCGGACCACCAATGGTGACTGACGGGAGATCAGTCTTATCGGGGTGCAGCCTCTTCCCACGATGGTCCTTTGCATAGGGAGGAATCGGCTATGTACTTAACATTAGTGTGTTCTAGCGTATGAATAGAAAGCTATGTATACGGAGGTGTTCAATGTTATCTCTTCCGTTTGGTCCCGACAACCGAGGCCGACTCCTTGCCCTTCCGTGTACGTAGTGGAATAGGAAACGTATCACTATCATCGTCGTCATCTTCCCAATTCCCACCACTGCCACCAGCTCGCCTGCCCTCAGTAGTACTACCCCTGATTCCGCTCGTTTTGGGCACAATGCCCCCTATTCCATACCTGTCTCCGTCATCGTCTTCACTAAGAGTTCGTGAAGATGCATGCGCAATAGCAGCAGCGATCTCCGCACTGATACAAGCCACCCTTGCCTCCAGTGTTTCCTCGGATCCGGTACCTTCCCCCGATCTGTTTGTACTGCTAGCCTGCGAGATCAATTCAGATAACGCACGGTCAAACTCCTCCAGGTCTGGATCGTCCATTCCAGAAACCCTCGGTTTCTTTGCTTTCAGATAATATTTACTGGATTTAAATAAAGTAACCTTGAGTAGCCATGATAAACTACAAGAAAAACCGAGTTTACTCACACACCAGGATCTGGTTCCCATGAGGGATCGTGAGTTCGCATATGTTGTGTGAGGGTGGTCCGGCGGGTAAATGTCTTGTCGCATTCTGGGTCCTCGCATTGGTAAGGTCGTTTCCCGGTGTGCGTGCGTCGATGTCGTGCGAGACTACTCGAGTCACCAAAGGTTTTGTTACACCCCTGGTATTCGCATGAGTGTGGCTTCTCGCCTGTGTGCACTCGTTGATGCACATGCAACGCCGACCTCTGTCGATACGTGAGTCCTTCCACAGCGCTTTCTTTGAAGGATGGAGGAACGAACTTGAATGAATGTCTTCCCGCAGGCATTGTATTGACAGACGAATGGTCGCTCGCCAGTGTGTATCCTCGTATGCCGCGCAAGATCACTGCGGCGGGTAAAAGACTTATGGCAATGAGGCTCTTGGCATGTGTGCAAGCTGGATGTTTTCTCCTTCTCCGCTTCTCTTTCCCTCTCAATTTCTTTCTCTCTTTCTCTCCTCTTCTGTTTTTTATTTTCTGAACCGTTCTTGCGGGACGGGGATGCTGTGGATTGGACGCTCGGCCGATCCGGTCTAGATGATCGTTGCGTGACACGTGACGAGGAAGAAGGCAAGCTAGAACCATCGCGTGAGCGAGAAATGGGGGATGTACTTTTCCTCAAGGATGGACGTGGGCGACCGGGTGTAGGATCAGACTCTGAGTCTGCTTCGAAATGCGATGAGAGATGATATAGTATATCATTAATGTCATCAAACTCCCCTGGAGTTGGGGAACGTCGATCTGGAGTGGAACGCTCTGTATGTCCACGGAGCGAGGGAGATCGTTCCCGCTCAGAGTCGTATCCATTGCGATCACCCGGTGTCGCTGCAGGGTACAACAAGTCAAGGTCTTCGTCATCGCTCTCTCGGACACTGTCTACTACATGGCCATCGTTTTCCTCTGCGGTAAGCGAATGGAAAGCAGGGGCGTTACGTGTCGTGCGTTGCCCCTTTGTCGCATCCAATCCATAGTCTCCTGAAGCTTCCGTGTGACGCCCTTTAGATGCTGCGTGTGCCTGCGCAGCTTGCAACATGGCAGCTATTCCGGTCAAGTTAAGCTCAATGTCTGAAGTACTTCGGATACCAGTGTTGTGGCCGTTCTCATGACTGGCGTCCCGTGTGGCTCCTTGAACTTGTTCTGTATGCTCCCTGTCTTCTCGCCCAGGATTTTGTGCTCGTCGCTGCTGCTCCGCTGCGCTTAGCAACGCTGCAGAGGCTGCAGTTGCATTCTGATGGAGAAGGGTTGCAATTTCGCGCTCTAACATCTCAACGGAGAATTGGTCAGTGTCGGGGGAGGAGCTAAGAAGGGCACGCTGCGGAGACTTCGAAGCGTCGGAAACATCGAGCGTGTCATCATCGTGGATCAAGTCATCTTCTGAACCTAAAGTGTCGTCGTGAACGACATCTGAAATGTTGAGCACGGGTTCATGCTCAACGGGTTCCATCCCCATGATCAAGTGCCCACCGAGCGGCAGGGAGCGCGGTTGCGATATGTCTGCCAATCAAAGAAACAAGACGTGAGCGACAACCATTGCACACGTCATGTACCTACCGGCGTGCAGCACGCTGCTTGAATAGCAGTGAGGTTGGATACAGCAGGCCTGTTTCGAGTATGACACAACACAGACACTTGGAACAAGATCAGGTCACGTGAGTAGCCGATGACCAGGTACTGCCTCGTCGCTCTCCACTAATATAACCAGTGCTTGTCCATGTATCTTTGACGCAGTCAACCATGCCCACGACCATAAACAAGCCAGCGAAGCCAAAGGTCAAGCGCTACCATGGATACGCCGTACTTCTCTTTATCATGGGGACGCTCTTCCCACCGCTTGGTGTGTCTCCTGTTCGTCGATTACCATCTGCTCGATTGACGCCTGCGTTTTCAGCCGTCGCAGCGAGGTTCGGGATTGGAAAGGACTTTTGGATCAACTTAGTATTGACTATTGCTGGCTACATTCCTGGTGGGGCTTTATCCGACAATATGAAACCGCACATGATTCATGTTTCCCTATAGGCCATGTACATAACTTCTACATACAGGTATGTTGTGTCTCATCTCTTCGTGGTGTCCTCCGCATGAATGTCATATGTGTTGTAGAACGTCCGGAACAACAAGAACCATCGGCGTACGCCAAAATGGGCTCAGCGCTTTGGCCTCGTAGATACTTCTACCTTCGAACGCCACAAAAAGCGATCGGAGTGGTCGCACAGGTATAACGACCGAAATCCTGAATCAACTTTCGAGGGGCAACCTTTGGAGGATGGTCAGGTTGGGCCATCTCGTTCCTCAACGGAGAGTTCTATGCAACCCTCCACCAATGCGAAAGGACTGTGGAGACCCGAAGATGAATCCTTCTACGGCGAAGGGCGTGACGGCACGCCTGAATCAGGTGGCGGTAGATGGCGTTATCCTACCAACTTTAACGATGCGTTCTCTGGACCAGGGGAGGGAGTATTGAAGAAGAAAAAGAAGAAGGATAGATGGGCACGAACAGAGGATGCCTACACAGCTCCTGCACCCCGGAAGAAGAAGAAGAAGAAGACATCTAGGAATCGTTCAACTGTTGCTGACGGTGATACTTTTTCACAGAGAAACGGATCAGTGGAGATGGAGATGCCAGAAGATCCGAGTGGTGGTAACTACGAACGAAGGGATGGCAATGGCCAAGTAATAACGGATGGCGGACAAACGACGGTTGACATATTTAACCATGAGCTCTAAATGGGGGGAGGAGGGTGAGGTGCGCTAGAGGTTTAATGGCAATTTCTTTCTGAACTTAGTGTATCATACCTGCATCATCAGTCTTGTTATGATTCACAATCGCATTGCGGAGAATCCTTTCCTCTTATTCTGTCCATAGTGTAAGGTGAGGTCCAAGTGAACATGGCGACACCAGCTGATGGCACCGACTTACACGGTGGCACATGTAGTCAAGGAACGGTTGTAACCTAGTGAGAAGACAACGAACAATATTTTCCCAACGGATGATCCACATATCCGCCTGTGAAGTGGGAGCCGATTAGCAGTACTTCGTGAATCGTGTCCCTCTATTTCTCCCTGCCCGACGCGATGCTATCGGGATGGAAATTCATCGAAGCGGTGTTGGCAGTGGTCCCCCTCATCGGTACACAGGTTCTCGTCGACTTTCAGGTCGCTCAGCCACCGCCGGTCCCCAGTGACGCGAAGACGTGCACCATAAAGATCCTAGAGTATGTTGACAGTGTCATGCGTCTCGACGTGGCCTGCTGAGCGAATCGGTTTGCAGGCGCACGTTCGGCAACTCCTACTACGAGTGAGTCCAGATCATGTAATTCTCCTTCGTTACTGATATATTGGCGGCAGTCCGGAAATTGTGTCGTATAGGTGAGGCTGAGTGCATGCATTTCGAGCTCTTTCGTGCGAAGAGCACACCCTGACGGTCTGACAGCCCACCGAATGACTGCGGAACCGCAGGGTCGTGGGCAGCGGTGACCTTGAACTTTGCGGTCACGTCCAACGGTACGCAGTACGACCGCCTCGGTGTCTTCACTTTCCAGAACACAGAAAGTGCGCGTTGAGTCTCCCATTTGTGTCTGTGGCGCCATTGACTGGCATCCTCCAAACAGTCTGGCGCACTTCAACCCCCGAGCCCTACACCCAATGGCATCATTTGGACGTATACCAAGGATGTTGCGCGCTACATTCCACTCTTTGCAAAACCAGGAACATTCCTTCTTGAGCTTGATAATATTGTCAATAGCAACTTAACAGGGGAATACGCCAGTGTGTTCCTCCCTCTTTTATGAATTGTGTCCCTAACCTTTTACGTCTTCAAAGCAACTTTGTATGCGACCTTCTATGCGGCCTCGGAAGACTACCCTACCGCAGGGCAGTCAAACTTGATTGTTCCAATCTCTACCATGTCTGATACACTGGCCAACGACGCGTCCGTTCCCCCTGCGTTTTCCGTAAGCTGGCTCGTGTTTCTTGTCAACGAGTTACCCACCATAGGAAATCCCCCTTATAGCTAAACGTTACGCTCCCTCAAAATACCGTCGAGATTTACGCGGAACTTTATGCCTCCGGGAACGGGCAGGAAGAGTTTTGGGTAGGATAACATGGTTTTTTTTAAATACCTTTTCCTGACATCGGCTGTGCATACAGTACTACAACACGGCTAACGAGTACATTGACGATTTACCTTCCGGGACTACTTACGGTGGAGGGCCTTTCCGCGAAGTGCGTTTGCTCGTGGATGGACAGCTCGCAGGAGTCGCTTTCCCGTATGCCGTCATTTTCACCGGCGGTATCAATCCAGCTGTGTGGAAGCCGATCACGGCCTATGGCGCAATCGACCTCCCGACTTATTTTCTCGATCTGACTCCGTTCGCTCCTGTCTTCGCGGACGGTCTTCCGCACAACGTTACAATTGACGTAGTCTCTGCTGAGGCCGACCACACCATTAACCCCAACTGGTACGTCTCGGGGCTGCTTCAAGTTGTCACGGACGCCTCCGGAAAGCGTACCACGGGCCAAATGATCACCTACAATACCCAGCCGTATGCGACCACGCAGACCTATGGGAGTACAGATGTAAACAATGTCAACGTTACTGTAAATGCTCAGCGCCAGATCTACATTGAATCAATCGTGGTCAGCGGGAGCGGACAGTCGAATCGCGTCGTTTTCGAGCAGAATCTGGATTACACTAATACGCAGTATTACTTGAACGACACCAATACCCAAGTAAGTGTTTCCTAATCGTGGGCAGACCTTCTTTTATATCCGGCGGCCGTGTAGAACGTCGCACAAATATCCTCTGGCTCTGTAAAATCAACTCACAACGGTGTTCCTGTCATGGTCGACAACTTTGAGTACTCATTGTTCATCAACATGACTTACTTGGACGTCACAGATACTTCCATAACATGTACGTTCTTTCGTGCTGGGTTGGAAATATTGAGTCTGCTAAAATGCTGTACTAGTCTTTACATCCTTCGATCATTCATACAACAGACAACTCAGTCCCGCTCCCTTCATTCTTGGTTCTGATATCACCGAACGTCAATTAGCCAGTAAGTGCATGCTTACAATGGGTTGTCCGATGCTTCATTTCTCATGCCCTAGCCGGATACTTCACAATCTCCGCTGGAGGAAACTTCGGCAATGGCGACAACAACAATACTTTCAGTTACGTCGACAGCGAACACAATACCTACAATCGCATGGTTGACGCTGCGATGAATAAGATTGTTTACGATCAGGAGAGTGGTTCCCTCGCGAGCAGTTCGTCCGGCATGCCTTGGCAAGTCATCCCAACCTCGTTCCCTGTTGCCCCAGCTAGGCTACCAGGTGGAAAGCATGTTGGTGACAGGTTGTGAATTACTGTTTGCTAGGCGTGGTGTATGGGTCGTACACATTTAGCTACCATATCCGTTGTATGGCAAGCAGTTAAATGATACCTCCTCAGACGCCTCCCCAAACTTCACATAAAGCCCCCTGGCCCATACAATGGAAGGCCAACACAGGTGGTCATCGAGCAACACGAAGTGTCTCTGCCCGACCCTGCTGCAGGGCACCGGCTTTCAGAGGTTGCAGGCATGTCATTTCCACTCCACGGAAGAGCTTTGTACCGGTGAGGACTGACACTAATGATCTTGAAGTAATAGACAAAGCTGGCATCCATCTGGGACGTGTATGCAGCTTGCTAGTTTCTCAAGCAATCTAACCTATCTTTGCATAATACATTCCACTGCTGCTGCTGGTGACTACACATTATTTTAATTCATTCTCATCTACGGACTGTACTGCTAGAACAAAATCGGGTCACACATGAGCTCCAGGATGCTAGCTACTAGCTTGTGATAACGAGTCGTGCGGAGGCGTAAGGCTCCGCAAATTTCTCAACCGTACCTTGAGGTAGACTGATGTGCTTCCGGTGGTTCACGTTCGAAGGATGCAAGTTGACGCCACAGAAACAAATGGAAGAGCACGCACATTCTCTGTGTTCTGGAAAGTAAAGACAGTGAGACGGTCGTACTGCACACGGTAACCACGGTTGGACGTGACCGTAAACCTCAAGACCACTGCTACACACGACCCTGCAGTTCCGCGGTCAGTCAGTAGGTTGTTGGACCGTCAGGATGTACTCTTTGCACGGCTCGCACCAAATGCTTGGCCATTCTCCTTTGCATACATCATGATGGCGACAAAGTCGGCTGAGCAGCAGATAGTAAGGGATGAGTGTTGGTATGAAGATGGTTTCAGTGTTTTCGGTGGTTTGCAGTCCCATTACATATACCCGAAGGACTCCAACACGTACCAGCGCATGAATTATGTATACCAGAAATCAGTTCCATGTTCAGGACCTTACTGTAATTTGTAACGCCGTGTTGATGATAGTATGTACATCACTTGTTACCCTAATGTGGAGTCTGGCGACCATCGACTGTATCAGTGAGCCCATCAGAAAAGTCCGACGACATGTCCCGTCTCCGGATCCAAACCCACTTCCCAGAACCCTGTGAAAATTTCTCATGAGTTAGCAGTACGAGAATCGGTGATAAATGATGATTGACCTGGTCTGGTTCCGAGCCCGGGCATCGTCTGCATGTCGCCGAGAATGGGGTACAAGAACCCAGCACCCGCAGACAACCTAACAGCCCGAATGGGGACTGTGAAGCCAGATGGTACATTCTTCAGTGAAGGATCATGCGAGAACGAGTATTGTGTCTTCGCCATGCAAACTAAAAAAAGTTTGGGAGAGGGAGAATAAGAATGGGATGGTTAGCTTTCGGTACAAATTATGACGCACTGGGTAAGTTCCCGTAGCCTTGGCGAGTGTATGTATCAACCTGCTTGCGAGCTAGCTCACTCAGTTCTATACCTGCGGCATGGTATATCTCTTTGCATATGGTATTAATCTTCTCTTCGATAGAAAGGTCGAGATCGTAGAGGAACTTGAAGTCAGACTCTCCTTCGCAGGCGACGACGATAGCCTCTGCAAGCGCGCGGGCGCCAGCACCACCTTCGGCCCAGTGGTTGCTGACGACGGCAGCATCAGCACCAGTAGCGAGTGCCTCCTGGCGCACAAGCTCCAACTCGGCAGGGGTATCAGATCTTTGGGACGGGATGAGGGCCAACAACGTAAGCTATACAAATGCTGTCTTACGCGAATTTATTGATTCCAACGATGACCTTGAGCCCAAACTTGCGTGAATTCTGGATATGTCTTTGCAGATTCTTGCATCCCTCCTTGAGAATGACAAGATTTTCCTTGGTATATGTATCCGCAAGTGGTTTGCCAGGTGTGACCTCAGGGCCACCACCGTGCATTTTGAGGGCACGTGTGGTAGCGACGATGACGACGGCGTCTGGCTTGAGGCCGCTTACACGGCACTTGATATCGCAGAACTTTTCCATCCCCATATCGGCACCAAATCCACCCTCTGTGAGAACATAGCCAACGTGGTCCGAAGACTCGCCAGGTTCCGTGCCCGCCAACTTGAGAGCTACCCTGTCGGCCAAAATAGAGGAATTTCCGTGTGCGATGTTGGCGAAGGGGCCGGCGTGGACAAACACCGGCGTGCCCTCGAGTGTCTGCATCAGGTTGGGCTTCACCGTGTCCTTCATCAGGACAGCCAGTGCCCCTCCGACACCAAGATCGTCTGCCGTGATTGGCTCTCCCCGTTTGCTGGTCGCCACAACCATCTTGCCTAGTCTCTCCCTCATGTCTGCGAGGTCGGTTGTCAAGGCCAACACTGCCATACATTCGCTTGCGACGGCGATGTCGAACCCGGCTTCCCGCTCGTGACCTTGTTCAGTGGGGTTGCGACCGAGCGTGACCCTACGAAGGAAACGGTCGTTGGTGTCAAGAACACGGTTCCAGGTGATGGTCTCCGGGTCAACATCTAGACGGGCAAAGCGGTTGATCTCTTCGGGCGTAAGATCGTTGGGCTTAGTTTTGTCAATGCCGAGTTTCTGCAGCCGCTTCAGCATCAACGGTGCGAACGCGCGTTTGCCCTTGTTCGAGGGAACGAGACGGCTGTACAGGGCTTTGTCGGATTGCGTGGCTTCGTGGAACATGCGAGCATCGAGGGCAGCAGCTGAACAATCGTTAGCGAACTGCTCGGCGGTCGACAACGAAGATACCTACCAAGCAAGTTATTGGCTGCGGTGACGGCGTGAATGTCCCCAGTCAAGTGCAAGTTGAACTAGAGGATTCGATCAGCGGAAGAAACTGAATGACCAGGTAATTCTACCTCATCCATAGGGATGACCTGGCTATATCCACCGCCAGCGGCACCGCCCTTGATACCGAAAGTAGGTCCTTGACTTGGTTGGCGTACACAAGCGAACGCCGAGCGTCCAAGGCGCGCACCCAAGGCTTGTGCAAGGCCGATGGTAGTGGTAGACTTGCCCTCGCCGAGAGGTGTAGGGGTAATGCTGGGACGAGGTTAGCTTTGGTATATCCGCCTCTCGATCGGAAACGCCTACCCTGAAATAACGATATACTTGCCATCCTTGCGGTGAGCCATGCGGTTCAAGACGCTGAGTTCTATCTTTGCCTTGTACTTGCCATAGCTCTCAATTTCGTCAGGAAGCAAGCCGATCTCTTGCGCGAGCTCAGTGATCGGCTTAGGTGTCTGGGCTCTAGCGATTTCGATGTCACTCGGAACCTTCTCGAGAATGTTGAGCTTGAGAGGCTTGACGGTACGGTGCTGAGCCTTCTCGAATAAGCGAACCGCGGAGGTCATGACGTTCTCCATGAGGAAAGCAACGGTCATGGGCCCCTACACCACCTGGTACGGGAGTGACTATGCGAAGCATTGGTGATGACCTCGGAGTAATTCACGTCCCCAACGAGACGTTGTCCGGATTTTTTAGACGCGTCTAACAACTCAACGGTTACTTATGGATGCTCCGTATATCAATGGATATTTGTATACCTGGGATGGAGTTGATACCGACGTCGATCACGACTGCGCCAGGTTTGATCCACGAACCCCGGACAAATTCCGGCCGACCGATGGCGACGACGAGAATATCAGCACCTTTTACCTGGAAGTTGACAAATATACGTCGGACGGTACGACGTGTAATATAAGAATCAGTATACTCACGATTTCCTCGAGGTTCTTGGTGCGACTATGGCACTGCGTGACGGTGGCGTCCCGGTTTCTCAAGAGTGCAGTCACCGGGTTTCCGACAATGTCGCTGCGACCTAGAACGACGGTATCGGCTCCAGCGATAGAGACGCCGGCGTGCTCGATAAGACGAATGACGGCCGCCGGAGTGCAGGGGACGAACAGGGGGGTGGCTGCGCGGGATGCCAAATGACCAATGTTGTACGCGTGGAAACTGAGAACGAAAGTAGCGTGTTTGTTACACGGATTCCCAGCGACGGAGAAAAGGACACACTTACCCGTCGACGTCTTTCTCAGGGGAGATAGCCTCCGTGACAGTGCGGACACCGTCAGCATCGACATGAGGACCGAGTGGGAGTTGGACGAGTATGCCGCTTATCTCTCTGTCATCGTTGAGCTTTTTAACGAGCGAGACGACTTCGTCGACAGTGGCAGACTCTGGGATGTTAATATGTCTGAATTTGATACCGACCTCCTCGGCGGCCTTTGCTTTCATGCGGACATAGACAGAAGAGTCAGGACGATCACCGGCTTGGACGATGACAAGCTGGGGTTGAAATCGAGGGTACTGGGCCTGATAAGACTTGATCTTTTGCGCGACCGCGCTGCGGATGGACCTGTTGAGGAGATTATAGTAGTGAAAAGTACCGGAGAAAGAGGGTCATACTTGGCAATGGCCGTGCCGTCGATGATCTTTGCAGATGCCATGGTGGTGGTATGAAGGGAAGAGTGAAACGCTGCCGAGCGTCCGGTTTTAATAAGATGGGCGCGAGCGCAAGATAGGACAGCAAATGTCCGACCCAGCAGCTTGATGCTCATCCAAACATGAGTCCGATGCAGTAATAATGATTGAATAGCCATAGCCGAGAATGGAACACCCATCGCTTATGTAACACCCGCTACTCCACGCAACTAGTCTTTTTTTTGTTTCGCTTTTTATTCCTCTGAAATGCACGGAGTAGGGCTTGCAAGACGTTCGCTGCTGTCGTTCAGATCGCTCGCACGCCCGTCGCGACAGGTCCTCGGCCATCCTCTCCGTTGCCTGCCGCCGGGCATCAGACACTTGTCAGACGACAAGCTGTCTGAGTCGCAGCCCGTGCAGGATGCCCAACCGCAACCGGATACGGATATCCCACCTCAGACGGTGCCGTTGGAACAGTTGAAGGCAAAGGAAGCCGAGGTGGTCGACCTCACCGTCAGTCTTCGCTCTTCTTTCTTTGCGTGTGTAGTTGACTCCACTACCTCTCCCAGAATCGACTACGGTACCTCCAGGCGGACTTTGTCAACCTTCAGCGCAATGCTGCACGCGAAAAAGAGCAACAGCGCGACTATGCCATCTCGCGTTTTGCAGGTGATCTCCTCGAGGTCGTCGACGTCCTTTCCCTTGCTCTCAAGTCCGTCCCCACGCCCCACCTAAATTCTCCCTCGTCTCCGCCTCCAAACCCTTCCGACCCTCCTACATCCCCGCAGAAATCTGCCCAGGATTACCTCGTCGAACTCCACCACGGTGTCCAAATGACCCACCGCCTTTTGCTCTCCGTCCTTGGTACATACGGTGTCAAATCGTTCGACCCCACGGGCGAAAAGTTTGACCCGAACCGACACGAAGCACTTTACCAAGCACCCATACCTGAGAAGGAGCCGGGGACTGTAATAGATTGCCAAAAGATCGGTTTCATGATCAAGGACCGGTTATTACGTGCAGCCCAAGTCGGGGTTGCCCAGGATACGTCATGATACATTATTCTTGCGGTTAGGATGGCTTCTCATGTGGGGGGTTGGTACGACCACGCACGCATCACCATCACGATAACATTATATTCTAGCATATCTAATTCATCGAATCTCGACTCTGAACTGCTCCTGGAGGCGCGACGTGACCTGGGCATGGAGTTCGTTCGTCTCGTCATTGGATAGTGACCTGACCCATATAAGCTGGTTGAGGTAATGATCAAATGGGGGTGACGATACCTATCCATGGAACGATAATTTATTCGATAGCAGATGCTCTTCCTTTTTGACTTGGGGTGCTCGTAAGTGTCGGTCTGTTTGCGTATCAGCATCATGCGTTAGCCCCACAATCCGAGTCGGCTCACTATCTTGACGTTTTCCACAATATCACCTGCAACATCTCTCACGAGGTCACAGAAATCGTTATCGTGAAGCGTGATATCAGTCGGCAACCAGAAACTAACGTCTTTGAAGCAAGTCGGGTATTTCGAATATGGTCTGAAAGTATTGATTTCGCCCTGCTTGAACTGAGATAAGAATCGGGGATCCTGAGACCAGAACAAGCGTATATCCGGTATGGAGTAAAGCACCATAGCTATCCGCTCCAGACCTAGGCCGAATGCCCAGCCTAGCTTGTTTGGGACGTCTGAAAACGAGTGAGAATGGGAAAGAGGGCAGCGTCATCGGTCGACCACTCACTGGAGTTGTCTAGCGTGGCCTGGTGAATGACACCACAACCCAGGATCTCTAGCCATTTTCCACGAAAAAAGACTTCGACTTCGAAGCTCGGTGTCGTCCAAGGGAACGTGGCCTCGATCCACCGTACGCGAAGGGGCTCGCCTTCGGCCTGCTTCCCACCAAAGAGACGGAGAATGAGACTGTTCAGGGACAGTTTCAGGTTCTTCGCGATGAGTTCGGTGTGCTTGGGGTCGTGGGCCGGTTGACACGGGTTGGTGGGGGACAGATGAGGAACATCTTCAATGAGAATGGGGGAGCGACGCAGGTGATCCTCGAGTCGCGCGTTATCGTCTTGTATTTCTTGCATGCCAGCTGCGTCTGCGGAGACGATTCTGCAGCCTTCGGTCTGGTGAAACACGGGATAGTGTGATGCATCGATTTCGTCGCGACGGTACACGTCTGCAGTGAGGAGCCATGTTGTCTCGCCACGAGAAAAGACGTCTACCTCGTGTGCAGAGGTGTGTGTGCGCAGCATGAGATCTTTGTTGATGTAGTAGCTGTCTGTGACGGAGCGACCTGGGTGGTCAGGTGGGAAGGAAAGCAGATCGAAGTTCTGGTATGGGGTGACGAGGGGCGAGACGGAGGACAGATGGGCGTACGCAGGGAAGTGCGACTCGACGAGCGAGCGCAGCGTCGACAGTGGGTGGGCTGGCTGCGTGTGCAGCTGCACGGACAGCTTGGACAGAATGGTCGGCGAGACGTTGGTCATCGCATCCGTTGGGTAGTCCTTTCCCAACACATTCACAGTTCCATACGTCCTCCACGACGTCCACGTCCCCGCTGGTCTGCACCGACCCAGCCAACGCAGAATTGCCATCCGACTAATACAGAGACAAGTGGGTATGGGTTGATCACGTGCCCGACCAGTCCATCATGTCCCCCACCACCACTCAGGTATTCATTAGTTACAGGACTTTGGCCCACTCACAACTTATTTACGACCATAGCCGTCTGTGACCAAACGTAGGTCCGCTGCAAAGCGTCACATCGTCTCGTCGACGGACGAGGAGGCAGATGATACGCGCTTCCAGCCGTCCACAGGCAAGCGTGCTCGCACAGCCGAAACCGACGACTCACAGGTGGACATCGTTGACACCCCAACGGAGGAAAGTCGTTTCCTTCCCGATGGCACATCCCCTTTATCACATCCCACTCGGCCCAAGAAGAACACGAAAAAATCTGCACCCAAACCGAAACAACACGTTGTGCACTCAGACGACGACGGCGACTTCGGTGCTGATGCGAATATCGAGGATAATCCGGTCGACATCGATTTTCTGTCCTCAGACTTAGATGACGATAACCTCGAGGTCGATTCTACATCTAAACGCGGCAGAACGAAGGCAACCTCCTCGAAGAACACAGCTGCAAAGGGCAAGCTGGGGCCACCGAAGAGCGCAAAGGGCAAGACCCACAAAGAGAAAGAGATTTTCATCAAGGATGAACGTAAATTGCTTGCTCTTCCGTCCTCCACACCCAGGGCATCTACCGCCACAACTCACACTGAAACAACTACTCAAGAAGAACCGGCCTCCGTCGTACCTTCGGCTTCCTCTAAATCCGTGCCAGATACTACCGCAACCCAAGGCGCCACCGAAAAAGACGCTGCAAACCCACCCGTCCCGAAGAGACGCAAGCTCCCGACCATAACCAAGACAAGACAGCCAGGTGCTGTTGGAACCACCCCCACGCCTAGCAATCCCACCACTACAACCAAGCCATCTGGTCCTCTCCCCCCGTCAACCGGTGATTCGGTGAAGCCCCCATTACCAAGCATTCAGCAACGAAAGACAGCTCTTTCGGGGACGCAGGACTTTGACCTACGTCAACCTAACATTTATGCGGAATTGTTCAAACCAGGTGTAGGTGTAAATTTAGACAGGACCGTCCATTCCATAACTCACTCAGTAGCAGGGGGCCAGCGCGCCTGGGTCAAGTTTGACTCGACGAGAGAAGGAAGAAGAGCGACGAAAAGAGTTAAACCGGATGAGGGACGAAGCACGAGCCAAGCGTGCAGAAGAAGCGGTATGTCAACCATGACTCGTGCAGTAGATCCAAATGAATGAGCATCTCCCATAGAAAATCACTTTCGATCTCCAAGCACAGGCAGAGAAGATTGCGCGCTTTGAACGCCGGCTGCGTGGGGAAAATAGCAGCGCTCTCCATCCAAACTTTCTCGCTGCCAAATTCAGGGACGAATGGGAGATGGAGAGACGTCGACGGCGAGACGATCGAGGGACGTCTAGAGATGAGGGAGACACTCACTCCGTTGCTCATTGATTTTTTTGTACAGTCATGGATTAGCGTAGTTAATAGACATCCGTCCGTGTCATGTTATCCGTCTGACGGCGAGATGAAGTTGGCCGATAACCTTGATATTTGATCGAAACAAGTATCGAACCACTTCTTGCCGACACTCCTCGAAGATTTTGGCGAGAGACTATCCTGAACGCTGAGCTGCTTTACTTGTGCATCTAGTCCATCGTCGACAGGGAAAAACGCCTGAAGCCGAGTGCACAGCGCAGCGACAACCATCATCAAGGCAGCCACTTCCTTACAGACAGAGTCAGGGTCTTGCGGGGAATAGAGGGTAGCGACGAGTTCGTCGGAAGCTTCTAGCAGAGAATGCGACTGTTCGAGGAGAGAATCGTACGCGACGTTGGAGACAGGAACGGTGCATGTCGATGATATCACGTCCAAAAAAACGCGTTTGTGCAGGAGAGTAGTCAGCCGCAAGATGGGGTATACCTGACAGACAAAACGAGGCAGGGCTTAACCGTCGCCATTAGACAACCGTGAAGAGAGAGAGCACTGTACACTTTTAGCACGTGAGAGTTCATCCTTGCTCAGACTGGTATTTGTTCCGAGACCCAATTCGTCCCATCCGTCGTCAAAGTCATCCTCTTCCGCCGGGTGATTTGCATCATCCCGCTCTGCTTCTTCAATCATGCGAGAGACCTCTGCGAGGCCATCTTCGAGGGTTGCCTTATCGACTGACCAGTGCTGTCGGACCGCCGATCGGTTATCGTTGGGTATACCATTCGGCCCCTGAGCCGTCGTGATCAGATCATGCAGCGCCGCTGTCCTGGCGAGATACTCTTCCCCCGTCGTTCCGCTGGTCGAGGGCAGATCACGAGCAGCCAAGTCAACTGAAGGTCTGGACGAGGTCTCGCAAGGATTCTAGAATGCCTTTGACCAGATTCGTCGTATCTTTGATGAAGGTTGCACCGTACTGGACCTCATTCAGTAGACTGACGCAGTAGACTACTCCCGATGCATGTTTCGCGAGATCTTGCAGGAGAGGCAGAGAAGCCGAGTATGTCGGAGACGACGGGTTCAACGCTAGCGACAGCTTCGTCGATAAGTTGTAGATGAGCGAAAGGAGCGAGTGCAAGTCCTTGCAAATAACCGACAGAGCAGATGTCTCCGGATTTGATCGCTCGCGGTCCCGCTCATCAAGCGCCGTCAGAGCGGTGCTACACGTCTGCGAAACAAACGTCAATGCGACTTATGGCTAGAACGTTGTTTGAGTTCTGGGGTCTGGCAAGGCTCTGTGATACTCGCCTTTTTGCTTGTCGCTCATCGTGGCCAGGGCGATGAGTCTGCTTACATAACCAAGTCCTGTTATTTTCGCAACTCCCGTTCAAGTCAGCTGCCCTTCCTCAGGTCAGTCTACCTAATAACACTCGTTAGATCGTCCAAGTGCATGTCCGTGCACTTGCTGGTAGGATTTTCCCACTCTATTCGTACTCATCCTATCTGACAATTAAACCCGGACCTAAAGTTCGCCAGTACGCTCCGCGCTCAATGGCGCGCGGCAGCAACTCCAACACCAATTCTCCGCTCCTTGTCTACATCCCACGGCAGGGCAGTCCTTAATCTCAGGCCTACAACGCTCGCAGCACTCGCGTTCGTCTGCTGCTGCAATATCATCATCTAGACTTAATATTCCACCGTTGACGCAACCATGCATTCGCCGATCTCTGTCGTGGTTCACCTGGTCGAAACCGACCGCTACGCCGTCCCCAGATACCGTCGCAGAGATTGCGCGCCTCGAGGCAGAGGCTAATACAGACCCGAACAACGTTCAAGCGCACGAAGAGCTCTTTCGTGCTCTGGCGGCGACCAAGACAAAAGCCGGGTATGACCTCATCATGAGTCGGTGGGAACGAATGTGTGAAGCCGTGAGTCTTTCGACTCGATACAATAAGCGAAATACGATATACCTCATACTTACATGAGACGCAGAATCCAGGGTCGCCGTTGATCGACTCCGACACATCCTTTCGATTATATCTTCTTGCACTGGTGGAATCTGGTCTCCAATCGTCCGTAAACCTTGCCATCCGGAGGAGGGACTCCATCCTGGGTGCTGCACAAGCAGCAGCAGCCTCTTCTAGTAATGACTCAAACGTTGCCTCGGATACCTCTCCAGCTTCTCCGGACCAACACGAGCCCGCACCTGCACAAGCCGACCAGCCATCTCCATCTACACCGCCGACCGGATCCCCAACACTGCAAACTCGAAGCCAGATGATAGCCTCCGAACTACTTGCGAATCGAACGAAGTCGTTTGCCGAATCTTCTACACAAACTGCTAGTCCGGCAATGGCGGGTCTAATCGAGGCATTGAGCAAAGGCGGTGGTCGCAGTAATAGTCCAATCCACGTTACTCTCAGCGAACGTGAGTGCGAAGGACTCTTCCCATGATTATCTCCCTAATCTAGATTTTCAAATCAGCCAAAGGATCCGTCGTTTTGCGACTTGTTAGATTCTTGGTGTTGACGGCAATGTCAGGCTTCTGTAAGCAATCACACCCTACTGTCCCTCGCGCTAATCTTTTTCTGTCTAGTTATCTTGGTCGTTCTTTCCGTTCTTTTGGAGAACTCCGGTTTGATGAAAACTGTACCACGCCAAGCGGAGTTTGAGCCCCTCCAGCAAAAGACCGTCAAATTCAGTGACGTGCATGGCGTTGATGAGGTCAAACAGGTACGATCTGTTTACCCCGCCCAAAGAACCCATTCTTGATCCGTCATGTTTGATCAGGAACTTGCTGACGTAGTCGCATTCTTGAAAGATCCGACCACGTTTGCCAGTCTTGGTGGTAAGCTCCCCAAAGGCATTCTGCTCACAGGGCCCCCTGGTACCGGAAAGACGATGCTGGCAAGAGCCATTGCTGGAGAAGCTGGCGTCCCGTTCTTCTTCTCTTCAGGGTCCGAGTTCGAGGAGATGTTTGTGGGCGTTGGGGCGAAACGCGTTAGAGAGCTATTCGCTACCGCACGCAAGAGACAGCCTGCCATAATTTTCATTGACGAACTGGATGCTGTGGGGGGGAAAAGATCACAGCGCGATCAGCACTATATGAAACAAACCCTGAACCAGCTTTTAGTGGAGATGGACGGGTTTCAACAATCTGAGGGTGTTATCGTCATTGCAGCTACCAACTTTCCGGAAAGCCTAGATCCGTTTGTAACACTCCCAAACAACCCTATACCGGATAACTAACGAAGAAATATTGTCACAGTGCTCTCACGCGCCCTGGGCGCTTTGATCGGCACATAGCTGTTCCCCTCCCTGATATCCGTGGTCGGGTGCAGCTCCTTACGCACTTCATGAGGGATGTCGTCACTAGCAAATGTATGCGTGTTCGCTACTTTCGTTCTCCAAAACACGCTGCTCATGGATAACACGTCCCATTGCAGCTGTCGATCCTATGGTCGTTGCGAGAGGAACACCCGGGTTCTCTGGGGCAGAGCTCCAAAACATGGTCAAGTCAGTCTGAAGTTAGATCACCTCCTGAAACCCCCGACTAACGGGTATCCAGTCAAGCAGCAATTCAGGCGTCTAAGGAAGGATGTAAGGAGATTACCCTCAAACATTTTGAGTGGGCAAAGGTAAGTTTGTACCCGGTAACACCCCACGAGGCGACCCTATCTAGCCGTTTCACAGGACCGCATTATTTTGGGAGCTGAGCGGAAGAGTGCATACATCGATGAGAAAAGCAAACTGCTGACAGCTTATCATGAGGTGCAGTTTTCGAATCCTTTCACCATGGAGATACGGGGATCTCACCTCGGAAATAGGGTGGGCATGCCCTGGCTGCGCTGTACACGGAAGGCGCCATGCCTTTGCACAAGGTTACCTGTGTTCCACGCGGTCATGCCTTGGGCGTCGTACGTATGAAACTCGATGACTTATAACCGTTATTAATGGATGTCTTTCAGACGTCTCAGTTGCCAGAAAATGATATGTTCTCTGTCACACAGACCGAATACAAGGCAATCATTGATGTATGTATGGGTGGGAGAGTAGCGGAGAACTTGAGTAAGTCCGCACGTTTTGCTTCGCGACAGCTAGTTGATGTCGTTGCCAAGTTTATGGAGAGGGTGGCTTGACGAGTGGTGCGTCGAGTGATCTCCAGAAAGCCACGCGGACTGCGACGATGATGGTCAAGGTAAGCTCACCACGACGGTATCAGTACTGGGTTCTTTTGGCAACTCCCGTGCAGAGATGGGGATTCTCGGAGAAGGTTGGCCCTGTATACTATGGGTCAGAAAACGGTATGAGTCCTGCGACGAGAGACAAGATCGACACAGAAATCCGCAGGTGAGCTGGCATGTGTCACTACGGCTACCGTGGATATCTCACCAGAATATTCTAGCATACTGCAGTTGGCCGAGGTACGTGTGATACGGCTCTTGGAAGAGAGGAAGGAGGAGTTACATCGGGTATGGAAATCTCAATTATTACTTCAGCACCTACTCATCTGCTTGGATAGCTTGCCCATGCCTTGGTTGAGCACGAGACTCTCACAGCAGACGAAGTGAGGAAGGTAATCAAGGGTGAGCCAATACGGAAAGTTGAGGAAAAAGTATCGTCGTCGGTCGTTTCTCAGGAAGCGACGGAACCCTTACCTATACCTTCGTGAAGGGGTTCATGGAACGTTTAGATAGTAGATGCTGGTTGCACTGAAGGAGGCATACATGTAATGCATCAATAATAATATAACTACTTACCTGGTGGCAGGTGAAAAATGTGCTACTCCCTTCGACAGGTCATAGATACTTTGTAAGAAGGGTTCCTCACTCAATATTTCCGATCTGCCAAGGTCATCGTCAAAATTACTGATACATACCATGCCGTCATTTGATCTGCTGCGGCACCGCTCGCAGGGTATGGCGTGTGAGATACATATCAGCGGTGCTCATCATGATGAGAACAATCCATTCCATTTCGCCTCAAGCCTTGATTGGCGTCATGGATGACATGACAAAAAATTAGGCTCCGTTATGTCATCAACCTGATCAAGGAAGTGCATGTACCCCTAAGACGGCAAGATTGGACATAGACAAACGAAGGGACTCCGAGTGGTCGCTTCAGAGGTGTTCAGAGGGAGAGCCATGGGAAGGAGAACAATAATGGGGCCAACAAATTCAGGGCGGACAACTTCCCAAGAAACGGGCGTTTTAGCCGGTGGAACGTTAGCGATTGGGCGGAGGTACCCTAATTCGACCTGTAAGACGATGCATCGGGGGTCCTCAATTTGACCTTTGATGTTAATTACACTCACGACCAAGCGAGATGCTCGAGCAGGCCATGCCTTGCTCGGAGCGGATGGATCTATTCATGATGTCATCACCACAGTCCAGAAATGTCAGTGGTGGACCAAGAGTTTGAACCGAAATGAAATCTCCCCTGATGGCGGGTTGCCGCAGCACTAGTCTTCACATGAGAGGTGGGTGTTCGAGACCGAGTAAAACCGTAAACTTTCCCTAATGAACACATGCCATCCTGTCATCATTGCTAATAAGATAACTTGATTTTCCCCTGGCTTTGCTCTGGTTTGGCTTTGTGATCGCTTTGCAATGTTATGTAAAAGCAACCACTTATTCTGTAGGATGTGATGGATCGGGGCTCGAAATTGTTCGGTGGGTCCAAGTGGTTTAAAGAAGGAAGAGAAAACTGACACGCGTACGCTGAGGATGAGATGTTCCTTTCGAAGGCTTGATATGTCAGTAAAAATACTTGAAAACCGTCGGTAGAGCAGCGGCGTACTGATTTGTTGATCTTGACACGAGGTACCTTCTGAGAAATTTACACGGACAGGTCACGAATTCCTCACCATGCGGACTGATCAGCGTAAACTGGATGTAGAGAAGCCATGCTCGGAAGCACTTAATAATCGTGACGGTCGTCAAACAGCTCCAATGAAACGAAGGGAGCTAGTCCACTGGGTGAGAAGGACAGTGGCAGCGTGACAGCCACGAACAGAAGACAGGGGAGACTTGATATATACGATCGTGGTTTTGCAGGGAAGCAGATAACGCTTTGCCCAATCTTTCGCCTGATAACAGCCGTTACGAGGGAAGACGAAAGTGTACCTTGTGCGCCAGAGAGTGGGGTGGGTGTTTCCTTTCTCGAGGGCCGGGCTCGGGTTGATGGAAGTGAGACCCTGAGACGAGCCACCTACATATGTACGCCTGCGGTGACCACACGTCAAAGAGGACGTACATGACAGCGTCTGGTATGGTCACGCGGACAGATACCCGCAAAGCGCCGTCACGTATTCGTACAGGCTCTTGTACTTTTTGCGATAATGGATTTTCCGTGAACAAAATTGGGAGTTGGTAAATGGGACGTATGTAATATGGGATTAGAATAGGCAGGATATTATTCGGGTTAAAAAGGCGTGAGGGGTGAGACCTTGAGGCGGTGAGAGGGACGCAGGCCTTGCCATTCTTCGTGCACCGAGGTCGACAACGAGGACATCGTTGCGGAAGCTTCGTCTTTTAAACGCGGGTTCAAGTAACTGATCGACGAGGCAGTGCCAAGGGGAATTTATATTATCATCATCATCACGCGTGCTGCCCACTTGATCGTCAGTACTCCCTTTCCTCCTACCTCCGCCGAGATGGGCTCGCCCGACAGTTTACTGATATAGTACTTCCAAGATGTGCCACCGTCTACTCAGATTCGTAAAACACACCGCATGCGGTCATAATTCCTTCCAAAACGACTCCGTGATCGACTGTCGGTCTAGCGACTGCAAGATCAGCAGCCATCATCGATCACCCTGCAACCCTTGTATTTGCCGCAGATACTACGGGTGCGTTGCTCTCCCCAGTCGCATGCACATATACCTATTACCCCGTACTGCGATAGGCAACCCCAACGACTAATCACCCGAGAAGTGAGTCCCATGATACTCCGACGCCGAATGTTCCTTTGATCCGCTCCGTCCGCGCAGGTTCCCGACAAGTGTCCGCAATGTAAATAATGCAATCGACGGCTTCATTACTGCGTTGTACACCATCACATCTACCTGCACGAGATAGATATCCATCTCATACATCGAGATCGACTAGCATGTCGTCGTCGATCCCGCCATCCCCATACTCTTCCATATCTTCATCACTCTTATGTACTTCTTGTTGCGTCGATATCATCGCTTGCTCTTTCTGTTTCGCCTGTGCCTTCTCCACATCTTCCAGCGTCCACAGCGACACACCTGTTTGGTTTTCGTTTGGATTCTGTGAAATCGTCCGCATAAATAATTTTGACAGAGTCACTGCCATATCCGTTGACAGATTAGATGCCACCTCCGTAATGTACTGATTTATCCACCGAGGTAACTTTGCCCGCTTGTCCGCCCTGGCGAACCGCTAAAATCATTTTAACCACCGCAAGCATCTCGACACCGAGGACGACATACCTTGTCAGCGAAAACCATCAATCCCCAGTCGGTTTTCCCCCGCAGTACACGCCCAACACACTGGGCGGCATTCCGCATAGCGTCGAAGCCGAGGAACTCTGACTCTCGTATCCGGTAAGCGTCTCGCAAGTACTCAAGCCGCGCCTTTAGAATGCGGCTCTCAGTATATTGGTAAGGAACGCTGTTATAAATTCAGTTGATTGCTGAATTCCACACTGTTTTCACCTGCCCAAACATAATGACTGCTCGACCATAATTGTGATCGAAGTCGATTCCTTCGGACACCTTGCCACGCGCGACGGACAATAGGACGGCACCTCGGCCGTTGTCGCATGCCTTGGGAAACTAGTTTGTAAAATAGGTTTGATGCGCACCCATATCAGACTCACCCGGCGGTAATTCTCGAGTGCTATACTCGTTTCGTTCGCGTCTGGTGTCTCCACGAAAATAAGTTTGTTTTTCCACACTTCGTTCAAAATCCCCTGTGCAAGGCGGTCAGCTGTCATGAAGGCAACGCTAAAATTGGTTACCATATCGTTCCACGCTGCAACTATCGATTCCATATATAAATAACTAGGGAAGAACGCGACAATCCCGTCGGGCACGATTTTGCTGTATTCAACGAGAATGCTACCAAAATTCCTGACCACGGCCGGGTCATTTCGCACTTCGAATCGCGAGCTGATGGCAACTTGATCACTGCCACGGGTAATAACCTAGATAAGGCCCGTTTCGAGTTAGCTGCGGTTGGGGCACAACGAATCACACACCAGTGGCAAAAAGCAATTACGTGTCAAGGTCATGGGGTACGTTTCTTGGACAACAGGAGTAAATTGGAGCATTTTGGGGTACATATCCAGTGGGGAAATCGTTCCAGACGTGATAACGACGCTGCTGAAGCGTTCAAACACCGGCTTTATCGCGATTGACGGATCAAGGCATCTTCAAGTACAAATCAGACAACAAAGATCTATACAAGTGGCACACTGACGTAAGATGGAAGACCGGGTTTGGGACAGTTGCATTATCAGTTTCAAAAGGTTCGAGTATAAGCAGGAAACCTACTTAGACATTAATGGTTAGACACAGTACAAGGCGCTGCAATACTTACCCTTGTCGTAACTCGCTACGAGAGTGGCAAAACTAGCGACTTTTTGCAGTGCGGAGTGCTCGTCGAGCCGACTGAGATCCAATGTCCTGATGAGGGATTGAAGGCGCTCCGCACAGAAACTGAATGCACCTCGTAAGCCACTGCGATAGTGGGTAATTCATATCAGTCTTACCGTAAAGGTCGCCTTTCGATGTATGTAATGTCCTTGAGGTGTTGCAGAAACGAAACGGGTGTTTCCGCCACAACATGCAACACACGCATTCGAGTCTGCTCGGGTCCGTCAGTCACACAGCGTGACATCTACTGATGCATACGTGCTTTGAGATACTCTACGAAACGCTTGAGAAATGCGACGAAATGCTCTGCCTTCCGGATATTGCCGGGAATTGCCTCTTTCACCAGGTCGTCAGGTAGCACTAGATATCGCAATGGTAAGGTGGAAGCAATGTCATCTCACGGACGTCACTTGCCAGCGTTCGTCATGAATGCATCCTCCTCAGTGGTCTCGGTTATGGAATCTTGCAAACCCTCGACCAGTTTCGCATATTCGTCCTGTAGTTTAGCGGCATCGGTCTTCTTAATCCTACAGATCGTGAGACGATACTCGCTGTATGCAATGATGGTGACGCACTCCTCGATCCTTTCCCCTAGCTTAGCTACACTTCGCGCAGCAGAGTCAAGATTTGGTCGAGTGAGGTCTATGCTAAGCGATTCTATGCACACATTGTCTGAGTGGGGGACGGTTAGCATTGTCCAAATGTAGGCACGAGATAATACCAATGTTGTGTGCCTCATCAAATACGACAATGGCATCCTTCGAAAGTTCTTTCGAAACTTGTTCAGCCACCTTAGGATCCAACAAGTAATGAAAAGAATATATGATCACGTCGACAAAGGGCATCTGTACACTTAGTGAACACCTTCGTGCTCGATTTATGAGATCCTTCCTGCTCACCATTCTTCGAATCGTGAAGTAGGGACAAGTGGTATGATCTCGCCCATACTGCAAGACATCGGCGAGTGTCCATATCCCTGAGGGAATAAGATTTCCTGCTTCATAATCCTCCAAATTCTGTACAGGTTTAATACTTCTATACTATAAGACGATTCTTATGCAAAACCCACCTCGTGCCACTGACAAAGTTCAACAGAACCAGGATTCGCGCGCCCCTTGGAACAAGCAGCAGTGTTGGTTAAATCCCGACATCGAGCGTCGACAACTTTGCCTTTCTTCTCTTTTGAGACCTAGCAACCAAACGCCAACTCAGCTCAGGGAACAGAAGGTAGCGATTGGAATGTAAAAATTGTGTGACTACACATACCTCTGGGTGGATGCACAGGTTCTTTCGACTAGTCAAGCCAATACCAGTGAATCTCTCCTCCTTCAGCTTCTCCTCTGGCGTTTCCGTACATTGCACGCGATACTTCATCAGGCGTTTTAGCTCGGTCAAAGCCTTTTCAATTTCGGGCACCGTTCGCGAGCAGTATATGAGTTTCCGCTTGGTTGCATGAAACTGTGGTTTTCCGTCGTAAATGAAATGAAATTGAAGTCAAACAACCTAGACCTGCTGGTACGACACAATCAAGGACAACAGCGAAACAGTCTTCCCCGTTCCCGAAGGCATCTCGAGGACGCAGTGCCCCTGTAGGAGACGCGTAAGTTTAGTGTCAACCTTGTCAGTAGCAGAGACAAACAGTTGCATCGAGCGTCCTCTTAAGGTCACACATGTAGGCAAACTGTTCTTTCGGATGGTTCAGAACGTCGAAATGGGCTACCATTGGCCCCACCAAAGACCTACCAGGATATATCCTGTCATAAGGAAAGATGATCTGTGAAGCTCGCACCTCGCATCCTAGTTGCGAATGTCTATAAGAGGGGTACGCACGGGAAGATTGTCTATGAAAAACTTCATGGCCTTCGACTGTTTGAGAGACGAGTGTGCCGGACAGTCGACAGAGGAGACGAAGTGCAGAGTCCAGCCATGTGACATAATAAGGTGCGTGACTGGAACACGTTTACTAAGCACATAACCTGCCGATACAGACGAGACGAGGCAAAGTCAAAATCAAGCAGAATGCTGATCGATGATCGATGATCTCTCGTAGATAGACCGAGTCCACAACGGCAGATCATAGTCACAACGTCAGAATTACACGATCTAAATGTTACACTCAATAGCAATCCGAAACGAAGTACAGAAAACTTGAAACGTGTCCAAACAATACAAATGAGGAGTGGCAGCGATGTGTAACAAACTATCCTCAAAAGTCCAAAAATCCATGTCCAAAAGGGTCTCGTGTCACAATGTTGTCGTATCCACCCAAAGCGTAGTATAATGACGTGAGAACTCCTGGTATGTAGTCATTTCTTCGTGTCTTAGTCTGATGCAATGTTATTAGCAGTGCTTGATATCACTTGCTGGATACTGTCCGCATTGGAATTGCTATGGCAGGCGACCCGTTAAGTTCCATAGCTTGCGCACGTACACAGAACACGCACCTGGAGTAACCATCGTTGGGAGACACGCCAGTCGTATCGTTGCTTTGCGACGTTCCCGTCGAGTCCGAGCTTGGTGTGATCCCAGTAACCCCCGGAGAGATAGTTGTCCCAGTCTCGGCGGTCAAATTCCCTTGTCCCCACTGTAGTCGAGTGAAGTCAGCACAGCAATTGCACTTTAGCTACGGCGATCGTACCTGGTACTGGATCATACCAGCCAGATTCAAGGATACACTTGCTGGAAAAATTGCGTGACATCAGTATTTGGGTTGGTGACGTTCTGAGAGACGCACTAGTCAACCAGTTCTCATAGGCATCCGTTTGCTCTTGGTTGGTCACGCCGTATGCTGTACAAATTGATTGTATACCATCAATTTCCCGCCAGTCCTGGGCACCACTATCACGTACAGGTATCCCGTTTTTGGTTGGTCACGTCGAGTGCTGTGCAAATTGATTGTATATCATCAACGTCTCGACAGTCCTGGGTGCCACTATCACGTACAGGTATTAGTCGCATAGGGCGCGGTGGTCATGTTGAAGGGCACGAAGTCAGCCGCGTTGCTCTGTGTGACCAAACCAAACGCTGTCATGATCAAAGGCTTCCCAACACTGCAGAGCGAGGGGACATTCAAGTTATTTGACCCTAATTGGGAAGGATCGGCTTACGCGTCAGCAGATTGTGCTTGGTTCGTAATCCAATCTACACCAGCGTTGACCATATTTTGGTATGAAGATAAACTCGGATCGCTCGCTGCGTAGGCGTCTTGATCAGGGAACAACTGGAACGTGCCAAAGCTAATGTCGGGGATATTCAAAATGTCTTGGCTGTCCACTCCGTACGAGCCATCATAGGCAGAACCAACCTCCTGAGACTGCTGACGCCTCGTTGCTGTGACAGGCTCAGAGAAGATCACATTAGAAGGCAGGACACGCACCTGTGGCAGCCCAACGACCTCTCACACGGATCCCGTCTTCCTTGAGTTTCCCCGCCAGCTTAGCAGCTCGCCTGTTGAGGCGCCTGGACTCGGCACGCTTGCGCAGAATCTGCTCACTGGAAACAGGAACGCTGCGCTTCTTAGAGCCTGGCGCCGGAGAAGGCTGTGGGGCTGGGGCTGGATTCAACGGGTAAAGTTTTGCGCAGTTGGTACACATGTACCCCTGGTTTCTGAGATAAATTGAGAATGCAGACCCTTGCCCAGACGTTGGGTAATGCCTACCCCGAAGAAATGAGATGATTTGGATCGATGGAGCGAATATAAGCAGCCATCGTTGCATGCCACTGGGTTATTGTCTCTGTTGTGCAGCTACCGCTCATGGGCAAGGTGGAGCTGCATCTGTAGTACATGTTAATCAGATCCCTACGATGAAACAGCAAGTTTGAATAACCTGGGGTCATTTGCGAGTTCCCAACTAAAGACTGTAGGACTGTTCACGTATCGAGTAACCACCTGGGATGTGAAATTTTTGAACGCCATCACGACCTTTTCATCGGTGTAGAATTGATCGTGGTATTGAAGGCCAAACTGGCGAACATATAGGTCCATTCCACCTACAAGACCTCAGCAACGTTGCGGAGATATTCCAATTTGACAATTACCATAGTCATTAGAGAGATAGTTACGCGGCAGAGTGATTTCTGTCGTCCCTCCCCGAGCCTGGAGCGAGCTTCCAGTACTATTGGATGCCGTGGGATACCAGTTATTAGTAAGAGTCATGATAACGTATAGGCCATGCTGTTCAGCCATTTGGATAACCGTATCCAGCTTCTGCAGCCCGTTTGGTCCATCGTTGATGCTGACTTTGCCGTTCTGAACCAACTGGAACCAAGTACCATCACTGGGGGTCGTGGTCACATCTGATGATACCTGGTTAGCGCTGGCAAGGACAACATGTATAAGGCGAACCGTTGAACGCCCAGAGCCTAACAACCTTTGCTCCTATGGCGGAGATGTTTCCCAAAGTGTTCCAGATGTCTTGTTCAGTGTTCAAAACTGGTAACCAGTAAGCGTTGGTGCCGACATATCTGAATTTGCTGTGTAGTGTGATGTCAGAGAAAGTCCCAGAAGGAACGCCTTGGAGACAGACCTGCCGTTGACAATAAAGGAAGCTCCGTCTGTCTGCACGAATTGACTGGAGCCTCTCTTGGCCGTTGGCGGGGTTGCGATCGCTAGCCCAGAGAGTAACAAGGCAGCCAGGCCCCAAAGAGTGAACCATCGACGGTCCTTCATGTCAGCGTCTAAGCACTCCGGGGACGCTCGTGTGGTGGAGGTGAGCTAGGAATCGGGAAGGACGAATAGCATGGGCCGTTTATGGGTCTTACTTATAGGAGGGAAAGGAGGAAGCCGTGTTGAACGCCTGGGATTGCACGTGTCCTGCAGAGTACAGACACATGCACTGCCGCAACAGAAGAACATGCGTTACTTTTACTTAAGTATTAGCCGGCATATCAATAGTGTGGCGGTAGTGACTAGTGGCGGCTGCCAACATCGTCATTTATCGACAAATAATGGCCAACATGCTGTATTCCAGACATTGAACAGGACGCGGCCCCGCAAGACTCCAGGCACCTTGGGGCCGTATGTATAGCCCATACGGAACCTCGTGCGAGAGATTGTTCGTCATCGACCTCTCTTTCAGATCTAGGAAGGGCTCTCAGCCTATCCGACTAGATGAGAGCTTTTAATTAGATTCACGAGATTACTCACGCGATCTGCCTATCGTGGCAAGTGCAAGGTTTACATGGTGTCCATTGTTTGTTTTTCTATCGACAAATTCCAAGCCCCGGCTTGCCCCGGGACGGCGATTAGCGGGATTTAGTATTCCACTCTGTCTGACCCCTGAGCTGTCTGGACTTACAATTGCTGTATATATTCAACGATCATCCTTGGTGGTAGTAATGGCCAAAGGAAAGCCATATCCCTGCCATTCATGCCTCCTGTATAGTTGCGCCGGTCGCGGCCCGGTGGCAAGAAATGAACGTTATCTGTCCTCATTGGAATGATCGTACGCAAGGTTTGATGTGCACAACCCATTATGTAATTGCCACATTGCGTCACATGAGCTTTTCTCGTCTCCATTGCTTCCCACCTGCGTACCGGGTGCTGAAGCTGAAGTACTGAACGATCAACAGGTACGTTGTCACTGATACCCTAACGCGTGTGCTCAACTTCTTTATACTCAGTAGAGTATGGTAGCCTGCATGTTGAGAGCACGCACAGTCGGTCATTCTGTGCGACCGCTTTCTCTTCCTACCTCCCTACGGTTGCGAAGAGGTCTTCTGTCACAAAACAACGGAAAGGAATCTCCGCCGCCGCCTCCACCGCAAGACGGGCCTCACTCTTCCATGTTCATACAGGATCAGTTATCCTACTCTGCCGTATTTGCTCTTGGTTTCTTCAAGCGGTTTGCTAAGCTCTCCATACTTGGTATCTTCACTCTTGGATTGACTGGTATAGCCGCATTCGAGGGTGCTCACATATGGGTTGAGAACGTTGAGCTCGCGACGGATAATGATACCGAGACCAAGCGCTGGGAATGGGACTGTGATGCTGAAAAGTGGGCTGGAGGCGACGCCGGAGGCACGGATCCTGCTCTTGGATTCAAAGGCAGACATGCTGTCAGGGCCGCATGGATGTCAGAAAACTGGGGCAGCGGTTCTCGCACTGGCGTCATCAAACATACTGACTCACTGAGTCCTGGCAGACTCAATATTATCGAGGCCCGCTTAGGGTATGCGGAAGAGTTTTTGACACTTGCTCTCGAGATTGCAGGGGACGTGATTCCGACAGGAAAAATGCATCCACGAACCCTCGCTGAGCTGACTACGCGTCATGCTGATGTGCTAGAACGTATGGGGACGAGGGATGCCATTTTCGATGCCCGCTCTGATTATGAAAACCTCTGGTTCGGTCTCTCCAGGGAAGGGGCTAAAAATTTCCGGGTCGCGTTGAAACTCGGGGACCTCAATTTCCGACTCGGAGAGAACAAAGATGCGCTAGAGTGGTGGACGCGGACAATTAACATGACGCAGGGAACCCAACAACTCGAAGGCTCTGCGCTGCCTGCTGTTTCACAGACTCTCCCTTCATCTCCGTCAGCGCAACGCACCCTTGTGTCTACACTGGTTTCGCTCTCCGGCTATTATTCCACATCCCATCATTTGAAAGAGGCACAGAAAATACAGGAGGCTGCCCTTTCTCTGCTGCGATCTACTCCTATCCCTTCTAGCGCGTCGCCGACAACACCTCCCCACCTTTTGCACTTGTTATACATGCTACATCGGTCCTCACTCATATCCATCCATCTTGCTGAAGTCCTCTATGCCTCCCACTCGTCTCGGGAGTCGTCTCTAAGTTATTTGTCCGAAGCAGCGAAATCTGCCGAGAGGGTTGTGTTAGGCCTCTCTGGGAAGGCGGCGCGAAGTTCCAGTCAGGGCACAGTCAACTCAGAAATACCGCCGCACGGAATATCTCTGTTACCGGCTTTCACGAAATCTAATGTCATGCGTAGGCCGGCCAAGGCACTGCTGCGTGACGCTCGACGCACTGCGACGGAGGCATGGAATTTGATGGGGATTCTCAGTGAGGGGGACGACGTCAGCGACATGCGGAAAGCACTCGACTGCTACGAGCGTGCAATGGCATGGGCCGGTGTTTCTGCAGCCACGCTGGAGGGGTCTCAGGGATCGGAAGAAAGCATGCCAGAGGCAGAGTGGAGGAAACTTTGGGGCAATTACGTGCGGGCCCGCGACGCTGTGAGCGAGCAAGGAAGAAATGTCCAAAGTAATTGATCATTCGTGGTGTCGACACCCGCCTCATTCTCAGATGTGATTCCGCAGCCTCTGACTGTAGTTGCAATCCAATCCAGCATCATATGGTATACAGCCTGTCATAGACACTCGGTGTACAAACGCGGTACGGCAGACAGGTTTTGATGCGCCGCGCGTCACGTGACTGATGCGGAAGCAAAGCCCGCCGCTCCGCTCGTGTCTAATAACAGTCTGGCTTGCCATGGTTCTGCCACCCCTCAGCCATTCCAGTTATCTTCGTCTGTCTAGTAGATGGCACCGCGTTTGTCTTCCGCCGCACATTCAAAAATTTCCTGCAAAGTCTATTTCTATACTTTCACGACCATTTACATTCCACATTGGCGTTAGCTGGGCAGCGAAACCACCGGACCCAAAGATTACACGGTTTCATACACCATTCCCCGCCGATTCGTGCATTGGAAGATGGAGGGATAGAATGCTAGCCCTTCGCGAAAAGAATGTAAGCAGGGATGCCGGAGAAGACTTCTTCTATGTCACACAGGTGAGGTGTAGCCGTCCTTCCAGATATTGCGTTAAGATGCTCAGCACCGGTCCGCTCCCGGATCCCGTTTAAGATGCACAATGGCTCGGTAGGTAAGCATCCTGGGGTCCGTCCTCCTTGTCTTATGCGAGTCGCTACTATGTGCAGGGCGTTGCTTTTGGTATAGCTGACGGAGTTGGCGGTTGGATAGACTCCGGAGTCGATCCGTCACTCTTTGCGCAGTCACTGATGTACTATGCACATCGTTCTTCCCGTGATTCGTGGGCTGGGGAACCCGAATTTGACCCAACGCAAGATCAACAGGAACGCAATCAGGTGGACGGGCGAGAATTAACACCATACCAATGTCTGGATCTTGCGTACCATGGCGTACTACGAGATAACCTTGTAGAAGCTGGTATGTCGGCCACATTTCATGCTGTTCATTTTGCGTACCCAATACATTTACAGGATCTAGCACCGCCTGTTTGGTTAGTCTGAACGCTGCTTCTGGCGTTTTACGAGCCGCTAAGTGAGTACTTGATGACCGATTCAACCGCGTGCTTCATGTGCATCCGTTTGTCAGTTTAGGCGACAGCGGCTTCATGATTATTCGTTCGTCAGCCATAATACATCGACAACCAGCTCAGACGCATTTCTTCAATTGTCCTTTGTGAGTTAGCCCAGATCATTCCACCGTCGTTCATCTGATAACTTCCCGAAGACAGCTTACGAAGTTACCTCCATCGACCAATGCCGATATGCATTATATTGACCTACCTGATGCAGCCGCGGAGTACGAAGCGAAGCTCAGAGATGGTGACATCGTGGTCGCATATGTAAATACCCTTGTTTCCTTTTCTGTGGTACTTTGTCTGATGAGCTCGAAGACCGATGGACTATCAGATAATGTGTTTCCTAGAGATATTGTAACAATCTGCTCGCTGGTCGCTCGCTCCGTGCATTCGGAAAGTGAACAAGTACAGGCCATGGCAGACGCCATAGTTCATTACGCCCGGACTTGCATGCGAGACCAGAAGAGGGTGAGCCCTTTTGAGCGTGCGTGCCATTCTCCTGATTTCTCTCGAATCGGACGAACTAAGATGCACATACTACCATCAGGGGAAGCTAGCCGAGAAGGCTTGCTCTTTCGTGGGGGGGTACGTCCACATGTCCTGCATCATGACCAGTGTTTGATTAATTATATTTCTTCCGTCAATAGAAAATTGACGAGTGAGTGGATTTTGCTATTCAGTTTAAAGTCATCTTCGGTTAAACACAGTTGGTTGTAGTGTCACAGTAGTCACGGCGCTGGTTCGCGAGACACCATAGCGTCGGTGCCAGATCATTCGATCATCATTGCATCATCATCATCCTGTGGAGCTCGGGATTTCAACCAATTCTTACAAGCTGATGGCTCGATTGTTGGACATCAGCCTGTTCCGCACCAGAGATATTTTACATAAGATATACCTATGTAGTGATCTTCAAGCTAGTCTAGTGTTGTGTAGGTAGTGCGTATCAATTTTGATGACACTTAGGGTAAAGCTCACCCACATGTCGTAAGCAGCCTGTCATTCCTTCTGATGGTCTCAGCTGTTACCACATAGCATTGGTTCTCTCTGAGAAAAGACGCTCCGCTGTCACGCCCCGGCACCTGCCGGTGGGCCACCCCACCTCGTGACCTGGCCGTGACGTGAACCGTCGCGGTGGCGGTGGCGGGGCCGTCTTTTCTCCGCACGTGACCTGGCCACGTGCCTGGGCTGGGCTTACTATGGTAATTGCCTGTCTGTGCATGCATGTCACTCACCTGCCTGCACTTATTGCACCTGCCTCTGCCTCTCTCTCTCTCTCAGTCGAACAGAGCGCTGATTGATTGTTTATTATGTACTTTTTGCATCTGATTTTGTTAATTCATTCATTTCCCTGCCAGCTGTTGCTTGCTGTTGCACCATCCTCCCGCTGGGAAACGATTGCAACAGATGCTGGACCCCCCCTCCTTGCTGATTCGCTGCCCACAGACCAGGCAATAATGGCCACTCCTTCGACAGTCCCCTCCTCGCTGTCAGGCTCCTCCAGTGTCACCCTCCCCAAGTTGCCTGCACTCGGCATCGTCCTCAGCATCTCCGTCTTTGTCTCCCTCATTATTTGCTACAAAGTTTACAGCCAATTCTTACCGGACTTCTCCCCCATCGTCCTGAAGATCCCTGTGTGGATCTGCCCTCCCCGGAAAGGCCTATACGATCCCTCTGCACAGGAGTCATTTTTTTGCATCGAAGCTGAACAGCTTGACCGTCAAGCAGTGGCAATGGTCAGCCACTCTACTGAGGCTCGATCCACTGCTGAACTCAAGTTGGCAACCATGTGGGACACCTCTGAAGCTCAATCCACTGCCAAACTCAGGTCAGTAGCCACATGTGACACCATTTTCATCCCTCTCATCCTGATGATCTGTCCCAGTGCGAGAGCAGCTAACACATCTGTTGATGGCCATGGACCCTGCTCACTGCAGAGTTGCAAGGGTGTGCTCCCGTTCCCTACATGCCAGTTCAGCTGCAACAGGCAGCCCAAGGTCGAACATATTAACATGTGAGTCAACCTCAAAGGACAGTCAACACCGTTCACTGAACTGATCGTTGGCTGTGGTGCCCTGGGTTTACCATGCAGCAATGTCATGACCTGCTAAGGAACTCAAGGTCCTCTGTCGAAAGCTTGGCCTGAGCCAGACTGGTACCAAACAAGTCCTTCTCGAGAGGCCTGGAGGCATTCAGCCAGGATCACGATGCCTGGCAGCGGTGAGTCACAGCTTACCTCGTCCTTGGTCTCTCACCAGGTGCTGAGTTGTTCCAATGCAGAGTCCTTCCAGGCACACGAAGATCTCACAAAGGCCCTCAAAATCATCATGCTCAAGATACAGGTAGCAGGAAGGGCAAGAGAGGCCCTGCAAAGCGGTCAGCAAAACAGTCGGGCACTGCTGCTGGGTGGCAGTAGCAGTGATGCTGCAGTCCTGTCTGCTACTGAAAGGTTGAAAGGCACCTGAATGCAGGCAGAAAAGGCAGCCATCCTTGACTGGGTCAGTTGCAGCTTCATTTCCATTCGCTGAGTTCAGGATCACTCATGCTGGCACTGTGTCCTTGCAGGCACGAACGACTCTCACTCTATATCCTTACCAGCCTCCCCTGGCTGTTGCAGTAACAACAGGTCATGGTGGCGGGCCACTAGGTGTGCTGTCAGGTATGAGCCTTGCACATGGCCCCTGCAAGTCAATCACCTGGTCTCCCCTCCCCATCTGCTGATGCTCGCTGTCCCTCACCAGCAAGTGGGGACACCTCTCCTACTGTCATGGCTACCGATCCATCTTCTGTCGTTTGCATGCTAACACTTGGTGATGGGACTGTTCTCGCCTTCATGCTCGCTGACATTGGTGACCCCACAGCCATGGGATTCAGCAAGGACATCCTGAGGCTCAATTCCATGTGGGACAACACTTCCCCTCACTGGACTGGCCAGTCCACCCTTACCATCAAGGGCTGTCCGATTGTGATCAAATACTGGCCCAAGGTGTACCGTTATGCACACAACCGACAATGGAAAGGGATCAAACACAACTGGACATGCTGGAAGGCAAGTATACATACTTGCTCTTGGTCGAAAGTGGGCCTATCTAATCCTGAGTTCACAGTACATTGTAGAGTGCTACCATCAAGGCACCCCGGATGAGTTTTGGCATGGGTTTAGTGAGAACGGGAGGCTGATGAGTTACACTCGTATTCTTGTCCTCCTTTGTGAGGCTCGGAAGAAAGAAGATCAGGAAGCTGTGTGGAAAGTGGCAGAAGAATTTGGCAAATCTTTTGATATGCAGTGCACATACAGAAAAGGCAGCAACATCCATGTCCTGACCCAGCCTCGGGCTATCACAAAATGGCTGCACAGGCTGAGTGATGGGCATGGCAGGGATGAGGGCGGTTCTATTTAGCTGCATATTATCTAGCATACATAACTCTGTGGTGCGAGACATAGATCGTGCATTGTATCATGCATTTTGTGTCTGTTTTTATTCTGAATCTGTGAGCTCAATGACGCCCAAGTCAAATGTGTGGCCACCACTGCTACTATTCTTCCTCTCAGTCTTGGAATTGCTATCTGTAAGTTCAATGATCTCTCTTTCAGTCTCAGAATCACTGTCTGTGAGTTCAATCATCTCCTTGCCATGACTTGGCCTTTGGTGTGCAGAATGGCTTGGTTCCTCAGTGTCATGCTTCATCAGCCCAGTTGCGAGCAAACCTGGGAGTGCAAACCTGACCACCGGATCTGGCATCCAGACCCAGTGAGTGCTTGGTGCTGGGTGAGTGCTGGGTGCAGAATCTGCAAATAATCCAGCCTGGGGAACACCATCTGGCATGCTCAGTACTTGAGCAACACCACGTTTTGCAGGGAGCACTAATGGCGTGGTGTCAATCTCCAAGCGGTGCTGTACCAGTACCTGTCCTGAGGCAGCATCTTTGCATTGTGAGCTGAATACAGAGAACTGAATCGAGCATGTGAAGCCCTGCCGCACTGGACATGACTTGGAAGAAGACTCAGATGGACCCTGGGGGCATATGTTACCTAGAGTGTCTGAGTCTGCTCTGTCCATCTGTAGATCACAATTTAGCAATTTAGCATTAATGGTGAGATGACAATTAATGGCAGCCTTCAAATTCATACTATGACATGGTATAGCCTACTCACACCACATAGATTGCAAATACAAACTCCCTCATAGACCAGGTTCTTCAGCTTTCTGAGTGTACCAGAAGATTCAATGGCATGGACTGGGATGGGTGGTCCACCTCTAGACCACCCAAAGCAGAACTTGCACAGGAAAGCCAGTCGTTCCAGGTCAGTTCTGAGCAGCATTGACAAGGCTTGAGGAGGCCCAGGATTGGCACACATGAATGTGATCGAGGGCTTAACATATGCCAGGACAACAGCTGGGGAGGGAAAGTCGGTTGGAAAGGTGGCAGGAAAGTTTCTTACAGCCCATCTTGGTGAGGAGATCACAGACATGCTTGACCCAAGGTCCAAGGAATGTGGTAAGATCATCCTCATTCATGGTAGTGGTTGCTGCATGTAGCAGCTCATCTCCAACACCATGTTGAGCAAGCACACAAGTTGTCTTCCATCCACAACGTGAGAGGCCATTCTATCATGTGACCAATGTGAGTTGTACAGTGCCTGTCAGTGGCCAGTGGGCAAGCATGAACTTACATCGTAATCTCCACCACAGAAGAGGGCCATTAGCAGTAGCCCACCCTTTGTCAATGCAACAGTGGACTCTTGTGCCAAACCATTAGCAGAATACATTAGAACGGACTTGTCATTGTCATTGTCACTGTTAACACACCAATGTAATAAGTTAGTTCGAAGGAGCTCAGCACAATCTGGTCACCTGCCTTCGGAACACAGTTAGAGTGCCAAATACCAACACATCACTATCCTCAGTCCAGACAGCATCAATAACCCCTAGCTGATTGAGGGCAGCTAGCTCTGCCTCTGCCTTGCCTGCTGCCTAGAGAATAAATTTGCAGAAATGATGATGACACTGGAAGTCACTGGTCTGATAGGTTCAACCTCACCTCATGTGTCCGAAATCCGAAAGCACTAGCAAAGTCCTTGAAGTACGTTGTAAGCCATGGTGGAATAGTGACAACCTTCTTGCCCCGCTTGATTGCTGGCTTTTGCGGGCCATTGAAGACAAAGAGGATGTTGGCTGGGGTGTGATACAGGTGTGCTAACTTGTAAAAGAGTGTCCTCAACTCTGGGTTCTGCCCACACTGTCCATGTCCATGTCAAAACGAGTGCTGGCAACTGGCCATCCATAAGCTTTCAGAGTTGGACTGACCAGGTAAAAATACTTAAGTCCAAGACTAGCAGATTATATCAGAGCACCTGGGAACATACCTGGCATCAACACCAATCCTGAATGGATGCTCAGAGCATTTTGTGCCATCCGGATTAAACATGTGGTTGACCGTGAGCTCTTGCAGAGAATATTTCTTTGCTGCTGGAGCAACTGCCTACCGAAGCCAAATTTGTGTGTAAAGTAGTACAAATATTCAGCCTCCAGACTTACCTGCCAAAGGCCTGTAACACCCATTATTGTTAAATCCTGTATGATGATGGCAGTGGTCACAGTGATGACACACCTGTGAGCCCCTATTGCACTTTTGAGTCTGCTATGTGACCAGTATAGTATGTAGTATGCGGCAAGCTGAAACACAAGTAATAGTTAATATAGGCTCCTCGAGTTGTAAGCTTTCCCGTTATCCTCTTCACCATGTTTGACAATTAGTTAGAGAGCCCTTTTGATTTCTTCATATTGTACATAGGAGGAGAGTAGAGGGTATAGATATGGAGATACCATGTCCATTAAATAGCATACCCTGCAAGACCGGGGAGGGAACAATGTCATATATAATACATTTGCAGCTGTCATCGAGACAGATGGAAAGAGATCTAATATTGACAAAATGAATGTGGAGAGCTAGACATTATTTACCAGACGGCGGGTGATGCAAAGGTCAACATCTTCACCTTTGACAACAAGGTGTGTACATGCTCCATTGGGGAGTACCCTGGCGAAGATGATGTGGACATGATTTTGGCTGACAGCTCTTCAATGCTGATGGGTGTAGGTGGTGGTGCGGAGGAAGCAGGGGAGGTGGACAATGTAGATTAAGAGAGGGACGCCTCTGGGATATTGGGACAGGTGGAATGTGAAGGTGGCGGGACATACACAGACCATGGAGGATGGATGGCAGGGGGCATGACGGTCGAGAGGCGCAAAAGGGTTTGCTGATGAAGGGGGTGTCGATTTCTTCATCGATGGTAAGATGTAAGCTGGAAAAGGGCCCATCCCTGCGAAATCTTTCCATATCATACTCTTGAACTCACTTAGTGTCAAGGGATCCACATTCAGCTCCCACTGTGTCATCACAAATAACTTTGCTCGTGAGCATAAATGTGGAAATGAAAAGTTGGAAGGCAGACAAGCCATGGGCAGTGGGGAATCGCACCTTTAGTCTTTGAAGACTAGCACAGCAAATGTGATGGATGGATGGAGCTTGGTGTGGTGGAGAGCATAAGCGATGATACCTGCAAAATTGTCCAAGAATGTCCCACCCACAAAGTGGGTGAGAGGTGGAACGCTGGAACGGGCAGGATATGGATACAACACATGTAACCCGAAGACAGTGGGGGACTCCTATACAGACCCAAGTTACATGCCAAATTGCCTCATAGCCATTCCAGTCACAAAAAATGGGCATATCTTGAGGACTACTGCACAGAACTGGGTGAATGAGATATCTCCAAATAGGGTTCAGCGAGTGGAATGAATGGACCATAAAGTGAGAGGAATGGCAAGGAGATGGACAAGATATGATGACAAGACCTCGAGGGTGGCCCTTCTCACAAAAATGCAAACAACTTGGGAACTGCTTGGCCAATTCAAATGAACCAGGTACCGACATGGAGCTGTCATTAAGGAGTATCATTCCCCCGCAAAACGAGAGACGCTAGTCAAGCACAAGCACAAGATCGTCCACAGTGTGGGCATTTGAGTGCAGGATGGTGATTTGGGTTGAAAAAATCTTCACAGGCCTCCATCGCATCATCGTTGACTGAGATGAGGTACTTAACTATCGTGAGGTTAGTGAATTCTTGACTCCAACCTCCCCATTCACAAATTTTCCTCAGAGGCCATCGTTGTTCGATGTGGAGGTACTGGCAGCCTCCCTGCCAAAAAGAGTGGGTGCCATAAGCTGCAGGATTGATGTTGAGGTTCAGCAAGTTGTTTTGGAACATTTCCAGGAACTGTTCAGACGACTTTCAAACCAGATACCATATCAACCAGCTGATTGGCTTGGCAAGCCTGAGGTGCAGAACTCTATTTCACCATTGGTATGTTGGCTTCTGCAACATGGTCACCAGAAGCAATTTTGCAGAAGAGGTAACCGGATGTGATGTTGGATGCTATGATCCACTCAGATATGGCCCTTACAGCACAGAGGTGAGCTTCCGATTGATGGAACACCCACAGGAAATATGGTTTGATGTCTGCTGGTGCAATCAGTCCAAGATAACCTCGCCATGCTGTCAGCACATGCTCACACACACTCACCTCCAGTTTGGTGAGTTTTACAGAAAGGGAGGGTAATGGACATGCCAGTTGTGGTGCCAGGCAGCATCATACATGAAATTGATGTCATGGACTTGAATCTTCAAAACTTCATCAAATTGGAGAAGGCAGATGAATGCAATTGTATAGGCAGCTTGTAAGAGATGACAGGCCCGAGCACCACCCCAGTCTGCCAACCTGTCATCTTGACCATGATGGTTGGGGTCACGAAGGTCGAACAAGTGCCAGGCTGGTATGCACAGATGGTCCAATTGTCAGGGTAGATGGTTGAAATGATAGAGTTGTGAGAGTATCTCCTGTGGGAATGAGTAGTGAGCTTCCCAGAACCATTGCACCAGTGGTATCAACATAACTGATGTGATTGCACGTGCGCTGATGGCAACTTCGCCAGCTTGGACCTGCAAAGTGTAAGGGAGGGGTATTGGTGAGACCATTCACCACCCATATATAGCCCAGATGAAGATGCATACCTTGCAGCACCTGTAAGGCACACATGTAAGATGACACCTGTACCAACATACTTGGGTTCCCCAGCATGGTGGAATTCCCTGGTACCTCTGACTGATGCCAGGGCATATCACCGAGCCCATGTAACCACCCAAAGGCATAGGTCATTGCTGCCCTCATCTTCTGTGCATGGCCATAAGTGCCTCATTCCTCAGATGGCAGTTTACTCGTGCCCTTCAGTGTAATTGAATTGCACCTGCCAGAGTCAACATCATTTTCATCAGTTTTGAGGCAGTGATAATAAACAGGAGAGACAGGGGATACGCATTCATAATCCAGGCGATGATGAATGTCGGTGCATCACGATGGGGTTGGTTGGAATAGAACAACTCATCACCTCGCAACCATCCCATGCCCACGAGGAATCTCTGACACTGCTGCATGAGGCTATGGGGATTAAGTTGTTTGAGTAATCTTGTTTTGCAAAGCAAACAGGACAAACAGACCATTTATATTCTGCATCCGTTCCCTCTGTCACCCCCTTCGATGCATCTAGTAGCATGGCTTGAAATGCAGAGAATTCGTTGTTGGTGTCGATGCTGCCACAGATGGGACCGGGTAGAGTTTGTTGTTCAGAGGTCATGTCATACAAAACATCAAGGAGTTCGAGGGGTGATGCCTCAGACTGGAGATACAGCATGACACAGTCCAGGATAGCTATCGAAGGCTCGCTCAGACATGTTGGTTTGTTGGAGGAAATGGGGAAAGCTGCAAGAGTTGATGGCCTCCTATATATGCAGTGAATTTCCAATCATTGTTAGTCATAGCTAGACAAGCCAGTAACACGAACACAGATGGTAACCAAAACAGTGTCTTGTACAACACCAAATGGCACTCAGAACCCACCCAGGACTGTATTTTTTTCCAGCAGGGACCATAGTTTGATTCCTCCAGGACTGTATTTTTTCTGTGAAGCACTGAGACTCCTCAAAGGAACACCCTGAGTTGGCAGGGAAAGCACGACCACCACGGACCCACCCACTGGACCATTCTTTCATGAAAAAAGACATTCCAATCCTGCAACATGACAGCTGAGCATAGTGCATACTCACCACAAATGGCCGATGTAAAGCCAAGTCATATGACACATTGCCGGCTTTGACACCTAACATCAAAGCATAAGATATAACACACAGCATATGCCGGCTTCATGAGAGGTCGATTGAGGGGCTTATAAGTGAGGACCACTCATGACCATCCGTTTAACCTCTGTCCATCGACCCTACCCCCTACCTCTCACCTCACACTCCAAATACTTGCTCCGTCGCGATCTCACCAGTGTCTTCACTGTGATGGCACCCTCGGTCTCTTCACTGCCAGTCCCCATCTCTGTCTTGGTGAGTACTTCGATCTGGCCTTGCCGATGGACTCGATGGTGTTGCTGTACATCGAGGACTCCATCCACGGTGTTAGGGAGGGCATCGCCAGTCAGCGAAACTCCTCACTGTTACTCGCATCGCTTGCAGATGCCATCGATCGGAGGCCTGGATGGAAGGGCTCAGGGAGGGGCTGAGGGAACAGGCAATCCGATTGCCCGCAGGGGAGTCTGTGCGTCGGCACGCCTGCGCGCGATGGCCGTTTAGGTCGCTGGGGTGACAGCCCGCTCGTTCCCACCGTACCCGTTTCGGATCCGTCACGCTGTGACGGGGTCCTGACTCAGCCGTGACCGCACCGTCTGTTTTCGCGGTCGCAGCTTCACTTCTCAGGAGTCCAGAGTTCCGCCTCTGGTGTGTGCATAGCGCAATCCAAATCCAACGTTCCAACTTCAGCTAGAATCAGCTCAATTATGTCCTTCTATGATACATCAAGAACACCGAGTTTGTAACCGGGATATACGACAATGACTACGGCACCAGTGCGAAGTAATAAGATGCGATTTACTGAGGGCTGCTAAAGAAAACCAACGCTGCACGAGTGGCAGGCAAGGCCAAGAGCAGAGGGGTATGCAATGAACGTGCCATTAGATGCTCTGACATATCGTGCAGTTGATCACGATGTGTTGCCGGTACACCGACGCTGTGATAAAAATGTACGTTAACGGGTGAGCGCCGCGATGTGATGCGAGGAAGCGACGTACGTAGAACTATGAGCGCAGCCAGACCCGACACTACGATTATGTAGAGTAGACTGTATTTAACGATCTGCGGAAGGTTAGCTTGACCTCAGTATAGATTGTGAGCACGTAGCACTCACAATCCATCGGCGTTGCCTCTTTTGCTTGGTAGAGTATAATGGTGCCCTGATTTGTTTGGAGGGTCGCAGCCAGACTAATGGAATCGATGAGGGAAGCGATAAAATGAAGGAACGAATGACTAACAGAGCATGGTCGAATGAAGCTTGTCGATGAATGGAATGAACACAGGGACAGTCAAAATTATAAGGAGAATATGTCCGAGCAAGAAGTCTGAGCTCCACAGAGACATTTCCACGATCTTCACGATGAATTCACGAGCAGGTTGTGACATCGCAGAATTGCCGAGCCCGCGTCCATACCATTTTCCTGACCACCACGCACGATTGGTCTCATCATGCTTGAATTCTCTAGAGAGGAAGACGGAGATTAGGATCTTCATGATAGCACGTTGGATGGCCACGATGGCAATAACCCCGAGCACAGCATGTGAAGCATCCCAGAGCTCCAAGAACCACTAGAAAACGAGTCAGTTTGGGACTCACAACGAAAGTGAGAACTCACAAAGAATTCAAAGAAGGAAATTATTCCAATCAAGGCAAGGAAGTGAGCTATAGCAGCTACGACGGAGGCAAACTTTGTCCATTTCTCGAATATAGGTCCCAAGAACAGTGAAATGAAGAATAGGGAAAGTAGGACAGTAGCATTCCAGACCATCGGACCGATGGCAATAACCCCAATCCGGATAAGAGCGCTGGGGTTCGGATCCCCATTCGCGTTTGGAAACGACTTGACGAACATGTACGCTACGACGAAGAGCGTAGCCATGCATATCGGCCAGACGATCTCCGAGAAGATGACAGCACGCCAGGGAGCCCGCGGAACATCACCCGACAGCTTCTCTGACGGGTGGCCGAGCTTTTTCTTCTTATAACCCGTAATCATCGTCCGGGACAATCGGCAGTACCCATACCAACTACTGGCTTTCGTTCTTGAATTTCCTCGGGACATCCATCGCAGGAATTCGCGGTAATCAATGATGAAGTCCGAGAAGGAGAACTGATGGGGGTTGAAGACGAAAGGCGCAATACATAGAGATAACACGGAGAACCAGAAGTAAATCAGGTGGGGCATCCAAATCGCCAAGGAGGCATAGAGGAGCAGCAGGAGATTCCTCATTCCCATGTAGATACTGGGCCCTGCGAACCGCGAGTACAAAATACTGAAAGAGAGCCTGGTTGTTGCAAAGCCACGACCTGTAGCAATGTACCGCGCGCCACCGAAGGTCAAGTTGCTAAGGATGGCTTGCGAATAGATTTGGGTCGAAAACACTTCAAAAATCGGGGACAACGAGAGAAAGTGTTTGCCGAGACGCAGCAGTGCCTTTCCAGTCCCACGTTCCACGAGTTCTGCGACATGTTGTCAATTTAAGGAAGAGCAAAAGACGATGCACGGGTCATACCTTGGAGGAAAAGGGGCAAGAATGCGATGAAGAACACCATGAAAATGGAAACAATGCAACGTTTCAGCCAGTCGAAGACAGGGACTAAATTGTAACACCCTGTTGCTTGCTGGCCGCCCAGCACGTTTCCTTGAGAATCTACTTGACATATTGCCAACTGCTTGTTAAGAGTTCCAATGTACAGCACTGGCGATTCCGATGAGGAGAAATATGACCGAAAATGAGAGATAACTTACATGTTACCATGAAGACTTGGATCGAGTAGATGACGAGAATGTTGTTGATATGGAATCCCGGGTGGCCGTAGTAGAAAGTCAGGAACCGGTCAATTGGGAGTTGTGTGCCCAAATAATAGTATTCCCTGCTCAACATCTGCTCACCCATCCCAGTGCCAATCTTCGTCTGGAAGTTAAGGATCGTTCCGAAGCCAAGGTCACGGCCTTTGCCACATTGGTAGTATTCAGAATGCTTGATGCGCCCGCCACGACCGAACGCATTCATCCCGGCAAAGATATCCTCATTCAGATGAAGACCTTTCTGTGCCTTGGAAACACCACCACGAGTGGTCATAAAAATAGCGTTCAGGAAATCGGGATGACCGTAGTGCAGTTTACCACCAATCCATGCCAAAGCCCGGGCAGTCATAGTACCAAAGGTTTGTTCCTTCCCAGCAGCGACATCTCCGAGGACACCAATGTTCTCCGAGAAGATGTACTCGCGTGTCCCAACGATGGCTACGGGTGCCTTCTTGAATTCCTTGTGGCCCCACTGAGCGTAGGGACTTTGAGCGGAAACTGAATACTCTTCGAACTCTCCCAAAATATTACGAATCTTCAGGCACTCCTCCAAATAGTTATCTTGGTTGGCGTCAATGAGTTGGAGGTACTCTCCCCGATAGAAGATAATGGCGTGGTTCTGGTTGTCCGATTTGCCGTCGCCGAGGATTGGGTTGCCAGGGAGTTCAATGCGGAACTTGGGCTTCCGTTTCCCAGTCTTCTCGTCGAAATCAGAGTGACCGTCGATCAGCACAGAGAACAAGCGTGGATCGCTGCCCTTAGGCCCTGCCTCTTCATCGAGATACGCAATCTGGAGGTCGGGATATGCACGTAGCAAGAATTCTGCGTTCTCGTGTTCTTCCTTGTTGAACTTTGCGTAGCGTTGCATTGAAATTGCGAACTTGAACTTTCGCCTGGACATTCTTTCCAATTCCCGCTCGAGCTTCTCCGTGTTACCTCCAAACATAGACACGATGTCTGGGTTTTCAACACGATATAAAAGCTTGATGGCCTTGGCGTAGTTCATCATTCCAGAAACAGTACGGTAAAGAGTCTGGGCGCGAAGCGAGGCCCAAATACGGGTACGGAGTGTGTACTCAGGGGAAGATGTCTTGAACCCAATGCAATAGAACGGCAAGTCGTCCGTCTTGCTGCCCTGTTTCTCGTTCACCGATGATGTTCCGTCCATAGCATCTGTCTCCTCGGCCAAGATCTTGGTATCTTTAACAAAGTTATCCCATTCGATAGGGTGTAGCTGCTTCAGGTACTCTAGCAAGGTCACCCGCGTGCTCTGGTCCTCCTCACGAATGATCTCCCGCAAACTGAGCAAGATCTTCTCTGAATAGTGAGGGACGAGAACGGTAAAGGTGGGCATGGCATCGACTGGGAGAGGTTCCGGTAGAGCTGTAGTTAAGGAGGAAGCGAAGAAAGATATCCGCCGCTCGGCTTCACCATCTGCAGGGAAGAAAACACCCTTATACTTGGTGATATTCTGGTTAGTGAAGAATGGTGGAGCGCGCAGAACGCGCTTGCCATCCGGTCCATCAACTTGATGGTACAGGAGGCGCTGCACATGATCGATGGAAAGTAAGTGCTCGCGATACATGGAGATGATAATCGCGTTCCAGATCTGGGAGACAAGAACCTTCGGCTTGTACTTCACCTCCATGTCACCAGTGGCAAGCAGCTTGGCGTAGATACGTTTCGGCATTCGAGTATAAACGTCCTTCCACGGAGTCCAGATAGACAGTCCAAGACCGAAAGACCGCCCAACAGAGAAAACGACGACCCAAATAATGTACCATAGATACGTGTCCAAGAAGAAGAGAATGAGATCCATGATATACATAATCGCAAGTGTAAAGGGGACTTGGTTAGAGCAGAGCGCTTTGCCGAAAATCTTGTCATTGCAATTCTGCACGGTCGTTTGCGCCATGACGGCAATAGGGGAACTGAATGAGCTGGTAAGGAAGAAGTACGACTCGGAAAATTTGCACCCAAAGACAAGAATCCACAGTACGATACTCGCCGTACGAGCAGGGCGGGGGAGGTCGGGATAGGATGCAGTAAATGTTTGCGACGCCATATACTTGCGAGACTTCCCTGCAACGCGATCACCGAACATTCGACCAGAAGGGAATAAGCCGAAGGCGATGGTTGCAACGACGGAGATAAAAAACTGCACAATGCCAACGATAAGTGGTATCTGGGAATTGGCTGACGTTGGCTGACTTCCGACCCAGGCGATGTAGACGGTCGGCCCTCCTGTAAGAGCGAGGATTACGAGAAGAAAGACCAATCGTGTTGTCAAATGAGAGGCATTGTTCCAAGTGGTAGGGATATACATAAATTCCGCGATCGTGGCGAAGATCATGATCAGAGTAGAGACTGCACCGCCAAGTGCCGTGGCGGTCCATGTCATAGCAGCTGTAGGATATTGCATATTGGCAGGCGTGTAAACTTTGGGAGAATTGTATGCAGTGTAAAACCAGTAGGTGGCGACGTGCAGGATCCAGACACGATTGAAATTAACGAGCAGATGAGCGATGGAACGTTTCTCGTAATAAGTCTTGAAGAAAACTCTATTCCAGTCGACGCGACGGAGACTCAAGTAGCGTTTGGCTGGCGCGAGGTCGACCAGTCGAGTCTGATGACCAGGCGAATAGCGAAAATGTAAAATCCATGTAATTGAGAAGCTGTGCGACTTACGTTATTGTCTAGGACGATACGGGCCAGACCTTCGGGATACCAGAACAACTGGTTGATATCGTCATAACCAATGATCTGGTCGTGGTCCTTTTCGCGACGGACGAACTTGCCGTCGGCGACCTCGTACCCTTGGTCACGCATGAACTTGTAAAGTGGTTTAATGATGCTTCGAAGGTACAGGCCTTCTTCTACCGGTTCGACCGTATTCTGGCACTCGGGGCTACGATAATAATCGTCGGCACATTTGAAGATGAAACACAGACATTCGGGTACGAAACGAACGTTGCCAGCTTCACCCCAGCAAAGGAGGTAAAGGGCAATTTGGCGGAGGCGATCGTATTGGCTCATATTGTTCATGGCATTCCGCCAGCGATTGAGGGCGCTGTCAAGATGTTTGGAACCAGCCGTCTTAACTGTGCCCCCTCTGACACTCCTCAGCCGCTGCAAACCGGGATTCTGGGACTGGCCCACAGCATCGTCGAGGTTGAGCTGAGCGGCGAAATACCACTTGCGGTAGTTGGCGTGTTGACCGCCGATGTAGTCTGCATGAAGAGTCAGAAGAGCTTGGTGTGGACTCATACGAGATGCGCGAGAGTCGAGGGAAGCCATTAAAAAGTCGAACTGTGTATAATGGGTCAGGTTGTGAGTGACATACAATGCCAAAAAAACCGACCATATTACGCATTGAGTCGCGTTGAAAACCGAACTTCTGGGTGAGGTCTAGAAAAATGTCCTCAATCTCTTCCATGGATATAGGTATTTGACGGTCTGGAGACCAAGCGGGGTATGGGTGAGCGCCCTGGCCGGGGTCGATGAAGGGTGAGCCGAATGGCTGGCTAGCTTGAGAGTTGATGGAGGGAGCGTAGGAAGGGCCATGACCAGCATCTGAGGGTGGAGCAGAATCACGGCCTGAAAGAGGCGTCAAGGGAAGAAGAACCGATGGTACGAATGAAAACGTACCGCCGTAGTGATTCTGCTCGTAATAAGGCTGGTTACCAGCCAGCCTGGTTGTACTGGTATACGGAGAGACGGAGGGGGAATCAATATCGTAGTCCTGCCTGATTGGCTGTGGGTATGGCAACTGCTGGCCGTAAGGATTGGGGAAGGGACTCTGGCCCACTGAATGGCTGGCTGGGTGAGCCATGTTGGCGGGAAGTAAAACGAATGGACGACAGCTGGTCGACACCGGCGATGAGGGAGAGAAACAAGTCGAAAATAATATCTATTATTATTATATCCCTTGGATACCCAAATAAATAATAAAAATAAAAATGTCAGACCCCATCGTGCTATGCAACACGCACAGACGCGCCACCACCGTCCTCGACGACGCCGGCATAGCAATCAGAAAGTATGTCCTCGCTCCGCCTCAGCGGGCACAGTCCACCCGACACATGCTACGCGACACAGTTCACCATGGTACGGTGCCACCCCTCGCCTTGTTCTGCATCGTCGCCTTGGCACCCTACACCGACCAACTGCATGCTCTCGGCGCCCCTCGCGTCCCCTACAGGGACTTGTTACTCCCAGAAGTACTAGACGACCCCCGAACATGGGCCACCCTCGCCCAGGCTCATGCACCCAGTGCCAGTTCGCTCACATGATTTGGATCTGTCTCTCAGTGACACTCACCTCCCGCTCCTCCAGCAAATACCGAGCACTCCCAACTTCACCTTAATAACCCTCCTTTCTCTTCCCGGGTGTGCTCATATCTCAGACGACACCGTCTCCGAATTACGTAGACTCAACACGCTTATTGCCCTCGATCTCCGTGCGACTCACCTAACCACGTATGGTGTCACTGTCCTCTCCCGCGGTCTGTCCTCCGCACAGGACGACTCTGGCCTACACAAGAAAGCAGGCCCGTGGGGCCTTCGAATAATTAGCTTACATGGCTGCACAAAGGTCACGGATGCCGCCTTTGCCTGTACTAAAAAATTTTCCTCTCTTATCTGTCGCAGGTAAATAATGATTAGTGGCGGTTAATGTAACGCACAGATACTCATGCCCCTCCCCTAGACTTGCGTCTCACTAATTGCACGCGCGCCGCAGTTAAGAAACAACTCGGCGTACTTGGTTTCCAACCATCTCGCTCCCGCACCCTTTTTCATCCTTCAAAAATCTCCGTGTCCCTCTGCTCGCTGGAAGAAATGGCTGCTACGTCAAGTCCAGCCACACCTCTGTATCCCTCCCCGCCTGAATCAGTGTTTCGAATACATATCAATAAATTATCCCCCTCCCCACTAACTAATTCCCAATCTAAGAATAGCAAACGCTCACTTATTTCCTCCCCACCACCCTTCACTCTTCAGCCGCAACCAGCCGCTGACGCTGAAGACAATTTCACGTCTGTCCCATCAAACGCCGTCACTTCCTCGCTCTTTGCTGCGTCAGATCCTACCCGACAGCGTCCCAGCAGTCCCCCATCTTTCTACCGAGATACTGGCAAGAAAACAAACCGTCCTTTCCAAATACAGCATGCCCAGTTCGGCTCTTCAGAACCGGATCCACTGGCAGTAGTTCGATTCCCTCCCCCTTGGAACCTCCTAGAGACGTCCTCGAGACCTCTCGCGACAAATACCACTTCATACAAGCAACAGCGAGACCTCCCATGTTTCAATGGTCCTGTTCGAATCGGCAAACGCAATGCAGCCGCGGTCAAGGATGTGGCGAACATGCTCGCAAATAAACGGCTCAGGCGCCAACACTCACCAGCGTCCTTTGAGGCCGTGTCAGGTATTCCAACAGAATCACGAAACCCCTTCGCGAAGCAGGTCACATCTGTGTTTTCGGAGAGCTCTCCCAGAACCTCAAAACATCCCAATCGCTCGCAGGAAGAGCCACACAGACCTGCAATCGACGGTGTAGATCGCCCTGACAGACTGGAAGGGTCAGGATCCGATCTCCCTAATACCAAACCCCTCAAACCGATCACATCTCTGAGAGTTCCGGTGCTCCCGAAGGAGTTTTTGCCAGAACTCAAGCAAACTTTATCTGTGCAAAATTCCTCGAGACCAAAGGTGGCACTGAAGCAAAGTAGACTATCTTTTCCTCCGCTGTAGGTCATAATGCAACAGTTAACTTGTAATTGAATAGTATGGAGATTATATGACGATACCTGGCAAGGTGGCCATCACAGGGCGGAGACCCCTCTTTGGTCAACACCTTCGTCGGCGTCACTTGCACCCACCTTTTCCTTGACGCTGACAGCGAAGGGTTTCAGGAGTTCTGCGCCAGTCACTAGTGCTTCAGGACACCCTAATTACCCGTATCTATCTCGCTGTCTGGTTTCTTTGTCTTGGTTGTGGTCGTGCAATCCTTCTCCAACGTATCGCAAGGTCTTCTTCGACCTTCATAGTCCCTGCTTTTAGTAATGAAGCTCAGACTCCTTTCGTTACATCTGTCGCAGTAGCGTACTTGGCCAAATAAAGTCAAACTCATTCAGCCTGATTATTGAATGATGGCATTAGCGGGCGATGCTAAGACCGGGCTTACAGTAGAGGATGGACTACTTCTCCAAGTTCCTGCGCAGCACGAGCAATCAGTCCGCTTCGAAGTCCACTCCGGATGACACTTTGGCGTTCAGTCAATCATGGAATGTGATCAAGGTGAGCGGCCTATGTTGGATCCCGTCCCGTTCCATTTACCCAGGGAAGTCCGCAGAGTACACTTGAACACCCCTGACGAACGACAGCTCATGAAGGGCATCAAGTCTACCGACGTTCCGGTACATCTACAATCGATGGTGGATACCCTGGTTTGGGAATCGTCGCGGACCGAGGAGGGGTAGGTTAACGTCCTTCTTGACTAATCCCGCATTTCACGCCCTACAAGTGGTACAGGTCCTTGTCTTGAGTATCTACTGAAGAACGGTACGCGTTATTCATCTGTTAAACCGGTTTGATTTTCTGGATTGAACGAATAGACGTTTTGGGTACGCTTGTCCGGCTCAGTGAGGCAGATCGACCGTCAGGGATACAAGCGGAGGTGCTTCGTGCCGTACAGAATATGGTCATCCTTATGGACGAACAGTTCCTCGTGCACTCTGTCGTGCACAGAGCAGTACTCAGGCTGCTTCGGAATTGCGTCGGCGATGACATCCACGAACAACTAGATGGCCGGCACAAAGTCATGGGCGCTGCGAAGAATGTCGTTCGCAGCCAGCCTTCCGAATACGAACTGGACCGTGAGTAGTGTTCCCCGCCGCCGCGCCGTTTTAGCTGACGCGAGTTCTTTAGTTGTTAACCTGCTCTGCATACTTTGCAGCCGTATCCGTACTCAGAGGGAGCTGCTCATGATTTTTTTCCATGACAAACATTGGTACCAGTCTGAGCCTCTGTTCACCGTTGAAGAAGGCGACGACGACGACAGCACCAGTGAAGATGACTTCGTGTATTCATCTTCACCGACATCGTCGCAGGTGACAATCACATCTGCTCCATTTTCTTCCAACATTCGAAAACCAGAGTACGAGTTCCTCCTGTTCAATTATCTGCTACGCTTTGTCCATCGCGAAGGGCAGATTGGAGATTTTGCCCGCGTTGGGCTCTTGTTCTTGATAGACGTAGCCATGTCACCCGGAGAACCTGCAACTCGTCCAGCAGCAGAGGACAACAAAGCTGGATTTTCCTCCGAGTCTACCCCTGGAGAGGCACCTTCTGACCCGATCGCAGACGCTGCCCTATCACTTGCAGAATATATTGTTGACGGTGACTTCTCTGAAGTCCTTGCTGCCGGCCTAGGTGCAGTATACTCTCTGCTTCCTTCCAAGCTGCAAATACATTCTCCGAAAGGCTCGGATACTAGCCAGGACAGCGGTATGGTTCTCGGTTACACATCCTCAAAGCTAGGAGACGAGGTGGAAGCAGCGCACGATCAAGCAATTGGCTTAGAAGACTCAGACAATCCGGATTTCAAGTGCAGACTGGATCATTTCCTGAAGCTGCTCGAATTCCTCCAGGATGTCGTACGTAGGACTCTTTCCCGCAGCTCCGCCGACGAAGACCTTCATGCGTCTGTTCTCGTTGGCGCATCCATCGCCCAATCCACTCTTGACGGGATTCGTCGCATATTCCTTGAAAATGTGTTGTATCCGTCCATTTTGGAGTGTTCGGATGCCGACGGTAGTGCTGTGGCTGTTATGTCGTATATCGATATCATGATCCGGACTTTAGAGAATGGGCGACTCTCTGATCTTTTAGTCGACTTCCTCATGAGCGAGGACAGTGACATCGATGTCAGTACAGAGGCACCTCTGTCGTTGAAGTCAGCTGCTGTCGTGGACAAGCAAACAAAACTTCAACGACACAAGAGCAGTGCTATGATGCTCTTGGAACTCGAGGCACCAGACTCCAGACGGCCGTCAGAGTACCTCACTTCCGCCGGTCGCTTCACTCTCAGAGATCTTCTATCGCTGAACCTGCGGTCACGGAATTCACCCACGGTGGCTGCCGCAATGCAGCTTCTGCGTACTCTACTGAGCCAATGTTGCCACGTTACGACAAACGGGTTGATGCTTGTCATCCCCGACATAAACGCGACCAGCTATCCCGAACCTCCCACTATACCACCCACCTCGTCTCTTCAGAGTTCAGAAGAAGATAGTGACGAAGAAACTTTCACATATCCTGGGGTAGAGGCTGATCCTAAGCCTACTCGCTTGCTGCCACCGTCTAATTATATCCAGCCGGATACCACGTATACTACTCACCAGCGCGAGGTGGATCTCTACCTCGCACTCGTTACGCGCTTGGATCCGTCGCAGAGCGAGGATACTTTCAGTACCGGATACGACCACTATCTTCGCGATGCCCTTGCTAATGTGCAGTATCATCCATGCTCTTCCGTTGCATTTGACGAAGACCCCTGTGATCGAATGAGGCGGAGACATCACTTAAACGTCAACGACCCCATGGTATCGACCATCCTGGAGTGCCTTCGCAGGTTCCTTGCAAACCCACCTGAGATGAACATATCACTAACGGGGGTATTGGCTGAGTTAGCGGCCTGCCCTGACAGGTCTATCGCCAGATGGCTTACGTGCGCTATGAACGACCTTCCACCCACGAACTCTTGGGACGACTCGCATTTAGACAACATGCGCGATGACCAATCGATCGACTTCGACATCGAGGAGAAACTGGCTACAGATACGAATGTTTTACCTGTGAAAAGGTTAGACGCACACACTCTACCGGTCGTGTATTCTATCTTGCAAGGCTTGGTCAACCAAATGGAACGCTATCGTCAACTGATAGACAATTTCGACAAGTACTTGCTGGAGCGCCGACAGGGCCTTCTCTTCTCGGAGAATCTTACGGATGCATTAACAGTTGTGCTGGAGACCGTGGTTGAACCCGCTCGACCTAGACCCGAACCTTCCGTCAGCCCTCGGCCAGAAACCCCAAAGTCGAAGCCAAGAAGCTCGCTAGTATCTTTCTTCACACCGCGGAAGAATAAAGCGAAGCCACACGATCCTTCTGAGCATCAACCTCCACCCGCTAATGAAAGTAAATCGACAGCGGTGTCGAGCCCTTTCGCATTGCACTACCAAAGCACGACGGATGTCGTTGTCGAGCCGTTCGTAGCGCCCATTCCCCCATCCCTTTGGACTCCTGCAAGTCTTCCGACTGGAACTTCGATGAAGAGGATGTGTTCGGTGGCAGTCACTGGAGTGGGGAGAAGCGCGTTGCGGAAGAGGTGACAGAGCAAGCAAGTACTGCGCAGGTGACACTGTCACACTTGCTGGACAATGTAGTCATTCTAGAGGAGTGCATCAAGGAGTTGGTGGCCATCATCCAAGCGCGGCGTAGTCTTGGTATCGATGCAGTGAGATGTGTGTAAAGGGTTGTGGATACAAACATAGGGTAGTACATTGTAATCATGAGAATCATCAGAAGTTAATCGTTAGTGAATGGGAGCATACAATTACTTTGCTTTTTTCCCCGAGTCCCTCTTTCTCACCTTGGCAGAAGCAGGGGAGGCAGGCTCTTGTCGTCGCTTTTTCGGCGAAGGCACTTCATCTTCCTCATCAGGCTCGCCAGAAGTGGGCGGTTTCCGTTTCTTGCCCTTCCCTCCTTTACTCTTGGAGGGTGCCTCTTCCAGCTCCGCGTACTTGGCTGCTAGGTTATCCAGAAATCCGTTCCGCTTCTTTTGTCTCTGCAAAATGAGAGCCTGAAGGGTCGAGTGGTCTTCCTCATCTGCAGCCGTTCCGTCCGCTCTGTCTTTACCCTTGGACTTCCTCGCTCCAATCTTACCACTGCCATAAAACTCATCCCAAACGCCTAACTCCCTCGCAAGCTCCTCCGCCTCTTTTGCCTCCTTCTCGCCTTGCTTTTTCCTGACGAGTTTAGCCTTCTCGTCTTTGGAAGTGCTGCGCCAAATTGGCAAGTCGGGGAGATCGCCTTGCCGTATAAGGTCTGAGACGATACGGATAAAACGGGGTTCGTCGTCGACGGTGGAGTGAGGTATATGCTTCATGATTTCACCGAGAGAGCCCTCGGTCTCAAGATACGCTGCTTTCAAATCCGCGACCTCCTCAGACGAGCCTGAAGCATACCACGTAAATGTGACCAGGGGAGTAACAGACGAAAGAAAAAGTCGACATGCCTTGGTATTCTTTCTTCATCTCATCTAGTTTGCCGCGCGTCACCCGCTCGAAGAGATCTTCGAAGTATGCTTCCCACCCGCCTGTCTTCGTCCGCCTCTAACCCCAGACTGTCATCAGTGGTTCCAGTCCTATCATATTTCTTCCTCCGCTTCGCGTCGCTCAGGACAGCGTATGCAAATCCGATTTTCTGAAATTGCTTTGACGCGTTCGAGCGGTCATCTTCGCTGGATTTAGCGTGTTTATCTGGATGGTGCAGAAGGGCCAATTTTCTATAAGCCTTTCTGATCTCCTCATTCGTTGCGTCATGCTTGACACCAAGAACATCATAGAGGTCGACATCTTCCTCGCCTGGAAAGAACTGGGATACTGGGTCCTCATGGTCCATCGTAGTGGAGGTGGAAACTTGTTGACACGAGAGGTGCTGCGACGCGTCCCATGTCACTCGTCACAGTTACCGTGACAAGTGACTAGGTCTGAATTTCTTGGCTCTACGCCTTGGTACGAGTTCAGTACTCGGCGCCAACAGTACAAGATGATTATACGAAGGGCTCATATGCAAGTGTAAACCCGATGTATACAATCGGCATACTATAAGTGGCGTCGAAGTAAAAGATTCCAAATACTTCCAGTGATCTGAGAGATTAAATAAACTTCCGTGGCAGTGCATTATACAGGAAAGGAGTCGTCCGCTCGAAGGTATCAGTTCCCCACCACATACTTGAGAATAGTGCGTAACTCCAAACCGCCATCACAGCAGAGGGCTTGATCATTCGATGGAGATCTGCGGCTGAAGTGCAACGCCGCCAGTAGAGTAAGATGAATGCCGCTCTTGGGCTTTCGGAGGAGACCCGTATCGCTGATCGGCACTGATACTGAGATCTGAATAGAAACGACAACAGTGAAGCTCCTCGAAAAACCGCAACTCAACACGGCGAGACTAACCTTGGGTCTTAGAATCGTGCAATCCCTTGTCAAAATCATAAAAGCATTTAATGCCGACGGCGAAGCTGGCCAGAAGTAGCAGGAATGCGAAAATCGCTAAATCCTGTGTCAGCCTTCCCACGCAATAATTTGATCCGCGGACATACTGAACACAGTCAACGTCGCGCGTGTGGAAAGGTATTGCTGGTCAGACGAAGGCTCGTAGAAGCGGACGAGTTTGTACACTGCAAGTTCGGTCTTAGCATGGGAGAGGGCGAGGAAGAGACGTGGCACTTGCCGACTATAATAAGAGAACGGATCGATCGTAGGTGACTTGGTCGCTATGGAAGCAGGGGGAAAACGGCTTACAGTAAGTCATTGCAGCCACCATCAAAACAAGCGAGGCCGACATCAACCTCGAGATCCGGTTAGTTTAGCTTGTACCGGTCATGTTGGAGACACGTACCATTTGATCTCACGCTGAACGGCGTATGCGCATCCGGCAAGGAGAATTACGACAACTGGGATCGCAGCTATCGTGACGCCAAACTCAGCGGAGTTAGCGGTTAGAACGACGATCAGAAGCTAATGAGGCTTCAACAACTGGCATCAGGACAGTAGGGTAATGCTTGCCTGCATAGTCACTCCGACAAAGCAGAAGAAGTCGAACTTCAGAAGGCAGATAAAAATTTGATAGAATTGGTACATTGCTGTCGGATTGGTCTCGATTAAAAGGGACGACAAAAATGTGCAAAAAAAACCAACACTTTAGCTTCGGGTTCGCACCCACGACGTGGAATATCACCCATCTGAAATGAGGTCGTTAGAATAAGTATGACTTACAAGGAGTAGAGTCTTGCCCAAATTCCTCGTAGAGTGCTTTGATCCAATACATTATCAGGATCCACGAAGCGCCAATTACGCAGGGTGCAACTACTAGATATGGCATCACCTTGTCCCATAAGAAATTGGGGTTATTTTCGCATTGCGATATATAACAGGGCACTATAGCAATCTTTGTCTCGTGCACCTGTAATGCAGAGAAGACTAGGAGAGCACCGTGGAATACTGCAACCTGAGATAAGCCGCTAGTCCGAAGTCTTGAAACCAAGGAAAAGCCCACCGACGATGCCGAGTAGTTGGATGACATTTCTTAATCTCAGTGCGTCATAGGCCAGGGCGAGCTCAAATAACCTGCAAAGAGTGAACGGGAGGCAACATGAGCGAAGAAGCGTTACATACTCGGCGAGAATGAACAGTGCCAGATAACAGGGCAAGGTCTATAAAAATTCTAGCCATCCGAACGTATCTGCGATGTTGGGAAGTACGCACCTTATAACTGGCTGTGTCCAAAGTATCCCCAAGGTAGGCATGCACCTGCAAAGTCATCTAGACGCCAGTCCCTCGACAGACTCGCAAACTCACGACACCGAAAGTTAATGCAACCATTGCAATGACGACAACAGCTTCTGCGAAAATATGAGTGCTTCCATCCTGATACAGCAGCTTATGGTATAACGTACGGAGTAGAACTAGTTGGAAATGTCCATCAGACTACTGATTACCAAGTAAAATTTTGTAGACATACTGGTAATCATGAAGGCCCGCTGAGCTCTTGTCCCGAGCAACGGTTCGAACCGCCATCCTGGAGAAAGAGAACCAACCTGGAGGTTGGTAAGGTGAGGGAGTGCAAGTCTTACGCCGCTGGACGTATGAATTTAAGTCACTCGGTACGCAGTCACGGTATACAGCTGCAGTGGCTGTGCCCCTCATTTCCTGTACTCTGCGGTGCAATCAACGTGCAATAAACTAATAACACAGATTCGGTCAAAGGTATGAGCTCATCCATTGCACTAACATGGATGCAATAGATCTCCTTGACTGCCAATAGCTTCCACACAGAAGCTCCCGCATCGTGGTGAGGCAAACAATCGTTTCGCGATGTTCTACCTTGCAAGCGCTAACAACGGCACTGACAGGAATGTCACACAAAGGCTGGAGATGAAAACGTCAAAATGCATCACCCCTGTAAACGCTTTCTTTGACAGCTCGAGCCACGAACAGCTCTTCTGCCCACAAAGACCGTATGTACTGCCGCTCGAGTGATTGCCCGATATTCATCTCGAGCACCCGCTGTGCTCTGCCAATAACTTCGTCGCATATGTGGAGGATGGAGTCCCTGCATGATTGCTCGTTATCATCCGATACAAGCTCTCGCCTGCCTGCGATGACGTCTCGCCACAGCTCTATGTCACTGTCGATCTCGATTGCTGTGCCCATCAAATGGTGCAAACGCAATGCTGCGATCAACGGCCAGGATACCTGGGCGGAATCTGGTGTTGAGAAAAGAACACAGTCACTGATAATAATAGTAGGGTCAGTTAATGCCAGGAACTTCGGCCAGGTCCTACCCCCAGTGCCCTTCACTGACAAGCAGGTCCTTGATAGCACGACTCCGACTTTGATCCCTGTAAATGCTTTCTTCCACGACATCCTGTACGTCTACTTCACCGCAGGCTGGTGTTGCAACGTCACGAGGGCCATTCACAAAGCCATACTCCGCGAAAAGCGTCTTGTTAGAATGACAACCATAGGTTAACATGATTTCATCGTCATCCTGGATTTTTGCGTGATCACATGCAAAAAAGCGAAGCCCTTCGCCTATGGAGGGGACCGGAGCAGAATTCCAGATATCCGCATTTGTTGGACCAGGGCGCATGTTCGACGTACAAGAGCTGTGGTTGGCGAAATCGAGGATTGGACACAGTGTGAAGTTGTCAGGGTTCGATTTCGAAGAATTGAGGCGATAATATATGCATCGGGTGTTGACTGTTAGGAAGATCCACTACTGTACCTGAGGAGGACATGCAATGGAGTCCTACCATTTAGCCACGCCCATAGAAAATCCATGACAGCCCTAACGTCATCGACACCAGCCGGTGGCCCCCTTAATTTTGTAGACATGAGAGGTTGTATCTGGCAAGATCAGTACAAAAAGTAGGGCTAGCTTATGTCAACTACTGTACCATAACAGAATGTACTTTGGACCAGTCGGTCGTAAATCGATGATGAAGACAGTCCAATGTGGATGAAACACTCGGTGGAAGCCAGCGTAGTAGATGGTCGTCTTGGCAAGCGGTGCCCTGGTGTTTGGACTGGACCATCCACGTCAGAGGGTGACTACCAAACTCTCTGGGAAGGGTTGAAATGTACGGCCCAAACAACGGGTCCTCGCTGTCTTCGTTATCTCCCTTAGGACGCCATAAGAATAGATGCATAGAAACGAGTTGGATGCCAGTGAGCGCCTGAACGGCCTTTGGTGGGTAGTGTGGCCTGAGGGTCGTTACATTGATCATGGCCTTGGCTGGGATAGAGAAAAGGAGGCTGCCAGGCTGGATGACGTCGCCTGAGCCAACCTGCAACATAGGTTTCCTGACGATCACGTACAGGATAGGATCTTCGAGCAAATAAGCCGTATCCAGATGCTGTACATGTTGACGAGTCGGTGGGCAGCAAGATATTGATTGTGAAAGTACTCAACACTGTGTCTTTCTGCACTCGACAGCGAGGTCTGTCGTCTCCGCGCCCTGTTTCTTGAGCCAAACCATCAAGTTATCCCATCGGTCGCCTGGCGCGTTCTCGCACATCTTCAAGACTGCTTCAAATCAAGCAGCAGCCCTCACAGCGGTACCTGAGGCCTTTCTGTGTGAAAAGGTTCCGGATGTTCTCATTGACACGATGATGATGATGACGGCCGGCATGTCTATACATATACTGAGGTCGGTCCGTTATCAATCCCATCATCTCTCACCGCTTCGTCCTTTCAGCCAATCTTGCGTCCCTCGCCGCAACTTCATGTCTGTATTCAACTCTTCTCGTCTTCTCGGGAAAACCGTCTTGGTCACTGGGGCAAGCTCCGGTATCGGTGCGGTGAGATCTGTTAATTAGAAGTGCCAGACCGTCCTAGCTGATAAGTCAACGTCGAAAGGCAACAGCAGTGCTATTTGCAAAAGTGCGCCCGGGAATGACCCCAAGAGTCACGGTTGTCTGGTACTGATGGATAGTTACTTAGGGGGGTTCGAATGTGATCGTTACTGCTCGGCGGGCGGATGCTCTGCAGAAGGTAGTTGAGAGGTGTGTCGCTGCACACAGGGAAGCAGGTGCTCAGTGCGGCGGCAAATTTGTTGCCATCCCCTTCGATGTCTCCGACAAGAACCAAGTTGCTTCCTTTCCCGACAAAATCCCTGCAGAGCTCCGGCGCATTGACATCCTCGGTGAGCCTTAACAACATCATAAGCATAAATTTCGTAATGTCTCCATTTCGGATACCCCCTTTGCACAGTAAACAACGCAGGATACGTCGTAGGCGTCGACCGTGTAGGAGATATCTCACTGGAGAACATGGAGGGAATGTTCGCCACCAACGTATTTGGCCTGATTGCTTTGACCCAGCTTTTCGTCAAAGGTCACCGTCTATAGCGCTTAGAAAGCTTGCATTCGCTCATTTCCCTCCAGATTTCAGAGAAAGGGGCACCGGTCACATAATCAATATCGGTTCGATTGCAGGGAAGGAACCCTATGCTGGTGGTAGCATTTACTGCGCAACAAAGTACGCGTTGCACGCGTTCACAGCAGCGTTGATGAGAGAAGTTGTCGATACCCCTATCAGGGTAACGGAGATTCAGCCAGGTATGCTGCAACCACTTGTGAATGGCCGATGGTCGTCTGGACTGACTTTATCGCTCGATAGGTATGGTCGAGACAGAATTCTCCATCATCAGATACAGGGGCGACAAAACAGCAGCAGATAAGGTGTATGATGGTCTACAACCTTGTAGGTGACTCCTACGTGAAGGTTGCTGGTAGCTAATACGGATACCAGTGGTTGCTGAGGATATCGCTGAAGAAATCGTCTGGGCAGCATCACGTCCACCGCACGTGAACATCGCAGAACTATTTGTTCTCCCCGTTAACCAGGCCTCTGCTACTATTACTTACCGGTCCCAAGCTTGAACGGGCAAAGCCCTATCGAGGCGGCTCTCCAAGATAAACCGTGTCTATATTAACAACAGTAATGCCATCAAGGAGAGATTTGAGGGTAATAAAGATACAGCAATGCAACAATAACAACATGCAGAACAAATGTGAGGTAAATCAGCCCTTCGGTTTCTTGTTCTTCGATCTAGTCGTCCTCATGGGGACAGGTTCCGCTTCGACATCGTTGTCGTACATAAACTTTTTGATAACAACATGGTCTTGAACGAGTTGGAGAGGCGGACGGCTATCAATGTCCATGATGTTCCCCAGTGTATCTAGGCGAAGGTTCTGCGATTGATTGAGACCAGCAGAGTCCTTCAGAGAAAAAAAAATACATACCTTAGAAGATGGTGCTAAACAACCCTTTGCGTGGGGGTCATGCTGCTGAAACCGTGGCATTGGGTGAACGTCCTCAATATATACTGTCGTGGCCAGTCCGCGACACCACTTGACTTGTTTCGTCGGCCTTGCCTGCTCGCCCTTATCTCCCTCCCCAAACTGTGGTCTCTTGATAGGTGACAATCTCTCGGGCGTCCCATAATCTTCCTCATCTCCTGGAGCTCTAAAGCGCCTGGTAGGCGTCAAGTCCACATTTTCGTCGTGCCCGTGACCGTCGAGGGTGTGGGTGGTGTGTTCACTCAGTCCCTCCATGTCGTTACCTTCTTCACTCCTTCGCGCCCTCCTCTGAGCTCGTTCCTTTCTCTGCCGGTCTTGTTCCTCTTTTTCTTTCTGGAGAATGGTCCGTATCTTGACCGCTGGACTCTCTGGACGAAGGCCATCCTTCCTGATCACTTCCGTTGCAAAAATGGCTACAGTTTGCTGATTCTTCACTGTATTCGACGACGTGAGTGTTCTCAATGCTGTCGCACTCATACCCATAAAGCCACTTTCTTCTCCTCGGATTGGCGGTCGGCGACCAGCCTGACTAGACCGGGAGGTGTTGCTGAATACGCCATCATCGTTCGAAGTAGCTTGGCGTGTGCGAGATGATCTCTTCAAGTCTGACTTCCTCTTGCTTGGTTGCGAGTCGAGGTCATTTTCCTTGAGAGCAACGGCAGAAGCCTGAGGCAACAGAGACTTTGGATCGCGATCTCCTGGGTTTGTCAATGCTGTGATGGAAAGAGGAGGCCGCGATTGCTGCGCTTCTGAAGGCAACCGAGGAGCGTTCGAATCAGGTAACGTTTTCTCTCCGCTTTCAACGCTCGCTTTCGTAGGTGGGTAGTGTGCTGCGAGCATACCATCGACAACTTTGCGAAACAAGATCGGTGTGTTAGGTTTCTGGGGACTTGGTGCCTGTGCACTAAGCTCCGGGAATGAATTTGGAGGCTTCACAGCATGCTTGCCACCGAATGTCCCGGGCGTTACCTGACGAGCACTAGCTGAACGGAAGCTAGGTTCGGATGCCCCCGCTTCCAGAACACGCTTTCTCTTTAAAGTTTTGGCTGCTGAGCTAACGGACGAGGAGAGCCTATTGACGTTCTGATCGGTTGGGTCATGAGCACTGCCGTGTCCACCTTCACCGCAGGGGCGCGTGGGAGGAATCGGCTTCTGGGTAAACAAGCTTAGTAACTCGGAGTAGGGTTATGTTTGGGAATACTCACAGAATTTAGTTCTAGTTTAGAGATAGAAATAGTGTTTGGGCGGTTAGCACTCGTCTGCGGTCGAGCGTAAGGTTTGGCATTCATCCTGGGAATACGGCTGCCCACAGAACATTGTCTGAGGAGAGACTTATCAGGACTGACAGGGAGCATCCTCCTAGTGGCGTCTGGCACGGTGGTTTCCTCTGTCTCATTCTCCTCTGGAATGGAATACGTCGAACCAGCTTCCGCCTTCTCCACCGGTACAAGGGGGAAGGGTAATGTGGGGGTAGCTCTTGGTGTTGTAAGGTGCGGAAACGTCGGTTCTTTACGAGTTCTCGTTGGCGCTGGGGAAGGTTCAACAGAGCGGCTTCGAACAGACGAATGAATGGACGGTTGTGGCTCCACAGATGCACTACGCGTCCGTAGAATTGTGGGCATAGGGGGCAGAGTTATCCTAGTGGTCGGGCGACTTGGAGACTCTGGACACCCTGCGACAAGCACTCGTTTTGCGGGACTGTGTGACAGGTTATCGGGACGTGAGAAGACTAGGCCACTTGTATTGGAGAAGTGTCGCGATTGACTCTCCAGCAGAGCACGGCGAGCTGTCTTCTGTAAGGAAGGAGTGGCATCGACAAGCGCATCGTGTATGGGCACCCTCCTTGCAGGAGTCCGGTGGACACTATCATGAAAGTGTCTAGCCTTGAGAGAAGTGTCGTGAGCAACAGTCGACCGCGCAGCAACAGGAGATGTAGTGAGGGTTGGCTGGAGCGTGGATGGGTTAGAAGATATTGGTTCCTGGTCCTGCTCGGGTACCGGTGGGACCTGTCGTTCCCGGGAGGATGGTAGAAGTTGTGTTAGTAGACCCTCGGACTGGGGAGACAAGGATCCTAATCTATCTTGGCACAACTTGTCATGGTTCCTGGCCACGACGAGCTTCCGCTTGCCCCTGCTCCTGGCGTTTGTTGCAACTACTTCGTCCTCGTCGGCAAAGCCTTCACGCAATGAGTCCAAGGCTTCCATTATTCCAGCATCACCTGCAACCGGTAATGATGGCGGTCCGAAATTCGAAGACTGTGAAGCGCAAGCTCTAACCGTACCACCCTCAGAGTCCTTCTGCTGTCCAGATACCCCAGGAAACTCTTCTGTGATATATGATACTTCTTGTGCCGAAGACCGTGTCAGTGAAGAACCCTGTGTGCTACATTCAGCTTGCGCAGTTCGTATATCTATAGTGCTTGCTGAGTGTGGCTTAGTTACGCCATCAGCACATTCTGACCAAGACGTAAGTTCAGGTGAGATAAACAGAAAACCGAGAATGGCGGTTGGGCTGTTGCAATTGGGACAGACGGAACATACACACCTAACACAATATTCTGTAGAGTAGATTCGGAACAAGATTTAAATGAAGTTAGGTCCGGTTGCAGAGCAGCGGAGACACCAGGGGCTGGTATTGTCTTGCTTTCAAGAACCAACGGAGAAGGTCGGAAGGGTGACGGAAGCATCATGGGCTCCGCTAGCTGATTCAATCTCTCTAGTAGGTTGACAGCACGGAATGGACTCGGAGGTGCGGACGCGTCGAGTAAAGGAAATTGTCTGCCTTTCCCTGGTGTGTACTCGACATCAGTATGCATGCGTCGCTGAGGAGGGGGTGAAGGATTGTCAAATGCACGCATTATCCTGCCGGCGAGCACAGAGGAGGGCTCTAAGACCAAAGAAAGTTGTCAAGAGGAAAGGGAAGGGAAGGTTTGGAATCGCATCGCTCACCATCTTGAAAGAACGGGTCCTCATGATGGCCACTTGGGTTATTCTCGATGTCATCTCCCGCATTTGCATCTGGCGATTGCAAGCGGGGCGACGCGGCGCGGGAGAGCCTCGGCGAACGACGCAACGGGGCGACAAACGCGTCAAACTTGTATGCTCTCTGTTGAGCAGTACTCTGTGCAATGAGCTTCTTCTCTGGAGAGAGTATAGGGCCGAAGTAGACTCTTGCTGTCGAAGAGTTCACCTCATCGGTGTCTGAAGTTTCGCTGGCTTTGTCCGCCAGCGAACAGTCCGTGGACGAAGTCGAAGGATCCATTAGTCTCGCAATGTACAGATTGAAAAACCAGGGGATATTCTGTGCCCATGTAAGGTCTGCACGAAGCGGCAGACTCTGGTGCGGGGGTTGTCACGATCGAGGAGGAAAACAAAGTTGGAACGCGCATAGCTGACACGTGACGTACGCAGTCCGAGATTCCTCAACATAAGAAATATCTGTGAACGTGGAATGTGCAACCAACTGCGAACGTTGACTGAGATAGACTTTGGGGTGGCTCCGTTGAATTGGAACTTCAAAACTTTCCCTCTGTAAGACCAACTGAAGGTGGCAGGACCGACGGTCTCTTCCTCAATACCTTGCGCAGTACGTACATTGATTAGCTGGGCTCTGGCAGGTAAGCCAGGGTGCCTTCACAGCCTTCTGACTGTTGGATAGCTGTAGGTAAGGAACAACCAAACTGCAGCATCGGGTGTTCACACCGTCCGCCGTTGTTTCCGGAAGCACAGCAAACATCAAATCCCCCACAATCAGCGGCAACCCGGACGAGACATGATCCATGAGTAGGCTGACATTGGGATACGCAGACCACACTACGGAGTATCATGTTGCTGGAACCTCCTAATAGCCCGGAAATCATCATGCAATGCAATGCAGGCAAGTTTTCTTGGTTATCAACCTGATGTCAAGGAGTGGACCCGACACGTTCGGAGTCGATTGAGTGCACAGTCCGCACATCAGCTCAGACAGGATAGCTTGATATTCCCTGTTGTAGTCTTGTACAGCCTTACGGCACTAGTGGGTTCGTGGACGGTCGTACATAATCTATCGGAGAGTTTCAGAGCCATCAATGATCAATCCCTTTCGTCGTCAGGATGCGGGATTGATCCAACACCACTCTTGTGCGCGCCGTGTTGACCGCATCACAGTGAGACCAGTGATGAGTTTAATTCTTCGACTGGCAACCCTTTAATAAGCAGCCCTCAGGCCATTCATCGTTATACCCAAACCCCCCACAACCAGCGATCGGTGCTTAGTGGCTTTTCTCAGACAGGGTCGAGGAAGGCATACGTCTTGAAGAACACCCAAGTCATCACTGGTCCTTGTTACCCGTCCCTCCCACATATCACTGCGGCAACCAAGTCGCCTCACTCGAACGATGAATTTCCTTTTCCCTTGGACTTCAGAACGGAAAACAGAAGTCCGTCATCCTCCGACGTCGGCTGTCGTGACTATCCAGGATCATAGCACGAGGCGTGTCTCTCTTCGGGAGCTTGTAGAGGAGAAGTGCCCTAGCTTACATGCCCCGTTCCACCCAGCTTGGTGGCTTCCCAAGTGAGCAAAAACGCATCTTGTAACCCGAAGTGAGCTAAGCACAGCGCAGTGGTCACTTGCAAACCCTGTATTGCGTGCTGGGAGATTTCTCTCAGAGAGACAAGATCGTTTACAAAAGGTTGTTTTCAATCGGTCTTCCCTTAAGAGGGTTTCTGAACCATCCCTTCAGGACCATGTTACGTTTGAAGGACGGTGGAACTTTGTCAGTCATTGTACTCATGATCTTTGGCCCATATCATTAAGCATCTGTTCTCAGGGGATTGGACTTCACTCCTGTAGATGATACCAACTTACGACCCGATGCCCCCATCGTCGTCGTGTTGCACGGCCTCACTGGTGGTGCGTTAGTGCAACAGGGTCTCCGTTACATGCTGATCCACACACACTCAAGGTTCATACGAATCCTACGTGAGGGCCATCCTTTCCCCTGTTTGTCTACCACCTTCGGAAGGGGGCCTTGGATACCGTGCGGTAGTCGTTAATTTCCGCGGTTGTGAGTTCCGTTTCGGCTTACGTATGTAAAACGTACTGACAGTTTGCGCGTGCAGGTGCAGGCGTCCCTATCACTAGCCCTCAATTCTACTCAGCGGGCCACACGGATGACTTCAGACAGGCAATATTCTACATATCCACTCTTTTTCCGGACGCGCCTTTACTCGGGATCGGTTTCTCCCTGGGGGCGAATGTCCTGACAAGATACGTTGCCGAAGAAGGTCAGCATTGTCGACTGAGATCAGCCTGCGTTCTGGGATGTGTGAGTCTGCAGCCACGTCCATCTCCTCTGCATTCCTAATTGGATGTTGTCCAGCCCTGGAACTTAGCCGCAAATAATAAATGGTTATTTATCTCCCAACTTCTCGTATCTTTACCTGCTTACATTCTTTCTAGGCTCGACTCCACCTACATTGGTAATATATACTCTAAGGGAATGGGTCAGAATTTGGTTAATCTGCTCAAGAGCCACCTCAACTCGCTCTCGCAAACTCCTGAACACGATGTATCAAAGGCGGCAATGACCGCAGTTGCTCTGAACAAGCCAACTATCGGGGAATTTGACAACACGTTCACTAAAGTAGGCGGTGGCTCCTCGCCACCGTGGCCGTTCGCATCCGGTGCCGACTATTATGAATATGCATCTAGTCATAAAGTGCTTGACGACGTGCGGATCCCCTTGCTTTCTATTAACGCAGCAGACGATCCAGTCGTACAAGAGGTACCCATGGATGCCAAGGGAAATGAGTGGATAATTATGGCATTGACCTCTCATGGGGGACACCTTGGGTGGTTCGAGCCGGACGACGACTGGGGTCAAGTTAGAAGGTGGATCAGACGACCTGTTCTGGAATGGTTCCACGCCACAGCGGAGGTTCTGCAGAGAGAGACACCGCAACACCTAGATATCCGAGAAGTTGACGGTTATCTCACTGAGGTCGGTAGAGAAAATTTGGGCTGCAGGGTACTTCATGATAAAGAGCAAATCATCCGGGGCACAGAAGGCCAAGCAGGCATCTTGGCAGGTCTATGACACTTAGTTGTACTACGTCATTAGAGATATATTAGAGTCGGGTTTACTGATTTTTGGGGTGGAGCCAGTCTACTCGCTGTCACTGAAGTGGATATGATCTTCTTCCTCATCGATCTTCGTCCGATCGTATTGGCTGACATCGACACTAACTGTGCCCTCTTCCATGAGGCTGTCGTCCTCATGCGCAAGATTCCGATTACGTTCAAATAGCTGCCGTCCTGTAATGAATAGTGATGAGCAGTTTGCTAAGATGAGCAAAGGCAGCGGCAAACCAGTGAGTCTGGTCCCTATTCTTTTGTATTCTTCTCTTTCCTTCGGCGTAAGAGCCCGCAACTTCTCTTCTTCATCTTTCGCCTTTTTCATTGCCACATCTTTATCGAATTTCATCTTCCACGTTTTGAAGGACTCGACGGTGACGAGAGTCCCTCGTGTTCGTGCTTCCTCAGCCTTGCCGATTGCTAAACTAAAATGGCAGTGTCATGCTGCGTCTCTGACGCACCTCAAGTGCCAAGCGTTCCTTTTCACGTTCTTCAGCTATACGAAGACTTATTCTTGCTTCAGCCAGGGTGGATAGATGTTCCTTAAGGTAAGAAACGAGAGTAAAAGTCATTGCCATGCCCAAGCTTTCTTCGCCCTGTACTTGCTATCGATGCCCATAGTGCGTGTCCCAGACTAGAGTCACTCACAATTGTCGTCATGCCTTGTAGGAGAGCCTCCTTCTCTGATTCGTTGATGTCCCCCTCCACCGCTTCCAGGGCGAGGGTGGGCAGCGCTTCGGGGTAGTCATCGGAGTATTTGACTGACAACTTAAGCCTGACTAACTTCGGCGGTCGAGAAACGCTTTATGAACGGGAAGGAAACTGTGCTCACAAGACTCCATGCCTTCAACAGGGTAATCTGGCTCAACATCTATCTCGATCTCCCTGTCCGATATGACTTTGCATAAGCCCTCAGTTAAGGGTTGAGATATCTTGGTGCCAAAGACGAACCCGATAATTCTGTCGGGTATATTGATTCAAGCACCTGAACATGTCGTGAGCTGCCTTGGATCTCGGTGTGAAACACATTTCAACCTCAAACTCCTCAGCCAACACCGATGCCGCAGACATTTTGCGTGGCAGAGTGAAGCAAACGGACCATCCGAAGTCCGACAGCGCAGCGCTTCCGTTCGCGCCTGCCATATTTGTATTGTTGCACGGTACACTTGCCTAGAGGATCGATGTCTTTGGCACGTCAATTTACTTCTACGCTCCTCAGAAATGTCCTGCTCTCTTCTTCGCACTGGAGTAGTTCAGGTGGAATCCTCAGTCAATCCCCATATACTGCACAATTTGGGGGCAGGTTCATGTCTACCGATCCAATCAGGTTCGCAGTGCAGGCGTTGCGGAAAGCAGGGCAGTCAAAGTCAAAGCACCTGGACTCCCGCCGAAGCCTGGGCCCAGAGGAGTGCACTTTTAGACCTTCCACCACCAGCCGATGCTTATGCTGGTCAGTCTCGTCGGGCGGAACATGGGTCACAACTTAAAATGCATTTACAGGCAGGAGGATACCGGTCAACTCGGATTTGCGGTCCGCATTTCTGAAGCTCTCTAGACGCCTTCAGAAGAACTCAGTCTTTAGAGAATGGAAGTCGGCCCTCCGCCACGAAAAGAGAGGCATTAAGAGGAGCCGTCTCCGCAGTGAGAGGTGGAGGAGGCGCTTTGCAGACGAGGTATGTATCCCAGCTTCGAGCAGGCCACAGAACTCACGCATGGCACACCTTCCTGAAGGTCAGAAAGAAGGTGCAGCTGGTCAGTACGATTCGCCGGCGGGCATGAACAAACCCTGTTTACCTGTAGTGGAGCGGGAACGTGACAGAGGGACCTTTCTTGAGTTGCTACACAACTCTAAATCATTCATTTGGATGCAGTGTTTCCTGGGATTCACGATCTGTGAACGGGTGTGTACTGAATGCGTCGCGTCAGAAAGATGGCAGGTGTAGTGTGCTCAACGGCAATTCCATGGTCTGACGCTTCTAGGCCTTCACGCACTCTTTACAATTGATTGAACATCAGATCCTATCTTTTGGTAAATCCTGATGCATGGCGTACACCGCCGAGACAACGTGCCCGCCACGATGCTACAGTTAGATAATTTTCACCCTCTATCATGGCACCCGGGGATGCTAAACATTTAAATTTTGCGTGTGGCGCAACCTCATGGTGAATCGCATTCCATTAAAGGGGTAGTTGGTGGGATTCTTTCAGCGGCCATTTAGACGGCATGTTCGATGTGTGAAGATTGGTCGACGCCAGGATTACCCGTTGAATGAAAGAGGCGTTGAGTGACTGAAAAATTATTCAGTAAAATATTGAGATCCGGAAGCAGATGCGGGACCTTCGCTTCCCCCAGTCCCTGAATAGAGTGACATAGGAAATGCGATATCCACGCTTGCACGTTTGTGATATCCGCCGAACACACTTAAGAGCCAGTGGTCCAGTCATGCAGCATTATAGACCCGAAACAAAATCCGCCATACCCTCAGAGGCTAGCAGATACCGCGTCAGCCTAAAAAATGTGTCACAACGTTGGTCCATTATTCTCGTGACGCGTTTTGGGTCGAGCTCACCGTGCGTGGTGTGCGCGCCTCTAGGTCATCGATGGTCGATACCACACTGTGTGTGGTCACTTCATCGGCATGCACTCGGAAGTACACGATTGTTTACGACCCAACTGTCTGTTCAGTAGAAGACACTTGCATTCTGGTAAGGTGGAGCTCGTTCCGAACGTCCTGCCTTGCTCAATCTGCAATAGTAGGATCGTGCAAGTCACAATCGTGTATCAGGCTGATGGCATTGCCTGTAAAAAATCCCATTCGGATCAGCCCTACGAACTGTTGTGATTGTATAGTCATCGAGAGAGCTGGAGCAGCGGCTGCGCGGTCGTGAGACAGTTCAAACTTCAAAAGCGTTGGCACTGGCTTGCCGACTGGGACTTCGAGTAACCTAACTACATCTTATAATAGTTGTACTGGCGTATAATGGCTTTTGGGATTTGGGATGGATGGGAATACTAATAGCTTGGGTATAAACAAAAGTAAATTACCTTGCACTGATATGTATCTATGATTGGCACGTATACTTGATGCAATGTTCCTGTTATGGACTGCCTTGTTTTTCTTTGGTCGCCCGTTGTTGGACCGCGCTGAGTATAAAGCGTACAACATCGCTTTGATCATGTCGCTGTACTATTTGACCTGCGTCGCTTTACCTGGACATCTGACCCGCTGCCCCTTCCGACATGAGAGCTACGGATAATCTGCGTTACTACTTGCACGAAGCACGACTTCCGGACATGCACCACGGCCCACCTGTCGCCAGTAGGACAGAGTTTCTCCCCGATAGTCTGGGCGTTCGTCCGCGACGCTATCGCAGACTCGAAGCTGTCCACCCCATCGATGTGGAACTCCTCGGTGACATGGTATTTGGATGTAAGTCCTGTGTTGATCCAGAAACATCCTCCTGACTGCAAACAGGGACCGAAGCCTACACACCTTCGACGCCATTGGGTGTCCACGACGAAGATGAAAGGACAGGGGAACGGTTTACCGTTTCATGCAAGCCTTGCTTCTCCATACCTTCCTTACCACTGGGCAGAGCCAACGACATGGAACGGTATTTGCCAATCTTTCGGATGCATTCAGCTACCTGATTGCAGTAACAAGGGTATCGACATGGATAGACAATTTCCCGCTAGAAAGCGTCCTGCGGACGATGCATTTGCTTTATCCTGAATCTAGATCCTTCCGATTCTCGTTTTGCGACGAGAGCTCCGCACAGTCATCTTTCAGGAAATTGTCGTGGTCGGAAATCTCCATGACTGATAGTAGCAGGAGCAAATGCGTGAATGACACATTATCTCTGTTTTCTTTTGCTCCGTGGGTGCTTTCGGAGGAGGAGTTGCAAGGTTTTGTTCGTCCCCAACGGGTGGGTAAACTTGGTCACACAACTTCAACTGCAGCTTCTGACCGGGCTTCATCCAGTTTCCACAACAACGAAGGGCTCAGGCTTGCTCAAGCGAGCTCAAGCGTTATCCCTTTCAAGAGCGAGAATGGTTGTGGAGCAAGGTTTGTGTTGGATCGTAGCGCCAGGCAATGCACTGACTTGTATTGGAGGTGTGGGATTCGTGTTTTTCCAGCGACTGTCGGTGGTTTGTGGTCACCACATACAAACATTGGGTGTTTGGCGTATTTTCACCGAGTGAGCACGCAGCATCTCTGAAGTGTCATTTCTCATGCGGCGCATTAGACTGGACCGATGTCTTTGTCTCCCCTCTTTACAGATATGATAGCTGCGACCCAACAATATTGGAACTCTTACTCTTCTGGGTGGCGTCGGCTATGGGCTACGAGGGTGGTTGGATACCTCCAGAAATTCGTGCTGAATTCAAGCTTCCTATTCAATGCTTAAGCGCAACAGTCACGGATTTGTTTTTCAACGTATCCAAAGCGATGGCCGTGCTTGTGTACCAATAGCGACTGGGCCGATTGCCGAATAACGACCCCTACGCTTCAGCCTTCGAGTCACTACATAGAGAGCTCAAGTTGGATAGTTATACTCAAAATGCGATCTTTGCTCAACCCCCAAGGCCAGACCCACACACAGGCCGGACCAGCGTCTCCGAGTGGTGTACTGTCGACCGGAAGCATTTCGCGAGGCCGATTTCACCGTAGAGTGCCTTCAACTGAGGCCTCTTCGAGAGGGAATTCTCGGATGAGATCCCGGAGAATCCGGTGCTGGTTTCGTCGTTGAACTCGAGTGGGACGGGGTTAATGGTGCTGAGGTTGCATATTGAGAAGATTCTGGTGTCTGACCATCATTCGTGACCGGAGGGACTGGAGGCAAAAGCTGCGCAAAAGGTTCATAAAGTTTTAATTGCCGGCCATGCGTCGGAGGTTGTATCTAGAGAGAATTCCTACTGAGCTGAATGGTTATCATTCAAAAACGTCGACTGACCGACGCTAGCAGCGATATGTAGGGATTGCTGTGTAAGTCTTGTGCAGCGTAGAAGTCAAGCAGTATGGTGAGAGCATCTAGAGGGCGTTGGGCTAACCTGATCGAGAAAAAAAAGGAGCTGCAGCCTAACCGGTGACATGCCGTAGATCCGTCTCGTCGAAACCAAAATACTCGACTGCAAACCTTGATACGTCTGGAGAAGCCGGTTTGTGGGAGGGTGGAGTTGGGAGAGATGCGGAAGGTGGGGAGAGGGATATGCGAGCATCCAAGGAGGGTGAGTGCAGTCCATCCGCTGCACGCTGTGCCAATATGATGCACGCCGCTGCAATAATACGAGGGCCAAACAGTATACATAGCGGGGTCCGATACCTGTCTCAAGGAAAATTGTAAGGGGCCTTGCTGACACTAGTCAGCGACTTACGAATCATGAGCAATACTCCATGCATAATCCTGAACTTTTGTGTTGGTTTGCCCAGCATCAAAGAGTTCCACCAGAATAAAATGCGGGCTGATCGTTACGAAGTCGAAGCATAATGCCTCAAGTAAAATTTCCTCAGCAAGCAAGATAGCAGTCTGCTGGTTCTCGACCTCCTGCAGAGATTATAAGAATCGGAAACATCATTCACACAGCAAAGGATACTCGCCAAGCTCTCATTGGGGATATGCGCCACATCGACACCGGTGATTTTGGACTGAAATACCCGTGCAACATCACGTAGCTTTCTGCCACACTCCTCCGTCTTTGTGGCGAGAAATATGCAGGCAGCAGCAATATCCTAACTAATGTTCGGGTATGTGTGAGTGGGATAGAAACACCGAGACAGTACTTGTCTGTGATAATCCTCCATGGAGAACCTCATGAAGAAGCGATGGAACCAGGTTGCGGCAGTGAACATTGCTGATGAAGGTCTGCAGAAAATAATGGGAATGCGTGAACAGGTCTAGTCAATATCACAATACTGAGAAAGAAAAGTCCTGACAATCCGAGGGAAGAGCCAAGGCGAAACAAGAACTCGACACCCCTGGCACGGTCATACAGTTCTTTCCCAATTGTATAGTTTGACGTCTCTACACTCGGCATATGCTGCAGAGCGTCGACAGGGAATGTCCATTGGGTAGAAACGCCGGTATCTTGAGTTGATGTGGTCATACGGTAGCGAGTGGGTGAGACCCTGCAGAGGTCATCCCCAGGTCACGTGCGCCTCATGTACGGATCGACGACTCGCGATTTGGACATCTGCATCGACGCAGTCTTAATAATACTAGTAGTATGCCCCTCGTATCAATGATTATCCTGTCAACAGCATACGATATTCACACCCCCGTTTACCCCCTCGCCCTCCATACACCGCACCACAACGACAATACGACAGCAATGTTTACGTAATGGTAAAAAATGAGTAGGTCGGCGAGTTGATATTGACCTATCTGATAGATCCCAGTGGCACACTTCTATCCCTATGCGAATTACAACAACAGTCCCTCTGCCGCGTGAGTCATTTTCGCCAATACTCAGCGATATCGCAGAAACCAACTTCTGCGCCATAGCCCCGGTTAGGGGAATATGCCGCATATCTCGAGATCACATCCACTTTGGCCTCGACAGACGGCCACCATCTCACGGCCCAATATCATGTCGGGGGCGAGGCCTGGCGAGGCTCCGACGACGATATTAAAAGGAAGAATTAGGCTCACTTATTGATTTTCTAATTGATGTTACACGGCGTGTGCTGAAGTGTCACTCACACACGGCAATGCCGTCTCCGCATCCTTCTGGATTTCCCTCTCCATTCCAATGGTATTCATCTTTATGAAATAATCCCTTTCTGGTCTGTCGACGGGCTGCAGATATGCTCGAAGCTCATGCCACGTCATAGTATCCATCCTCTGATGACTACACGCAGCATCCCGCCTCTGATCCCAATTCCCCACCAGAGTCCTCGGTCTCTGTCTTAGCGCCATTGAATTCTTAATTATCTTTTGGGTCTACAGGAGCAAGTGATCCCTGCCACGGCAATGGACTCGAGTTTATGGTATCCTTCCCGCCTGTATACATCGGGGACAGATGGCGTCGATCCTTGGGTCTAGATATCGGGTTCCGTCAACGCCTGCTGAAAACAGTCTCAAGATAGTAGCCGTCGGCTACACTCACTATATTGCTGCGGAAATTGGCGGCTACAGAATGTCAGGAGTCAGTTAACTCTGTCGGTGCAAAAGGCGACGTATTTACTATTGCCAGCAGGAGTTCATACAGCCTGGCGGAACGCAAGTGCTTGGGTGTGTAGAGCTGAACTTGCAATATCGGTTGTCGCATTGGATCTGTGGTCGTGTGAGGCACGGCCAGACCGCAAGTTCATTCACCAACCATCTCGTCAGGCTACATCACGTATGGTCAGAGATCTCTTAGCTTTGTCGGATGGACGTGAACTGACCAGGTCGTAGGCGTGTCCGCAGACTTTGTAGGTATTCTGAACTCTGTCAGAGGAAGAGACAAGGTGAGCGGCCCTGTAGGATGGGTCGTGTGCCTGTGAGCCTGACCTTCGCCAGTGACACATAGAGAGCACGATGGAGGGGGAAAGATAGCTTGAAACTCGGTTTCGGCTCGTGTTTTAAACTGCAGGATAAGAGACTGCGAAAATTCGAGAAAGCTATGTCATATCTTCACCCAGCACTTATCATCGACTCGGCAGGTTAGAATATCCCCGAACAGCTATCTGCGCGATGGCATCGAGGTGCACGAGGAAACCACCGGATACTGCAAGGGCATAGCTATTTTGGTGTTAAAGTTGAATCGTGGCACACGATATCATATCGTGCGCTGCTATTCGACAATGCGAGATGAAATAGCCCCGTACTTATCTCTCTCATGGAGAGCGTATCCGCCAAAAGCTTAAACCAAAAAGAGCTAAATGTAAAACCTCCGGCTCACGCCTGGCTGGACTCCATGGCAGAATCAGGGGAGGGCAGATAAAAGTGTCGAAATGGAAGTCCATAGAGCTGGCATCGACGGCTTCGAAGTGTGTACTTATCTCTCTCCGGGACGGTATACCGAATGTCAGGCCGCTACCGCATGCCTTTCCTCGGTGTTAACACTCATATTGGTAGTGTGCCACTCACCGCGTTGTCGGAGCCTAATTAACTATCAGAGCACTCTCGCCTCCGAGGGTGTAATGCATCCCCACAGCAACATAGGTTGAACTCGTTGAATCTTCTGTGGTAGTCAGTGTAATTCGAACGCAGCAACCCACAGTGTCGCCGTCGCTTTGTAGTTAATCATGAAAGTCTCACTTATCCAGGGAAAAATCATCTTTATCGACACGGCATCAGTTTAATGAGCCAACATGTTGGGACATTCTTTCGTGTCATACATGGCACATACACATGTTAGCCGTGCTGAAAAACGTCGACGATTGAAAAAAAATCCTTGATAGGTTCATTAGGGAGTTATCTCAAACTCTATCGCGTGCCCAGTATACTATTAACGTGGACAAACCCAGTCAAATTCAGCCCGCAAACATCCCCACAAGGTACTGGCTTACTCCTTCAGGAGTCAGACTACCAACATCCGAAAACACCAATGTTATGAGATCGGGCCTGCGAAGGTCATGAGGAAAGAAAGTCAGTGATTATAAGTTATGTCATGACCTTGTGTAATCCACATCCGGGTTACGAGCGATCTGCTCTTGTGTCATGTACCTAGTTTGGCTTGACGTCAATGTCGAAGCATTTCGTTCCTCCGCTGTAATCGGTTGGTCTTTGGGTGGGACGGGATGTTTACGACACGGGGTTGGAGCTGCCATCAAGGGGAACGACAGGATGTAGGGTTTATGAGTGGGAAGATCGTACTGCGATAGCGGAAATAGTCGATGAAATTTGTAGCTGAAGATAGGAGATAATCCACGTCAGCACAGGCATCCCCCACAGTCATGTCATTCATACCTTTCAGCCAGGGCATAGAATGGGACATTTGCAGCTTTGGCGATAATGGCTATTTGATTGCTACCCACTGCATTTATCAAGCCCCCGCTCTCCACTACGGCCTCCGAGCCAACGAGAACGAAGTCGACCTTGTTCATCGCGTACGCAACGGCGGAATCGAGAACAACGGTGCATGGAATACCGGCCGCTGTGAGTTCTTCGTACGTTCGCAGGCTGGCAAATATATATATATATATGAATGAGCGTGTTCCATGAATGACAAGACATATTTCCAACCCAAGACCACGAGGTCTCGCCTCGGTGACATAGACAGATATACGCTTTCTCTCGTGAGCACACAAGAGAGTTTTCATCACCACTCTTGAATATGAGTGAGTGAGTATCTTGCTCCGATAGCGTGAGGTCTGGAATAACGGATGATGAACGTGGAGTTCTCACGACTGAGTCATCTTTGATGAATTCAAGAGCAAGCCGAGCGATCTTTTGGCGGTATGTCAGGGCCTCGTTGGCATACTTTTGTCCTTGCCTGACAAGCTCCTTCTTGAGATCGGAGAAACTCTCGGGATAGAATAAGAAAAGAGTGGTCCTATGGTGTTGAGGACAATGAGGCTCACGTCAGAATCGTGGGGGAAAAGAGTAACAAAAGCGATGAATAGTTCGCAGCCAGCATTGAGGCTAATAGGATTTGGGGTCCGCTCATTTAGAACTTTGGCGCCGTCATTTAGGGCCTTGACGAGCTCGAACATCGTCCCCGCTAACAATGAGTGTTACTTTTCAAGAAAATGCTGTTATGTTGCGAAGGATACCGTCAGATCTCTGGACTAGTTCTGTCAAGGCGAGAATCGCTGCCAGAGGCGTGGATATCTATGACGTCGGGAATCTTCTTATGCACGAACCTGGTGTGGAGATCACGACATACCTCTTCATCTTTCAGAATGGACTGATACATAGTCCAGATGTCAAAAACATCTTTTGTGGTGGCTTCTGTTGTTGCGGCCATGCGAGTACTTATCGGTTTGAGAACCGGTGACTCCTCGGACAATTGGCGTAGATCATGTCACGTGACAGCGCGTGGGCGGCTTTACGGACTGTCCGTGCTAGCGCCAAAGACTTGACTTCGCTACGTCCGTCACGTACAATATTGTCATATCATAAAACCAATGTTGGGATGGTATGTTAAGAGACAGGAATGTCCGGGATGGCTCTGTTAGCGAGACAATGGCGATGGGTTGGGACCAGAAGAAGCCTGCCCGGCGGGACTGGGAGCGGAAATGGGGCTTCTTGTCGGTTCTGCATGTCGTTGCAAAGACGGATGGGGCTCAAGTTGTTACCGTTGCCAAGGAAGACATTTGCGGTCATTCTTCGGAAGCTATTGTGGACGGATTGGCGCGCTCCAGCCAAGTACTTGACAATGACAGCAAGGATAAACGGTTAAAGGACCTGCTAGGTCCGAGCGCTGGTTTCTCGGAAGACGACGAACTGGTTCGACTATCATAATAGCAACCAAGGACACATGGGGACAATGCGTAATAATCTGGCATGAAAACTGATTCCCGAAATGCACAGGATAATGGATCAAAACGTGGGAAGCAGAGAGTGAGAAAGAAGGCTTGTCATCGAAACACGTTTAACGTGCAGCGGGCAGAAAAACGCCATTTTTATGTCGCACCAATCGGTCGCGATTGCCAGGGCCAATTATAGTGGCGGGACCCACGCCCGCCAGCGCCCGTCCTTGAAAAGGTCGAGACAGACGTGCCCATTCTCCCCTCCCTCCTCGACGTCACCTCCCGCTGCCCTTGATCCTTACACACATCACCTACCTACAGTGTCCGGTATGCTCTCCCTATAAATGTCTCCGTTTCCTTTCCTTTCCTCTCAACTTCCACCCAGAAAATCATCCCCGTCCGTCATGCAGACACCTCCTTCTTCCACTGCCCAAGTCCATTTTTCCAGCGATGTCCGTAACATGGACAGCTGGGCACGTCGCACGGGCATCCCTCTCACCACTGCGGACGCATTAGGTACTACCTATGCCCGCGCTCACAAGTGGCTGCTTGCCTTGAAAAACCAGCTTGTCCAACAGCATGGCTGGCAGGACACGGAGCCTGCTGACCCCCGCATGCTCTTCACTATAGAGGCGCCCTCCCCCTGGCGCTCTCCGAGCGGCCTTCCTCTTAGCCCCAAGCAGAGACTCCAGCTCCCTATGCATGCTTCTTCCTTCTTCTCCCCTGAGAGGCGCGTTCAGTGGCAGATGGTCTTTCACTCCGATATTTTTGCTACTCAGCGTCTCATCGTACCGCCTATAAGCGACATCCTGAACCTCATACAATGTCTCCTCACGGGGCTTGTAACGCTCGTATACGAGGAACAGCTTCCTCAGGGCGTTTACACGACTACCCGCGGATTACCATCCGCGCAATGGGTTGACGCCAACCAGACCGCCCTGCTGGAGATTTTTGGCCGAAATCACTTCAAACAGCTTTGGAAAGCCTCGAGCGACCGTGCCACCTCGTTCAAAGTCGACTTTGAACCTCGGCGCCGCTGAGGCACACTCTTGCCCTTACCCAAGTGCCAGGGTTGTGGACCTGTCTTAGCTATGACGCTTCGCTAATCCTAAAAGCGCAACCACCCCCACACGCCCCATCATTCACTTCCCACCGCCCTGCGCACCCTTGCCGTCCGCACGCCTTTTTCCCTTTAGCCTTGTCACATATCCGCTTCCATTACGCACTTTTCGCATAATGTTATCCCTCCAAGTAGACGAACACGGTCATCACTAATGGACGCTATTCACTCCGTACTACAACTCGGCTCCTCTTCTAATACCTGTTTAATTGCACTGAGAGTACCTGCTAGCTGTCGAGAGTTGCAGATACCATGAATGAGAGACTATCAAAAGCATTGTTCTGACCATCCATCTGGCCATCAACCAGCGGCGACGGTCCGAAACCCTGGACCCTGCTGTCTCGGGTTCGTAAGCGTTGCACATATGGCTACATAGCAAGTTTGCGACTAAGCACATATGTCGCGCCGTCCAGTTGAGAAAGTACATAAACAGGAGCGGCCCTGAACGACCCTGCGTAATTTCCGGCTCTTGCAAAGAACTCAACACGCAAAAAGCAGACTTTTCACGATAAGCAACCGGCTCCGAATATGGGAACAGTATTATGCATCAGGCAACCCAGAGGGGGTGCCACCGAAGGGCACCACGCTTGAAAGGTGAGGCAGGCAGGGTCTATACACGCCTCTGAGCATAATCAGATATGATGCGGTGAGGGTTGGCAGTGCGTCCATGTCAACTTTGCAAGCGGGACCAGACGGGTTTTTTGTTTGAGTATGGCCCAACAGCAGCATGTACATAGAAGAAGACGTTGAGACGGTGTATTCACGTGATCGGGAAGGCGCTGCGATGAGTCGGAAGTAGCTGGTGTCAACCGAGTTCATCACTATTAGCTTGGTTTTTGCTTTGTCCTTTACGATTGCTATTCAATGAGCTCGGCGCCTGTTGTCTTGTGCCAGAGCACAAAGTGTCCGCGAGGCAACCCACCGTCGCGACTCGAATGCCCAACTTGCAACAAGTACATCTCCCATACTTGTTGGTTCTGACTGACGTCTTTGCGTATCTAAGGCTTGGAGTTCGCGGATCCTTTTTCTGTGGTCAGGAATGTTTCAAGGCGGATTGTGGGTGATTTAATTTCTTTAAACGCTGTTATGCTGACTGGCCGCATCTTCCACAGGGGTACGTTCGTTGTCACTGCAACATGCGCGGAACCCTCACTTTTGTTTGGTCAGAAAAACCACAAAGTTATTCATGATCTTGTGCGGGCTCCAAACGGTGCGCAGCTTGCTGTGTGACTAGCGTGAACGTTGCTGATTTCAAAGTGCGTTTTTTTCTTATCAGATGGTACCTTCAATCCCTTCCAAAACTACCCCTTTTCGGGAACTCTAAGACCTGTATATCCACTTTCACCAAAACGGGAGGTCCCCGCACATATACCAAGGCCGGACTATGCACTTCGCGAAGACGGTTGGGTCCGAACTTGTGGCATGGCAACCGCGCTGACATCTGTTTCAGGAGTCCCCATATCCGAAATGCGCACGCTGGGGAATCCTCCGCGCGTTCTTGATGCGGATGAGATTCAAAAAATGCGAACAGCATGTAGAGTATGTATATTTACTGCAACGCTCGCTCGGTTGATTTTGATTGTGATACACATTCCGTTCCCGTTCCTCTTTAGCTGGGAAGAGAAGTCCTTGATCTTGCTGCGTCACATATACGTCCTGGAATCACTACGGATGAACTGGATTCTATCGTTCATCAAGCCACAATCGACAGAAATGCATACCCATCTCCGCTGAATTACCGCAAATTTCCCAAGTCTGTGTGCACGTGAGGTTTCTCGTATTCATATACGCGATATACCATCATGACACGCATATACAAGGTCTGTAAATGAAGTCATATGTCATGGCATCCCAGACCAGCGGAAATTGAAGGAAGGGGACATTATCAATCTTGGTCGGCTAACACACCCTCACCTGGTCCCACCGTTGCTTACACCGTTCCTACAGACATTTCACTGTATTACGACGGTAGGACGTATAATGAAAGGTGGTTTATGTTACCCACTCCACTATAGGTTTCCACAGTGACCTCAACGCAACTTATCCTGTCGGAAATATAGACGAAGACTCTGCCAAGTTAATTCGCACCACTCGTGAATGCCTCGATGCAGCAATTAAAATGTGCAAGCCCGGTGCACTGTTTCGTGACATCGGCAAAGCCATGTTAGTTCATCTTAAAATATTCGACGTAGTTCGTTAACTTTAGGGTAGTGAACCTATTGCACGAGCGAATGGCTGCGCTGTAGTACGCACTTACACTGGTCACGGTGTAAACAACCTGTTTCACACCGCTCCTAATATTCCCCATTACGCAAAAAACAAGGCTGTTGGGTCGATGAAGCCTGGCATGGTGAGCATGGTTGGAATTTTCTCCGAAGGCAGCCCTCACCGACTCGACACCGTCAGTGCTTTACTATTGAACCTGTAAGCTGATAGTGTTCGACTTCAACACAACACTCTCACAGTCCATAGATGATCAATCTGGGAGGTAATTGGGACGTTCAGCATTGGGATGATTCCTGGACAGCAACTACCATCGATGGAAAGAGAAGTGCCCAGTTCGAGGAAACCCTCCTGTGCGTGAGCTCGACCATTCTATACGCAGCTGCTTACTCTTCTCCATCATAGCATAACCGTGAGCGGTGTGGAAGTTCTTACTGCAGAGGGCGATAGCACGAAATCTTATTAAATCTGGTGAATATTTAGTTTATGTGACCGAACTGCAGGCTACATGGATTGTGCTGCGTCTCTGGATCCACTGGGTGAAATAGGTATCAATGTTGTGATGCGCATGTATTACTTTTTGTTGATCACGTACGTCCCACTGTACAAGCAGTCTAGCACACACTTGTATCACTCTGTATCCTTCCTTTCACCGATATCATGGTGAGGTATTTGTTTCTGTGAGGATGTGTATCCAGTACTCGATATTAATGTTTTTGCAGGGGACCAATTATTGAAGTGCTGCAGCCCCACCATACAAAGTAGTATGCGATACACACCTTTCCCTCGCTGTCATGATATTTGTGCGGCTGTCGCTCACACCCCAATGACATTGCCATCCCTCTGTTAGGCAGGTCGTAGACAGCTGTGGCTCGCACGAACACGAACACAAGCAGCTGTCGCTTAGATCCGAGCTTAGATGGGTGACTTGATAAGTACATAGATCTTCCGCAAGCACTGCGCTTTCAATTGGCACAGTGGTTGCCAACGGGCCGGGAATACCACGTCTCTTATGCTCATTTCAACAAGGCGCAGCAGTACTGAAGGCATTATTGTAAACCGAGGACGAGAAATACTTCCGTATGTATTTGCTTCCGTGGCCTCAAGGCACTGATCAGGGTAATATATCTCGAGTCTCTCCCGAAAGTGGTATGGTGGTACTTATTTTATCAGCTACTGACATGTGTACGCCTTATCTTTGTTTAATTTACTTTCTAGACGTCACGCTGCCTCTAGTTCCACAATGGTATCTATGTATTGATTGCTGACAATGTCATTAGGGTATATACATACTTGCTGTGGAAGACACGTTATCACCTTTGTTCTGCCTCCTTCATTCAACCGCAGCTGTGTACTGCATCCAACCTGAACAAGTGACTTCAGCGATGTCAAGTAGCGACGACGAGCCCCATCTACTCGTTGAGAAGTGTGGTTCTTCGCGAGGAAGACCAATCTACGTGATTACGAAGTACACGCCGTCAGTGACAGCGTCTTTGACGATTTGACACCTTACTCACTGTTAGCGCCAGCGACAGATACCATAGCCGGACAGTAAGTGTCGACATCTCGGTCTATGCTTAGCTTTGGACCAAAGTCTACAGAGAGAAATAAGGTGTATGGACCTGGGGCCAGAAGCTCTAGGTTCCTACAGGGCGCGACAAGGAGGTTGCACTCAAATACAGGTGAGCTTTAAACGTCGGGCGTTCTTGGTGGCCGGCAGGTCAATACCTTATTCAGTTCTTCAATGAATCTTCTGGTGTTCTCAAGTAAGTGGCCTTCGGATGTGGCCTGTAACCATTAGGCATTTAGAAATCCAAAGATGCACAAATGCTGATTGTGGCATGGAGTTCTCTAAGACAAGCCTTCGAGACAACCCCTACATCGAGGTTCGGGGATTACCTTACTGAAGTCCTTTCTTGCGGCAATATGTCAGTCGCATGTTAAGTAATCGTCATTGTTGCTCCTTGCCTAGATAGACCCTGCACACATACCCAGGCCAGTATGCACCAGCGATGTATAATACGTACACCATATCATCCACCGCCCTATGCACCAGATTTCTCGCTAATCTCCTTGTTCAGGCCTTTTGTCACTCTCTCAAAATCTTCCTGTCGATCCACATTGGCAATGCGCTCCACAGGTACGAGATCAGAAAGGCTTTCCTTGCGCTTGCGTGACCGTACATGCATCGATTGACTGTCCGATGTCTGAGCTCCAGAGGCTGTTACGGGCGTGTTTGTCTGATTGGCAGATGTCATCCGAAGCCTTTGTAGGTCCGCGTAGGAACCCTGCCGATTACGAAGCTTCCCCCGGGACGCGTCTTCATAGGCAGGAATGTAATTGATGACGTGATCATAATCGCCATGATCCTCCTCTTCTGATTCATCAGGTGTTTGAGGCCTGCTAACTGGCGTACTGCCTCCCGATACGCTGGTGCCGGTGCGGCTCCATCCAAATAATCTCTCGTCTATCCAAGTCTGGAAAGTGTGAGTAGGACAATGTCCGTGGAGGCAGTAAGACCCTACCATTGGGTGGATAAGCAGGTTGCCCTGGGCATCTACCTGGCCGACGCTGCTCTTTCGGCGCCAAACTCCCGGGTTACCGGTTGAGGGCGGAGCACTGGCTGGAACCAGAATTCGGAACTTCCCCTGTGTAAGACAAGTAAATAGTTACAGGGATGAAGGCAACTTACTTGGTCGAAATCATCATAAAGCTTGGGTCCAAATTCGTTGATGACGTCCACGACCTCGTTTGAAAGTCGCATCCTCATTTCCTTGACTTTGTCCAGATCTCGTTGGTGCCCAGGACCAAGGGCAAGGATAAGCGGCCTAAGCGACCTGTGAAAGTGGAGATAAGCCATAGACTCCGCAAATTAGGGCGACAAACACTCACTTCAAGACGTCCATACCCGCCTCACCAAATTTGAGGGCTGCATAATTCATGAAAGGTAGCGCACAGATAACGAGGAAGGGTGTGCATAGCCGTACTCCTAGAGGAACCTGCATCCTCACAGCAATCGCCGTCGCCAGGATCGCGTAAAACGTGTACAAAAGTGGAGCAACACCAAGACAGATAAGGATTTTCCAGGTCGCAAGCACGTCTCGACCTGCGACTTTGACAACGGAAGCCGCGAGTGCCTCTGGTATCGCCAAGTCAGTCATTACGTCTATTCATGTTCGTCTTTCGTACCTTTGGCCTTTCGTCTAGAGATCACGGAGGCCGGAATAATCACAGGGCCGTTCAATATCGTTCCAGGCAGTGCGAGAACTGCCCAAATCAATAAGAGGAGGAGACGATACATTAGAAGACTCAGGGTTTTCCAACTTGCTTTCTTCGCCCGCGGTACCTTGCCATGGTCGTCAGCCTCGCCTAGTTACCCACATGATGATGTTGCTCTACCTGATGGTCTCGTAATCCAAGATCTCGAAGAAGTCGATTATATTTCAATACGTCAGTTTTCAGCTTTTGTATTCGTGGTTCATCTTTGAAATTGGTGTAACCTTCCAAGAAACGACGATTAAGCTCGACCACCTGTCCCAACGTAGGGTGTTGCCCTGGGGTTTTGTAAAGGCGTCGGGCGGCTTGTATCAACTGCGCTACAGCAGTGAGCGGAGGGTTAACACTAGCCAAGAAGCACTGCACCATAAGAGTGTCATAATCGGGCGCCCTTATCGTCACGGTCTTCAAACCGTCATAGATAAGATCCAGAAGCTTTGCTACTGCATCCCGCTTGCTGGATCCGCCCTGCTTGAACATCTCGACTAATTCCTCTGGTACGTCGAGTGCACTTCCAAATTCCACGACTGCTCGCGACCGGAATCGATGGGCATGGAAATAGTACAGACCAACAGGCACGATCTTGACTTTTACACTTGGATCATTCGCCATTGCCCCAAGTGCCATGAGAGATACACCAGCTTTCAGGGGAAGCAAATCAGTTCTGTCGTGACTTCCACCTACAACACATGGTCAATTAGGAATGAAATACACATAACACGTTCCAAACCTTCAGGGAAAATTCCAATGCAACCACCATCCTTCAGCCGTTGATAGACTCCGCGATACATCTCCTGCTGGTCAATGAATGGTAGAATTTTGAACGGAAAGCCTCTTTTGCCTTCTGCCTCTATTTCCGCCGACTTCTCTCGCACACGAGCAGTTCCCTTACCCGCTTCACTTGCAAACTCTTTCTTGAGGCGCAAGTTCGGTGTCTGATATGACCATGAGAACTTCCGCTACAGCTGAGTTTACGGACTTGGGCAGCATAATTTGCATTTTCGGAGAGAATTCTGACTTGAATTGAGTTCCCTCTCCAAGCACTAAGGCAGGGGATCATCGGGTGAAAGGTACACCAGCCCGGTTCCAGGTTTTGCCTCGTCCACAGCTCGAGCCACAGGTACTATACAATCGTCGGAACGATACTGGGTCAGGAAGATCCGGAGACTCACTACTGTCCATCTGCCGGGCAAAGAAACCAACTGCTTTACGTTTCATACTCTTGGCAGCAGTCAGAAAATGAACGCGGCGACGTGTTTCCTTGTACACCTCTAGGCTTAGGAGAAGAGGATCAAGGAACTGGGGTACTACGTCAGATACAATAACCGTGCAGATGTAAACGGCTGTACTTGATTGCTATGGGGTGCACCGGCAAAAATGACCGGCCCATCTCGCGGGATATTGAAGGCACCTCTGGGACGTATTTCTCTGAAGAATATTTGCGTAATTATTCTCCAGAACATCAGCGCAGTTTCATATGTAACGGCAGCCATTCTGGCAGTGGGAAGTGCAGAAGTGGTGGAACGCAGAGACGGGTCGCACAGCGCCGAAGGAGGAAGCTCGTAAGTAGCTGCGGATGGCCAGCAAGTCCGCCTGAAGATAACAAAGTGAGCTTCGGACTAAGCTGCTGGCGTCCGTCGAATGCACCAGCTCCAATGCTCGACGTCGGAGGTCGTCGCTCTCATCAAACATGACCAAATTCACGACCCTGCCCAGGGGTATGGAAACTGGTGTAAGTTTATTTAGGGATGTGATTGTGACAGTACATCAGACCGAAACTCCCGAAGCTGACCAGAATGGATGATATGATATTCTGCGTGATGGTATGCAACCATTGAAGAGTAGAACAAGGAACATATAACATAACAGATAAACACGGCGCAAGGTCACGTCTCAGACATTCGTCTCGCCGAGCCATTGCTCGTCGTGCTGGACCGTTTATAATGGAATATGTCATGTAGCTGATGCAATCGGTCATCACCAGGAGGCCCATCTGGGACAGGTGGTGGCGTTGGTCGAGAACCACCTCCCTCACGTGTGACAGGGGAAGTCGGCTGAGAGTCGTGTCCATTGGCTTCCAGTTCTGAGGTCGGTCATGAGTTACAAAACCACGTCGCTGTGAGAACGCGTACTTGACAAAGTACTGGCAACAGCTGCCGACCTTTCTAGATCCTCCGCAGCGCGACTCGCCAGTGCACGATTAATGTACTTGCGAAACGCTGGTCCCGTGGTTTCTAGAAGCTTTTCGACTCGCGGACGCTTATGTGGATAGTTCTTCAAGAAATAGTGCAACTCCGTGATTCCTTCCTTATGCATTGCTCCGGTAGTCTCGCTGGAAATGTGATTGATAATGGTTATTAGCTGCGCTTCCGGATCCGGCTCATCCATTGGAGGTGAGAAGCCGTTGTGCGAGGAAACACTAGCACTAGTCCCATGTCCCGGTGAAGAATGTCGGTTAGCGGCAGATGCCGAACCCGTCGGAGATATAGGACGGCTAGACGCAACCGAATATGGCCGACTTAGTGTTCCCGTAGGACTGTGATGGGGTCGTACTGCGGGCTCCGTGGGCTTCGGCACAGAGTTCAAGATCCGGTAGACGTAAGGATAGACAATCGTGGCAGACGGATCGTCGAAAGATGCAGAGAGAACGTCATATACATCGTCACCATAGTGGGCTGGAGCGACCGTGTGAGCGGTCGATTGAGGCTGACATCATCTAGCCCACTTACCAACGACATGCTGGATGACAACTTTAATGGTCCTCAACTGGCATGTCTCCGCACTGGGACTTTGTTGGTAGCTCTTGCCCGCCATTCGTTAGGTGGGACCTGATTGCAAGAAGTGTTCCACCGCAGGAAGTAATTCAACAGGATCCAGTTTCTGCTCTTTGAGATCCTGAGGTATATTTCGCGCCAGTTTCCATACACATTTGAGAACGAGCTCTGCAACACGCGCCTCCTTTGACTCTGGTAGAGTGCCGTTATTGGGAAATGGTTTGACGATTTGCAGAAGCAGTGCGAAGAGAGCGCTAAAAATCTTCAGCAACTGATGCACATCAGTGTGTCGCATGCACTTACCGGAAGACCGACATCTTGCGGCCAGTTGCAAACAGTCGAAGGATGATCATGTTGATGAATCGCGACATGTCCTTCACCTTGCTGACATGACTATCGTCCGTCTCGAGAAGACGTAGAGTAAGCTCCTCCAGCAAAGGTGTAAGGATGTCCACCGTCAGTGATTCTGCCAATAATACGTGGTCACAAAACGTGTTGAGGGTTTGGATAAGATGCTTCGCCAGTCGGAAGTTCTCATCTATGACCAGATCTTCCTGTCGTTCGAATATGTGGGACATCTGAAGCGTGATGGTTTCTATGAGACCCTCAGTGTGTTCCGCGAGCTCTTTGTACTCGGTAGAAGTGTGTCCATCTTCGGGTTTGATCATGAGTATCTTTTGGATCTTCTTCAGCGCATCTACGCTGCGTGACGCATCGCTGCTCAGTATGCTTGAGATTGTAACCGTGATGTCGTTAGTTACAGCCGGAGGATGGTCATCATAAGACAGTGCAGCGTCAGCTAGCGTGTCTATAGCTTGCTCAGGCGGTATGTCAACGACTCCATGAGAGTTAGGTGGAGTCACATAAGGAAGTTCTGATACTTCCTCAGGCGGTTTAGCGATACCAGGTTGAAAGGTTGGTAAGTTGGGTCGTGGGCGAAGTTGACCTAGGCGGGAGGGTAGCATGCTTTTCGGGCGAGAGGCCAAGGGTGATGTCACACTTGGTAAGGATGAGCCACCCAGCGTCGACGGTCCCGGCAGCCCACTGCAGGCAGTAGGCCCAGGGAGCTTAGAAATACCTGCAGGAGAAACGGGCCGATCGACATGTGAAGGTGCCGGGGAAGCTGATCTCAGCGTTCGTACTGAGGAGGTAGATTGGGCAATTCGAGATATCGTGGAAGTGGCGGGGCTTGCCGGCCGTGGGATTCCGCCGGTTTTTCTAGCGGGGGACTCGGGTCGCGAATGGGCATTTGTAAGGCGAGCAATCTGCGCGGGAGGGGCAGCGACTTGATGCTCTGACTTTGTTGGGCTGCTCGGTCCTGGGACGCGCCGAAGCCGTTCCTCAAGCTGTGTCTTATCTTTTGGCGGGAGAGGGCCCATCAAAGTCCAAACCTTTTCACCCACAAGGGTGTAACCCTCGCTGATGGTCCACGTCGGTAACATTTTTAGCCAACTGACTACGAGCGACTGACCTGAGAACAGAGAGCGCAGATTTGCGAACAGCAGAATCCTTGTCAGCTATCATTGATCCAATAACTGGGAATGCTTTGCTGGGTTGGTGGCAGGCTCCCATGCCGTTACGTTTCAGCAGATTTGCAATCTCATCCAAAGCTCCCTGGCGAGTCTTTGCGACCTTGGATCTCAGGCCATGTTCGAGCAAGAGGTCAAATATCCGGCTATATGCGTAGACTTTCGAGAGACTCTGGATGATCTTTTGAACGCGTACTCGGACAGGTTCCCGTGCGTCACCAAGCTTAGAAGAAGTTTGTCAGAGCAATTCAAAGTATAGTAGCGTCGACCTACTTTGAAAATCAGCGTCGGAGCGAAGCATAAAGCCTCGGAATCGTCAATCTGTGCGTCAAGACTACGCAAAAAAGACACAACTGCCTCGGCCACGTCCAGACATCGAGATACTAGATTTGACTGCGGCTCATGGATTTTGATCGACACGTATTTCAGAGCAAGATCAGAACATGCCAAGCCCACAGCGCGCATATTCTCAGCTGGGGTGCCATATCTATCCGATCCAGACTCTGCAGCGGAGAAAAAGTCATACATGGTCGAGAGCCCCATCACGTGATCGTTAATAGCGTTATGGTCATGGCTAAACAGCTGGGCAACGAGGTCCTTCGACGTATGGAGATCCATTTGATGCTGCAGCAAATCAGCTAGATCCTTTCGAGTGGGCCCAGATTCATTGATCCATTTTTGGCCATCTTTGGCCAACCTTGAGCGCTTTGTCTCTACGTTCATCTGTGTAAAAGGGAGAGCTCCAAGGGTCGATGGGGATGTGGAAACTTTAGGAGGGGCTCCAGGAATCCCAGGTCGCTTGAGGCCAGGTTTGCTCGATACCCGCGTCGATCCCGATTCTTCGATTGACTCAGCTCTAGAATCTGGACGGGAGGTACCTTGCGGCAGCTTCCTGCGCACACCAGTAGCCTTTCCTGGAGGTCCGGACGATGCAGGGGGAGGGGAGGGAGTGTTTACCGGGGACGGTGGGTCAGGCGTAGTTACAGCTTTATTGGCCATTTTAGGAGGCGCAGGCGATGTTTGCGTAGGAGCTAGGTCTTTTGCAGCCTGGAGAAGTGGTACCGCTGTCTTGCGCGACGCCGGTTTAAGTCCATTTGTATGGGACATGACCTTGTCGAAACCAATGGACGTGATCAACGCTGGAAGAAGAGCTTGCGCGCCCTTCCGTACATCCGTATTTCTGTCATCCAGGCAGGTCACGACGGTACTGGCCCACGAACTTAGGTCAAGAGGGTGAGAGGATGGATGCCCCTTCATATACTCTGTAATCCAACCGAGTAACGAGGCACGCTGGGTAGGATTAGTCGCTTCCAACGCCGTGCCTATAAAGTGAATCATGGGCTCCAAACCCTCACATGCATCGGCAATGGCGGTTAAAGTCTGCAAAGCCGCCGCTCTGATCGGGGCTTTCTGATCTGAGAGCACGGTAGCCACAGGAACAACAAAGAACTTGGTCTGCTTCTCGAATGGTTTGCCCATACCTGTAGCGATACGGGCCACGATATCGAGAGCGAGGGTTTGCACGACTTTGTTTGTGTCAACGACCCTAGCTTTGAGGACTTGCCCTATCTCACCTGCCCAGTGGTGAGTGCATCATTCAAATCGGTGCTAGCGTTACTCACCCATTGCAGGCTTCAAGCGTTTATTCGTGCCTTGATCCAGAGTAGCCTGAAGGGTTTCAAGAGCCTCTTTCTTGGATTTCCACGCATCACTCTTGGCGTCAACTAGGATAGTGGTCCCCTTCAGCAAGCTATCAATTTCTACTCTGGGGAAGAGCTCTTCCAAAGGGTCCAAACCACCCTTGACAGTCCCATCACTTGATGCAGGAGCTATCGCAGCGGTGTCGACTGATGTCCGCGTTGGATTTGGCGCCGGAGTGCCCTCGACTTTGTCAAACTCGCTCTCAATAGTGGCAAGTAACTGAGGATTGATATCCTCCAAGAACGACTTAATACCTGTCATGGCCGTCGTATATCCGCATAAGATGTTGGCAAAAAAAACCTACCTGCACCAGCAAAAAGCTTAACTGTTACGAGTGTCTTGGTAGCGCTGGTACGCACGGCAGCATTGGAGTTTTTCAACGCCAATTTGAGAAACTCGATGAGTGTGCGAAGGGATAACCCTGCAGTACCGAATTCACCGATTGCAGTGTCGATCCAAACCAACGAGTCAGCAAGGACCTTTGGAGCTTTTTGCTTTCCCAGCGGCTCATAAACTGGTCCAGGTTGCAGGTGAAACGCAAACATAGACACAATGGAGTCACATACTTTGATTGAGGACGAATTGCAGAGAAGTCTTCTCCGCAAACACAGTCAGCGCATCTCCGGCAGGCTTTTTCAGCTTCAAATCTCCCAGTTTTTCACTTAAGTGACCTGATGACAGTGCCACACAAGACCTCCCAAACGAGGGACAACTTTCGGCCAGGCTCGTCAAGACAGCGTACAACTTCGCAGAAACCTGAAATAACAGTTAGCGCACCAGTGAGGCACAGCTGGACAATCAGACCTGGAAATTTTTCTCGTTCCAACCCTTCTTTGCAATGGCGCGCACGATGACCTCCGCGTCAACCTCTGCTATTACACCCTGAAGCCATGTTGTCATTTCCTCGCATGCTGCGAGCCTGGTCTTCCAGTTCGTATCCCCAAGCCCTTCCATGATACTCGCTGGTATTAACTCCGCGGCCAGCCCCTCGGCGTCTTCAGGAGTATGCTTGTACTTAAAGGAGTCAAGTGCACTTGGAGCGGCGGGCTTTGCGGCTTTAGCAGTAGCAGCAGTCGATATAGGGGGCTTCTTCGAGGCCGATGGAGCTGTTTTCAAAGCTGGGCTTGGGCCTTTCCCGCCAGAAGAGTCTGGGGGATCCGCACCTACCGCCGCCTTCTTTGCCTAAAGAGCTGTCAGGCGGCGGACAAAGAATCAAAACGTATACTAACTAACCGTCAGTCTGGCAGGAGGTTTGCCCTTTGGTTTGTCAGGAGGTGGATCGCTTACTGGAACATCCGCAGCAGCAGCTGAGGCCTCAATTGCCGCTGACTTTGAAGTCACCTTCTTCTTCGCTGCCTCCTTCGTGGGCGGCGACGCCTTAGGCCCCCCCCCTCCAGGTTCCAGGCCTTACACTTGACGGCAGCCTTCTCATATGCTTCCTTAACCTTCGCCTTGCGCACGTCGGCCAACCCCTCCATAAGGGCGTTCAACGGGCGCTCTCCGACCATTTTCATCAAAGTCCCCAAACACGTTGCAGCCTCGTTGCGGGCACCCTCAAAACCATCTTCCAGCAGTGCGGCAAGAGGTTCAGTGAGCGTCTTAATTTGGCCTGATTGAATAGGAGTAGACGACGTCGATAGACACCGAGCAAGGAACTTCAAAGTCCCTTCTTTAACCTGTGGATTTTTGTTGCTTAAAGCAGGAAGCAAATCTGGTATTATGTCGGGTAGGGAAGTCTGACGCAACGATCAATGTGCGCAGAACCAATAGTATATCGAACACTGCTTACAGTTAAGAAAATGGCATCCAGGGCAGCCCCGATAGCGTCCGTTACGCTGGCTTTCCGCTCCTTCAAACGCTCCAATATGGGTGGGACTAGCGCCTCACGGAGCTTACCAAACGGTTCCATTACGCCCCTTGCCAACCCTTCTAGAACATTGGCCGCTGCCACCACACAATTGACGTTAGCATCCTTTTGTATACAGGTAGCAAGCGACTTCGACAGCTCCGAAATTTCAGGAGCATCCTGAATGTGGGGTGTGGCATTAACAAGAGTCAGGAGTTCGTCAAGAACTTCTTTCCTCTCCTTCCATTTTGAGGACGCGAGACTAGCTTGCATATTTGACGGAACTTGGAGACAATGTTTGCCACTTCCGCCAACATTCGAGGGTCAGGGATGTCAATCTCTAACAGACAATTAAAGCATTCCTCCGACTAGGTCAAGAATGGCTACGTTACCTTCAGGGGTTTCATCAACTGCTGCATTGGCATCAGATTCACGTTGATGTTCCCTCGTAAAACGTTCGGCCTTCAACGATCCCTTTCCATTCCCTTCCTTCTCCATAGTTTCGAACGCATCTTGTAGCTCCTTAACTTGTACAGGCTTGAGCTCTCCCAAAAAGGGGTCGATGGATGGTCCAATATATCGGTATATGGTATGGACAAGTTGGGTTCCCTCCGCACGAACATTTTTGTCCGCATGAGCGAAAATCTTGGGTAATATTTTGAGAACAGGAGCCAGCGGGGTAACCTGCGTTCCAAAAATCCTAGTGTCGAACATTGATAAGAGCGATACCAGACATGATGCCACCCGGAAACTTCAACGCTTACCGAATAACCTCCTTCAGAGCGAGGACGCTGGCCGAAACAGTCTTCGGTTGTTTCGCTGATAGGCCAGGAATAATGTCCGTCTATGAAGGGTGTTAGAACTCGCACGTAAGCGGGGTCGAATAGACTCACCACTACGCCAGCAGCAGTGTTCTCCACCTCTGCGTATTGGAGAATGAGCTCTATGGCCTGATTCTTCGTACCGACCCTAGCAGAACCAAGACATTTGTCGACTAGGGCAGGAACAACAACGTCTCTCGTCTTTACGGCAGTTTCCCCAGCATACTTGATTAGCGCGACGAGACACTCCACACCCTTCTCCTGTGCTACTGCGTTTCCGTCCGTCGCAATCTTCTTGAGGAGATCGGAGTTCGAGATGTATGGTTTGAAGACAGGATCATTGTCACTAGCACTTGTCTGGAATGCCTTGATGAGTGCTTCGTATCCGCTAACACGGGCTTTCCAATTCTTATGTGCAAGTCTTTCGGGTATAGGAAGAGAAGTAAAGTCTTCTTCCTGAGGTGGAGGTCCGTCCATGCCCGACGCGAGGCAGCCTTCTGGAATGTCAACACCACGAACCACTGGCGCGACTGGACTGCATGACGTTTATGTAATGGTTCATGGTCATGTGACTACACAGAATCGCAAGTATTCCAGGATGGCCGCAGATCGGTGGCTATCGGCAGCCAAGTCTGTGGTCGTCCGCCTGAACAGCGCCGAACAAGCAAGCTTGCTGATATTGGGCCAGTTCACATGAGGTCAATATAGTCGATGGATAGCCTGTGACTCGCATCATGGTACTGTCTTCGTCGGGAGGCTCACTTCCTCTCACACCTCACCCCGGCTTTGTTGACGACTTCTCTGAGTGACATCGTATACAACTTGTGCACAAGCTTTCGTCAAGAATGTGGAGTCTCGGATCAGATTAATCTTTTTTATATACTTTGTTGGAAATGAACGCCGTCTCCCCTGCAGGATATCCGTTAGTTGCATGTGACGAGGATAACCCGAAACTTTGGTTTGTTTCAGGCAAGTTTTTTCAGTTTAAGCTGACTTGGACGAGCTGACAAGACTATCTCTGTGACATGGCGCATGGTTTGCAATTACGCGAGCATCCATTGACCAGATCGTCAGGTCGCTTTTGCACTAGACACTGATCTAGATATTAACTATGTGCAATGCAAGTTGTGCTGATCTTGTGGTGCCATCTCATTATTTCACAGGCTCTCGCAGCCGACACCTCACGTAAAACGCTACGTATAGTGGAAAGCTTAGCCCTGAATTTCAGACCTGACCGTTTGAACATGAACGTCCATTATAGTAAGTACATCTTTCCATCGATCACTTCGACCTCTCGACCTCCCCGTCAGCTTCCACCCGAGAATGCCGATCCTCCAGATGTCACGTCACATCACAAAGTTCCGAACAAAGAAGCCTCTTTACTACTATCGCGGACATGCCACTTTTCAGGGTTCCGACTACCGTTCTTTCCGCGAAAACCGCAAGAAATCCCACAGTACCCTGGACATCAACCCCTCAGCGCACCAGAATTATGAATCCACCATGGACTAACCATTTGGAAGCCGTCTTGCAAACCCCCCGCTTGGAGGCACCGCCAGCAATGAGATCTCAACACTCGACATGTAAGCGCTAACGTAAATCCACTGTTTCGTAGATTGGCAGTACCTGAAGCTAGATGACCCGTACCTTAGGTAACCGCACAACTGGGAACACGGCGCTTCGATTCACGGATGCGCCGTGCTTATCACAGGTTCTGAGTGTGAAAAGTGATCCAGAGACTTTCTAGCTACACTAGAACCATCCGAAAACCCACGAGGGTCCAAACAATTACCGTACAGAGTTATCTACAATATTTTGTTCCCAGAATGAAGAATACATGGTCAGAACGAAAGCAATGCAAATAGAGTACGGTCCGACAGCCTAACAACTCAGACGGCGAAAAGCGGTCCGCAAACTATCCACAAGTGGAAATTGATACAGGCTTTTGGGGCGCAAGTAGATATCATCCAATGAAGATGCAAGGTCATGGGGGTCATGAGGGCGCAATTACCTTACGATAGCAACGAGGGTGTCAAACAGTACGGCGAGATCCCTCCGGAACGGACGCGGGCAACAGGAGAAAGAGCATTTAAAAGAGACGTCTGAGGGGGGAGACTTGCACGAGGTATGCATTGCCCGGGGGCACGGGTATAAGTTGGCAACTGGCTGTCAACATGGTAGGCGGCCAGCGGTGTTTTATCCATTCGACCAGAACATTTTTTGAACCCACTGAGCTCCGCCGAGGGCATGTTCTCGCGCTGGCTTCTATCGAGATCGTAACAGATGACAGCAACCACCTCATCGTTAACGAAGATTTTTTGCACGATGCAAGTCGGGAAAGCTGTGAACACGTGTTGAACATGAGGGTACAGCATATGAACGACTAGAAGTGATAATTACTCACTGGAGTCGAGCCACCGACTGCGACTTAACGCTGAGTCTGGCAAAAGCAGTGTGGAGGTCTCCAATAGACCGTGCCCGGTGGGTTCCACCGTGACCACAGAGCAGAAACCGATCTCCTGAGAGACGCACTGGTTTCGGACGAGAACAGAAGTGGAGCATCTAAAAGTGGAAGAAGGCTGCGTGGTGCATGTGATAGATCCTTGGAAACCGTGCAGTCCCGGAGAGCATGGCGAATCGATGGGTGGGAGATGAAGTCTGATACATAATGCGACCGCCGACATAGATAGTTGTGCAGACGGGTGCAGTGGTACGGTGTAGGACTGCATGCCCTCTGCCCATAGAGACAGTCGCACAAGTTTCGTCGAGGTACCCGGGTCGACATGGAGTTGGGAGGACAGAGGATGTACGAGTGGAGGGTCGACTAAGCTCGGTTGTTGCAATGTGCCCGGTGCGATCTGTGGTGCACTGCCAAGTGTGTCGCCTATGACGCTGTAAATATCTGTCCGAGATGATTGTACAGTTGGGGGCGCTAGAATATCTGGGGTCCAGGACGTTGCAAGGGGCGACAAACGTCGAGACTCTGCTCGAGAGAACTCCGGCGGTGAGAACGATCTCAGACAGCCGTTGTCATCAGCTGTGGGTACGCGTGTGCTGAGGTGTGGCATGGTGAGTTCCGTTGCGGAACACACCGAAGAGCCAGAGCTAGAGCAGATGGAGCGGGCGGCGCAACCCGATCGATCAGAAGCTGGTGAGTGTTCATCGTAGGAGGTGGAGGTGAGTAACTGAGGGTCAGACTGGTCCTCGGCCTTGATATTGGTCTCAAGGAAAAGCTCGTCCCCTCCGGCGACCAATCTATACTCTAGCGAGTGTATGTTGGCAAATCGAAGAAACGGAAGTCAAAAATGGGACATACCTGGTTCTCCTTTCCACATATTTCGCAAGACCTGGATGTGGCTGGCGACCTGCTTTTTGGAGCGCTCCACGCCGTGTCTCTGGAGGTAATCGACCAGAAACTGGTTCCTCCAGCGACTCCGGCCACGAGAAAAGGTCGCCCACGGTGACTCCCAATATTCACGGAGGCCTGCAGAAAGTGTGAGCGAGAACAAGCCATTTGATTGGTTCGCACGGCACCTTGGACGAATACTCGCTCAATGTCTTCTGGCCATACCTCGCTGGACCCGTCCTTCAAAAGCTTCCTGTGCTTGCGCTGTGGAGTGAGACTCTTTGCTGGGAGATCGGGCTCGTAGGTAGCAGACATCCTGCTGGACCTCATGGTGGGAAGGAGAAGAAAAGGGGGCGACGGGGAGACATGGACACAAAAGCGAGGGGCTTATATAACTTTGGGCCGTACCAGTGAGGAGGAGTGAATGACTACACGTTCGAACAAACAGAGCATAGTTGGCAGACGAAGCAGGCTATATTGATCCGGTTTGGCATGTGGGACCCGTTCTTTCGGAACACCTAATTGAAAAAAGGCCCTGGCACAGATAACGATCGAGGAGTCGAGTATCTCCAAATGGATCTAACTGAGCCGAAATGGAAATTTTAGACCACGCCAACGGAGTCAGAGGCTGGGAATCAAAACCCTCAGATCTGCGTGTCGATAGAGAAAGACAATAAGCACCCCTCACCATAATCGCGCGGTCTCTGGTTTTGGGGGATGGCAACCCGCAACCAACAGCTTAGGACCTTGTCCAGAACGCACCACGTCGGAAATGCATGCTGTGTCCCTCCCCCCTCGTCCTTTCGGGGTGGTAGTCCATTTGTCCGGCTGGCTTTCCTTTCACCATTCCTAATTTGCCACTTCCACATGGGACTACTAATCTCCCCAAGGTGTGCGATCCGGATCCCGGTCATCAACAGAAAATTTGCGTTAGCACAGCGTCACGCTCACAGCCCAGTCAAGGGATTGAAGTGAAGCAAAAAAGCTTGCAGTGCCCTCCTGCTGCGCCGGTCTGCCCGACCTGCCGGTTGCGACGGAGGATCAAAATTAAAACCCCGCTGTTGGAGCCGGCATTCCACACTCTGATAGCCATAATCGACTACCGCGTACCGAGATGATGTCGATGAGTACAGAATCGCTAACTCAACGTTGGCTCCGGCAAAACGTCAGTTCTTATCTGCACGGGGATCGTGTCTTTGTGGACGTGGACGCTGCGATTACCCGCTTCAATGCTTTGCGGCCGAAAACCGAGGTTTACAGTTGAGTGAGTCAGCCCATCGTTATCGCCCTGCTTCACGTCCCACTTGCAGCGTATGATGACGGTCGCACACAATTACTTCTCTGCGTGCACGGTTTGCTCCCAATACATTATCGCGGTTCTATCTACAACATTCCCATCGCTGTTTGGATCACAAGGGACTATCCCCGTGCTCCTCCGATTGTTTATGTTGTGCCCACTCAAGACATGCTCGTCAGGCCTAGTAAATTCGTCGATGTCAGCGGTCGCTGTAACATCGAGTACTCCCAGTCATGGGAACGCAAGGGCGAGGTGTGTATACTTAATTTAAGCGCTGCGGCCCTCCGATCCACCTCACAAAGGCTTGCAATCTATCGGCATTACTTGAAGCCCTGCAAGACCTCTTCTCTCATGCTCCACCTCTCTACGCTAAACCCAAGCCCAAGTTGCCTAGCCCTCGCTCATCTTCGCCTTCCTCGGCGCCTCGTCCCTCGTCATATTCCCCATCCCCATTACCTGCCCAAGATGTTGCCCGCCCTCCACTACCACCGAAACCAGTTTCATCTCCCGTACCCGCGATAACGCCGAACGTGTCTACTTATTCGGTATGTTGCTTCTTCGCCCACCCACATACCTGACTCTACGCTTTCGTGACAGTTGGACTCCCCCCGTGGTCCACCCCCGCTTCCTCCTCTGCCGCCTCGCGCCGACATCCAACCACCTCAATATCAGCACCTTTTGATGCACATATCCACGAGCATCAATATACACGAAGAACACACTGCACAACCACCCGCGGTACTGGTGACAGATCGGTCTGCGAGCACTAGCGATAATTACCGAGGACCTCCTGGGGCTATGCCAGTGCAATCTGCATTGGCTCACGTTCAGCCTTCTGTCGTAACTCAATACCCGTCACATACTTCTCCGCGTCCTCCACAGCAGTGGACCCCGCCCGCAGTCTCCCCTGTGTCCAAGGGTTCACTTCCAAATCTGATAGATGAAGAGCTTGTGCAGTCATCTGTACCACAGCCACCTGCGGATTCTGCACCGCCACGCCCCCCGAACCCGGAGTTGCTCCAACTTCACGCTCGAGTCCATGACAAAATTCAGTCGGAGTTCAATTCTCTGTCGCAAGCCATGCATCTGGATGCCGAGCGTCTTCGTGCCCAGCAAACGGATCTTCTTGCCGGAGAGCCCGCGATCCGCGACGAGATGGCTCGCCTTGAAGCGGTAGGAGCCGTGTGCCGTCATGTGTCATCCCGTGTCCGCAGCGCTCTGGAACAAGGAGAGCGGACCTTGGCTGAGTTGCGACGGAAGGGTGACCCGGAAGTGGACGAATTGGTATGTTCGACGAGCATTGTCCACAACCAGTAAGCCTTGTCTCCTTCGAACCAATTGGTGGCTTTTGGTCAGCGTCCCATTTGCTCTTCTTTTTGTTTTCACTAGGCTTATTAATCTGGTGGCGGATGATAATGCGATCGAGGACACCATGTATCACCTCCATAGAGCCTTGAACGGGGGGCGCATGGATCTAGAACGGTTTTTGAGGGTACGATTGAAAATTTGGTAGGCATGGATCACATGGTACCATATTAATGCTGTCTGTCACTCAGACCATCCGCGTGCTCGCCGAAGAACAATTTATGAAAAGAGCGCTTATCGAGAAGATCCAGCAGGGAATCCCGATGGAGGGAACCCTACCATAAAGCTAGTGGTTAGGAAACCAAGCAGGTGACCAAGATTCGGCGCAGAATATTTGTGGCCACACCCTCGATAGCATACTTTCCTTATGTATCTTGTTCTGGACCACGCTATTTGAGCATGGGCACGTTTCACACAACATGATTTACGCGGTCCCAAAGTCTTTGTCTTTTCGATTGGGTGCATTCGGGGGAGGGACTTTTGTGATTGGGTGATCCACACATGTGCTGTTCCTGGGCCCATGCCCCAGCTCCTGACAGTGGCAGACCAACACGCAGCGCCTCATGGCGTTTCTGTAACACCGGACCCATCCATATGCCGAATAAAGAAGGACCCATAAGAACGACTCGATGTAGTCTTAACTTCATTAGTGATCGCTAAGCACAAGAACTATGATAGTACATGAATGTACACAAACCGGCCCAGCGTAATGAAGTTGATACGACCCACAAGCTTGGTTAAGTCAGCCGCTTTCTGAAAAAAGGCCGATATCTACACGTCTCAGGAGGTCATGAGATTGGTTCGTCATCCTTTTCTACTTCAGTTCGTACCCTCTTCCGTTGTTCTGGTCCCCTTCCCGCGGTCCCCACCCATCTCCAAACTCGGAGCTCGTCACCCCCCTGCACTTCTTCTAGGTTGGCCCTGACGTTTGCGTTGCCCTCGACAACGTGTTCCACCTGGTCCCAGAGCCTCCTACGAGCGGAAATTGAGTGCTCCCCTTGTAAAATGAGGTCACGTAGTTGTACAGATGACAGATATGCTTGCGGTGCCGTCACCGGATCCGCATGGTGGGCAAGCTCTTGGTTACGCAATGTATCCAAAGTAATTCGAACTAATTCTGCAACACGTTTGGCCTCGATTTGTCGTTGGGCGCGGGACCGCCTGAGGAGATAAAGCGCACAATAAGCCACAAAGCACGCTGAAAGGGGTTTTCATTGTTGATACTTAAGGTTGAGCACATCAACCTTACCGAAAAAAGTTCCGCGCCATCGTAACCACAGTTCCCGGAACTTCACAGTGACTTGGCAGGTAAGGGTCATATAAGCCATTTTGTGCGCCAAATAGCGGCTACCGCTGTGAAAAAGAACATTTGAGCGCACTTGATCTCGATCAAATGTGGTAAATCAATTGTAACTGACGACATGTCCTGTCCGAAGATAACGCTACCCCACTCTGCCAGTTGCTGAATAGCCTCATTGAAAGTGTCATCGAAGGTTTCCAAGAGATGTGGCTAGCGAATGGAAGTAAGCCTTTGTGAAAGTACAATGGGACCTGCTGACTCACCGCTGTCTTCTGTTTCATAACTTCTCGCAACACCTCTATCTCTAAACCCCACTTTCTGGCTTCACCTCCTTCGGTATCAGCCAGGTCCTTTAGATCGCCGGCACATACGTGTCTACCACGTTCCTGACCAAGAAGCGCCTCAATCGCCTTACCCAAGGCCCCAATATTCCTTTTTCGCTTCGGATCTTCAATGCAAGACGGTGGGAAGGCTACAGGTCCTAAACCAGGCAATCCATCAGCCAGTTTGGAAATGAAGTTCCAGGCCTTTTGAACAACAGGTGGAGGAGCGGCACCGAAAGGTGAAAGCAACGCAAGGACAGGGTGCGGACGCAGTATGTGCCCAGAATTGCAGGATACTGTGTGCTGAGTGCACGTTGCGTATTCTGGACAAGGAGCACACGCCGAGGGATGTGGCAAGGGAATGAGAGCAAGCGGAGAGCTCGGTGTTCCGTCTTCACGGCTGATGCCATCAATAAGGGCCGAAAGGAAATTAGAAATCGTGGTATTCCACTGTTCATTGGCTGAGCTCGCAGACAGGCGCGCCTGGAACTCCCCTAGAGCGCGATTCGTATTCGAGCCGGTATCGCAATATCCAATAGCCATTGATTCGTTCTTGAATTTAATGACGACGGTGAAGCCAATAACCAGACAAATCAGGTAGAACAGCGTCAATAAGTGAGATCGCGATTTCGGCCTAGGAACTGATAATTGCAAATGATCTGCTGGACCGGCCTCCTGGGAAACGGTGGTAAATTTATTGTCGAAGTCCGAAGTTTCATCTCTGGCCGGGGTGAAATCTGCCCCGCTGGCGGCTCGATCGTGTATGAAAGACTCATCAAGAGATGTGTGATTGTCTGGCACAAACCCATGATCCGCGGAAGGACGGTTGACCAGAGTTTCATGAGGTGGAGAAGGCAACTGCGGCTGAGGAACACCGGGTGGAAATGGTGGCGCAAATTTCGATGGAGACGGTGAGTGTGGTAAATGTTTAGGTGGCATGGGCTTTGAGGGAGAAGATGGCGGCGACAATTGTGGCGGGGCAGACATTGAATGCCGCGATTTCCTACGAACACTTTTGCAGGGGATTCTTGTTAGCACGATCGGGTCTTACAGGGGAAGAAGATTCTGCGCCGGATTGAAATATGTTATTGTCTTCCCACCCGCTGTCGTCTACACCGGGGCTAACGTCCTGCTGACCATGTCGAAACTCGGAAGGCAAGAAGAGCTCAGGGAAACTCACTTCATCATTCCTATGCAATGTCCTCACAGGCATCTCTTCGTCTGGTTCACTTTCTTCCGCTAGTGCGGGTTGCATGGCACGCGCCTTGCCTTTCGAAACGTTTCTAAGGATAGGCTGGGCAGAACGACGGCGCTTAACCTACAGCGTGAAGCATGAAGGTTCACTTAGGGGCAACCACAAGATATGTGAACGTACTGGTTCAGGTGGTTGGATCGGGTTAGCGTCTTCCGAGCGGCGAGAAAGCCTCCTAGAAGACCGCCTGGTGGAGGTTCCCTAACAAAAAGGGTCGTATGAGCCGGTGTACTAGAGTCATTTTGAATCCTGTTGACCACTACCTTTCCATTAATTGGTTCACCAGTAATACCATCGGTTATTCCATCATCGCTAGCGATACTGTTCTCCCTTTTCAGCCGTTCCTTGCGGAATTTCGTGGCCTTCGGTCTTACTTCATCCAGGAAAAGTTGGACAAGTTTGGGCTTCGTGTAGGGTGTCGGAAAACGAACGCTGTGGTAACCGAGGATCCCAAGCAATTGCGGAACTGTAAGAGTAGCAGGGTCGAAATCGGCATCGAGGTAATCTCCCTGACTGATGATTTGGGCCGCCGTCAAAGACCTCAAGGCCGACATCGTCTCCAGAAGATTGGTGTCTACAGCAAGTGCTAGTGAGCACCCGCCGCCACACGCACCTCGGGCGTGCGCCGCGTGCCACACACTCAGGATCACGTGCCACTCCCCATCGTCACCACCGCACAACCCCACCGCATCGACCTCCTTACTTTCTTGCTCTCCACAAGGGACAGCACCCCTGAACCCCTCATTGCCCCGGCGACGACCATCTAATCCCAAATTACCCTACAAGTGACATCTGGCATGTGCTGTCGAAATATTTTGAGGACAGTACAGAGTCCTGGTCCCTGAGGCCTGAGGGCATGGTTGTCGCCTAACTTTTGGCTTTCCTGACGGCTAAGCGCTAAGCTATTACCTGTCTGTTCACGTGTTATGCTTTCATGACCTGTCCTCTCCTCTGTTGACATCCAAAAGTCTGACAATGCTCTATCTGGACTTCTATCCGGATGTACAGTCACGTACATGGCACAGTATACATGTATCATTGACCTTCTTTGGCCGTGTTCATCTTTTCCTTCTCTGCAAGTCCTTCTTCTATGATGTCTTCCTGCTCAGAGAAGGCACTAACCAGCCACCACTCAAGTGCCCAGAAGACGCAGTTTCAGGCATTACAGCCATCAAGAATGTGTATGTAGTCGGTCTTTGTCAATGTCAACCGCAGATGTTGGAATGGGCAATTTTGAATCGTGTACGTTTCAGGCCTCACTATTGTTTATGTTCACCTTTCAATCCTCCTCATTTAACTGTGACAGGTGTGTTTTAAAGGTCCCTCATGTGGGCTTGCTGACGGTTGTCTCCGCAGATGCACCGGTATATGCATGCTAAAGAACAATTACAGAATTTGGAATGGTTCGCCCACACTAACTTAAATGTTCTCAAGCGTCTAGGTTCGCCAGACTCAGAGACTGATAGATCCGATGCCACGCTCCTACCAATCAAAAGCTCAATTGCTTTTTGCATTCTTTTGTCCTTTGGGGTCGCTGGAGTGGACAACCATTCTGCCTCTGCCAGACCGACGGGAAACACGTTCGCGCGTGGATAACAACGCTGATGAGAGCAAAACTTGGCTGGAAAGTGTGTGCACCATAGTTTGGTATCACTGCGACGACGACGCCCAGTTTTCCATGTGTTCGAACTACAGTATGTAGAGGTTATGTCCACACGTGTATACGTCGTCCATCCAGTGCTTTCAAGTTTCGAATGCTCACGCATGGACACCATTCCCTATTCCTGTACCGCCCAAGAGTTGATGTAAGGTGCACTGTCATTGGGCCTCCGCCACCTTCCTATGTGGCTTGACTCCAAAAGGGAAAAGCACTGTAAATTGGTGTTCACGATACTGAACTTATGGACACTTCTCATCAATGTCACTGGTCTGAAAGCGAATGTCTCTTTCCACGATATGATACAAATTCGCGCTCGCTAGTAAATCTGGATATGGCAATCCAAGCCTCCAGTCCATTTTAATCGAACTGCGGTCTGAAGGGCCCCGATGGCCCAAACCAGGTCCCCTTAATCTGGCGCAGTACGTGAGTAACCTGCATTACAAGCTAGAATGGTAACATTACCATGCGATTCCAATAGGCCCACGGAAAGAGATCCTGGACGAAATTATCATTTGATACCCTTTTTCGTATCACAATAACATCATTTACTTACCTTCTTGAAATGGTAGAACAGCCTAAAGAATGACGCTTCGTCAGCACGGCGTCACGCATGGCTTAGCTACCAGACTAACCGTCTACGCGCAGTCTGGTCACCAAGATACCTGGCAAAGCTCTCTTTTGGTTCTAACCCATACTTGAACTCAGCGAGCATCAACTCCCCGTATCCTGTAAGAAGCTGGCGGATCATAAAACACATTGCACTGCGCAATTTCAAGTGTATACGCACCGGACAGCTCGTGTAGCCGTCATATCTAGCATTGCTAAGACTGCCTACAGTCATGAGCGAAAACAGGTTTTCCGTGAGAACGGGCGCCTGCGACGTTATAGCTGCGGCTGTCTTGCTGGTGGGCAGCGATGAACAATCTCCCAGGGAAAAGACATTGCCAAATTTGACGTGACGGAGAGTCGAACTATCCACTTCCACCCATCCCGTCGCATCAGCAATCGGAGATGCCTTGATGAAATCAAGAGGCCCCATCGGCGGAGTGACGTGGAGGATCGTGTATTCACGATCGACCGTTGTCCCGTCTGGCCTCTTAAACGTTGCTCTCCGGTTACCAGCATTGATAGAAACAAGGTTGTGCTGGAAATCGGCGCCAATCCCACGCTCAATGCGTAGCGCATTTAATGCATCCGAATATTTCTTTACACTGAACATTGATGGCATTCCAGTGATGAAGTCAACTTAGTGTCATACCCCCGGCCTGCTTTCTGGAAATGGTCCCAAGCCATCCACATGATTTTCTGGGGGGCTAGTGGTGAAGTCTAAGTATGGAACGTCGAGTAGGCAGTCGTGATATTACCTCCAGCACATTTGATGATACCAGCAGGTTGCGTGAAAATCGCGTTTCCTGACTGGAGGTCGTTGATGTCTCTCCAGACTTTATCGCAAGTATCATACGAGTATATGGACGAGACGCCGGACCTAGGATCAGCCAGCGCCTGTGATAAACCGGTAATCGTATTCCAGTTGATCTTTATTCCAGCGGCTACGACCAAGGATTCATATTCAATTTTGCTGCCAGATGATGTCGTGACCGAAGAGGTTGTAGGAGAAAACGTCGCTGCGTTTTCGGGAATATGTGAGATGTAAGAAGGGAAAAGAGAAGCGAGGGGTCGTCGGAAGTCAGACTTCGGTCGAAGCCCTGCTCCAACTAACGTCCTTTCACACCGGTAGGTCAGTGAACACTGATAGCGTATCAGACTCGATCGTACCATCCGGGCTACCGTGGAGCTCGGATCAACACAGGCAGGACACAAGCTTAAGTTTCAGATACACATACCTGGTAATAATGGTACTCCGCAGCATCCAAAACAGCGATGTCACCGGGATTGAGTGACTTCCCCGCACGCTTGAACCTGTTGTAAATTTGATTCGCCACCGCCAGTCCTCCCGAGCCTGTGGAGAATATCTGAGCATTGCGTGTAAACGAGCCCATTCGGAATAACTTGCCCCCGCCAACGACGACAACTTTGAACTTGTCCCTGGAGGTAGTGCTCGCTAACCTAACGAAGGATGCAGAGACCCGCGCATGGAGCGCGGACGAGGCACGCAAACCTGCTAATCCTATAATCATGGCAGAGAGAAAACTGAGAATAATACAACAGATAGCTTTGTTTCCGTAGAGACCTAGCGCTTACTTCCTTCAGGCTTCTCTTAGCAAGAATGGCGAAAGCATGACACCAAACGGCTGACACGAGGTTGACAGGCGCTGATAGGGGGATTACCTTATTACATAAGAAAACCCAAGCAGCCTGAAACAAATGCAAGCTTTGAGGATTCTTTGTTGTCAGTTTTTCACTTTTCTTATCCTTCTCATTGCATCTCCTTGATTCTCGGCTCTCTTTTGCACAATGTTTCTTGGAGCTCTTTTAGTCAGTACCACAGTCAGTCTTGTGGCAGCTGAATATGCATCGGGTGGGTGATCTCAGCAACCTCAACAGCTACCCCTTGCACTGCCATTGCCATTGGTAGTGGCATGACCATCACTATCATCATTGCACCAACTCAAGGGGTCCTTCGCTATGTACCATTTTTTGTTAATGCATCTGTCGGTGATACCACCAAGTTCGTAATGGAATCCCAGGAAAATTGGCAGTAATTTGATCCTTTCGGAGGTCTGTACGTGACTGATAGAACTTTGATCTGCAACTTGCTTAGATCCGCAATAAGACAATAGACACTCCTGAATTTGCCTCATCGATCTTGGACGCAGCCAACAGAGACGTGAACATCAGATGATGTAAGGTACTTAGATTATTCTCTCCCTGTTCCCCTCGTTCTCCTGCCTTTGACTTTCACCATCTCTCATTCGAGCACTTATCGTTCTCAGCGCATATACTCTCTAAGTCCTCTGCTCTCCCACCCGCCTCCTTTCACATCTTAGCGTGTTTGGTCGATCCGGTGACCCCTTCTCGTCCCCGTCCCACTCATCCGCTCTTACACGCTCAGAAGGACGCCTACTTTGCCGCTCTTCCGTTTCGAACCACTCCCTCAGCTGGATCACGTGACCTGTACTCTTCCGACTCAAAGTCACGGGAGTCTCCCTTCAGCGCGCTCACCCTTTTGGTATCTTGGCACCCCTCTTGTGACCTACGCGTTATATCTCGCTAGCTATTTTGTTTAGTTTCCCTCTCAGATCTTTCAGTATCTTCTTTCTTTCACGGATGGCTCACCTTAGCTACGAAGGCACGACAGTTCTCCCCGTTCACCTGTTAGCATGGCTCGCCAGTCTTCAGGAATGGTCATCATGTGACAATACATGTAAATGACGACCCAGAATAAGGGGCCCATCAATATGTAGCTGCGGGCGTGATTTAAGCTCACATAAGGCAGATGAACTTGAGCTGATTACTCCGAGGTACACCCGCACGTTCTTGGCTTCCAGCTCAGAGACCCTTAATGAGAGGATGGAAGTGTCATCCTTACCAATACAGGTGCTACTTCCGTTGATGATTCCGGTTGACATTACGTCCGTGCAGAAGCGGCAGCACACCGTCGCGAGAAGGAAACTCAGAAAGTTCCCCACTTCAATCTGCGAGCTCAAGCTCGTTCGGCTCCTCCAACAACACATATCCCACAATAACAGGTAGCGTCGGGCAGCTCTTGTCCTTCGGGGTCTTTGCTGGCTTTGGTGTCGTGTTTCCCTTGATTTTAGTTCTCTAGATACCCGTTGACGGGACGCATCTATTCTGGTTATTTCTTGTGACGACTGAAGTGAGCAACTTACTCTAGGCAAGTAACCCGACATGTAATAAACCAATGCCTGAAAACTGGAACTCAGTGAGGTGCAAGGTAATTCGGAAGTGTCTGTCATGGCTAAGGTGAATTTTCTTTTAAGGGATTCTTCATCAGCAAAACTACCCGAGGGAATACCAGTCCACAGCAACCTCCGTTTGGAAGTGTCTTGTTGTAAGACTCCTTTCGCGCTCGCTAAGACACTTGTCGGTTAATGAGAGGGCTTGCTCAGTGCGAAAGAGCTGTTAACAGCTATTTTTCAGACGGCCTCGTTTATCATAATACGTTGGCGCTTTGACCACGAGCCATGTGCATCGGAAGCGTTTCATCTTCAGTCATCCCATGATCGTAGCACAGTGGAAGACATCACCAGGTGAAATCCAAAGACCAAATTTCATTTTCACTAGACAGGATTAGAGTAGAGTGCGTTCTATCTCGACCCTACACCGAAGATAGGAGCCGTGAAGAGCTCACCCTAGGCGCATGGCGTCAATTACAAGCCGCAAGTTCGATGCTATCATGCTTTCACAAACTCCCCGTCCGTGGACTGGCAGTGTAATAGCTCTTACTTTCTCGTATGAGAAAGTCAGTCTACTCGAGGGGGTCAGCCTCATCACTTAGCCCTTTGGGATCTCATACACCGGCGTCGGCAGCATTCTTCAACCTGGGTGATACCTATTCTTTATTCTGAGTTATTTTCCTAGAAAGAAAAAATCTCATCTATCTCGTCTCGCTTCTTCTTGACCTTTTTCGCCTTGAGTCGTCCACCAGCTGTGGGGGTTGAATCAGAAACTGCATCTCTCGGCATGGACACAATTGTCTCCTGAGTGTCTGCATGAAACGACCGTGAGTGCGGATACGAGAGGAAGTGATAATGTTTCATACCTTCAAGAACCACGCCCTGCGTCGAACATTGAGAAGTTTGAATATCTAACATCGGAAGGCACATTGAATTCTGCGGGTGAATCTCGAGAATTCTGATCTGGAAGTATTCTCTGCAAGATGAGTTAGACCCGATCGAATATCCACTGTTGAGGTAATGAGATTGGCATCAGAGGGTGGCGATGTAGTACACAGAATGGCTGCGGATACCCCTCTCTGGGACGAGTGGTGAGGCTGATATTTAATAAGAGTACAGAAAACCAGCACGAAGGTGACTCCTACATCAAGAATGACCAAAAGACGATCGCATATCCGAGAAGTATTTCTGAGTACCTGCGACAGTTCGGATAACAGAGTGGACATGCGAGAGCATATTGCCGAAAACAACACGATGAGTTGAACAAAAGCACCTGACTGCATTGCCAGAGTCAAATGCCTGGTAGTAAGATCAGTGATAAATGGCTTGAAAGCTTTCAAATCTCTCACTGATATTCCCGTGTAAGCTGGCTGGACATCTGACCAATTCAGCACACGCATTCTCGCGAACACGTAGAACAATTCGCTCACCTTGTCAAGAAACTTGCAAGATATTGAAACTCTTTCTAAGACGAAAGAAATGCTGAATCCAGTAGGTACGTGTGTCCAAGTTCCCTTGAACCGTTTCTGGTTGACACTATCTATGGCTCAGATTCACAAAGGCAAGTGACCAGTTAGTTACTTACCCCATTGCTGTAGTTAACCCGAAGAATGACGCATACAGACGGTCGACATGTTCCGAAATGTTCAGTGCGACGAACTTCTGTCCGTATCGCCTGGTCTCTGAAACACGCTTGAAAAACAGTGCGGCCCTATGTTGGTTTGCGTTCTTGTAGTACAGTCTTTCCAGTATGCGTAGCTCGTCTGTATAGCTACCTAGCGTAGCTCGAAGGTGCCGCGCACAGGGCTTGAGCTCCTTCAGAAGGATGTCAACATCCTTGTGCAAGTGAATAGAGACAGAATTCCTCGGAAGACAGGTGGGACGACCCTTCTCTGCACACATCAGCGGCACTGCACTACATTGATAGTAGGAAGTATGTATGGCACTGTCTGTACATATGTAAGTACACAAACACGCCATAAGCCTGCGCATGAAGTTGTTCCATCCACTCAGTGAGATCGATAGTTCATCGTATCTCTCACGTCCATCCGTCGTCGCTATAATCTGCGTGTCCACCCCAGGATGTCCTCTCAGCACGGGCAAGATGCCAAATTCTTTCAACGTGGAAAGATCGAGGTGTGTAGTACCAACTTTTCCATAGTTCATGTTAAATGTCCCCTGCGTAATAGGAATTTCGAGCCGAACTTCAGGCCGCCGAATCAAAGGACAAGAAGTATCAGAAGCGGAAGACAGTCCTCAAGAAGATTGTGGCCAATATCACCATGGGGAACGACAGTGCGTGGGCAACAACAATGCACCCATACACGAAGATTAACACATCCACAAGTGTCACCTCTCTTTCACGATGTGATACAGTGCTATAGGCACCCCTTTGCTGGAGATCAAGAAAAGTAAGTGAAACGATGACTAATGGCAAGTAAAAGCGCTAATTATTGGACAGTAGGTCTATCTTTACTTGGTCAGCTATGGTCGTTCGAAGCCAGACCAAATACACATGGTCATCCCGAGCTTCCTTCAGGTGCGGAGAACCACAACCTTATGGCTTTTTGCTGATTTGGATGTTAGGACTGCAATGATCGAAATCCCCTTGATTCGGGCACTTGCCATACGCACGATGGCTTACATCCCTATACCTGTTGTGACAGAGGCCCTCAGCGACCAAGCTACGACATTGCTTAAAGGATCGTGACCCATACGTACGCAAGACAGCTGCGATCTGCGTGGCTAAATTATATGTAGCGGACCCGCGGAAAGCTGAGAAGGCCGGATTTGTTGAGATGCTCAGGGACATGCTTCTTGATTCTAATGCGACTGTGGTGGCCAATGCCGTTGCTGCGCTCTCAGAAATTGGAGACCGCCAGGACGGTGTTATATTTCGACTTAACCTTACGGTCGCAAATAAGCTCATCGCTTCCCTCGGAGAAAGTTCGGAGTGAGTGTCTCTAACCTTTGTCCAGTCGTTTCTGTTCACAAGCATACAAGGTGGGGTCAGATTTACATCCTGGACTCTTTGCTGCGCTTTGTGCCTGAAGAACACTCCGAGGCTGAGATGATGGGCGAACGAATCATCGTGCAATTGCAACATGCTAATTCGGCTGTGGTATTGACCGCTATTAAAGTGCTCCTCTACCTAATGAATTACATGGAAAATCGGCGATTGATTGAATATATTTGCAAGAAGATGGGACCGCCCTTGGGTGAGCAGCATGTCCTTGACATCCCTGCGGTATATAAATGCCTACACAGTCGCTCTACTATCCTCTGGACCAGAGGTCCAATATGTCACCCTTAGGAATATCTTGCTTATTATCCAGCGGCGACCGGCGGTGCTCAAAAACGATGTTAAAGTTTTCTTTTGCAAATATAACGACCCCATCTATGTTAAACTAGCGAAGCTGGAAATCATGTATCGTCTCGCACGCGAGGAGAATGCGCAGGAAGTGCTGGCTGAGTTGGAAGAGTAGGTGTCTTCGTAATGTCCAAGTTGGCAAGGAAGCCAAACCACTTATTTCATCCTTTTCAGGTACGCGTCGGAGGTGGACATCGACTTTGTACGCAAATCTGTACGGTCAATAGGTCGACTGGCGATCAAAGTGGAAGCTGCTGCTGATAATTGCATCCAATCCTTACTGACTCTTATTGAGACCAAAGTCACCTACGTCGTCCAAGAGGCCGTCATCGTCATAAAAGACATCTTCAGACGGTATCCCGGCAAGTATGAAGGCATCATCCCGACACTGTGTGAAAACCTGGATGTCCTGGATGAACCTGAATCGAAAGCTGCGATGATTTGGATATTGGGACAGTTCGCAAATAGGATCGATAACGCCGACGAGTTGCTTGACGACCTTGTCTACAGTTTCTTGGATGAACCTACTGAGGTACATAATATTTTCCATGCGATGGGAGATTTACCCTGAAGGCGCACAGGTTCAACTCGCTCTCCTTACCGCAACAGTTAAGCTTTTCATCTACAAATCAACCTCTGATGCTACAAAAGCGCTGGTACACAAAGTTCTGAAATGGGCGACAGAGAACGTTGACAACCCAGATTTACGTGACCGCGGGTTCATGTATTGGAGAATGCTAGCCGTGAACCCTACCTTGGCCCAAGAATTAGTTCTCGCACAGAAGCCTGCAATCACGACCGACTCCGACCGTATGGATCGAGGTGCACTTGATCAATTGCTGCTTCACACGGGAACCCTTGGAAGTATCTACCATAAGAATCCGGAGGTCAGTATTCACTTACGCCTTTGATAGAGAGGTGTTTGAGAGGATGGATTCAGCAGACATTCATTCGGAATGCAGCGGGAAGAGCTTTGGTTGATACGCCCGCTTTGAACCCCTCTTCCAGGGCAGTTATTTTACCGCTTTCGCGACCGCACTTACCGCCGACCACGATTACGGTCCAGGGACCAGGACCGATAGAACCTACATATGTTCCCCCTGCCGAGCCGTCGAAGCTAGTGGCGTCCGCTACATCAGAAGCAAGTGGCCAGGATTTATTGGATGTAGATAATGCAATCGCGAGACCGGGAAGTTACGACGGAGAGATCGATGTAGATGGCGAGGACGAGGTTCCGGTGAAGACGGGTGACCCATATGCTAATTTGGATGGCGCTTTTGGCGGCTATCTGGCTGATAAACCCCAACCTATGAGCAGTGGCAGGGGTGGCAACACCAACTTCGATGATTTGCTCCTTTGAGGGACATTTATTACTACATAGAGGCGACATCTAATAATACCAGTACATGATGCCTCTTGTCAAGGTATGTAGCATACCGGGTGAACATCGCTAGCTGAAGATCGACTGAATCTTGTCGGTAACAGTGGCAAGAGTATGCTTGGGTCTCAAAGAATTGTAATGCTGTGCGGTGTTTAACGAGCTGAGGAAGATAGATTTGACAGCACTTACTTCTCCTAGACCATACTTCCGGCGATGAAAACTGATACGAGCTGCCTTTAGGTGACGATCCTTAGGATCAACTAGGGTATCACTAGGATCGTGGACCACTATCGGCGGATTTCCGCCTTGTATGACAAGGATAGGGACACCATAAACCTTGCTGAGCGCAAGAATTTCTGGTTCACCACCCCATGCACCGGTATCCCTGATCAATAAACAGTATCGCTCAAACTGTGTCGCAGTCATTATTCCGCTATCTGCAGTCGCTCCCACCCCATCCTCACCAGAGATCGAGGGTATAAATGGCACGAAGTTCATCAGGATGCCGAAGCATATAATCCGCTGCCGCAGCACGCACTGTGGCGTAATTAGCTTGACTGGAAGGTAATATGTTGAGAAGAGCGAGTTGGTCCGCGATTGCAGAAAACAGGCAATGGCCATCTGGGTTTATCTACATACGTAAGGGTTAGTTCACAGACGGATGCGCGAAGTAGAAGGACGCAGACACACAGACACTTACCTCATGTATCTGGACACCCAGCTCGTCGCACGTGCGATTTATTAAGGCAGCTTCTTGCTTTGTCTCCCATTCCACTTGGGCGTCCGCCGCAGAATCAGCGGTAGGCATGCTCTGAGCCAGGGCAGCCGCTTTCCTTGCCTTTGATACATGAGTACGGTAATGCTCCATCAAGCCGTTCTTACAGTTATCAATGACTCGCCTGCCTGGCTAAATGTCGAGCTTTGGAGTCTTGCTTCTTGGGAGCCATTTTTGGAGTTTGTGAAACTTGAGCTTGAGGGATCACTGAGGTTTCCTGTTGTGCGAGCTGGTTTCTAGTATCAAGCTCGGCCAAGAGGTCGGCGATGAGCTGCTCGCTCTCTGCGGCAGAAGGAGCTAGTGAATGTTGCTCTTGCGTTTGGCCGCCCTTCGTCGCCTTGTTTCGCTTTCTTACCATGACGCAGGTGATGAAGTGGAGTCCATGGAAGGATGGCAGTCAGATTGGGTGGCGGTGTGGGTTTTTATCTTATCTCAAACTCGAGGCACTAGTACTAGCACTAGTGATATTGCGACACGCGTGTTCCAGGAACTACCGCGCACCCTTTTTTTTCTGAGATTCTTGCGTGGCTCTCGGTTCGTAACCGTATACGCCACTAGTGACCGCTGACAGCCAATCTGGGGTTATCTCGCCTCCCTGAACTTCCTTTCACAGTGTTGATCCCTCTCTTTCCTTTCTTACTACTGGGACTCATCTTCCCGGCGAATTTGCGATATGGACCCAACAACACTAAACTGCGCGGAATGCGCCTCCAAATTGTCAGAACTACTGGAAGGATTCTTGACCAACGCCTACAATGACGACTCATGGCGGGACTTGGAGCTGATCGCCCAACATCTCGCCAATTCTCTGCGCAAGAGACATGGACCTGGTGGGTCAATCGTCTACGAACTCGAAATTGTAGTGATGAGGCGTTGAGTAGAGGATTACCACACGCCATTGGGATCTACTACTCTGCCACAAGATCTTACCTCTCTCTTGGGTGTTGCTCTGAATGGTGCACCCGTACCTGACGATGCTCGTGCACCAGCTGTCCTTGAAATCCTTCGCGTTGGTGCCAACTTATGTGTTGACCACGGCGAGCAGTACCCTCTTCTTCCGAAAGGTGCATGCGCTGATTCCCAGTGCAAATAACTAGATCAAAACAGAGGGAATCTATTAGAGGCCGGCTTTCCACAGGCTGTGGTATCGTTGTTGGAAGGATATTCAGAACTGGCACCTTCTAGCCCTCGGGCGAATCCATTGCCACTATCTATCCCGCACTTGGAGGTCATCAAGACCGCCATCGGTGTTTTGTTAAATACATCTCTTGGTTTCAGTACGAATATCCATTGCAATCCGGACATTTTATTGATTCCCTCCATAGATTCTGTCAAATTCAGACTGATATCCCTGGAAGTTGCCATGACACTCGTACGACTATCGTCGGCCTTATACCCTGTCGGCTCTTGGATGAGATGCACGACCAACTTGTTCCCTGACGATCTAGCTCCTGAAGAAGCACCAATCCTAATAGCCGAGTCTTGGAATATTCGTATTTCGCTTTCAAACTGGGCATGGAGACTCATCACAGAACTCAGAGATGATGGTCAGTCCAAGTTACTTGCCCCGTCTGCGGAATGATGTTTAACATGAAGATAGAGCACCCCCTTTTTGATCCCCAGGTTTTGCCCTACCTTGTTCAACCACTTATTGCATTCACGCCCCCACTCTTAACTGCCCCGCCTCCGCCAAACTTCGCGCATCCGTCACCTTTGCGGACAAACCTTCTTCAGGCCGACTTTGAGCTCCTGTCCGATTCATGTTCTCAACTTGAATCTCTTGCGCTCGATGTCGAGGATATACGGCTCTCGCTAGCTCGCGGATTTCTATTTCCCGCCGAACACCAGGATGTCCCTTGTCTACTTGCTATGCTAGATTTCATTGAACAGGGGAGTTATGCACCACTGTGGTACGTGCAACATGAAGCAAGCTTCTCGATGGCCGATGTTCGAAACCAAGAAAAGGCTTTTGACGACTGCAAGGCCGCAGTTATAAAGGCTGTTGTAGAGATGTCCGGGGAGGACAAGAACACGGATGTCTTGGTGGACGGATCAGACCCGACTAAACCGGGTGGCTCATATGTCTCACGTCTGGTGAACTGGATTCGTAACTTCGTACTCGGCGGGATGCATGGCAATGCTAGAGATGATCTGGTTATTTGCGCTACTCTGTCGCTAGGGAATCTCATGCGGCGAGGTATAGCTCCCTTACTCTAGGCTATCTGCGGAACTTGCTGAGTGGTTCACCTACAGAACTCCAGTCGACTATCCTGCTTTCACCACCACACAATATCGCCCAGCTACTGTCTTCGGAAGTGCTACTCTCACGATCAACGGACATCAAGCTAAAGCACGGCGTCATCGGCTTGCTGAAGCATCTTTCACAGGCTTCCTGCAATTCCGCTCCCAACCGTATAGCACTTAGCAATGCAAATGTAATCGACCGCGTGCTTGCCAGCGGTGTTTTGGACGAACGGAGTGATGCGATGGCAGACGTTGTGCAAGTGAATGCCATTGGAATTGTGAAACACCTCTGTAATGGAAGCTGTGAGTTACCAATGTACATGCACCATGACATCGTTGAACATCCGTTTTGATCTTTCAGTCGACAATTCTTTGAAAGTGATCTTACCGGCTGAAACCGACAGCCCTCCGCCTACTGGACTCCCTCAAGTTCTCTCTCTAGTTAAGCGTTCAGACAAAGTGGCAATCAAGAGTGAGGGCACTCGTATTATTGTCAACTTGGTGAAGTCGCTTTGGTCGAACGATTCCCCGAAGGAATATCGCAGCGTTGAGGAAATCCAGGTTCGGCAGCAGAAAAGAGACAAAGCGATCACATTGTTGCTGTCACCCTCGTGCACCGAAGCTCTCGTAGCTTTGTTGGGGAGAAGTCTGAAGTACCCCGTTTTGGTCAACGAGGCCGTAGTAGCTCTCAGCCTGTTGAGCACACATCGTGATGGTGGCAAGTTAGATTTACCGGGCTACTTCTTCTGTTACTGACATTAACGGCAGGTTCGCTCGTGCTGCGGGCTATCGTCGCTCCACTGCCTGCCGAGGTGATGCCGGGCATTCCTAACTCCATGACAATCCCGGCTACTCCTTCGACGTCCAGTGAAGCTGAATCCCCTAGCATTTGGTCACCGGGTGCGCGGCATCGGCCCCCGCAGAGTCGTGCTCTTGATCACCTCGTGTATGTTCTCCGGAATGTGTCCAAAAACGATGATGCTGCGGGTCTCCGTTCAGCCGCTACCTCGTACCCGAATGAAGTTCGTGCAAACGTTTGCTCATTACTTGGCCAAGTTACAAAGCACACGTCTGGCGGAGACGTAGATGCTCTCAAAGAGGAGGTGAAGCCCGTGTTGGAAGATCTGTCGCGGCATAGCCAAGGTCTGGGTAGAGAAATGCTAGGAAATGCAGCAAAAAGGGTGCTCGATATGTGGGCGCAAGCGTAGATTCACACTTGCTTGATTACTACTGTGATTACGACTAGGCTGTCGTTGTATTGACCCGTATACGCCTCCAACGCGACGCTGGTCTTGCCCGGCAAGTTGAGCGTTCCTATCGACGATGGGCGCTCGCTTCCAGTTTCGGCACAGATAAGTGATAGCCACTACGATTGGTGTTAATCAGGGTTCTTAAAGCAATGACGAGAGGTAACCAGCTTCAAGTTGATCTTCGTTCTGTTCCTGCCATCGCACTGATACCGATGTCTGACAAGCTCCTCCAAGACCTACCGCTCCCTGTCGTTGACTTTGCAGGCTTTGGGGATGGAACGTCCTCGGTAAGTACATAGAACGTGAAGCATGTGATGCTCTCGTGGCAGGGGTCCTTCTCCACCTTACGGCTGCATCTCATGGTTGCGTACTAGGACGCCCTCGAGATCGGAAAGAAATTATTGCAAGCATGCCAGAACGTTGGTTTTGCGTATCTCATAAATACAGGCATTTCACAAGCTCAGGCGGACGACATGTTGGCTTGGGTGAGCCAGTTTCACATTTATCTCTAGATAAGCAGTATACTGACACGAACTTCATGCTTTTTGCATGGCAGAGTCGGAAATTCTTCTCTCTTCCTCCAGATATCAAACAACTTGCACCTCACCCCAAAGAGGGATGGAAGCATCGAGGCTATAGCGGAGTAAGTCAGCTCCTTCATCACCTAAATTACTGGATGAACATTCACCTGGCGGTACACTGTAGATAGGTGTTGAACAGTTGTCCCAGATGGTAAGCGTTCCCAAAACGTCGGCGGCGAAAACCGTGCATCAAATCCAATGAACACGCCTTCTTGCATTGCCACATAGGTTTTTGACTCGAACGAGCTTGCTGCGATTCGCAAGAATGCCCCAGACTTCAAGGAATCTTTTGATTTAGGGAGAACGGACAGCCCACATCTCGAGAACATCTGGCTTCCCGAGGAACTCCTACCTGGTTTCCGTGACGCCGCACTCTCATTTTATTACGCCTGCCAATCGTTCCAAATCGGGAAGCTGCTAAAGGCGCTCTCGTTGGGACTCGGATTACCGGCAGACTTCCTTGGACAGTACCATCGAGATGGAGACAATCAACTCAGGCTTCTACACTACCCAGCTGCACCTGCAGAGGTATTCTCCCGTGGAGAGAAAGGAAGGGCGAAAGCACACACGGTAACAACATAATGACTCGATGTGTCCCTCTAGTTAACTGATCGGTCGTCAGGACTTTGGTACGGCTACGATACTCTTTCAAGACAGCGAAAGTGGACTCGAGGTCGAAAGTCCCTCCGGCTCGGGTCAATTTATAGCCGTGCCTCCCATTCCTGGCGCCATGGTATTTAACGTCGGCGATCTATTGATGCGATGGTCCAACGGTATGTACAATAAAGCTGCCATCCAAAAGCTCTCCTCAAGCTTGTTGAATCGCTCAGATACGCTCAAGTCTACATTACATCGCGTCTCCGCACTAGCACCCCAGCACGGGACTGGTGTGGTCAAGGAGAGATACTCGATCCCATTCGTGCGTGCTGTCTCATTTTATTGACCTCCCAAAGCTCCCACATGCCTTATCGCATGCGTTTCAGTTCATGGGCCCTGATGTGAACGCCCTCGTCGATTGCCTTCCGGGCTGCTCGAGCGAAGACCGACCAAAGAAATATGAACCCATTACTGCCGCGGCATATATTGATATGCGACTGAATGCCATCTTTGTATAATAAAATGCTGATGTCTGGATATGTATGTAGCTTTTGTCTAAAGCCTCACCAAATAAAAAAGTACCAGTGCTGTGGTGGATGACTAATCCGGTCCGGCGAGCTGAACAGCCCGGTCATTCCCATACGACTACGTCTGAGAGGATGGGCCAAAGCAAGATCGCAGTCGAAGTGCTCCATGGCATTGCGACGATCACGCTGAATGAACCGCAACGTCTGAATGCCCTGTCACCCGAAGGTCTGCTCATTACTCTGGTATCTTCTGTCCCCGACTTCACCGTGTACCTATTGCAGACTACGACGACTTCGCCAACTCGCTGAGGGAAATTGACCAACGGAACGATGTTGTCGTCACGACTTTGGCAAGGTGAGAATCCGATGGCATGCCCGAGTCTTATTCACGAGTTAGTGGCATCTTAGCCAATGGCAACTGGTTCTGTTCGTGAGTGAACACGGAATTCCCCGTGAGCTGACTTGCGGAAGGATGGTGCACTGGCAGTGGAACCAACGTGAAAGCTGGAGTAGCGGCTTCGCAGCCTACAGAGCCTACCTTGCGTGGTCAGCTGCGTGCTCTGGTCATCTCTGCCAACACGGATTGCACACACGCTGTAAGAGCTTGCAAATGTCTCTCTGTTGGGTATATGATGTGATGACAACAAGTAAGCTCTACACACACCGTAAACTTCTGGTAGCTGCTCTTAATGGTCCGGTCATGGGTGAGTTTGGTGACCTATGCGCACTTCTAACGCATCTCCAACGTCGACAATAATGGAACTCCGTAGGCATCGCGGCAGGTATATTGGCCATGCCAATTCTGATAATAGACAGTTATTAACGTCACAGAAAGCTTTTCTAGGCAACTTCGACTTCATATACGCAGTTCCTGAGGCATGGTTATCCATGGGTTTGCCGTTTGTAGGTAGGTTGACATTAATCTCCTGGCTTTGATCGTCCGGCTCATCTGGACCGTTAGGTCTTGCTGTGGAAGGCGGGGCAAGTGTGAACTTTGTCAACCGAAGTGAGTCCATCGTGGGTTATACGGGTCTGTTAGAAAATGACCGAGCAACATCAGTGGGGCTTGCGAAAGCCAACGAGGCCTTGATCTTCAACAAGAAGATGACTGCCCAGGAGTTACTTGAATGCGGTTTCATAAAGTATTCTCATACTCTGCTATGCGGGAGTGACTTCTGACAACCGTTTTCCAGTAAAATTTTTCCTTCAAAGTCTACTGAAACCTTCCATCTCGCTGTCCGGCAATACCTACATAGTGAACTTAAAGGACTGGATCCAGCATCCATACTAGCCGTCAAAAGTCTTATCAAAACTGGTCTCGCAGGAGAAAAATAACCCCGACGCTCTCAACCTTCGTGAGAGCTACGCACAAGCAGAGAGGTTTAGAAGCGGCGTACCCTCTATTCGGTTCGGGATGCTTGCACGGAAGGAAATCAGACATAAGCTGTAGCCCTTGTTTACCAATATACAACTATCCCCATCATGCAGTCATGGTTGACCTCATGGTAGTGTCATGCATTCTGGTCGGGATCACAATCTCCGCTTGGAGCAGCCACACAGTTTTGTTGGGGTGTGATTAGTGTGGTAGAGAAAGGGCAACTTGGATTTTTTGGTGTTAGCGTCATATCCGTTGGCCCTGAGAGAAGAGTTCGGAGTGCCACTGCCCCTGAGCATAGTGACCTGGAACACTTGCAACTCGGGAACTTCCTGGAGACCACTAGCACAACGCCACTGATCGATATCAATTTCCGGTTGGGACAATCACCGCCGGCATAAGTCCTTCGTATATGTATGTTAGCCTGCCTCAATCGCACTCCATCGTGTTAACGCAAGCGTGACGCGCAAGTAATGTTGTGAGACACATTCCGGACATTTAAGTTTGGCCTGCTGCTGTCGAAAACGGAATCCTCGAAGGAGAGTTTTGGCACTGGCGGAATCCACCACTAACAGTTCCTAGATTCAGTGACGCCCCAGGGCCGGCGCCGAAGTTTCAGGCTGGTGTGTCCCTGAGCGTACATCGGATGATTACATATGCTATGAAGGCTTACGGAGGTGATGAAGACAAATATCGATGTGCAAGCCTTCCCTGACTAGGAGTGTGTTGCCTCATCACCACACGTCTCGTCATGATGCATCTGGTTTTCTCATGCTATGTGTATGTATTATTAGTTCGGCTGCCGCACTGATTGACAGAAGGCAGAAAGCATTTAAGTGAAAGGAGTGGGGTTGTCGATCAATGCTCAGACGTGAGAAAGCATGTCAACCCTGATATGATTCTATAATTAGTGGTGGTAGAGGTACAAATGGTGAAAACTACGAAATATGGTCGTAAGTGCGAACGTATTGCGGGAGAAGTTGATACAGTGCGGTGAAACGGCGGGAACATGAGGTTACAGAAAGGTTGAGAGAAGCCGACGAAAGGCATATAGTGGGATACGACGTCGTCACGCTATATGGGGCGGTGGCATCGGCTCAAGTTCTAATACCCGCACTCGAAATCGTTCTCTCGGATGTTGGTTGGGATGCAGATTTGGGTGCGTGGAGTGCAAGGAGGACTTCGGTGTTGTCATTCGTGTTAAGGACGTTGCGGATCGATTTTTCAGCCAGCATGCAGATCTATGTCCAAGTCAGTGCGACCGCGTCTGTGGCACCAGTGGGAATGGCGTACTCTGCTGTATCCGCCGGGTTGAAGTGTCTGACGGGACACTGATATGGCGTTGTGGATGCTATCGTAAGCATATCTGCGTCTGAGGAAACATGAGTGATCTATGGTGGGGTTTCAACGGAGCAACGCACAAAACGCTTTGTAGTTCGCTGCGGGTTCGAGGGACGATGAAGAGGTCTGAGCCCGAAAGGTAGCGATTGAACGCCTGATAGGACGCGCCGCCTGCGACGAGTGTTTCGTTGAACGAGGGGTGGTCCTGGTCCCAGGTGAACCAGTTTTCGCTAAAAGGGACATTAGTTTTGAATGAATCTGGGACGGACAACGTGCGAGACAAGAACGCACGTCAATTGGGAGTGGGCAATTGCTTCGGAAGTGTTGGGAGCGAGGAATCTGTCCATGGGGTTGGTTGGGGTGCAGAGCAGAGCAGAGAGGTGGGATGATAAAATAGCCGATGACTCCTTTGCCATCAAACGTGATATTTGACTTCCATTTATGGCAACCAACCTCTCGCTTCGCACGTGCGACTTCCAAATGCGGCTCCGTTTCCGTCGTATTATTATAGTCTCCTTTGATTACGTGATGCTGTGTCAGGCCAAGACATCCTGTGTTGATTAGGAAGCCCGCCCACTTCATAGGACTCCGATTAGTGGAAACTGTTGCCAACATGTCCTTGTCCACCACAGCTTCTCGCCACGTCGCCAAGACAGTTCTGGCAGTCGAAACGGCTGAGGTGTGCTTCGCTCTGTCTCGGCATCATGGAAGACCCTAAACCGCAGTGCACTGTTCTGTCAGGGCGTGGGTGCCCGCGTACGGCGCTCTATTGGATCTATGAATCTGCGCAACCTCACCCCGTTCTTGATGCTCGATCACTTCCACGTTTCAGAAGGAGCTGTATGTGACCGTTATCTTCCCCTTTCTTGTCCAAACCTCCTTTAGGGTTTCCCAGATCATCCCCATCGGGGTCAGGCTACCGTCACATACATGCTCGAAGGGTAAGCTTCCGGCCTGGCATACACTCCCACCGAGCGTTTATACCCTCTCCCAAGGTCGAGCCGCCATGAAGACTCCGCCGGCCATGCTGGCACGATCGAGACCGGTGGCGTCCAGTGGATGTGTGCTGTATGTCTTCTTTACGCCTTCATTTGTCCTTCACATCCACTTTCAAACGTGCGTCCATCTTTTCTTATAGGGTAAGGGAATCATCCACGCCGAGATGCCTGTTCATGCACCGGGCGTTCCGGAACCAAGGGGCCTCCAACTTTGGGTGGACTTGCCCAAACAGGTACGTGGTCTTCCGCATCTTCCAACCCTTCGTCATGGCACACTGATCCACTGTGCGCATGATTGCTTGTATAGTACAAAATGGTCGTAAGCGGCTCCAATCTGTCATTAGGACGTGGCGCATGGTAATAACGCCAACGGCATTGTACTACCAGGAACCATCGTACCAGGAACTTGGTCCAGAAGCGTATGTTTTTCGGTCATTCTGCCAGACCCGTGTGCATATTGGGGAGGTTCCCCTATCTGATACTACGAGAACAATAGTATCCCCACAGCGTACCCAACCGGCCCTGATGGACCAATTAAGGTCAAGGTCATCAGCGGCAAGAGTCACGGAATTGAATCACCCGTCCGCCCCCTCGGCGGCTGTTGGTTCCTCCACGTGACGATGGAAACGTCAGGAGCAACGATGTTCCAGGACATTCGTAAGTCTTCCAGCGCTAGTCTGCCCAATCGGTCAACAACGGACTGCCACAGCATTGGGGTGGACTGCGTTCGTGTACAGTACGTACTTCCTGTGGGGCTCCTCCATCGGATCTTTCTACTGGCTTTTTCTAGTATGGAAAGGCGCTATCAGAATTGGAAATGATGGCCCAATTCACAACAGCTTCCACACACTTGTACTATCTAACGCAAAAGGGGAAACAGGAAGTACAACTTATCGCGGCAGCGGATGACACTCAGCTCGTTCTGGTGATCGGCATTGTCACTGGGTCACTGGAGTTCTCGCTGACGTTTAGCGCCTTCATCTCGTAAAGATTGCAGGAGAACCCCTCGATCAGACTGTCTTCCAATACGGACCATTCGTGATGACAAACAAGGAAGAAGTGCAACAGACTTTGTTGGATTGTAAGTGGTTCCGCCCACGTTCGGCACTTGTTTTGTTCACGCACAACCTAGACCAATTCGGGAGGAACGGTTTTGAGAAGGCTCATACATGGAAGAGCAAGATCGGAAATTAGCGCAGTTTCAGTGGTAAGGGAAACGTGTCTCGAATTTTCTGACGAAGCAGAGTCGCGCGTGAGGTTATGCATGGGGTGTAGTGCTTCAGTTGTGGTTGTTTGTATGGTTGTATAACAAGTGAATATGCATAGGAGGTTCCAACAAGCGACGCTTTCAAGACCCTGTGCACAGCAGGGCTACTCCACATTCCAGAGTAGACTTGCTCTCCATCACTCCTCCACGTGCTTCATCGTCTCCCAGATATTCTCGTCCTCTTCTTGGTCCACGTCCATCTCTTCTTGCTGGTCCCACACAACTACCGTCGGAACCGTCGTCATGTACACTTTTTCTAGTGTAGTACCCCTCTTGTCCGCTCCATTTCCCGCCTTCGTCGGTACAAGGGAGGTGCTGTGGATTCGGGTATAGCGATCCAGGGCTACAGATGCAAGGAATAATGGGGAGGGTGAAACGGATGTCACTGCACCCGATATGCCTAAACAAGTATGCAGCTATACCGAAGAATTCAAACATTGCGAGACTAGCCTACCCTTATAACTGTAAAGGATGCCGCCGCTGCGCAAGTCGAGGGCAAACAGGCTCGATCCTTGGTCAGACACGAAGGCCTCGCTGAAATACGTTAAGTGAATGAACACTCGAGAGAGGTCGGGAGGTCCTTACTGCTCCGACAAGCCCTTTTCGATGGCACGCACACCACCAATCTTGCCAACGCTCTTAAAATCGCTCACAGGTCGACGTCCTGCACGTGTGTCATATCGACGGACGTCGCCGAATCTGGTGCCCGCCAGTAGATGCTGTTGACCAGTAGAGCTAGAAGGAGAAATGTAGGTCAAGCAAGTATTGTGCACTGGTTGACGGAGGTCGAGGAAATCATTCGGGACGTTTTTCGCACGCCAAATCTCGCCAGGGAAGAGGGTGTCGCCAGCTCGTTTGCGCTTTTTAGTGTTTACAGGAGATATCGATGATGCATCCTCTGAAGGAGATGAGGGTTGAAATGCGCGCTCGGTATTCCATACTGACAACTCTACGTCGTCCCCGCCGTATGCGAATGTTTCTTTGTTACATCCTATTCTCCACTCAGTGAGCTTAGATGGGAGAGCAGCAAGTTTGTGCGTCGGCAGTCTGGTTTCTTCGCCCAAAGTTGAGAGCCTTAAAGCACCGTTCGACGTACAGGAAAAGACGGTGCTGGGTGCCATATGTCAATGTCATTTTCCAGAGGTTATAAGTGGTGGTTTTTTGATCTGTTAGCACGGCGCTCACTTTTGTGATATTGCAAGGCCTATAAACTTCTGCTCGGATTTTAATCTGGTTTCCTTCCACTGATGCAAGTTTTGCAGTTGGTCCTCGCCGGTCAGCGACGAGATGCAAAGTGACCCATCTGCATGGGCTGAGGCTAACATCTAACCTTAGTTTGAGTGCGGGTCTCGCATCGCGAGGGCAGCAAAAAAAAGGAGAGAAAGAGTCCTACGTACCAGTGTGTCATCCTCCGTGCCGGTTATAACTGCTAATCTCTGAATGCCCCGCGATCGTCCACTTCCCGTACCATCGTAGAGGGTCTTTAGCTGAGTTTTGGAGTCTGAGGGCACTTTTGCATCGTACGTGACAGCTTTAATGCTGCCCAGCTCGTCGCCGACAAGAAACCGAGGCATACGATTGTTTTTTTTTTGGAGTTTGTGAGTATTGCTGTGGGTGGCTGTGCACGTGGAGCGGGTACAGGTATGTGAGACTAGCAACTCTGTACTGCAATGACCACTACCATGGATGTTCCTGTGAAGGAACTTGCAAAGCTGAGAGCCGTCACGGAGGGGACATCGAAGGGAAAGAACCCATCCATCGAAGGCTCGTTAGACTCGCTTCTGCAGACTCTCTACCAAGTGAAGGACAAGATGGAGACGGAGCCCGTTACCGAAGACACGTTGGCATTGATAGCACAAACTGTCGAGGCCAAGAAGAAGGAGATCGACGAGAAGCAAAAAGAGATATACAATGCGATCGTCCGACTTGGTAAGACTTTAGATAAGGTGAGTGTTTCGTATGTGTGTCGTTCATAATACGCCGGCTTAACTCGCGGAACAGACATTTACCCAGCCATTGCCATCATACGATCCGCTGTTTGTGGCGGACGACGCGAAAGCGTCGCTCGATGCGATCGTTGCGGTACATTTCTTGCGGACGGGCCAGTTCTCCACCGCCGAGATGTTCATTCAGGTATATCTTCCTGCCAGCTCTCCCATGCGTATTCTGCCCCCTCACCTGCATTTCATCTAGGAATCCGGCGTTACAATCGACGCAGAGATCCGCAGTAAATTCGAGGAACTCCATCGCATCCTTACCGCTTTACGAATGCAGGATATCGGTCCCGCATTGGAGTAAGCATGATCTTCGAAATAAATGCTCTTTAGTTCTGACACGTTATTGAAAGGTGGTGTTCGAAGAATCGCCAATTCTTACAGTCGAAGTCATCACCATTGGAATTTTACCTCCATCGTTCACAATATATTCGCCTTCTTCTTGCTTGCAAACCACCAGATTATCAGCCCGCACTGTTCTATGCCAACACTGTTCTCCGTAACTTTTATACCGAACACACCGCCGAGTTTAGACGTCTCCTGGCATGCGTCATGTATCTCCCTAAGCAGAAGCTGGAATACTCGCCCTACGCAGACCTCGCATCGTCGACGGTACATACTGACCTCGAGTCTCTTTTCGCTACGGAATATTGTGCAAGCCTCGGCATGAGCCACCAAGTACCCCTAAGAGTAGTTGGTGATATTGGTGCAGGGGGTGCCTTGGCGAGGATTGAGAAGGCCCGCACGGTAATGAAAGAAAAGAAGAGTGAGTGGAGCCAGAGTGACGAGTTACCAGTACGTGGCCTCGTGTTTTATCTTCAAATTCTACTGATCGACTTGTTTTGCTTAGATCGAGATAACCCTGGCACCTGAGCATCGTTACCATTCCATCTTTGCGTGTCCCGTGTCGAAAGAACAGTCCACGGAACAAAATCCACCCATGATGATGGTCTGTGGGCATGTCATCACCAAGGATAGTTTGCAGAAGCTCAGCAAAAACAATGGGTCTGTGTCCAAACTCTTCTTTGCCATGCATTGAGGCTGATATTCCCTCTAGCCGCGTCAAATGTCCCTACTGCCCTGCGGAATCTGTGCAAACCAGTGCATTGCGCATATACTTCTAGCATTCTTGTTACTCGTTTGGCTTGTTTGTACTGCATATAACTTGTAAATTATAACATCGACATCTGTACTTGATAGCATTCGATTGACAAATCCACTCAGCTGATGATCTTATAGTCGAGGATCTACCCAACGAGCCTGGCTAGAGATGAGAATCGGCATTACTCATTTGTAGGAACATGCATACATACCATCATCGTCACTGATTCCTCACCGTTCTCATCTGTCGTCCTAACGATCGTATGCTCATCCACGCTCGGTGTGTTGAAATGCCGACAAAGCTGTTGAAGTCTGCCGACGTCGATCCCGTACCGTGCTGCGAGTGATTCTAGCTCTGCGGTGGTTGTCACGGACTTGCGAGTGTCGAACAAGTCGCTCAGGGAAGAGGCCAGTAGACGGTTGCGTGTCGCACGAGAATTCGCTGCCTCGACCTCAGATTGCATTCTGGAACGATACATAGCTTTGGCGTGGTCTGTCTGGCTCCCAAAGGAAGGCCAGTCACATCAGGTTAGGCACCGGATGAGCAGTGTTGACTATGGAAAGTAGCACGTACGGGTTGGGTAGACTGCATGTGATGATCAACACGCACAGGTCCTAGCATGTTCAACTTGGACATGAATTGTGGGTCTTTCCCGTCGTCTTCGATGGCTAGGTACATTTGTCCTGGTCAGATGTTCGTGAAAAATGCCAACGCCAACGCTTGCCTCGGCTCTTGGTGTCGCTGGCCAGTGGAAATTTGGCCTCCCCCAGTGGGGCTGCACCAGGCTTTGACGGTGTTCGGCTTCCAGTCCATGATGGTTTCTCTTTGGGTAGTCTGCGGACGACCTTGGACGTTACTCCCCCCATGGTGGCTCAAGTGAGAGTCAATATGGACTCAGTATTAAACCGTCAATTGCATGGATGCCACATCCGTCCGCACACTTCAAAGACTGGGAAAGTCAATTCGTATCGTCTATAGATGTCTGGCTATGTGTTTTACAGCCTCCGTTGCTTATTTATACACAATTCGCTAGAAGGACGGGGTAGATTGAGTTAGAGAAGAAAAAAAAAATTGGAGGAGAAAATAGAAAACAATCCAGCACAAGCCAAAACCGCCGTGAATTTCTGCGTAGGTCACCAAGTAAAGAAATGAACAAGGGCAAAAAGGAACTGTAATTTGCACGAGTGTTAATGCGATCGAAGATGGTATCAGAGAAAGGAGCGGATATGAGTGTCTGTGTTAAGAACCTGGACCATAGCATGATGGAGACGGCGATACATACAAAGACAAGCAAGACGTTTGATGGCAGTGTCGTGGTCATGGTCGTTAGCTAGATTATTTTAACTGAAGGTACCCATGTTCGCCGACGGCGTTTGTTGGTATACCTGGTACATGGTATACGGCTGGTAATGTGGCGGAACGCCCTGGGGACTATATGGAGCTTGCCCCATCCCAAGAGGGCTCCCAGTCTGCGGGAGGTTGGGAGGCTGAGCGTTGTACGAAACGGTAGGAGTACCCGACGGCATTAACGGCACCTGGTTACGGCGGATCGCTGAGCGAGGAGCATTGACGTCGGGAGATCGCAGGGCAAATGGATTGAAAGCGTCCGTGGAGGGCGAGAACGCAGATGGCGGATTGGACGGCCGGTTGCGTAATACCGAATTGCTTGGACCGTATGCAGGGTCAATTTGAAGCTGAGGAGGTCCAGAATGCGGGTTCTGACCACCCATTTGCAACGCAGCCATCATCGATGCCAGACCTTGGTCGTTGTTCGGATAGCCAGAAGGAAAGCCGGGCAAATTCTGTGCGTGCTGAGAGGGTACCTTCTTCCCAGGCGGCCCATTGGCGGTGTACGTGGGCTGGTAGCTGGGAATTGGGAGACCAACTTCTTCGATTAAACGACGGTAGGCTTGTGTAGCTATGACCTTGAGCTCGATCAGGACCCGTTTTGTAGCATCAATATATTTCGGTTTCTCCTCCGAGTCAAGGAATGGGCTCGTCAGAATCTTGTGGACAACGGCGACTCCATTAACTTGATCGCCCAACACATCCGTAAGAACGTGATCTCCTGGAGACGAAAATAACGCCTGCACGATCTGCCGTGAGGCCTCCGGTTCTATCTTCTGGTTCACAATCCTAAGAACTGTGAGGGAAGCCAACTTGTGCGTGCATAGGTGTGAGAGATGAGGGGTGAAACGTGGCGCAAGAAGATTGTATCTTGACGGGAAAGAGGAGGTGTCCAAGAGCCAGGTGAGCAGCAACGCGCCATTCGGGTTGGTAGCTAAAGGTATCGAGTTCAGGATGACAAGCAGTAGCAATGCGGCGCTGTTGACTGATAGTGATGTGAGGGCTCTCCAAGCAAGCCCTCATACTCCGAGCGCCGAAACGCCCCTTGCTGCGATTTCCCACATGCGATCGACCATCGCATCAAAGATGAAGTCGTTTGCAGGCATACCAAAGCGTAGGCAACACCTAGCAGATATGTCAGTGTACCGAAGGAGGGATACCCATCAAAATACATACTGCACGACATAATTGCCAAATTGATCGAGAAGGAGGGGAGGTGCGTAAGGCCGCAAATTTTGGACGACCAGTGCTATTTCCTCGGGTGTTTGCACACATTCAATTATCTTTTGTGCAGCCCACGTCCCATTCTTGTGTATTCCAATCATCGCCAGATGAGGGGTGATTCTGTCTAACATTGCAAACCTCGGCGCAGACGAACATCGCTCAAAGAGTTTTTGCACAACCTTCGAAGAAGTCCACGTAAGCCTTCATGGGCTTCTTGAAACAATGGAAACACACCGTGTTACCCAACCAGTCAGACGCCAAGTCAACTATTTCTCCATCCAAGAAGTCACCAACAACCTGATCGATCTCTTCCACCGACATCGTACTAGAGTCCAGTCTCTTACGAAGTTCTCGCAGCTTGGACGCGTCCCAGCGCCTGCTGTTCTGCCTCTCGGAAACGAGGGGAATGGTGGTGTAATACATCGTAGGCGGGCGGAATTCTGGGGGGAACGATGATTACTGACAAGTGCTTCCAATGTTAGTTAACATACCCTGAAAGTGACTGGATATCGGCCTCGGCATCCGCACATCCTTTCGTAAGTTCCCTCATAATCATCTGCTGTTCTGTCACCGAAGGTGTCCACCCAGCTGGCTTGGAAAGCCCATCTGAAACATAGGCTAGGTTGTGCATGCCCGATCCAATCATGCTAAGTAAGAGGTTCGAGCGGTAATTCTCCACCTGTCCACCAAGGACTTGCTGATCAGCGGGAACTGTGGATGCGCCCTTGACGCTGCGGAGAGCGTGGATGGTTGCGCCGACGCTCAGGTCACCAATTCCTTGAACCGCAATACTTGGACTCTCATCCTGCGTGCCGCTTCCTTCTTGACTATTCTTGACAGGGACCTTCGCAAAGCCAATGCGGATCGCGCCAACATCGCTTCCGAGAACATCACGACCGTTCAGCGCCTTCCTAGCCCTCACAGCATCGTCCAATCGCTCAAAGTTGACTAAACAAGGCTTAGTATATCTAGATACTGATGATGACACCCACTCACTGAACCCGCAGTTTTTATGAGTCAAGACCCTGGCAGACTCAATCGGACCGTAAGGACTGAAAACGCTCAAAATAGTTGCAGGAGTTGTAGTGCTCGGAATCGACCCAATCCAAAGCGCGCGAGTCGGCGTAGACTGCAACTGAGCATCTAGTCCACTCATCCCTGGGCTACCGCTCTTGCTCATATTGTTAGGGGAGGTCGCTCCAGAGCTGGTTACGGTAGTTCCCTTGGCTGGAGCAACGGGTGCACTATCCGCCTTTCCAAATCCGATACGAACGGTCTGACCGTTCGGCATGCCGATGTTGCCTCCAAGCCTGTTCAGGACGTCGTCCTTCGCGCGGATGGCATCCGCCTGGTCAACAAAATTGACAAAGCCACATTCCTGCGAGGACTCCGTGAGAACATGATCGCAGTCGACGGTAGACCACAAACCTTCTCGGGTAATAACCGCAAGCTCTCGATGGCACCGTAGGGAGCGAAGACATGGATAAGTTGCTCACTTGTGACAGAACTATCCAGATTGCCAATCCATAGAGATCTAGTCGGGGTTTGGATCTGCGAATTGTTGCTCGCTTCCGCTTTTGGAGAGACCGACCGCCCCTGCGAGTTAGGAGCAACTAAGTACACAGCTGCGCGATTGCTGAGCTCGTTAGTAGGGAAGTGAACATTAGATGGAGGCGTAGCCCGAGAACCAAGCTTGACATCAGACTTGAGAATGCCAGCAGGATTTGCGATGGTATTGAGTCCACTGGATGGGGGGCCGATATCACCAAGGTAAGGAGGTTGAATCTCGTTCGTCGCACGACGTTGAAGAGAGCGGATGGGATCATCAAGGGTACCCACAGATATGGCCCGTGGTCTGGCGTTAAGAACGCTGGACGGTGAGAGGTGGTCCGATTGTTTGAACCCTTTGGCAACATAGGAACTGTGCAAGAGGCTAGCTTCGGGAATAGGACCATCGTAAGACGTCAGTCGCTGACGTTCATACAACTGCTGAGACTCATAACTGTTCAGGTACTCCTCTTCATCATCGGCGCTAGGGGTCGACAACAGGGAGGTTGCACCAGAGGAGCGGGCACGGTACGGGTTCGAAACCGTGCTCGCCCGCAGGCGGGAGTGGCTTGTCAAGTTACCAGCGATCGCAGCCTGCGTCTGAGTGCGTAGCTCGGACAGGGATGCGGGCGCCGGTTGTGAGCGGTGACTGTCATCCAAACCGAGATAATCAAGCGTGTGGACATCGAAGTCATCGGCCGAGTCCGCGGATGTGACAGAACGAAGTTCATCCAGAACAGGAAAAGAGGAACCAGTGCCATTTGCAGATAACCAAGACGACGAGAATATAGAAGGGCCGAACGCGTTGGAAAGGCCAGCCGATGGCAAATTCAACGAACCAGACCGGAGTCGACTGATACGCTCAGAAGTACCGACAGGAGGACTAACAGCAGCCGCTGGGGCGACGCAGGTAACCGCGTGGCGAAGTCCGGGGCGTGTGGGTGCGACAACACTCGGGGGCGTATTGGCGCTCTGCCGCTGCTGTAGTTGTTCTGCAAAGGACTCCGTGGATGCAGTGGTACTGCTCAGGGTGTTTGAGGAGGCAGCGAATCGCTGAGCAGCGAGGTGAACGTCGGAAGGCAGAGTCCCAGCTCTGGCTCTCCTGAAACCAGCTGGATAGTTGGATGGGGACATGCCAGTGGCATCCCCAGGGGAATTCACGGTTGAAGTGATATCATTGGGCGGGGAGCCAGAAGGGGCAAGAGCGCGCAGCGCAGGGGGTCGATATCTCCCTAAGCGCTCCTCTGCCTGGATTTCCCGGGCTCTTTTGATGTGAAAAGTGAATAGGGAGAAGGCACGACATATCATGAAACGCCCACCTCTTTGCAAAGGCAGCAGACTGGTGCTGGGGGAGGTGTTTTACCCGAAGGAACTCTCGAATAGGAGCCATTGTTGTCGGAGGTAGATAAAGACATTATAGGGCTAATTTTCGTGTTGAATTAGAGATTACCGTTCGGTGAGGTGGAGTCGATTAACGGATGGTGAGCCCGTCTTTTGCGTGCGGTAGACCAGAAATAAGGAGATACCCAGGGTAAGACTACCAGACCTTGTGTTTGTTTTTTTTCTTCAAAAAAAGAAGCTTGAGACCGAGTCAGGCTGTTTCGTTGTGCGATGGTTGACCGAACCGAAGTAAATTAGCTTGCGTTTGGGCGAGGCAAAAGAAAGAGAAGAAAAGCGAGAATAAGCAAAGAATATGTGATGGACGTGGTCCACCCGAACACTGGTACTTTTGGGATGACCTGGTGTACCTGAACCAGCAAAAATACGGAGGGGCTTAGTAGTAAAGGTGCTATGAGCACTTGTGTGGTGGACAGTCTCAGACTCCACGAAGAGCCTCTCAAATTCACACTCCGACAAATAGCACAAAATTAATTCTCGGTGAGCGGGGCGTACACACGTCAAAAAAAATATGCTTGATAGCAAGTAGGTCTCAAGGCAAGCGGAAGAAAGGAGTGAAACGGCAAAGCGTACTGCAAAGCGCAGCTCAAGAGAACCATGGATGTAATATGATACTTAGTGGTGGTATACGAAGAGTTCGAAAGCAAATAATCTAGCCCCAGCGTCGATTAAGAAAAACGAAGTGTGTCCGTGTGTAAATGGCAGAACGTAGAACTTTATGAAAAGCGGCGCAGTCAAGAGTGCCGGGGACCCCTTGTCCTTGGAGGTGTAGCGCATGAGCGTGCAGCAGCCGCATCCGCGACCCGCCTCGACCGGCGCAAGGGTTTCTCCTCCTTACCGCAACTCTCGGCTGAGCTCTCAGTGCCAACCACTTCAATCTCCTTCTCATCTTCCCAATCAGGACAGACACATAGTGTATGGAACATCTCTTGTTCGGACTGACTAAGTGGGGTCTCCCTCACATGGGAACCATCTTCGGCAGGGGCGCCGGGGCGTAAAGCAGCAAACGCCATGTCAAAGGAGGGCGGAATCATCACTAAGGGTTCTTCGAGAACCACATCGAGGGGTGCTTCCCATATAACCTCTTTGTCAGTTCGTGATTGTTCAGGATCAACCATGAGTGTCGAAGATGTGGGCGTAGACGACTTGAAATGAGGTCCAAACTGATAAAGCATTCGTCCAGGTGTACTCTTCTTATGAAAGTCTTGCAACGCACTAGGAAACCGCATGACGAGTTCGTCGGACAGGAAGGTATCCTTCACGACCTCTGGAAGTCTCTGCGCATACGTCCGAGCAATGCCAAGTGGTACCCAGAGCCCACTAACTGAAGATAACCTATGAAAAACACTGATGGACCCCAGGGGGAGGGGAGACGGAACGGGCAAAGAGAGATAAGACAGAATCACAGAAAGATTCACGAAATCGGTGTCAATGCGTCTCAGCAGCGCTGTCGAACCGAGAATAGTTTGATAAACAGATATACCTACTCAAGATTACGTCAGTCAAATCCATGCTGTCTCGGCTTCAAAATACGCTCACCTTCAACCTGCGTTGCAACGATGCTGGGTATGCAAGGTTGACAGGTGTGCACTACTACAGCATCAGACACCACACCGCGAGACGAAGGTGCCGCGGGCCGGGCATCAGTTGTGGCAGTATCCTGTGGAGCCGCTTCCGTCCGTGCGAGTACTTGACACTCCCGTTCCGGAGAGGTGCTGGCTGCTCGTCTAGGAAGAGATTTCGCGTGTGGCCGCGCTGAGTGAAGACATCTGCCATTCAGGCCTTTTGCAGAATCCGTCCATCCCTCATCAAACTCTTTCGGATGGACACTGTCAGGTCCGAGTAACTCCGTGTCCTGCCAAGTTAGAACGCCGTCTGCACATGAAACGTGAGCTGGCGAGCAAGGAGTAAAAACCGAAGAGTATGGGGGAGATAAAGGTGGCGACAGTGGCATTGGCCACCGGAACGAGGAGTCTGTGCTAACATCGGAAGCTGGTGACACAGACGAGTGGAAAGACGATGATGACGGAGTGAATGAGGAGCACGGTGATACTGGAAAACCAGGTCCAGGAGAGTAAGACGCGCCGGGCAACGAAAGCAGAGCAGACAGATTACGTGGTTCTCCCACCTCAATTTTAATCTCAGTATTGCACATGTCTTCGTGAGCATGTGCAGCGCCAGACCAACTATTTTCAAACTCCCACTCCCAAAACTCAAACTCATCAGTCTTCATGTCGTCCGGCGGCAATTTGACTGTCGCAGAAGAGACCGTAGATGGGTTAGGTGGGGTGCAGTCGACATCCTCCCACAAGTCCAGCATGTCACGTACATCCCGAGGTTCCTGTTTGACTTCCCGAGCGTGCTCAGAGTCAGCCTCATCGATGGATTCAAGCGGGATTATTGGGGATGCAATAGATATGGACGAAGAATCCCAGTCAAATTCGGTTTCGGCATCGAAGCTTAAGTCGAGTTCGCCACGGTCGGAGTCCGGGGGTGGTGAGGCACTGTAGGGGACTGACGGCGACCGCCTGGCATCGGCACCAGGAAAACGTGTGCATGGGGTGTCGTCGTACGTTGGTGCGTAACTGGGAACGGTGGTCGATCGACGGGGGTACGGCGGAAGACTCCACGGAACGTCGGGCGAGGACAATTGCATGTCGACATCTTCGTCGGACTCCTCCGAAGACGAGGATTCTGAAGACAAATCGATTACCTCCCTTGGTGGTGAACTGGTGGGGACGGGAGACGACGGTCGGAGACGGAGAGTAACCTTCACTTTGGGCGGTCGTCCCTCATCCTCGATGTCGCTGTCACTGGAATCGGCGACATATGCGGAGACATTCGAACTTGGGCGACTTCGTTCCTTACTTGACTGTTGGTTGAAATCCTGCGAAGCCTGACGGCAGCCCCTCCGTAATCTTTTTCTCTTCTCCCCGCAGTGCGCCTGGTCCCATTTCGGCTTGTTTGGCGATCCGACTGCGTCTTCGGTCATGATGGACTGTCCTTTTCCCTCTTTTCCATATTCGCACAGGCGTATCCCAGCACGTGCAAACGGGCAGGACACGCCCGCAGCCTTAGAAAGATACCAAACCATTGTTCCCCGCCTGAAGTTGGTAAGCCTTCCGTCTTGCATACCGTCCACGGGCTGTGCAGGCTTCCTCTCCACGCCTTCTTTGGAAATCGACTTGTTTACACTAGTCGCACCACCTACTCGGCTGTAGAGTGCAGGAACAAGTTTGTCATCTGCGGGAGTGCCCGAAAGGACATGTCGCAACAGTAGGGGGTGGTCCTGTTTCGCTTCACATCGCGAGAGATGATTCCGGATATAAGTTGTGATGGCTTGGGAAGCAGCAGAAACGCTATGATCGAGGTGAGGACAACCGGTTAGCGGGACGAAGCATAACAGAAGAAACGAGGGCAAAATGAAACGTTCGGTGATGCGGGGAATGACGGGGTGCTTAAACGTACTTTTGACACATTAACCCAAACTTTAATGCCATTTCAGCCAGATCTTTGATGGTCATTGCTCGGTTGTCCTGCGAATGCCAAACGGTCGGATGGATCATAAAAGGGCCACGAGTAAAGCTCCACAAGCGCCAGAAAAAGTGAAATGGACGCACCACCGAGAGAAAGGAACGGCCAATTGCTTGAAAAACTTTGCTTGAGGCATCCTCTGGATGAAGCACGATGTTAGGCAAGGGGAAAGTAGGGAGAGGATCTTCCTGCTGCTTCTGCGCTGGAGGGGTAGGGCACGGGTCTAAGCTTGCGTGGCGTTGGGTATGGTGGAGACGACTGGCGAAGGCGTGTGCTTGGTCTTAGAACCGAGTTCTTGCGTATCCTCGTGCCATAGGGATGAGGCTTTGTGGAAGAGAGATGAGATGGGAGAGGCCATGGGGAAGGGTGGGGTACGTGGGGGTGCATTGGTGGTGAATTATCTGGACATTAGAGAAGCAGACCAGGTCGGCCAGCGAAGTGGGAAGCAGCAAGGGAGCGCGGTGATTGTGAACGACCCTTTGTCGCATATGACTCCGTGCTGTCATCGAAAAAATTCAAAATCTCGTTGCTGTGTTACATCACGTAATCCGATCACCCCTTATCGCTTCCGCTGCGGGGTTTCTTATCGACGTGTCTACCGTGGAGGCGAACTCGTTTCTAGGACGGCGCAGCGACCACCGTGCTTTCAGGCGTGACTCGCCTCATTGTCAACCTGGCATCAAGTCACGGCGTCTACAAGTAACTGTAAGTTCCGTACCAGCGCTTCACCAAAGGCGCCGGGCGCGTGACGTTTTCCACAAAATATTCTCACCGCCATGCCACAGTCCAGTGGGTACAAGTATTCCATATTTAGCCGAAATCACAGTCGCCATGTCCCTCCTGGATCTTTATTAGGCCTGACCTGTCCGACTGCCCTCGACAGGGTGTTCGTACCAGTGGTCATCATTCCACTTCAAGTCGTGCAAGCAGCCAGCTGGTCTAACCAGTTATCATCGGTTCCACGAGGTGACGGTCCATGCTATCCGGACCACTTATCTATGGCCCCCTTATTGTCTGCTCTTCCCCTCCAATTGTGCCCATTTTAGGCAACTTCTATTGTAGAGGTAGTTCCGGAGACGGTCCTTGGGTTCTCAGAATCATCCTGTTTAGGAATAAACTCTGAATGCTCCTCCCGGCAGATCCGGGAGTGTCATTCTAAGTACAAACTAACCCCCCTTGTGACGTCGTCCCGATCAATCTACATAGCGTGAACAGAATTCAAAACAACGTAGATTAATCGACCTAAAACACTGTGAGGCTATTAATACAAGTGTCAGTGCAAGGTGGGACAGCACCCCTAAACGAGAGATACGTGTACATCAATCTTACAAGGGAACAGTACTGGTGAAATGAACCTTGGACCTGAAAATTGTAGAATGCATCCACCTTATTTCGCACCTGCTCTTTTCCTGCTCTTCGAGGGAGATACAGTTCGCGTTTTCCCTCGCACCTGTGGATCGCGAAGCCCTCGTTATACCCTTCCAAAAGACAGCATTTTAGCGGACTGAAACTGCGGAGGAAAATGAATGGTTACCTTCTTTGCTACGGCACGCCTTGTTGAAGGTTTCTTGACCACTTTCCGACCGGCCGTACTGGTGGATGTCGTCCTTCCTCTCTTCGCCCTGGATGTATACTTTTTCGTCGTGGTGGCCGTCTTCTTCGCAAGTGGAGCAGCCGCAACCTTTGGCAGAGGGAGCCTGCTTGGAAGCTGGTTTCGCATTCTGAAATTTATATCACCCCTTTCAATGGAAGAAAAGAGGACGAGGGGGGGCCTCTTACCTCTTTCGATGTCCCTTTCATTCTTTCAGGTGCTAATTTCACTTTTCCAGATGGACCTATCCAAAGCACGGTTGGATTCGTGTCGAATGAGAACGGGGAAGGAAGCTAGAACAGAGAGGGGGCCGGACCTTTCGGGAGGACGAAGTTACCCTTTTCTGTCCCCGCAGTAATAGCACGGTTGAGTTGGTTCGTCGTTGTGGCGCTCATAGCCAGCTGATAATTAAACTCGACGAACTGGAGGACAGTGGGTCAGCTGAAGACCCGTCGTACTGAAAATCGGACAGACCTTTTTAAGAGCAGGTCTAGATACACCGTTCTGCGTCCCGTCCGGAGTCGTGATGATGCATTCCTAAAGTCAGGCCGTAGCGGTTGATTAGGAACTGATTAAACGAGAGATACTTACCGTAATCATCTCTGTCCACGAAGGATGCTTGGGTTGAGGGGGCCTTCCAGTCGTCCTCCTAGGCGATGTCTTCGTAGCTGGCTTTCTCGCACGGACCATATCTCTGCCTGCAATACAAAAAGCAAGCTGATCAAAGAAGGGAGTCGAGCGAAACACAGTCAGGGGTAAAGATTGCCTCATACATGATGTTGTCATGTGACCTGGGCAAGCGCACGGACACCTCATGCGCAAAGACAGGCACAGACCACTGTAGGCCCGTCTACGGTGGAACTGAGGAGCCAGTGAAATATACTGCGGAGGGTGTATCTAGTAGGCGGGCACTGCACTAATGACATCGCTACTGGCCTTATACCTTGATATTCCTTGATTTTCCTTTGGCCATGCTTGGGCTCACCATTGTAATGGCTTTATATAACATTGCAAAGCTATATCCATGTATACTGCTGGACTTGATGGAGGAGTGCGAGTTTAACGGTAGCGGGTTCTATTGAGTCCACGTAAATAAGACTTTCCTGCAGCGACTCTACATCTGGGAAACAGCTACGCGACGCGGCTGTTAACAGCTCTTTCGCACTTGAGCGAGTCCTCTCATTGGCCAACAAGTGTCTTAGCGAGTCTTACGACAAGTCACTTCCAAACGGAGGCAGGTATAACCTGCTCATTCCCTCGGGTAGTTTTGCAGATGTAGGTGCCAGCACAGAGCTGATGCTCGCCGGGTGCATTGGAGAACACTGGCATCATTACATACATCCGGGATAAACCGTCGGTTTGATACAAGTTTGATGTGTCATGTTGGCGCCCACGGAACCGCCTTGCTTTCCGACGACTTGAAAACACCAGTACCACAGCGAGGCATAATAACTCGGGGCGTTGACCGAAATGCCGCTCTCAGATTATTTAGTGACAGACGACCTCACCATCGTCCTGGGTGTCATCGGGATTTCAGTCTATCTGCTGCAAAATTTCTATAAGCCGCAACCACTGGTGCACCCCATCCTCTTGGGGCGCCAAAGTGACGTGGGTCGTGTAAGACATCCTGGAGAGAGCCCCGTATACCGAAACTATTCGACAGGACTCATGGGGAGTGTATGTCTGGCCCTCGTCTTTGATTTCTTCGTGACTGACCAGTGACGCACACGACGTGGGGGGACTTCGTTGTTGGCCCTTAGTTTCCTATCAGGCCTGACAAGGACGTCAATGTCGTGAATGACATGGTGCGCCCTCAGTTTGAGGCCCGTCGGACGCTTTGGTCCACCAAGGTAAGTCGTACATGTCAATGTCATGGTCATCGCTTGTCGCTTACTATACCCCTCCCCAGATCACGAATGCTCAGCTGAATGAACGAGTAAATACCTTTGGTATTGGTATTTCTCGCATTCTTCAGGAAGACTCCAATGTCCTGCTTCTCCTGAACGACGGTATCGGTACGCTTTTCTGTAAATCATCTACCGATAAATGGATGTTCATCCATCCCTCCTTCGTCCTTATCCAGAGTTCCTCATTGCTGACCTCGCACTCGCTAAGCACTCAATTGCTTCAATGACACTGTGTTCATTAAAACTTTTGTCTCGCGTTCTGGAGATGCACCCGCCCACCGCTATTATCGTCGACGCGGACTTTGTCCCTCTTCTTCTTGAGCTGATCTACGACGCGCGGGAATATGATCATAAAATCATAGTCGTTGGGAAATACGAAAGGCAAAATCTCTCAAAGGCTGGAAGACAAATAGAGGTCGTTCCATGGGCTCAGATAGAAGCCGATGGTGCCAACACAACGGAACCTGTCCCAGCAGCTACCCAACGCCAGTCGATCATCCTCTGTTCAAAATATCGTACTGACGGTTCTATTTAGGTCCTGACGACCCATATACACTCGTTTTCTTTGACACACCCTCTGGACAGATGCAAGCTGTGCGATTCACACACGAAAACATGACATCTGGTGTTGCAGCCATTCGGTCATTGTTCCCACCTTCGATGGCACTGTCTAGTGTCGACACCATCGTGTCAAACCACTCGTTGAGCACTCCATATGGACGTGCTATTGCTCACACTGCCTTGTATGAGAACACGAGCTTTGCGACAATCGACTCAACCAGAATGTTCGATATTGCTCGAGTTGGCGATAACAAGTCACCGACGGACGACGCACATTTGCATGATCTTGCCGACGTGCTTTCTGCAAGGCGGCACCCGATTCCCCAGCCGACGGTACTCTTTATCGGGCCCGGTCACCTCGAGGATTTGACATCTTCAATTCTGAAGCACGCAAGAGAATCGTGGTTGTATTCCTTCGCGTGGAGACACAAGTTAGCGGCATTCGCAGAAGGATTCCTCAGTAAAGATAGTCTGTGGGATCGCACAGTTTTTGACAGTGCGCGGGAACGTGTCTTGGGTGGTATGGCAAATGCATTGAAGGCTGTTATTATTAGCGGAGGTGCGTACACGTATGCTAGGTGCGAACTCTTAGCAACCATTCTTTATGTAACCAGGGCCAATTTCGAGCGAAGTTCTCACCCCTGCACGCATTGCACTGTCGCTTCCAATAATCAACGTACACGTAAGCCCCTGGGTAAGTGGACCTGTGTTCGCCACACAGGCGCTCGATGCACAGGTACTTCCCCCGGGAGACGAGCCAGCTCATGTTGGCGGGCCGAGCGTGAATGTGGAAGCGAAGTTAAGGGGCGTGAAAGACACATACTTGGAGAGGGAGAATGAAGATCCGGTCGGGGAGATAGTTGTGCGTGGACCCAGTGTTGGTGTGAGGGTAGGGGAAGAGCCCGGGAACATGGCGTGGCAGGAAACAGGTGGGGTCGGCCGCGCGATGACGAATGGGGCGTTCAAAGTGATTGGAGTCTGCACTGCATGAGGATTGTGCATGGGTCCATAAAGAAATGATTGGTGAACGAAGTATGCTTTCATATTGCATGTAAAAAGATCAGCGTAACCGCGAATTAGTAAATCTAAACCGATGGAGACACTCCAACGTTGGGATACATGACGTCAGTAATGGCGGGCGATCGACCGACGTCATGCAGTCACTCACCTCGGAATGGTGGCCAGGCCCCCCGTCCTGGACCACATAAAGACCCTCGGATCCCTCCCATGTAGTCCCTCAGTTACCCAGATACTCTCATTCACCACATCATACCCACCATGGTAGGTAGACACATTGTGTAAACCAAGGACGTACACTCACTTTGTTCAGGGATCGATATTCTCAGCCATCGGCTCTGGCATCAACGCTATAATTTCTGCCATTGCGAATGTCGTTATGACCGTTGTCGGGGCCATCACAACTGTTCGTGACGATACGATTTATTGTGGGCACGCGGGCCAACATGCTGATTCTCTCCCTCCTATACAGGTCATTGTGACGATCTTCGATGTCATTGTTGATATACTTTGCTGCAGATGCTTCGGTTCACGCCGATCAAGCTCACGCTACCGACGACGGAGAGGTGTTTACTGAGCGCGATGCATTCTGGAGAGAGCGCGGCCACACCCTGCCACCCGACAGTAGCGAATATATCTTAATAGTCTTGAATCAGGTATTAACAGTTGCGTGGGATGGGGAGTATGTTGCCAACAATAAGGACTTTTCATAGAAGAGAGAGAGAGAGGGAGAGATCCTAATCTATATTACAGCGGGTTGTAGTAGAGTACCCGCGGTGAGTTGTAATGGAGGTTGGTATAACGGTAAAGCGGTGATAGGGGTGCACCAGGTTTCTGTCAGAAGGTTGGCGCGGCGATAAGCTTTGAAATTTGAAATTTGAACTTTCAACTTCAGTCTGCGACCAGTTGACTCGTCTTTTGGCATCAGCATCAACACCTGACGGGCAGCATATATATGTACATTACAGACAGGAGGCGCTGCAGCTTTAGCCTCTTTCGCTTGGTGCAAGACTGCTACATCAATGCATCCTTTCGCCACTAGTATTCCGATCAGAAGCAATGTGTTGAAGTGGAGCTTATTATTAGCTCTCAGGTTATCCCAGGACGCCTCGGAGTACCATACTCGCCGTGGTCGTTTGGTTCTTTCCGTAATCAGAATACAAGGCAGTGGTGAAGTAATGATGTGTACGTTGACTGAGCCTCGAAACGAAGTAGTGCGGTACGCCAGTTTCATGTGGTTCCTTTACATGGACACGCTCAGCAGGAGTGCTGTACCTGGTGGCAGCAGGTACGAGAATTTTTTCACGATTGTGATCACCATCATTTGATTCGTATGCACACTAACGTACTTACCGTCAGAACATCGAAGCTACCACATTCCGGTTAGCTTCCGTTATCAATCTGGCATATTTTTCGCGAAGCCAAATTGGCAGTGACTCAATCAGCTTTCCATATAGGTTGCGACAGAGTTCTGGAAGGCTAACAGTACGTGGATTTGTCTGCGAACCATAAGACCCTCGGCACCATAGGCAACATCCATGAAGGCACCACACCCGGAAGGGGCACACCTGACCACTGCATACCAAGTGGTCGAACAGGGGGTTTTACTTACCAACTCCCGTTAATGCATTTCGCTTCTGGTCTTCGCAAGGCCCAGAGGCTAGTCTCCTTGCGATCGCTAAATCACTTTGCCTGTATAGTTAATCCAGATTAGAGGCACTGAGTGTGTCGCAACCGGCCACCGTTTACCGTGGTCACGTAGCCCATTCCCACCCGTTCCAGAACACGAGGCAATAGTGAAGTAATATTAGGTACGTTGACTGAGCCGAAATTAACAGGGTCACTGGTTTCATGTGGCATTGCATACCCTGGCTCCGTGATACTCGACAAAAGTGCTCTACTTAGCAGCAGCAGCATGGAATCACATCATGATTCTGGCGGCCTGGGACTGTCCATCGCCGATGGGAACGTCTCACCAACCGTCGGATTATCGGGATCGTTAGATCGTGAGCGCGTATATATTGGGTCTAGTGTTTGCCTCCTGTCCTCCCCTACTGCTCCATATCAGTTGTTCATTTTTTCTTCCTCTGATCATTACTAATCAGCTTGTGCCCCTGATCAGTTCAATTGAAGCTGGATATTGAAGGGAAGGACGTTCCCGATGCCCTGGAGTCCTGGAGTTCGACAATACGGGGTCCTTAAGGATTTTTTTGACTCACTCTGGTCGTCCCCGAAAGAGATAAATACCGGTCATTCCTTGGGCACCCCCTCATCCTTCACCTCCAGTGACACTATAGCTATGCAAGAGAGCCAACAGAACACGCCGGGGACAGCCACTTACTATTACCCTGTCGTCGGGCGTAAGAATACAGGCGCCGTTTATGACCGTATTCACATCACAGACATGGAGAAGAGCTATCCTTACCAGTTCTCACTCTTCATCCTTAGCTACTCCGCGATCCAAGGTGTCCGTGACACCTCTCTCGGTATCACCTTACCAGATATCGAGTTGCCAGCGGCCTCCTACTTTGAGATTGCTGGGATTCATGGCAAGCCTTACCGCGAGTACGCTGGGGATAGGAAGACCCCGAAAGAGAGGGTGGCAGACTATGATGAGAATAATCCTAAGGATACGTTGCCCACTCCTTCAAGGTTTGGAGGTGCGCCACTTTGACTAATCCGCACATTGATGTACTAAGTCTCGTACACTTGGGAATAGGCTATTGCAAGTAGGTCGTTTCATTCAGTCATATGCTACTCTAGTTAAAGCTGTTTAAAAGCCATGGATCTGTGTCGTTCCCCACTTGGCACCGCCCGTACATGATGCTGATCGAGGTTTGTTGGTTCAATCGTTCTTCGCTTATCCGTACCGACACGTCTCATAGCAAGTAGTCGGAAACGTTGCCGACCGTATCGCAGCCAATATCGAAAAACAGTATCCGGCAGAAGTTGGGAAATGGGTTCCACAGGCCCAGCAACTGCGCTTTCCGTGCGTCTTCATGTAGTTGTTAATGAAACGTTGTAACAGTCATTCTGGGACAGGTTTTGGGACTGGGCTGATCCAGCAACCAATGCACAAGGGTTACCCGCCGTACTTTACGAGGACACTGTGGTGATCACGCTCCCGGGAGGTCAAACCGCGACCGTTCAGAACCCCATTGCGTACTATACCTTTCAAGAAGGCTTTCCTTACGACTTCGCAGACGTATACAACTCATCGGTGAGGTTTCGAATTTGAGCGTTTCCACAGTGCTTACTCGTGCCCGGAGTAGACTGGTCAGACGGCATACTACTCGAAGTGGACGCGGACTTATCGGCATGCCCCAAGTACCCCTCAGGGGGGTACTGACATATCTGGAGTCCAAACGTCAGAACCACTCAATTACTGTGTTTGGCTCATATTAATTGTCTGCGATTTTCCCCAGTGCTATCGAGTCACAGGCGTCTCATCTTAGCTCGGGGATAGGTCTTCTGTTTGCATTCCCAGACGGGATGGATCCTGCAATTGCGTGAGGGTAATTTCCGTATAGATAAAAAAGACTCTGCTGATTCTCGCAGCTACGACGAATTCTCCAATGAAGTGACCGAATCAAAAAGGCAGGAAGACTACTTCAATAGTGGATCCCTGGAAGCTCTCCATGGTATTATCCACGGCACTATTGTAGGTTATTTTTCTAGCAGAGTTTCTTCCGTTGCTAACATACGATGGTGCATAGGGTGGAAATGGAGACATGGTTCGTTCCGTCATGTCGACCTTCTACTCAAACTAAACGATATACTATGATTCTGCACGTTTAGACTGATCCAGATTATGTGAGTTACAATGGAAAAACACATGATATAAGTTAGGTTGACCACCTCCAGGCTGCTTTCGATCCCATCTTCTTCTGTGCGTGCCTCGTTTGTTGTAACATGTGGAACAGGTGTCTAACTAGCTTGTTAGTCCATCATAGCAACGTCGATAGGCTGAGTGAGTACGAATTCACATTCATTCGAAGCATATTTTTGAACATCCATTAGTTGCACTGTGGGAATGGTGCTACCCAAACTATTGGATGGGTGATGGCTACGTCGATGCCGGCGTGAGTTACACTTGGACGCAGGTTCGTCGGTTGCTTAAGTTCGGCAACGGGTGTTAAACAACGGTCCCTTGGCAGCAACGCGGGACCTTTGGTCAAGTGTATAATGAGCAAATCCTTCCTAATGGCGCTCGCGGGAATTTGTACCCTTTCAGGAATGATAATGGGACGTACTGGACCTCAGATCAATGCCGTTTCTTAGATGCGAATGCTTATCCTAAATGTACGCCGTTTCTCTGACATACCACGGTATTGCACCTCACCCACATTCCAAACTGCAGACTACTCCTACCCAGAATTTCAGGGTGTTAAGGTTGATCAGACGGCGACAGATGCCGAACGCGCTGCAGGTCGCGCAAGAATCGCCAAGTACTACGGCTTCGACCCCCAGCAAGCGGCAACACAAGTAGACACGGAGGCGTGGAGCCACTTGCCCGTTCCATCGCCCACGGATGCTGGGCTTCCTCAGACTTTCCAGGCGATTAAGAACTACCGCGTCTTCGTGGTCCTGGTCCAGCTTCCGGAAAACGCATTTAATACATCGTACCACTTCGAATTGCATCAAACTAGTGGCAGCCAAACTTTGATTGGCACGGTGACGGTTTTCACTCGGCCGGACTATTCGCCATGCACGGCCTGTGCTTTGCGACGGGAAATGAACACCGTGGTCCGCGGCGTTATAACGCTTCCTCCTTCCCTTCTGAACGACATCATTGTCAGCGGCGCTGGCGGTGGCAACGCAACTCTGGAAACGACGACAGAGGCAATTGCGCAGAGTTTGACGGGAAAGTTGTTGGATCCATCTCGCCAGGTAGTGTCGACTGCGCAGGGTGGGACGCGCGCGCCAACTGTGCCGCCAAACCAGACGTCCCCGCCAAACATCGTGCCGAGTGGTGTGACACTGTTCAGTGCGGCCGTTGCGGAGAAGACAGATGACAAGACCTACCCTGTGCAGCTGTATGATTGGCAGAAGCACAATTCATTGTTCACTGTGAGTCCAGCGCTGTAAAGTATACGGACGATGATTAACGCGTCGCCTTCTTTTCTAGAGTGGTTGGCAGCACCAGGTCAAGCCAGCTTCTTGAGTTGGGTGTGTCGAAATTTTAAGGGCCAGGGAGTAGTGTAAGTACCAGATTTTTGTTGTCAGCTGTGCCGTTGTGAGGTATCCGTTGTGACTGTATGACACTCGCGTTACTTGTAACTTGTAGCCTGCCTTAGGCAGAGACGGAACCGAATGAAGATAGTATGTAGCCCTTTGTTCAATGATTAACGATTGCCGAAGTGGTTAGTGAGTTGTTCGGCCGTACGGTCTGGCTTGGGACTTTTCGCCTTGCAGTTCCAAATACCAGCGCAAACGCTCTTCGCGGTAATTAAGACAAATCACACGATCAAGCTTGTCAACTCGTTTGCGCATGCTAATATGATTACCTGTCCTAACCCGAATATCCTTACACCTGGATTCATTAATTACTTCCGCCACTACAACACAACCAAGGGGTGGTCAGAAGAAACGATTGACTGGGAGGAGTGGAGGCGTCCCTCGATATATCAGATAACAGCTCGAGCATCAAAGACCTGAAAGAATTATTCTCATTCGATACAATGGGTAAAATTATCCCACTAGCCACGGATTTTTAAATCCCTGCAAGGATGCATGAAGATATTTCGGGGGAACCGCACGACGACGGATTGCTCTGGTGCTGTGCGGCTGGTCGTGGATGGGTAGAGATGGACAGTTAATAAGATTTCGCTTGTGATCAGAGAAGCTGGTAGTTTCATACAAAACCAAGTTACATTCATTGTTTTGGTGTTGTTCTTGAAGATACTGTAAGACGTTCGCGGCCAAACTCGCCTGGTCCAAGCATGGACGTCACTCATGTCTACAAACACCAAATCAGAAATGTCCATCCAACATGTCATCAACGACCTTCGGACACCCATCCACGACATCCATAACTTGGTCAGACAGCTATGCATTCCATTGGACGCGGCAAGGCTGTTACCTCCACAGTACAGAAGAAACTACGCACATTCCAGTGGCTCTGACGGAGTTATCGACGGCGCCAAAGTCTTTCCAGTGCTTCAGCGCATACTTCTGGAAACCATTCTGCCGACATGGGAGCCGGCTCTGAAGGAGGAAGGATACATGCCACTGATCCAGCAGTATTTCTGCCCCGATGCTTTCTCGAACTCATCCACTGCTGCCGGAATCACTGCGTTATGTGCATATTCGACCATCCTTTCGCTGCCGACTCAACAGATCACTTTGGACATCCTACTAAGGCTCACGAGGGAATATCCTATTGACAGGCTATACAAAACTGTCTCTGAAATTCTCGACGCCGAGCGAAGGTCGTTGGCATGGGATGATTGTCTCCGGGACGTGTTTGCGGTACCAAGCAAGGTCGCGAATGCTCTCGCGGGTCGTGCCGTCCCCCCTCCACTAGGAATGTCAGACTATACCAATAACTTGAGCGTGCGGTGCGAGTTTCTGCTTTACACCTTATCATCGACTTTCCTACCAGGTTAGCCGTTCCTTGTTCAAGTTCGGACTTTCTCTGATGAAGTTGAAGATGATGTATCGCTCCTCACGCAGTTATTCATGAAACTTGTTGGTGTGGGCATGTTCCCAAGTCAACTACATCTATCACCCTCTCAGCCGTCTTTCTTTCGGTCATCTTTCCCCCTAATCCGGCAGAGATTGCGGGAGAACAATAGTAGTTCGCGGGCTTATAAGAAATTATGGAACACTCTTCTGTCCTCACTGCCTTCCTTGTTGACACAACAAGCTGTGGTTGGGTCACTTTTTGCGTCTCTGGAGTCATCGTTGGGTGTGTCTGCTTGTAGTGGGGGTACCATTTCACGCGAGGCTTTGCTGCTGCAATGCGTGTTAGGCGAAGCGTCAGAAGACACGAACCTCTGGCAAGTCATTACCTCTGTAATTTTTACTCGGACGTGGAGTCAAAACCATGCCCGTGTATTCGTGTGTTGGATTTCCCGGAACACGAGAGGTAACAGCTTGCTTCGTTAAACCCGGGTGGTTCTGACATTCGTTCATCTACAGCACTGGAGGGGTTTATTTCCGACCTTTTAAGTATCTGGGCCAATCCTGATCACATCAAGTATTCGTTGCTATCTCAGCATCATTGTCAGTGATCTGCTCCTACATGTGACGACGGCGGTCTGCTAACATTTATCTGCCCCAGACATGTCTGCATTACTCATTCTCTCGATAACGCAATTCCCCTGTTCATCTTCACAGGTGGAGGCTGTTGCTCTCTCTGCATCTTTCGTCTCGGCTATTGGAACGTATATAGGCCACACGGATAACAGTATCCGGCGCTGTGGTATGTTGTTAGCTGAAATCGTATCAAGTCGGGTCGGAAGATCTCTCGACTTTGGCGACTGGGACGGGGACAATGATGGCCGAGGATGGGCGAGGGAAATGAGGGAACTGTGCACTCGGAGGGATGCAGATTCACAGCCCTTATTTGAAGACGAGGACGACACTGGGATTCACGAGGCAGTTTCTTCGAATGATGGAATCGAAAGTATTCCCATGCAGAACTTGCGGCTGGAGTCAGAAGTTGCTGGATCACAACTCTCTGGTACGCGGAATATTGAAATAGAAGCAGACAGGGGATATGATTCCGACGATTCGTTGATTGGGTATGCTTCTTCTTCGGCTAGCTCCTCGTCACCCACGCCATCGGAGTTGCTGGAGATCGAACAAGACCCAACTCTCCATGTTGGTGCGAAGAAGGTCCCACGACCAGTCTATCTCACACAGCTTGGAGCGCTCGTACGCGGTACTGATGGACTCAATTCGGAGGAAAAGAATCACGAGGCAGAGAAAATTGAGATGGCTCTGACCGTAGGAGAAGATTTGATTCGCCGCAAGCGGGACTTTGGAACGGAGCTAGGTAAGTTCAGTCCCACCAACGGAGTTCCAGAACCATTGCTCATTAGAGTTATAGTCGAAAATGCCGCCAATCTTGTGTACGGATTTATTGTTTTGAATAACAATTATGACCTCGAGGACTTCGATGACAAAAGGGAGCGTATCATGATCGCTTTAGTTGCTTGCTGCCCAAAGGTCGCTGCACCGTGAGTTTTTCCGATCGACTGTGAGCTCATCTCACGTAACCACTTGTTAGGTGTGTGATTGAGGAATTTTTCAAGAATCAATATTCCACCGAGCAGCGGTTTGTTATCTTGAACGCCCTTGCGATGGGAGCGCGAGAACTAACATCGTTACCTGCCTATTCCCCACGGCCCTCGCCTTTCCCAAGTAAAATGTTACCACCTGGTTTGCATCAGAAATATTCAGCTGCGCGGCTCCAGGACAATGTTGAACTACTCTTGGGTGATATCACTCGGGACGCTGTTGACAAGAGCCGGGAACCTATTACTGATAAACTACCAGAGTTTAGTCGAGAGCGACAGTTAAGAATCAGGAAGGCTGGTACAGTAACTGAAACGATCCAACGGCCAAACCATGGTGCTGTGTTCCCTCAGTTCCAATCCCCGAGGGCGATAACGTACACCGAGGTGGCGGCTGAGTACTTCATCATGCCGCTCATCAACCGGTTTTGGGTGTTCCTGCGCGACGAACAGGTTCGAGAGGAGCGAACTGCACATCGGGACGTCCTATTTCAATATCGCGGAGCTGGGACTGGGCTCATCCTAAACCCAGTTATACTTTCTCATCTTTTACGTACCATTGCGATCCTAGTGCATGCGGCCAGGAATGGTCCTCAATGGCTTGCTGTAATTGCTCCGGAGGCACTGGAATTATCAGTTACTCTGGGGTCGCGACAAATCTCGTCAGCTCTCAGCGACCAAGCCAAAGAAACGAGCACCGTACATAGCGAGAAGAAGAACGAGGCGGCTGTTTTGACGTCCGCTTTGGACCTCGCTATAATTATTCTGGATGGATCCCTGGAGCAAGACGGCGGTCGCACGCTGAGTCTAGAACACTCAGCGCTACTTTTCAGTGTTGGGGAGTGGGCAGGGGAAGTGTTCAAAGTGCTTGATAGTGGAGGTCGCGTCGAAGGAATGGGAGGGACACACGAAGTTGGTCTACGCAGAGCTGCAGCGGGTGTTGTTCTCAAATTTCAGGAGCTAATGTCCAGATGGAGAAGGTCAATGGTGGATGTCAGATAATGCAAGGGAAGTTCTGGTTGGTTCAAAGCGGATTGACCGGCAGATTTGTTTGTGACGTGATAAGGTTGCTCCTCTGGTGGGATGAGAAATTTCGCCTTCCCCGCAACTACTTGGAACTGCATGAAAAACGCTGTTCTGCCGATGAAACTGGTCCAATCGCTAAGCCAGACAAGGCGTGGAGTGCTTGTCATCCGTTACAGAATTACTAGCTGTGTCGTCATCAACTTCTGGTCAGGCAGAAGAAAGCCTACGCACCGCGGATTCCACTTAACTTCGTATTACTACTATGTAGTACCGTGGGAGGTGAATCGGAATAGCAACTTACATAACTCACTACAACTGCGAAAACACTACATAAACTCATACTAACCTTCCGTCCTCCAACTCCTGTGCTGGCCATGAGATTTCTTAGGCGATTCGCGGCTGCACGGCCTTCATCGACAGTTCGGGGGATATCTACGTCCTGTCCGAGGCTCTCGGACGTGTCGTTCGTGGTAAGTGAACAGATGTAGAGCGAAACTGAGGCACTGAGAAGGTCTTCAAGCATCGGGACACCGAGTACAACAACCCGAAGGTAAATTACCCATGGTCCGTATTCTGTGTGATTACAAACTTTGGACTGGAAATTTAGATTCCCTTCGAATTCACCTCTGAGAATCTGAGAACGGCCGAAGAAATCATCTCCCGATATCCTCAGCAGTACAAGAAGGCCGCTGTCATTCCGCTCCTACACCTCGCTCAACAAGCAGAACAAGGGTTGGACCAGTATTAGTGTAATGAATTATGTGGCCAAGTTTCTGGAGATGCCGCCTATGCGGGTGTACGAAGTAGCAACTTTCTACACTATGTTTAACCGGTGAATAAGTCATTCACATTCCGCTGATAGTCTAACTGAGTTCACTTTACTTAGGGAGCCAATAGGCGAAAATTTCGTGCAAGTCTGCACCACCACACCATGTATGCTGCGCGGATCGACCGACATCCTTCGCTACCGTCTGCGACCACTTGGGCGGCATTAAACCTGGCGGAACATCCAAGGACGGGAAGTTCACCGTGATCGAGGTCGAGTGTCAGGGTGCTTGTAGCAATGCGCCAATGATGGTCGTCAACGATGATTTCTATGTACGCCGCTTCCTCTTCCAGCACATAATTACTCACATCTTTCTAGGAGGATCTGACACCGGAAACGACCAAGAAAGTTCTAGACGCATTTGCAAAAGGCGAAAAGCCCAGGCGAGGTCCCCAGAGCGGGCGACAGACGAGCGAAAACTCTGCAGGGCTTACTGCCTTAACATCAAAGGTTTGGCTGAGTTTAGTGACAATGTGTCCCTGCTGTTTACAAGTACTTTCCAGCCGTACGGTCCGGGGGAATTTTGCCTACCAGAGTTTCAGTAGATTCCATGTCTCATCTGGCGTTCATTTCGTGATGCACAGATCACGAAAAGGAGTGCCTACAGGATATGTTACTGGGCGTCCGCAAGTAATACCCTACGTTTTTGTGGCGTCAATCGTCACCTTCCCCATCGTCATAACCAAATGCACCATGTCCCCCTTCCGGAAGTCTCTCGATCATGTATCTGGAGTAGACGTATCTGAGCAGTAGAATCTCTTACAAGACCGATTTACTCACTGAATCTCCTCTCTTAAGTCGTCACAGTAGGTATCTGCCACATATGAGATGTTAGACCAAGGATCCCGACCTCTTCAAGCACATACCGAGAGGTAAGTCGTGTTTGTCGTATCCTACGGGGAAAGTCGCTTAAAGAAGTTGTCCACGTTTGATGGATTACACGTACCGAATGGCATTTCAATCTCATCAGCTATTCCTTCGATGCCCATTAAAGTGAAAGCAACAACTGTTACTATTGGAATCATGCTCCAACCCATGTCGTTGATTAAAGTCAGTGGGAGCGCGAACAAGTACAATGTTACGCATTGTTTAAGATGGATTCCATCTTGAGGCGTGCGAGATCAGCTGGATCGAGACAATGCTACTATTGACTCACAGGAGGCTGGGATTGGGGTGTTTGCTACTCTTTCCATCGAGGACATTTGGTCTACCATGGACAGGACCCTAGTAGAACGTTAATAAGGTCAGGATGTGGTATTGGAATTCAACGTGCTTACAGGGCACTCATAGCATTCGTGCCTACGTGTGTAAAGCGTAAGTTGACTCGAAACCAACATCAAGCACAGACCTTACCAGCTGGACCAACAGTCTCCAAAAGACCATCGCGTTTAAACCTAAAAATGGCGCCAGAGAGCTCGTGGGCAATACTTCAAAAGTGAGAACGTCAACTGGTGCTGCCTCGTGAAATTGACGAGGAACCTACACCAGCGGCAATGGGATGCTCATTTGGTCGGCGTACGGGTGAAACTCGATTGTTTGGTGGGAATCACCGAGAAGAGGGGTAGACGACTTAGCAGCACGACCATCCAAGAATTTTTTGCTGCGCTTTCGTCGAATCCTCTTGGTGGCATCGGGTGACGGCCGTGGAATGCTCTCGCTTTCTCCAATGGTGTTCTCCGATGTAGCAGCGTACGACGTCGGAGAAGCACCTCCGCGAGTGGTGTTGTATCCGAGTCCATCATACCTAGCGAATCGCTGGGGTAAGACAGCGTTAAGATCATCGTACTCAGCGCCTTCCTCTCCGCGAAGATAGTGCTTGACAGCATAGACAAAAGCCACGCAGCATTGAAGTACCTCCATTTTTCTGCGCTTGACTTCGGTAGTTGTGAGCGTAGAAATCGGTGTCCTTCCCTTGATGTGGGTTGGTTGCTCTTCAGTGGGAGGGAGGGACACGTGTACCCAGATCATCCGGGATAAGTTGCGAACCTAGCAGAGTCAGCAGACCTCGTAGCTTTGCAGAATTGGTTCTTTACATTAGAAGTGAGCGTTGAAAAGCATTTCCGACCTTCCCAGTAACGATCGTACGATGTTCTTTACGACTAAAATCAGACAGTCTTCTTGCGTATCAGCACTTTCACTTACCCATTCCTATGGACATAGAACCGGCGGACGTGTGCCTTTGAGGATCACCATTCATAACACGAGCAACTCAATGCCCACCTGAACACGAGGATAAGGCCAACCTTGAACTAACAGTTAGCCTGCCCTAGTTTCGCCGGAATTTGATGCCTACCACGACGGAGAGCAAAGGAACGACAGAATTTGTTAGCGCGATTCTTTCACCCTTTGACCAAACATATGCCACAAGCCCAGAGAATATAGTCACTGTGAGCACGGGTCCAATAATGCGAGTAATTATCTGAAGGATGCCGTTAAAAGCTTGTGTTCCCCATATTTGGCTTCCCAACGTACGCTCCCTTTAATACGCAAGACGTCTGGTAACCAGGAGTACTGCAGAAAGGGTCAGTACGTCCTCTACACCAAGTTTGTTCGTCCCTACCTTGCGCAGGTGCTGCCTCTTGATCATCGTGGGTGGCTAGCGGGGTACAGTCGTACTTGTTAGCTCTTCTCACAGCCATCCACGCAAAGCGTGCGCGCAGCATCGCACATACCTTCAGAGGGAACTTGGAGTTTTGCCTTGACTCCATCCTGGCCAGCTTCGCGGTTGCGTCCTCTGTTGCAACAGACAAGCGTAGGGAAATGAGAAGTGCAGCTTACTGGTATCTTGGTAACTTCGGGGAATGCCTGTCAGGCACCAACAGTACTTATAATAGACCAAAGTCGTCGAGAAGGATTTTAGGTCACCAGAAACGGTATCGGTCTATAGTAATGCTAAGTACCGAAGCAACTGATTGGTGGACTAAAAATTAGCCAGTGCAGTGTAAGAACCAATATCAAGGTCGTACTCCAAAGCCCAAAACCTAAGTGGTAGTAGAGTAGCTACGGTACTAATATTCCCGTAAGTCTGCCCGACTGGCTTCAACTGCGGTTAAGGTTCCCAAAGGCAGACAGACTTATGACTTCATGCTTCACGTGCCCGTCACATGATGGAAATCATCAGTCACGCGTAGTATGGCCGACTTGCTGTTGTCCGTGGCACGTTATCAGGTTCACGTCTAATTTCCATGTCTACGATCGAAAATGCAGTCGCCCTTCTGCGTCAGTTGGTCGGTCAACAGGCTGCAAACAAGCATTTGAAAGATATGGTTGACAACATTGTGTCGTGTCTCGTTCTTCTGGTAGGATAGTTTCCATCATGCATCCACGATATTAATACCTCCACAGAATTCATCACGGCCATCACCTCAGGCTACAGAGAAGTTGCGATCAGTACTCCGAGAGCCTTTTCAGCCTCTATACCATGCATATCCGGGCCCAGCATTACAACTGACATCCGCAGTGCTCTCCAACATTCTCGGCGAGAAGCTGTCTGACGCATATATTCATGGTGATCCCAAATTGTACGCAGAGTGGGACAAAACTGCCTACGTATTGTTGTCTGGCGTGCTTGTAAGTTATCCAAGGCACATATATTTAGAGTTTTACTACAGTTGTGATTCCAGGATGCTTTGGAGAAGCCTGCAAGTACGTTCTGATTTGGCATATTACAGTCACGGCTGAAGATGTTGCTATGTAACCAGACGATCCTTTCAAGGTCGACGTCGGAAAGTACCTTTATCCAACCATCTGCGGTTTCTTCTTTCGGGAGCGCTCGCAATCAGCTCCACCCTTCAGCATAGAATTATCCGTAACAGCAAGTCGACGTTTCCCTTGTATGCGCAAGCTGATGACGCATGCCGCCGCCAGGCTGTCAGTATTCTGAGCGAAGCTGCTCACAGGCAGAAGAGCAATCAGGTCTTCCTTCGTGATAGTGCTTACTTGGGTCCGTGAGTCTGCCAGAAGCTCTCTAAGAGTACTGCGTTCAGAGCTTTTTGTAGGGCACGACTTGGCATCATGATATCCACGTCACGAGGTTCGCTCATTGCCTGACAAATCGTGAGAGTAGAGACAATAATTCACAGATTATCTTATCATGGAGTCTTTGCTGACCTTGTTCGCTCGCTTGCTTTCAACCGGACGTGTTGTGGACGGTGGATCAACGAGAACGCAATTCGTGCAAGAAACGCTAGGCTCGTCAGAGCTCTTCAAGTGCAGCGAGGAGCTTGTCCGCATCTTGCATGAGGCGTCCACGTCAGACTGGAACACCATTGCGACCCAGCTTATTACCGCTTTAGCGAAAAGTGACATCACATAGTTGGCTCTCCCTTTGCATAAGAGAACCTTCCGTAACTTCTTTTCGCAGTCCGCAGCCCTTTTCCGTGAAAGAAATAAATGCCTGCGGTCACGTGTTTCCTCAACCAGATGCTTCCGATAGGTTATTGTTGGACCGACAGGGGTTCCTTGCCAATGTAATACTACCGATGGTAAGCTATCACCAAAGCTAAGTTCCAATGGCAGATCTCATTTCAGCAGGACGATGTATGCGATAGTCTCATGGTTCCTTACGGTCACATTCAAACGGTGAACGTTGACACCCCAGCGACCGCAGTAAATGCAGTAGTAGTTGTGGTCGGTTTGTCAAGCGCACCAAAAATTGGAAATACCGCGTTGAAGGTTGACAACGGAGAGTTTTGTTTGACTTTTTCATTAGGAAGGGAAGATTTGAGCAGGTTCATGGAGACCTTGAGGCGACGTGGCATAGTAAGTGACAGTCACCGTGGTGGGGGACCTCGCTTGATTCCAGAAGGGGAAATTAACTTTCAATAACCCGGCGCCGAGAGCAAGGAAGCCCAAGAAGAGCATCTCGCTTGCTTCTGAGGTCAAGTTCGCAAGCGACAGTTCGTTACCACCACCTACCGCAGATTTTCAGGTACCATTCGTCTGAGTTGGTACTATGGTGGGCTAATCAATCATCTCAGGAGAAAGTCAAACGCGTTGAGGAAGGTAGCGTACTATACTTCTCATCCGTCCTGATGATTTGATATTATCTCCGTCGAAGTTTACAAAACTGCCTTCGACGATCTTTCTTCGGAACCGGCAGCAGTCTCATTTACTCCATCCGATCCTACTTGCAACCAATTTCAGAATGACGCGAACTTTTCTCGCCGTGTAACCATGAAGTTGTTTGCGACTGGAGATGTAGGACAGCCAGATAGGGTTAAGCAAGACAGGGGAAATTCGATCCCTAAAAAGTCGTCCGCTCCCCGCGAAGACAGTGGAGATCAAGTGCCTCAAGAAGACTCATACTCTCCGACTACTTCGAGGAGCCGTTGTTTCAAAGAAGGCTGTCGAAGCGATGAGGGGAATTGTAAAGCACCGGTGTTTTCCAATCCAGCAAGCGGGGAAACTAGTCGTATCCGACCGCACAAACGGGTACATTCTCCGGGGAACGACATCGTGGCCACCAACATGTCATACGGCGGAAAGAACTCAGTGGCCACGAAAGCGGGTGATAATGATACTGGTGAAGTTCAGGTTATCACCACCTCACTAAACGAACAGTTGTCAGAGATCACTCCTCAACCAGGCACCGACCTTGGCTCTGAAGTATTCGAGGTCGACGGCCTACACTGCGGAACTCCAGGCGAACATAGGTGGTGAAGCGCATCATGCTCCTATTAGTCCGATCGCCCCCTATGGTCCGGTCGTTCGAGGGAAAAGTGAAGACAACAGGACAAGATGGGCAAGTAATCGGGGCTTCACAGCCGGAACACTTGGTGTATATTAAGCAATCGATGACCCCTCCAAGGAACCGGCCCCCTAAGCAGTCGCTGAATAGCGCACTCGCAATGACGAGACTCAACAAACGCAAGATACAAGAGATGACACAGCATGATAGCACCACCGACGCATGCAAACTCGACGAAGAACATGGCCCCTATCGCAAGTCCCAGAAGCGGGTTGGTCGCGTTCCTCCAAATAGTCGCCGCACTACTGAATCACGATCGATATTCCCCGGACTATGTGGGCGCTCCTAAGCTGGATGCAATGAAAACCGACAATGTAGATCGCTTCTCCAGCACTAGCAGCCCGATAACACCGCCTGTTGTCTTGGACGGAACAACTCACGAACTCAAGGAGAAACCCAACGAGAACTGCGCAGATGCGAGTCTCAAGCAAGGACTGATACTGGCGGACAAGGGGACCCTGGTGATAGCTGAAGAAAAGGCGAGGTCTGCACCGAAACCAAATCTAGTTGCGATTTCGAGCCCGAAGGGTTCTGATTCCGCGATGCCAGAAGAAGCTACCGGAAGTTGCCACCATCAACGACACGCCTTCTACTTTTGTCACTGTGTGCATTACTGCCACAGCTACTGACGATTCGACCATTGCACCTCATGCGCAATGCATTAGGAGCCGACCTTTCCCCAAAGTGTATGATTCCGGATGAGCAAGTCTCCGTCCGTGCCCCCGTTTTCAACGATGCGGAGACGAATAGGAGGGAGAGACCAAGCCATGACAACCTTGAGGAACTTCGCAACCAGCGGTATTCTGTCTTCGACAGTCCTCCACCGGACACCCTAGGCAAGCCCTCTGAATCGATATTTGTTCCTGCCCTTACGCCACGACTGTCCGATCCTGAGCGCTTTTACGTTGAAGAGGAAACCGCGCTGGCCAGGAAAACTGCCTCCAGCCCTGACAGTTTCGCATACAGCGCCAGGGACGACGTTGCGGGTATCGAATTAGCATGCTTGACCCAACTAAAGTCAGACGAAGACGTCGGCAAGGTAGGTCTTGTCCACTACAAAATTCCGTTAAAATCTTCGCTTCGTTCCCGTACCTTTTGTGCCACTGGTGGTACAGTTGCTCATAAAGAGGGATCCTATTATTACTGACTTTATTCAGAACAAGAATCTAGGCTCCCTGCGGTCAAAAGGACGTGAATCGACTCACAACTCCGTTACAGAGACGGTGGAGCTGCCAACTTTCATAACTCCCTTATCGCACAAGCGCCACACTGTTACGTTCGCTTCCCCTATAGAGAGCCTGATGCTTCCGGATGTCCGCGTAAGAGCAACCACGAAGTCGGACAGAAGCTTGCAGAGGCCAGTCGAACCTTTCGGGAAACGGCGACCTTGGCGTCAGGAAGGTGGGGAGCGAAAGAACGATAGGATTGTGTGGGGCGAGCGACTCAAGACTTCCTATACTTCAAAAGATGATGCCCCTTTGCCGATGCCCGTACCGAGTAAGGACCGCAAGCCTCGCAACAAGGGAACCAATCCCCTGATTGCCACCGCCACAGAAACTACTGTGTTAAAAGCAGAGACCGCATGTGAGTGAGATTCCTTCCGCTTGATGACGACCTAGATCGAGTATCTTTATGATAGCGAATGCGTTTGCTGCACATGAAGCGATAACGGATGGAGTTGATGTCCATGATATTGTTGAGGTAAGCGATGAAGCAGTCACTATGTTCTAGCTACTCTCCTGACTCCCCTGGCTCACCTCCACCAGGTTCTGGATGACATTCATGCCGTACATAAGTTTGGGTTGGAGGGTTCCGCCATAACTTACATCTGCTTCAGGTGATTACCACAAGTATTGCCAAGAGATTCGAGAACATGAGGAAAGACGTACGAGCTTGTCGGGGAGAACTCCTTCAAGACGTTTTGCAGGACCTGAAGATTACAGTTGCCACGAAGTAAGCGTGTTGGTTCTGTCTGTCGCGTGATACACATTCGAATGAACTGGGCAGCGTGGAACAGTTCAACAACCTCGTTCAACTTGAAGAAGAATACTACGAATACTACGACTCAATGACGCGCCGCTGGGAAGAACTTATTCATTGTAACGAGAGCGTTTTGTCGCATTTCAAGAACGCCGTCAAGGACCACGATCGTAGCATATCCGCGAAAACATACCCCACTTCGATTTTACCTCGCAAGCCACTCTTCTCTGATTTCAAGGACCGCTTGATGTTGTAGACTGACTACCTCCGGTATCGAGATCTCAGATATCTTCTCTGGGGACTTAACTGGTACTGGTTGCCATCGTGGCGTATTGAATGATAACATCGACCGCTCAGGTTTACAGGCTTTTTCTCGATTCAGTGCGCTTTTTTTAGGATAGAATGTGCACACCCAAATTTTGACCGTAGGTTGTCTCTGGCTCGTTCTCCCGACTTCAAGTACATACGTACGCCCATCCACATGTATGTGAGCATCCGCGGGTAGAAATAGGTCATGTCAGGCAAGTTTCAGACAAAGGGCTCAAGCAACCTAAGTGTAACTACCATTACTGAAAAAAGTAGTGTACGGACTGGTCGCTGGAACTGAAGTGCACCCGAGTTAGGTAAAACACAACTTGCGCGATGAGATTAGGATCGGGCTGTGAGAGAATGCCGAATTGAGTTGCAGTCGCTGCGAGCACGATCCCGCAAGATCCCCGCGTATTTGACGATGACTAGTGTTCCAACTGATGATTTCCGGCTACCTCTTGATGTCAAACCAAAGCATTACGATCTCACCATCAAGACAGATTTGAATAAGGATGTCTTCGAAGGCGTCGTGAAGGTCCAGTGAGTGCCACCAGCAGCTTGCAAGCCCATGGCGGGAAGCTGCCCTGGTCTGACGCTAAACTTCTAGCTTGGAAGTCAGAAACCAGACTTCTGCCATTGTCCTGAATGTGGCGGACCTGGAGATTTCTGATGTGGTATTGCATTCATATGCATTGAAGAGCGAACAGTCGGACACAGCAAGGTCGTTCGACGCGAGAAGTGAACGAGGTATCTTTTGTTTTCCTAACGTCCTGCCTGCCGCATCCGAGGCTACGCTTTCCATTAAATTTACTGGAAAGCTTGCTGGTTCCATGATGGGGTATTACAAGTCATCTTTCCAACATGATGGTTCAACCAAATCCTATGCCCTTACGCAGTTTGAGGTAGGTATTTTCAATGTTCCTATGGTTGGTTCTGATCCGACTGCGTTGTGGAGCCTACTGCTGCAAGGCGTGCGTTTCCTTGCTGGGACGAACCTCTTCTCAAGGCTACATTCGCAATTACCATGATCTCTCGTGCTGGTACTATCAATCTGAGCAACATGCCTGCGATCTCGGAAGAGATGTACACTGCAGGAGTGACAGACACCGAGGACAAGGCTCTTTCGGCGCTTCTCTCTAAGCTTAGTTTCCACAACGAGGATCAAGACAAAGGTGAGTGGAAGATCACGAGGTTCATGACAACCCCACCAGTAGGTTCAGTCCAGGCTGTGCAAATAAGGATTTTAGGCTTGACATGAACACACACGATAGATGTCGCCGTACATCGTTGCGTTCGCCAATGGAAAGTTTTCGTATCTTGAGGGTTCCTATAAGAGCCCCTTAAGTGGGTCTGTTCGTCCTCTCCGCGTCTACAGTGAGTTACACTGCGAAGAGGCAGTCGCATTATTTCTAAGCGTTGCAGGCACTCCGGACGTTATCAAGCAGACGCAATATGCCCTCGAGGTCAAGGCTAAAGTGATCCCGTACTATGAACGGATTTTCGACATCGAGTATCCTTTGCCCAAGTTGGATACGTTGGTCGTGAGCTTGTCACTTTCTAAAGTTTTACCCCGATTATGATGTTATAATGCGAAGGCACATGATTTTGACGCTGGTGCGATGGAAAATTGGGTATAGTGATGAATTGCCTGTGCGTGCAGCTTGTTGATGCCTGCTTCGTTGTCAGGGCCTTATCACTGGTCGCACGAGTGCTTTCTTGCTGGACCCAGACAGGGTGGACGTGGCTACGAAAAAGCGTGTCACAGTCTTCCAGTCACATGAGGTTGCTCATATGTGGTAGGTTTTTGTTCATGGTGCATGGTGCATCTACACGACCTCCTACCGTAGGTTTGGGAACATAACCACGATGGAGTGGTGGGACTACCTATATTTGAATGAAGGTGATTAATTTGTATTTTTACAGTGATTTGGAGCTTACTCTAGCGCAAAGGCTTTGCGACCTTGGTATGTGAAGCTTGTAACCAGTCTAACAGCGAGTTAAGATGTCGTTCGAGATGGGAGAAGTGATTATTGTTGGTACGTGTTTTTGCTTGTCCGACATAACTGTGAGCTTAGTTTCGTAGACAAGTGGGTTCCATCCCCCGATTTCCCATCAAGTAACGTTGATGTCATGCTCTGAAGGATATACCCCGAGTGGAAGGTTGATTCTGAGTTCATCTCCGAGAATCTGAACGAAGCCCTCGAGCTCGATGCTAAACTGTCTTCGCATCCCATCGAAGTTCACTGTCCCGATGCGAACCAGATCAACCAGGTTCAGTTCACTACCTTGGAAATAACACTCCTTAAGCTCACCCAGTCGATAGATTTTCGACTCTTTGTCATACGCGAAGGCTGCCTCTGGTGCGTTTATATCAGTGTTTAATTCGACTCCTGACGATGTTGGAAATAGTACTGCGAATGCTTTCCAACCACGTTGGGCAGGAGCGATTCCTAAAGGGGGTTTCAATCTACCTAAAGAAGCACTTGTATGCAAATACCGTTACCAAGGATCTTTGGGAGGGAATCAGTGAATCAACAGGTGGGTGAAATTTCGTTGATGCGCTGTCTTTAGGTCCACAAAGCTGGATTAGGTATCAACGTGTCCCAGTTGATGGACAATTGGATCACAAAGGTAACTTGGCATTATGAATTATCAGCAACAATCAAGGCTTTCTGAACTTATAGACTGGCTTCCCAATCTTGTCTGTCACGGAGACGAAGGATGGCATCCACGTTCGTCAAGATAGGTTCCTCGAGACCGGACCGGCAGAGGAGAAGGATAACCAAACCATTTGGTTCGTTGGTCTGGCCTTCGGCCTCCCTCTGGCTAACGGGTGACAGGTCGATCCCGCTGGCTCTGCTGTCGGTCGATGAAACAGGGAAAGCAAAAGGTTGACAACTTAGTTCTCGATACGCGCGAATCTTCGTTTAGCATTAACACGGAGGGACATTTCAAACTGAATGCAGGTACATTTGGTGTCTGTAAGTCTCGATCTCGTTTCAACGGATTTACCATCTGTTTAAAGCTTAAATAGATAGAGTGCATTATTTGGACGAACGGCTCTATAGAATAGCCCGTGAGGCAGCTGAGGGTGACAACGTATTTTCCCTTAATGATCGCATTGGGCTCGTGCACGACGCTATGGCACTTGCGAAATCTGGGTACGCAAGCGTCAGTAGTGCTTTAACCGTAGTTGAAATCTTTAAGGGAGAGAAAGAATGTAAGTTTCCTTCCATAAAACACCGAGACCTTGACCTTTTATTGACAGCAATTGTCTGTAACAGTCTTAGTCTGGGATTCTATCTCGATGAACCTGCACTTGTTGGTGTCTACGTGGTGGGAGCACGAAGACGTAACGCTTGGTTTAAACAAATTCAGACGTGTAACTCGTGGTTTACTTGGTTACATCTGCATACTCACTGTAAACAGGATCTCTTCGTGCCCCTCGTGAAACGACTCGGATACGAATATTCTTCGTCTGATTCAATTGATATCTCGCAGTTACGTACTCGAGCTATTGAGCAAGGCAGCTAATGCTGGTGATTCTGAGTGAGTCGGGTGCCTGTTTTTACGGGAAATTGTCTAACTAATGTTCCTCGAGTGTCATCGTGGAGCTCCAGCGACGTTTCAAGCGCTATATGGAGAGTAGGGACCGTGCGATGATACCTGCTGACTTGTTCAGGATTAGCATCATAACAGTGAGCAACTGACTCAGAAGCTTATTGCATTGTCATTCATTTTGAATAGGCTGTTAAAGAGGGCGGGCGAAAAGAATACGAGTTCGCCAAGGCACTGTACGAAAATCCAACTACACCCCCGTCAGAAAGTATTTCTGCCATGTGAGTCATGTCAGGTAAACTACATCCGTTTGGGTGCAGACTTCGCCTGTAGGTATGCCATGTGCGCCAGCCAAGACGCGTCATGCGTCAAAGATACCTTCCCATACATCTTGAATGGAGTGAGAAAGCAAGATGTTATTTACTTCCTTTTGGGCCTGCAGAGGAATCATCAGACAAGGCGCAGTTCAGCCAGCTTCGTCATGAATAACTTCTCTGAGGTGAGTCGCGTTGCTAGGGCGCGACTGTCTATACTGATGTTCTCATAGCTCGAAAAGCGGTTTGAAGGCAATTTCTCGTTCAAGGATGTGATTTCGGTAGGTGGCATAAGACTGAACGGGGTAACAAAGCTTCATGCACTGCAGGACACATTTTGCAATCTGAACACGCAGGCGGATTATAAGAGGCTTGAAGAGTTCTTCCAGGCATGGCATCTTTTCGTGTTCTAACTCAGTCGATCTGCGATTCATGAACCATCCGACGATAGGACAAGGACACTTCACGGTACCATTATGCGCTTTCAGCAAACAATGGACACTCTTCGGGCGTCGATTGCATGGATCAATGTAGGTCATTTCGAGTGACGGATGATATAGGCTAACGGGTCGGTCTCCAGCGTTCCACCACGGATATTGTAGGTTGGCTGGCGAAGCGGGGGGTATGAGTTGATGACATAATGGAATGGTGTAACATGCTCTGTATGGTAAATGACTGTTAGCGGTAGCGTCGTGGCCAGAAAGACGATAACCAAGGAATACTCGGATGGCTCTTGCCTGATCCTGTTTTTCTTTTCCTGGAGCCGAAGTTAGTGTGCAAGACAGGAGAAATTGGTGGGGAGGATGCCAGCGTTCGACCCTGTGCGCGATGCTGTTTTGAATTCACCCGTCACTCAGTCACTTGCTCTGCCATATAATACCCATATCCAAGACACTGACCTCGACAGACAAGAAAGGCATTCCACTGACATTCCTTCCCCGTCCTCGTCGCGCCCGTCGTCGCGTGCAACCGGCAGCCCCTCTCTCACGCGACGGGCCACCGATCTCGCTGTTCTACTCAATTTCGACACCCAGGCACCTCGCACGCCGAGCTCGGCAAAACCATCCAGTTTGTCCCATCTATTACTCTTCGATGACGATTCGAGCACCACGGTTTCAGTCGACGTCGACTATGGAAGTCGATACGCTAAGCGGTGTGCAGTCGTTGCGCCGCCGGGGCACTAACCTTCCGACTCTCGATATTCCTCGTGAAGATGTGGATAACCAGGTGCAGCCTTCTCCACGCCAGCTCTCTACCGCTTCATCTCGGTCTTTTCCCGCCCAGCAGGCCGACACAGCCTCTCATGCCACCTCAGCCTCCTCCGCCTCGCGTATGTTTCCTTCTTCACCTCTTGCACGTTCCCCAGTCTTGTCTTCCTCTCGACCATCGACATCCTCCTCCAACCCTTCTCCAGTTATTTTCAAGCGTCAGGTGTAGTCAAAATCCGCTTCCCCTGTCATGTCGCAGCCACCCCGACCCGTCGCTTCTTCTGTCCCTTACAACCCTCGCAACCGTAGAACGCCTGCGGGGTCCGTACTTGTGCCCATGACACCTCAAGAGATCGAGATGTATAAGCACTACCGTGGCATTGGCACTCAGAGCCTCCTTGCAAAGCGTAAACGAAGTCGTAGCACATCTCCAGATGATCCCCTCTGTTCGTGCCGCCAAGCGCCACGCTGGAGACGTCGGAAGGGTAGTTCGAACACTGTAAGTCTGCATCCTATACATCAGTCTACACATATTACTCGGTCCATGGCACTAGTTTTCCGTTACTCATGCTTAAAACAATGTGCAGACAACTTGCGTCCGGAAGTTGGTGTCAAGCAGCGCCTGAGATCGCCGATCATCGGGCTGAAGAATTTCAATAACTGGGTAAAGTCTGTGCTCATTACCCGTTTCGCTCACCCGGTCCTCGCTACTTCTACCACTAAATCCATTGACGGGCCGAGTGGAGGGCGTGGCAAAGTACTTGACATGGGATGTGGAAAAGGAGGTGATCTCGTCAAGTGGGAGAAAGCCCGTATCCGGGAATTGATTGGTGTGGGCACGTATCATTATATTGTTAACATCCTATTGTGTTGCTTATTGACCATGGCAGACATCGCCGATGTTTCTATTGAGCAGGCTCGTGACCGCTGGAAAGGCATGCGTCCTCCTCGTTTTACAGCATCCTTTGCTGCGCTGGACTGCTATACGGAATCGCTCTCTAAAGCATTTCCGCCAGAGAAACTTGCTCAACCCTTTGACGTCGTGTCTATGCAGTTTTGTATGCACTACGCATTTGAAACTGCCGAAAAGGCACGGTGTATGCTGCAGAATATTAGTCAATGGCTACGAAAAGGGGGGGTTTTTCTTGGCACAATTCCCAACGCCGACTACCTCTTGTACGCGCATGTTGTAATCTTCGTTTTCAAAGTGTCTGACAAGAGTCAACTGTAGAGAACGCCTAGATAGCCTCCCATCCTCAGCAACGGACCTATCGTTCGGTAACTCAGTATATAAAATTCGATTTGAGGACCGACGGTCGAGACGGTTGTTCGGTCATCGGTATTATTTCTGGCTTCAAGACGCGGTGGATGACGTGCCAGAGTACATTGTATGCTGGGATAAATTCGTCGAGTATGTTGCTCTCAATTTATTCATTATTGTGTGCGCATGGCAGTTTCATGGACCGTTTTTGATTTACTGTTGCATTGTAATCTAATCGTCCTCGCCAAGAGACGTTTGTACCCAAAGCAAAAGGTGTTCCTACGGCTTACATGAAATCTGCCAATGCTCTTTGTTTCCATCGTAACCCAATATTCTGGAACACTACTGACCCCGCTTTGCAGACTCGCTGCCGAATATGCCTTGTACCCGATCTACAAGGAGGAGTTCCACCAGATCTTCGCTGAGCACCGAGATGAAGAGGAGTTCAAATCGCTAATGTTGCGTATGAAGGTTGTTGATGCCAATGGTGAGAGCGCGATGGATGAAGAGCAATGGGAAGCTGCCAGTCAGTCTCTTCAACTTGATTTCTGTGTCGTCCATGCTGATTTCGTGTTACCCGCAGATATTTATATTGGGTTTGCATTTGAAAAGGGAATGATCGGCCGGCGTTCGTTCGGTTCGTGCTACCTTATGTAATCCGGTATGCTAGTTCTTATTGGCCGCACTGTATTTTCTCGGAATCGAAGTTTCATCACATCCTGCAATATATAAGCATCCTTAACAGTATGGCCGTAGCTACAACAAGTAACAGTGAAGGGTAAATGGCCTGGAATTCCGCAGCTCTGGGAAAAAAAATGTAGGTAATAGCAGTATAGCTTGGTACTGAACAGAAAGAAGCAGAAGGAAAGCATATGTTGTGAATGGCGTAGCCCACATAGGTTATTCTTACTCCTGACCAAAGCCAACGGTTTCCCTAGGCAAAGTCCATGGATTTCAATATTTCAACCAACGCTCAAATCAAAGAGAACTTACTCTACGGCCAGTGTCAGCTTCTGCTCTAAGCTTGCGTAATCTTTGTATGGTGGTAAGTCAATGCGATTGAAGCAAGTGTGACTCTTCGGCAATTGCGACGGATCGCCCGACTTTTCGATCGTGAAACGTCTCGGCCCGTCAGAGCCCTGCAGGTCCTTGAAGCCATTGACAGGGATGCGGGAAGGTGCCAGTTGCGAACTGTAATAAACGGGACTTCCTTTCTGGTGGCCAGCTACGAACGCATTTCCAGAACCATTGAATGACGTCGTCGTTCGTCTCATAGCCGCGGTAGTCTGTATGCTTGAACCAGTCGTCCCTAATACGCAAATTCATGGAATCAAATCAATAAAACGAATATCCAAAACTTACACGTCGATCTCGGACATTCCGCCGATGAGCAGCTCAAGTTCCCGCTCGTCAAAGACCGTGATCAAATCTTGTGGAATCAACTCGCTGAATCCCGACATGAACGCCTCAAACTGATCCTTGACACGTTTTGAGATGCGATATTCGACGATATGGTCGACGTATTCTTTCTTGTTTTCCTCTGTGACGTTGACGTCAACACCTCCTGGCTTCAACTCGATCGTATGGAGTTCCCCAAAACGTTCTTCCGTTGTAGTAAACGTTTCGTCAATTACATCCGTAATATCATTCTCACTGGACGAAACTGAGGACACGGATAAGAAGAGAAGAATGTGGAAACGTACAGCATCCAAGTGAGACCGCGGTGGAGTTCCGCGTCGACGGACTCCAAGTCTGACAGAGTTACCTTCTTCTTCAGGATCATTTTGTAGAAACTGACAATGAAGTACGCGTCAACGAAGCGACGGTGGAAAATCGCGAGACCGAGACAACGCCCGATGAACTTGAAGTAATTCAAGTGTTCAGGATTGACGCCAGATGCGGGGTTGATCTGCAAGGTGTAATTGTCGTGCGCCGAGTATTCAAATAAGCAATAGAAGGGGTTAAACATTTCATGCGAGAGGAGGAAAAAGAATTCTCTAGGAGGAGGTTAACGTGGGATGAGAACGTGATGCCCGCAATATACCTGGAGAGGCCACCATAATCAAGACCATCCTCGCCATCAAACTTGATCATCAGTCGTTTCTTTAGGTCATTAGGCGTTTGCCTCATGATCTCGGCATAGCTGTCTTCGAAGATATGATTACGTCGAACTTTAACTTGACAATTGCCAGGTTGGGCCCGCATAGCAGGCTGACTTCGGAAGTAAATGAGCTTCCTGCGGAAGTCCCGCTTGTACTGGGGAACATTTGCATCCAAAGAAGAAGGGAGGCGAGGGTCATCCCATGTCGTTGTCTTCGTGTTGTGGTCCACAAAGTAAACGCGCGCGGTAGAAGTAAGACGCATCTCCCATCCGGAGGGCAATGGTCCGAGCTGAGACATAGGCTGAGACTGTAACGAAGTACCTTGACCATTGGGGCCCATGACACGAACAACAGTATGCCGGCGAGGATCCACCCAGGTTGTCGTGCGAGTATTGTGGTCGACATAATATGGTCGGCCCTCCGGGGTGTACCTCTCCTCCCACCCGGGCGGAAGACTGCCAGAACCGGTCGTTGTAATATTATTGCCTGCAGCAATAGCGGTAGTTGCTGCGTTGGGTGATGCAGCGGTCGACGGTGTTCGGTGAGTGGTGGCTTGTGCATTACCAACGTCCACCATGTCATCGGCCAGGAGACGACGGGAGTGCTGGTCCCTAGCAGCATTAGTCTCGTTGTCGTGGACGACATGGTTAACACTCTGGTTGGAAGAAGGTCTGTTCCAAGTCGTCGTTCGGGTATTGTGGTCAACATAATATGTGCGCCCAAGGGGGTCGAGACGGCGTTCCCAGCCGGGCGGAAGCGGCCCATACTGATCAACAGTCGGATTGAAGTTCCCTTGCCGAGCGGTATTCACTGATCCGAGTGAAATCCCTGATGCTGACTGGCTAGTGGGTGATATTGTATGTCCACCGCTCGAACTGACGGGACGACCAGAAGGCGGCTGTAGGGGTGGCTGGTCTGCATCGGTACCAGTATGAGACGGTGGAGAGATTTGAGGTGTAGGGCATCCCCATTACAGCGGGGGTGCTCGGTGAGTCCGTGGTGGAGGCGTGAGCGCTAGGCGTGCGAGAAAGCGGATTGCCAGAAGAGCCCACACCATTTGGGGAAAGAGAAACGCTCGACTCGTTCAGGCCCATGTTGCTGAGGGTAGTAGCAACACCGTGCACTTGCGAGGGTCCAGGGTTTGAGATAGGCTGAGAAACATTGGTTGACAAGTATATGATGAGCTTGCCATGAACCACGAGATTATCGTTAGACTTTTTGAGATCGAGTGTCAACATCTCTGGATGCGGGCAAGTCGACGACCATTCAAACGTATTTTTGTGCGATCAGGCAAAACGCTTACCATGACCACCGAGGTCCAAATCTAGGACATCACTGACCCGCACGTTGACTACGCCAAGGAAACCCTGGTCGCGTCTCTTGAATTTGCGCTGATCAAATATCTGCACGGCAACAACAGAAGACTCCTTGACGGTGCTATTGAGTTGGGATTTGAGATAACGATGGCATCAAGTAAAGATTCATAGCTCACATGTCGAAACTCTCATTCCAGTAAGGATTAAGAGGTTTTCTTGATAACGCTCGTCGTATGTGTTTGCTCCGCGTCGACTGTAATCACTGCGAAGGGATCTGGAAGGCGGAAGACATCTCGCTTAGACAGCCCGTCGGCAGCGACGACTGAGTTGAAATAAGCATTCAGAAACCGTATGTTAACGCAGACTCGACGGGAAGCCAGGCTCACCGGTTATCCTGATTTTCTTCCTGCTGTGATGGGTATGACTAGGATGTCATGTGAAAGGAGAATGGTGCTCACAGAGGATGGGCAGGAGTAGACATCGGACCAAGCGATGCGTCAAATAGACCCAATAAGAAGTGTGATCCCTGGCTCTTTCTTGTATCACTGAGCAGTCTTGGACGATTCCAGAGGGTGTTTTGGCGCCGTACAGCACGATGACGAGCAAGACCAAACCCAGCTTGGCCGACGGCCGTTTTCAGACGCCGATTGCAGTGCTACCCTGCCGGCACACTTCGGCATCGTCCACCTCTGCACATCGACCGCAGCCTCAGCGGTGTGGGACGATCTTATTAGCTGACTGCGCGTTCTGAGCAGATAGATTGTTCAAAGGGTTAATCGTTGTAATGTATCACTGTGAACCCAGTTACTCTGATGCGGCATGTGTGTCAAGTGTCTAGTCTCCAGAGCACGGACACAATTATCACTGTAAATTGCTCCGTTTGTCTTGATCGTCCATTGAACAGTATCGCGTGCTCGTATTGAGCGGTCCGCCCGACAAAGGACACTGTATTAGGTTACTTTAGGCGTTGAGTGGCAGACCTCCAAGCCCGAGTGGGAACTTCGACCGACGACGTCACCATTCCCTGAACCAGTGCATATCCGTCGCCAGTATACGTTTCAACGTTCACACCAGAGAAAGATGTCGTCGGTGGAGTCGCCTTTACATATAGTAGGTCATCCATGGGTTCGGTGTCGTCCTTTCTGAGTGACGATTTGACCCCTTGCATAGGCACACCACCATGCAGCGAGCGCGGAAGACTACCGCAACGAGGGACTACTAGTCAAAGCGGCAGAAGAGCACTTCAGTGCCGCAAAAGCATTCATGGAGTGCGAAGAGAAATCAAATGACAGCAACGTATGATGCAGCCGTCACATATTCCGCTCGATACACCTAGTGACCGGAGTGTCTCTAGACGAAGCGAACGCTCTACTTGCTCTACAGCGAGCATGTAAAAGCAGGTAAAGAACTTGAACGAAGAATAACCAAGTTACGGGATGAGGGGAAAGATCCTACCCTACCCCAGAAAATGTTACCGCGAAATGTCCCAGCGTATTCAGGTCATGCAGTCGGCGGTCCCAGCACTATACTCCGTCCGTCGTATGTTCATCAGAATCCCAACAGCGGTTCTAGTGCTTCCGTGCGACTCACGGACTCGCACAACAACGTCGACGAGTCCTTCATGGTTCTTGGCCAGAGGGTGAGTCCACAGATATGCCATGATCGTTTCACTGTGTGATTATACGACGCTTAGTCGGACCCCGGGGATGCATTCAACAATTTCTGGAATATAATGGAAGGCATGCTAGACAACCTGTCTCAGCCCGTGGCATTTGCGACAGCTCCGCTTGCCACGGAGGTGGGCATGCCGAGCAAGCAGGGTTCTCGACGAGACTATGGTTCGAGCAGCGATACTGATCGCGAAGAACCCTTTGTAACCAAATTTTCTCGAAGGCTGGGACTCGCTTCCGCTTCCAAGTCAAGTGAGCTTTACCAACTATTTCTGTCTGTCTCGTTGAATATCTTTTAAAAGAAGACATACTAATTGAGGAAACGGAGGAAGAAGTCATAGTCGACGAAGGTTTGCCGCGATTCTGTCGGTTACAGTTCTAAACTTACAAGACAAGGTAACGACTTATCGGAGTCATTCTATCTGGTTCCCCCAGAACCGGAACAGTCATTCCCAGCGCTTAAGAAAGAGAATGCCGCTCTCAAACGCGAAGTAGACGAGATGCAAAAACGTTTAGCAGCAGCCGAGCGAATGCTGCAAATGCGCAAGGAACAAGATCAGCAATTGCGCGACAGCATAGTACTTGCTCGGCAACAGGTACGATCATTGGGTGAATCCCAAACATACTCAACATTCCCTTCTCAGGCCCAACGTGCGATGGGAGCGTCCTTAGTGCTCCAGCGAACTGGCGGCCAATCGTCACCCGTGGATTTCTCTGCACTGAATATCAATCTACCACCAGTTCCGGCACCTGTGACGGCACTCAACGCAGGAAGGGATCGAGAAGCTCAGCACGTGCGTAGGATCAGGGAATTAGAGGAAGAACTTAGAAATCTGCGCGTGGACAATGACAAACAAGTGCGTTACCACTGCGACAGCTACGTCCACCTGATACTCAGATTTCTCCATAGAAGATAATGATTGCACGTTTCCGAGAACGATGGGAGAAATTAAAAGAGTCTGCGAAGCGAAAAAAAGATGCCAAAATTGCCGAGGGTGCCAGAACAGGCATCAGCGAACGTATTGAAGAGGAGCCTGAGGCTGAACGCGAGTTGGACGACGGAGACAGGCGTCATTGAATTTTATACCCGTATTATATTTATCCCGTGTGGTTTAGCCGACAGGCGAATTGTCTTGCGATTTGGAGTCTCTATCGCTGGCCAAGAGCCTACTGCACTCTGGGAGGCACGATTGGGGGAAAGCAGACTGCTCAAGACGGCATAGGAAAAGTGTCGAAAACATGGGAATGAAGGGAAGGAATACAATATTAGGCTGTCGTTGGTGCGAATAGAGCGAAATCGAGTATGTGAAAAGACGACACCAATGCTTGGAAGTCAGACTTTATGGCATCCCGGTCCACCAACCCTGTGGATTCGGTCGGGATGCTGGCCGAGACCACGACATCTGCTGTCGCCTTGGACGTGGCAATGCGGAACAATGCGATCAGGATGTCCACTTCATTTGCTTGCGGTTGGTTGAACTTCCGCGCTTTCTGACGACCGTACAGGAACATGGGAGATGGCGTGAGATCGTCAGAAGTTACCGCCTTCTTTGGCTCCAATCGCAATGCGTGTATCTCTGTTATTTCTTTATCGATAGCCCCATTTTCTTCTGCCAGTACATCGAAGTGGTATCTTCGCCCGGTATGGTGTCAGGGGTAGGACTGTGAGGCTGACTTACAAACATTACCTCGCTGCCTCTGCATCATCTCCCGGTGGAACCCTTTGCAACACCTCTATCGAAAGAAACGCATCTGATTCGGGGTACAGGAAGGCTTCCTGTGAATCTGGAACTTGTCGGATGTCTCTATCGATCGTTATCGCTGAGTTCAGTGTTAGATCGGAACACGTACGAGACATCCAAAACTGCGCTTGGGAGGATAGCCGCTACTGCGCCTCCGAAGAGCTCTCTGGGTGTTCCTTCTGGGCGATCACGAATTAGAGAGCGGGTTTTCAGAGATCAAGAACGATTCACTGACTTTCGAACATGTGACTACAAGATATCGTCGTTGCTGAACAGATGGTTATGTAGTTGTATCGCCGATAGGGGAACGAAATGACAAAACGACAAAACTATGTGAGTAGAAAGGTCACGTTACCTGGTCCAAAGACGTTGAACGCCTTGCGATACCGAGGATCGCAGCCGCAGTCATGCGATAGCAAGGAAAACAGATCCGAAATATGCATATATCAAAGATCACAGGACAGAAATGCAGTGTGGCAAGGACGAGGCGTGTTCGGAACTTCGCATCATACACCTGCGCTTCTAACAATAAGCTGAAGAGTGGTGGTACGAAGCGCAGCCGCGGACGAAACTGTGTTCTGCTCGGAAAGTTTAAAAATGGATGAGAACGCGCCATACAAATGGAGACGGAAGCTAATAATAATATGCTACTGAGTGATTCTCAAAAATGAACGGATGCATGTTAGATGAGCTTCCTGGGATGGGAAAATGGTGTAGTACAGGCAACACGACCCGGGAGTGCCAGGGTTCCGTCATACTCATAGTCGGTCATATACCTACGTCAGGTTCGGTCATTTTGCAAACACCTTGTGATATCCGCGGAAGTCGGCCTTGAGTCACAAGAACGAGTTCAGGAGGGTGGGATGCGGAGCAAGTCTCGCTCTAGACTCCCGCGACCATGACAGAACCGATAGATGGGTTCTTGGTTATCTTCAACTGTGCCTAGAAGTTCAAATCCGGGATTTCGATACGTACCATAATCAACGATTGTGACCAGCCTTGGAATGATGCTGATAGGCAGGTATGCGGAAACATGAAATTGTACATGGGCGTCATACCGGGTCAGCACGTGGGAACTTAGCCACGGTCGTGGATATACTCGAAAAGATCCCGTTGCCGAGGACTTTTTCAATTTATGCAGTAAGGTATGTGGAATTGTTCTATAAGAGTTATCATACGATGCGGCTCACCTTGGTTTGAAGTGGCTTAAAACATTTGCCTGATTAATAATCTGTACCCGACTATGGCTGCAGTGGTGCCGTGCTTGTTAGAACTTGCTACGTGCAAGATGGAAATTGGGTAGTCTGCTGTGGCTGGCTGATCGTTTGCGCGAGATCATTGCCGAGTCTTGCTTGAGATGATCGGAGAATGTCAAACGAGATTCAGACACCCCCATTGTCTGACACGTGTAACTTTGCTGATGGCCACTCACTGGCGGGGAACTGACCACCACTTGTGTCTGACTCAGACATCGCCCTCAGAGCTAGGGGTTCTCACAGAGTTGCGACTTTCGGAATGCAGGTTCTCTTGCACCCCCCCCATGCGTTCTCCAGTGGTAATATTTTTGGCATATTCGTGAGTTCTTTATTTGAACAGAAGCTTACAGTTGAACAAGTCCCCGACATGTTGTGCATTCCACCCAGCGCTGTGTCACCCGAGAATCTGGGGTCGCGCTTTGATGTTCGAAAACGGAGCACGGTTCACGTGTAGTTCTCCTGGGTTTTCCATGAGACGCTTTCGATATGGTAAACCGAGGTTTCTCCTACACTGGCTGCGTCCGTGCCGCTTTCCTTCTCCGTGAACATCCACCATTTGCTGTGAAACAAACATTACCCTACATGGGATGTGGATATTCGATCCGACAAGGTATGGCTAATAAAAGGCTTGACATACTGTCCGTGGCTTTACTCCCCCAGCCTGGTCTTGTTCGGTTACCGGCATCCCTCAACTACCAGTAACGAGCATGTCCTGCGCACCCTATGGCGATGCTGAAAAGGGGACGCTAGAGATCACTTCTCCCCAGGTCACTGTTGGCCACGACTTGACAAATGAAAAGAAGTCCATCGAAATTGACGTCTTTCCTGTCCGGTCTCTCAAGAGGGATGCTCCAGTGCTGGCTTCAAAGCCTCCCGCTTGTCTGCCAAAACCTGAGAAGATCAAAGCTTCCAACTACATTCTCTTCATTATCTGGTATAACGCACACCGGTCAGTACGAGCGATTCAAGGCTTCTTTCCACTATTCTGAGCATCCGTAGGCGGTTTTTCACTGTCGTGTTTACCCTCAATTTCGTTGGACTTGGTTTTGCCATAGCTGATCTCTGGCCCTATGCGAAGAAGTATCCTGGTGCACTGGTCCTTGGTAACCTGAACTTCGCTGTGCTTATGCGCAACGAAGTGTTCGGTCGCATCTTGTATCTATTTGTCAATACGTGCTTTGCCAAGGTTAGTCCGCCTATTTGGACGGGCCTTAGTACGCAGGAAATGACGCAGGCACTATGAGTAGTGGACACCTCTTTGGTTTCGCCTGGGATGCACGTCAGCTCTGCAGGTGTGCTACAACTGTCATCGGACATTTGTCACGACACTCACAGGTTTCATACCAGCATCTGGGAGGGATTCATAGTTCATGCGCCGTCTCAGGCATAGCGTGGTTTATTCTCATGCTTGTCGACCAATACAACGCAAGGCATCTATACGATAGCTCTGTCCTCGTAGTTGGTATCATTACAGTCATCTTGTTATTTATCACGCTGCTTGCAGGATTGCCATGGGTTCGTAACACTCACCACAAGTGAGTACCTATTGTTTCCTTCAGACTTTTGTTGCTTACTTGTAAATTCTCTCGCTGCAGTGTTTTTGAACGCAGCCATCGGTTTTTTGGATGGTCCGCTCTGATCTCAACTTGGGTCCACACGCTTGTGTCCAATTTACACGATGTCACCGACGGAAGGTGGGGTCATACTGTTATCTATGTCATCCGTCAACAAACCTTCTGGTATAATATGAGTATGACTGTCTTGTGAGTATAATCCCTCTGTTTCTGCCGGCGTGTCCAAAAAATAATCTTTCTCAGAATTTTCTTACCTTGGTTTTGCACAAGGAAGGTACGAGTAGATGTCGAACTAGTAAGCGTTCTCTGGATTAAAGTCACTCCAGAAAGTGAATCAAACTTTGTCAGCCCTCCCCAAAGGTAGCTGTGCTTCGTTTTGAACGTGGGATGCAACAGGGTCTTCTCGCCCGTATTAGTCGCACTGCTATCATGGAGTACCATGCCTTTGGCATCGTCTCGTGTGTATTATTTCATACTGCCGACTTGGTTGCCTCTGATTTTTTTCAGTGAAGGAAAACACGCAAAATATCACTACTTGATATGCGGCGTCCAAGGTTGTCTAGTTTCCCCCACGGATTATCTATGTGGTCCTCAAACATTTTTGTAGGTGACTTTACTAAAGGCCTGGTCAACAATCCTCCGAGAATGACCTGGACCCGCGAACTCAAGGTAAATCTACCCCGTACGTAGTCTTGCATTAGTTCACCACCACATGTGATGCAGTTCGCCGGAGTCTCCAATACCTCGACAATATACAAGCGTGGCATCCGTATTTGCACGGGAACTGGTCTGGGTGCTGCCCTGTCCACTTGCATCCAGTCGCCTAACTGGTGAAAACTCAATTCATTTGTAGATCTGACGTGGCACTGATTAACGTTTATCTTCTTTGCAGGTACCTCATTTGGATTGGTATGCCAGCTTTACCTGTTGTTTGCCTCGCGTTGATACCGGAACTCCTGTCCATCAGGGTCGGATCAAGAGAAGACCTTCGGGCCAACTATTAGTGGTCTCATTCACCGGCACATAGGTCCGGAACGTCTTCTCCTGTGGGACAGCAAGGAGCGGGGTGGGCGTCCAGATACGATGAAGATCTTGAGGGAAGCATATTATTATTGGCAGGCTGAAGGTACACCCATGACTTACTGGCGATTATCGAGAGATATGCTGAGGTTAACCCAAGTGGTCTTCATTACCTCTAATTACATTGGAAATGCAGAAATCCAGCAAGGGTGCAAGTCCCTTGGCATTCCAGCCTTTGGCACACTCTGGGACTTCGTAAGCCACACCGTTTACTCCTCCCCTAACCTACAATCCTGGCTTACATGCTTATTCTCAGTGACCACGTAGTATGTTGATGCCTTCTGCTTCCGAAGGAGCACAGGCTTTGCCACGCAACATCCATTCACATATACAAGCACTCGTGGAATTTACAAGTCTTCGCATGGATCTATGTATTTTCGGCTTTATCCGAAGTACAGATGCTTGTGTGGCTTCCCAAGGGAGAGGTTTTTTCTTCGCAACCTGTCCGTGTGGTGGTCGGCTTGGTATGTAGGAATTCAATTGGATATGCTTCACTTCTACCAGTCAGATTTAAAGAGGGAGGGTGTGAATCGGTCCCTTTTTTTCACGGGATAGAAGTAATGAATCATAGCATTTACCATATTGAGGCCCTTATCCTCGAGACAGGCGAAGGTGGTGAATACAACTACAAAACTGATGTGCTAAACGATGGGAGTGAGATAGAATCCAGAAGTGCTACGGGACTAAGTTGCAGTGATGTGTTCTCAAGTACTGCCTTTTAGAAGACAGGCGCACGGAGTGAACTGAGTCAAAAGAAATGGTATTCCAACACCTCACCAGGCCTGCCCATCCAGCTCCATCTCCGGTTAGGGTTTATTGGTGTGTTCGGCTCCAAACGGATGCCACGACGAGCTAGCTCGATCAAGACGCGAGCAATGTTGCGTGTATCCTGTAGAACCGTGAGTATCGCAGACTTTAATGCCATAAACCAGTGCGCTGACATCCATTCCACAATGCTGCCTGCCTTGGAACTGGCCTAAACCCAGCACTCTCAGTTGCTGAGGTATGTTCAATGAACGAAAGTGATGAGCGGCTGCCAACTAAAAAAGGGTCACGATGACAGTTGTGGATTGCATAGGTGGTAAGTTATTCCAACATACCCTCGTCCGGGCCTGCAGACCATCAAATGGATCATGTGTTGCTACCCACACTGACACCAATCTACGGACATCAAGAACATCGCCTTTAAGCCATATCGGCATGGGGATCTGGTAAGGCGCAGAGCATGCGTTAAGTCGTTAGATCCCGGGCCGTTCCACGTTGGAAACTGACTTTCGATATGAAACATTGTTTTACTACAAAGTCCCTTATGTCGAAAGGACCATCGCTACACCAACAAATTCTCTGTAAAGTTCTCCCATTCTTGGGATCAACTAGCCCATGTTGGGCGAGAAATTTGGTGAACATCTTGAGAACCTTGGGAAAGGTGGGTGCAAAGTTGACCTGCGCCTGCGAGACAATTAGTCGGTATCATGATGTTCCCGAAACGAAGGAGCGGGACAAACTTGGGTTATACCCGTCAACTCGGTACAGAATTCGGAGAGTTGTGGTCTCCAAGTGGGTTTGACAAAGCTGCGAAACTCATCCACGATCTCCAATTGGCTGGCCATGCCTTTGGACGATTTATCTTTCCAGCGCAAAAGGCACACAGGCCATTCCTAAAAAGAAATATCGTACGATCAGAAGCATAAACAAGGAATACTGGTAAGCCAGACGGACGATGATTTCATTCGGCCAATCAAAGCCTGCGCCTTGTAGACAGGTCGCCTCGACGTCGAGGACAAGAAAAGCATCGTAAGGCTGCTTCACGCGAGCAGCCTCTATTTGGGCAGTCCAGAAGGACAACTCCCTTGAGACTTTATGAGGGACCGCAGTAGGAAGCTGTGGTCGATCGGAAGTGGGCTGAATCTGTGGCTGGTAATACCGTGACACGGTGGGCATTTCGGCTTCTGGGGAAGGGGATTGGGGGTGGGTCTTCTGTGCTTGAAAAGACTGAGACGGCTTTAAAGAATTTGGCTTGGGGACTTCAGCAGGAACTTTCTGTGCGCAACTCCAGCGCCAGATGAGGGCTACTAGCGAGGAATACAGCGGATACAGCAAAGAGGGGGCTCCAGGGCAGAAAAAGCGAGAAAGGGGGAAGAGGATCGGACATGAGGGGTGTCCCGAATGGCATGCAGTTGGCTTGCGGTGCCGGTCAACGCGTGTCCAGCTCATGTGTGCTCTTTGTTTTTCTTTTTCTTCTGGGCCTGCCTCGTTGATAGAAGACCACAACCCATCGGCAGATGCCGAGTCCACACAGCAAATAAGTCGTCAAGCGTCTTAGCCTCTCATACTGTGGATAACACGCTCGGTAAACAAAGAGGAGCAGGGGAAAGATATATTGATCTGAATGGCATACATAAAGACTATTCTTACACCACACCGAACGCCTCAAACTGATCCTTGACACACTTTGAGATGTGATATTCGGCGATATGGTCGACATATTCTTTCTGGTTTTCCTCTGTGACGTTGATTTCAGCACCCACTGGCTTCAGCTTGGCAGTAACGAGTTGCCCTAAACGTTCCTCCATCCCAGATTGACCTCCTTCCAGGGAATTCTTTTTCCTCCTTTCTAGTAAAATGTTCGACCCATTGCTTTTGAATGCTTAGCGCGTGACAACTATATTCGGCAGATTAACCCCGCATCTGGGGTAAATTCTGAACGCTTGGATCACTTCAAGTTCATCGGGCGTTGCCTCAGTCTCTCAATTTTCTATTGTCGCCCCGTTGATGTCTACTTCATTAGTGGCGCTCAAGGTGGCGCTGGAAGCGCTCTGGAAGTGCTCTGTCTGTGTTCTGGCACTGGCTCTGGAAACATGTTCTGGCCACTACATTTTCAACTCCAACAAGCCAAATGGTGTGGCATCCCTGTTGGACTCAAAATAAATTACAGTAGTTTTAGCAGTATATCAAATAATTAAATAGCTAAGTCTTGAAGAACAATGCCCTGCAAATTTCTCCACAAAAATCTCCTCAGACAACTTGATGAAGCTAGCTTGCAGGTAGCAACAGCCAGGCTGGAAAATGTGCATCGTGAAATTGATAGTAGCAATAATAGCAATTCAACTGCAACATATGGGGATTCTGATTCATCTCAGAGTGTCCTCTTCATTACTCCACCATCTCCAATCTTGATGGATTCCAACTCCAGTGTTTCTGATGATACAGACTTGATGGCTGAGAGGGATAGGTGGTGTGGACAGCTCCTGAATGTGATTGAGGCTCTGAAGGATGAAGTAGAGCATGCATGGGTTCTTGAAAAACCTGCTGTACCATTGATGCAGTCATTGCAGCTTGGCCTGCTCAACCATTTTGCCAACCATTGCCCTCATCTGTTCCTTAGATGCCTTCATGTATGGCCAGAAGTTTTTGATCGCATCCTTGATCAAATAAGTAACCACCCAATATTTCATAGTAGCTCTGAAAATTGTCAGTTGCTGGTTGCCATTCAACTCGCAACTTTCCTTTTCCATGTGGGGCATTATGGGAATGTGGCATCACCAGAGGATGTGGCCCAGTGGGCTGGGGTTAGTGTGGGATTGGTGATCAATTTCACCAATTGGGTCATGGTCACAATACTGGATGAGTGTGATACATTTGTCAATATTCCCCCTCATGACTCAGAGGATATGGAAAGAGTGTGTACCTTCACTGAATTGTGGACATGTCTGGCATGGAGAAATGGAGTCTTCACTGCAGATGGCTCATTGATTCTGCTCTTTGAAGAGCTCCAAATATTCGGGGAGAGCTTCTATGACAGAAAATCAAGGTATTCACTCAATTGTCAGGTGTGTATTCCAATGCATGCAAAATGGAATACTCACTGCTCATAGCTTGTTATCATGCCACACAACCTTCTTGTGGTTGACTATGGGCTTGGTCACCCTGGAAGCATCCATGATGCATGGGTGTTTCAAGGTACTTGCATTGCATCATGACCAGGAGACCTTATCCCTGAAGATCACTGGACCTGGGCAGATAGCACATATCCCATGGAGGAATGGTGCACTGTTCCTTTTAAAAAACCCAAGGGTGGGTGGCTATCTTGCAATCAGAATTTATATAACAAATATCTTTCTAAGGTGATACTTACCTCATACTGGTATGCATGCTAATTGTGTTGAAAGGTCCATGTCTGCATTGAGCATGCATTTGCTGCCTTGAAGGGTCAATTTCAGAGTCTCTGCAAGCTGCACTTGAAAATCTGGAATGAGAGGGATGTTAAGGTCACAGTTTACTGGGTAATGTGTTGCATCATCTTGCATAACATGGTGATCTGTTTTGAGGAGGAGATGGTTGGCATCATTGAGCCCTTGAGTCGGTGGGCAATGGAGGAGGGGTTGGGCCAACAGGATGGTGACATGGTCATGGTAGGAGAGGCTGTGGGAACACCAGGTTTTTGGAGGATGACAAACTGCAGGATTGTCAAGTCTATAGAGAGGAATATACTCAGACTTCAAGTTGGTTGAAGCTAAACAATTAACTACCTATAGAGAGGAATATACTGTAGGTAGGTAAGTAAGTGTTCCAATATAATGAATGGAAGGAGTCCCACCTCAGACTTCAAGTTGGTTGAAGCTGAGATGCAGTAAGGAAAAAAATAAACTGCTAAGTGTCCGCTTTTGGATTATGTAATGCTGTGCTTGGTGAACCACAACTAAGGTAAAAGTGATAAACTCCAACACACCCCTTCAATGAGTATAGTCAAGAAGGAATTAAAAGAAAATAATACCCATAGCTTCAGAGAAGCAAACATGCTTCTCCCTAGACACACCCTTAGTCAGCACATTGGCCACCTGGTCATTGGTAGACACATGGTTGTTGACTACTTCTCCAGAATCCACCTTCTCTTGTATGAAGTGGTGACAGATCACAATATGTTTCATGCAGTCATGGAACATTGCATTTCGAGCCAGTGAGATAGCAGATTGATTGTTGATGAGGAGGGGAGTGGGTTTATGTGATGACACAGTCTCAAGTTTGAGGACTAGGGTATGAATCTGGATAGCTTCCTTTGTGGCAGCACATGTAGCCATGTACTCAGCTTCTGTACTCGAGAGAGCAACAGATGATTGCTTTTTCAATGACCAGCTAACAGCTCCACCAGAAAGGATGAAAGTATACCCAGTAACAGAGTGGTGGTCATTGATATCCACTGCCCAATCTGCATCTACATACCCGATTGTGCATGCATTTGAGTCTTGCTTATAGGTAAGATGGACATTGGGGGTGCGTTGCAGATAGCAAAAAATGTGCTTTAGTGCAGTAGAGTGTTCATGCCCAGGGCATGCAGCATGATGGTGTAGGAAAAGTCCAAGTAGCTGTATAATATGAGCTAGATGGTGTTATGCTTTTGCCAGGAGTCTTTCCTTTTCCGGCTCCTCATGGTCACATGCGTCACGTGCCTCGTCGCGTTGCTGATAGTAGTAGTCGTTCTAGGCGTACAGATGTTGCAGGGACGACTCGGATCACCCGTTGTCCAGATATTTCCAATACCTGTCGAGACTCATCACTTGTGATCCGTGACGTTCACCGCTCTCCTGATGGCTAGGATGTCTCGTTCATGCTCCGGTGACTGTTTCTGACTCGTCTATATTGCTTATATGTTGTACTATAGATCTGGTGTCTGGCTCTTTGCTGCACATTGATTGCGCAGCCGGTATAGCCTTCGTTTCCTTACCTACCCCCATCTCTGACACTGGATGACTCTTATTTATTTCAAAGATTAGTTCGTTGATTACTGCGGATACGCGTCGTGACGCGTCTGTCGTGACTGGTACAGTACTCGTACTTAGGGGTATATAAACCCACATACTTTACCATGTATCCTCAGTTTTTCAATAGCTTGCAACTGAGCTAATTACTTTGCTTTAATCCTCGTCTTCTCTCTGCGCGAACAACCTTAGGGACTTGCCAGCAGACAAGACCTCTGTCGGATCATCGCAATAACTCAGCCATAGGGGTTACGACAAGTTCGGCCCGTAGACTCCCACCTCGCGCGCTTCGTGCCTATTCCATTTGAAGAAGTCACCGCGCTCGGGCATAACAAAATCGAAAAACTCCATGCAGCTTTCGGGACTCGTCAACCTCTTCGCGAAAAAGTCTACTCATCCCTGGTTACTGAACTTCAACAAACCAATTCATTCTCAAACAAAGGCTCGTCGGTCTCCCTACACGTAAAGACTAACTCGCCTCTTGTCCCGCTTCTCAATCGATCAACAAAGTCGAGAGCAAAATTGAGAAGCACTCCTCTACTCTAAATCAAATCCACTGCTCTACAGGCAGCCACTAGGCTTTAATAGATCGCCTCCCTAGAGCTCGCGCTTGTGGTTCCCTACATGTAAAATCACTCGCGCACCCCTTCTTATAACACCTCTACGCTGACAGGTTTCTTTCGAGAAATAAATCCTCCCTCAGCCTTCGTTGTCACTATCCGTCAAAGTGTCAAACCCAACAAAGTCGAGACCACCAGTTCCTCCATGTAATACCCCGTTAGGACTCGGTAGGAACCCGCCTTTACCGCCGATACCAGGAAGACTTGGGTCGTCAGCCACAGCAAGTAATCCTAGGTTATCTTATCTATCCCGTTTTAGGGAATCGGAAGTCGCGCTTAGTTCAGAAGAAGAAGACGATCAGAAGTCTGAGACTTCTTTCGGATCAGTCCTCAAAGAAGAACAAGAAGCACGCAAATCACCCGTTATGTCCATGACAATCGGTCACGGAGAATCAGCCCCTGAGATGCCACCGAAGGTATACTCCAAAGCGGAGCTGAAGGAAAGGTTGGAAAGACAGATGCACTCTTTGGCAGAGGACTGGCGCAAGATTGCTGGTCAAGGTCAGTCGAGTGATCCCTTCCCAACAGGAACGCCTATGGACTCGGCTCTACGAGCTTGGTACGCCTGAAATTTCGGAAAGGTAATTCCCCCAGAGGGCCCCATTGGTGGGTCCAGTAAGGGTAAGGCCTTGGCCGAAGACGGGGACAACTCGTATGATGTCCACCCACCCAATGGAGGTCGGGAATTTAATGTCGGGCGTCCCGGAGAATATGACGGAAGCCACAATGGGCTTCAGACTTGGCTCACCCAAGTGGAAGGTTACCTCAACCTTAACAAGCACGTGTACAACACGGAATCGCTAAAGATCTCTTTTGCCCTTACGTATATGACCAAGGGAGCTGCCGTGTCGTTCGCCGAAAATTACCAGAACGAGAACAAGCTTTTGGACAGTAC